TCAATAATGAAACAATATTGACGGCGAGGAACACAAAATAAAAATAATAAAATATCACGGTGGAAAAATGTTTACAAAGTCGCCGCGCTGACGGCGAGCGGGAGAAAATTAAAGATAATAAGTAAGGCAACGGTGGCCTTGGAACAAAAAATGTTACATAGGTAACTTAAATTTAAAAAAATAACCAATAGCAATAATAATACACGGCGCCCGATTAGGATTTGCATATTGTAATCTTTGAGCGGGGAACCGTTAATTTATTGCGGTCGCGGCCGCGCTGGGCTATGCCGACGTCAGTAGTGAGATGAACTTTGGTCACGATGACAGTAGGCTGACAATTATGTATAACTATATATTATATATAGTACTTGTATTAAACAACACAAAATTAATTCCGGTGTTCTCGCACAATATTGGACGCACGACTCGGAAGAGTCCGTCAACAATCAGTCATCACACTGCCCGGTCCCCGTTCGAAGAAAAATTGATTTTCTCCGGATGCCGAACTGGTTTCCGGAAAGCACCAGATCGGACACTGACTCGCACAGTCGTGGCCACACTCCGCGGGGTAGTTCCGGACTCACGGATGAAATGAATATTCAGGCACGTTAACAGTTGGATCGGTCGAATATATCTGTTATCCCGGAAGACGCTTACAAACCCGCCGTTTAAGGGTGATAACTGCAGATGACGTATTATACTATATACGCGTTTCATAATATCCAGGATAATCACTGACGGGAATTTAATATTAATGTAGTATATCCGACAGGAATTTGATTTTAAAAACAACAAAAGACGCGTGGACATAATTCGCACGTGGATGGACCACTTTTAAGTAGATGAGAAGTTCAGAAAGTAGAGGGGAAATGTAAAGTATTAATAGTATTGCTTGCCAACAATATATATGTCATATTATGGTAAAATAATTACATAATATGCATTATATATTTTCTTTAATAATATTTGTTTATTATTGTACCTAATTTTCTGTTTTCCCACGTTTTTTGCCGGGTTTTCCCATGTTTTTTCTCAGTTTTTTTCATTTATTGGAAAAATTGTTCACAAAAAAAAAAAAAAAAAATGCCTAAAAATGTTTTTTTCTGATTTTAAAATTCTTATAAGAAAAAAAATACTAAAATATACTCAATTTTATTTTTGAAACAAAATGCCTTGGCTTTTTCCCTGTTATCTACCCGACGTGGTTTTGCAAAAAATAGTTTTTGAAACTCGGGTTTGAACTCGCGACCTAGGTTGAAAACAAGTACCTACATACCGCCAATAAATCACGAAAGACATTATTGAGTTATTTTACATAACACATATTATACCATCTATATAATATTAGAACGTCAAAGAGCTAAATCAGTCCGCTCAATTCTGACTTCACCATCGGCAATATACATGATATGTTCAAAACAAAAAAGAACTGATACTGGGGATGGGAGCAGCCACTGATTTAGATGAGAAGTCGGGAAGGTAGGATACATAAGATTATTTCATTTATATCTTTAAGCAACGATAAACCGTTGCTTGACGAAAGACTCTCTAATGTACAATCTAGACAACTTGAGCTTTCAGAAAAAGTGCTACACTGATACATCGTAGAATACATATTTTTTTCCAGCTTATTGGTCTATAAATGCTTGAAAAATTCAATCACTTAAAACCCCCTTTAATCATAGTCCTAAGCCTAATGTTATGAGTTACAAATGTATGTGTCACTTTAGACTTAAACAGTGGAATTTTTATATTAACGTGGTCTCGGGGACTCGAATTCGGTGTGTTTTACTTATTATTAAAGATCACGGTAACATTTCTAACACTAAACACATTTAGTGAAATAAAAAGACATAAGTAAAAAAATAAAGTAATGGGTGAAGGGTAGAATAATATGGTGTGGTATATGATATGTGGTATTGAATGATATTATTACTGCGTAGTATGTATAATACTAATGCACGGATGTTTATCCGTTGATTATATGTGTGTATATCGTTTCATGTGTATGTGTGTGTTTATTATACGGTCATCATCGTGACATATACATTTACATACTAATACAGAGACGTATTATATTTAATATTCACCGGCAGCTACCTATCGCACAAGATTACTTTCTTTATTCATTTATTTGCAACTACCTAATTTTTTTTTTACTTAATGTTCTACTACGAGAATATAGAAATAATCACTTACCTCGGTACACTGCTTGAAGTTCGCAAGAAATTTGTTGCTCAAAATGTAGGGAGCAGGTATAAGGATGCGTAGTTTTCGATGAATTTTTACAATAAACACAAGTAGGTTTTCTAGTTATTTAGCCACCAGGTCAACTATGTCAATAAAAATTTATATGGCTATACTCGGACGTCGGGTCGCTAATAAATGACGACTTCTAGGAGAATCGTCCGTTTAGTGTAACGAATCGCTGGCCGACGTATTGTTGTATAATCATTTTGCTTAGAAGTATTTACTACAATACAAAATGTACATGCAGTCGTTTATCTTGAGTGACAACCACTGACCTCGTATGTTAAAGCTATGCTCAAGACAGTCAAGCGTCATATATTGTGTATATATTTATAATAGGTTATGGGAGAAAAAATAATAGACACGTTTAAATGTATGATAGAAAACAAGGTGACAATAAGTACAACTACCAGGTTCGAGGAGATGTGAATTAACCAAATACAGCGGCCCACCCATAGTATCTGAAACTGTCGTATAGGTTTGGAAAGATTTTGGTTGAGCAAAAAAAAAGTGCTTCCGCTTGGCGAACCCAGAGAAGTGAAGATTCGATGGAAAAGATTACACGAGACGCGTCTTTGTGCCTTCCGCGGTCTCCATCCTAGCGGCTCCCTTACGATCGCCGCAGTGGCTACACGGGGCGCCAGTGTGTGGACAATGCGCGTAATTAATTGTGAAATAAATTATGGCGTACTTATGTGGCGACACTGATATTTTTGGTAATAGATCTGCTAATTGTACTAACTGCGTCACTTTACTTGTTTATTTTACAAATATTTAATGTATTACACACGATCAAAACAGTACAACCAATATTATGCACAGTTAGGTATATGATTATAACATGTCATATTTTCACTCAGTGCATGTGCATCTCCTCCACACCTATGTCGTAGTTCTCGATTGTTATTGGCAATTTCAATGTTGATCGATGAAAAGTAGAGAACTACGATAAAAGTTGAAGTAAAGAAATATTTGAGCGCATAAATAACTGTGATGATACCTATATATTTTACCATAGTACATGTTACTATTATTATTATTATAATATCGTATTTCGACGTATCAAATAATCTAATGAACGGTCCGTAGGTACATGATGAGCTCGCTGCTAGAAGGCGCCTACTGGATGCCCAGATGGATCACGGTGCTCGTGTTCTGGGTGGGCTACTTCAACTCGGCCTTAAACCCGCTCATCTACGCGTACTTCAACCGCGAATTCCGGGTGGCGTTCCAGAAGACCCTGCAGAGTTGCTGGCCCAGGTCACCGCCATGGTGCCCACCGTGTTTGCGGGGCCGCCGCAGGTACGACCATTCACGCAACGACACGGCCACGCCGACAGCGGCTTTCGGCGGCCCACACAATGCCTACAACCACAGCAACGTGTCCGAGGTACACTATATGAACAACCCGGCCAACATAGCGCTGCTCCAGAACAACGGCGGTGGTGGACTCGGTGGAGTCGGTGGCAGCTGTCGCACCGAACAGAACGTACTGTGAACCCATTCAGAACGAGCATAATATTATAGCCGTTTATTGTAAACCCTCCTTCCCGTGTCGTTCGTGTAACTGTACGCTACAGAACGGTACCTCGGGCAACGTAAACGGGAGGTTTTATGTGTTATTTATTTTTATCTATCTTCCCCGGAAAAAAAAATTACCTCCCCGACGAACGCATCAAGTCCTTTTCAGACTGTGCTCGAAATCCGACTCCATTTCCAAACTTTTGTAAAATACAGTATAATAATATTCCGGTTCCTTATCGTTTCGAAACTGGATATCAGATGGTTTTCAGTCCGTTTTACGTTTTTTATTAGCTGAATGTTTTTGATTCGCCGTACTGGTATAGATTTAGTTGTACAACGACGAACAATTTTTCCTATAGACAGGAACGTGACGACCATAATCCGTTCAATTACAATTGAACGAGTAAGTAAAAGTATTTAATTTACCTAACATCACGTTTTCCTTTTTTTGATATTCTGTTAGGACCCATGGCAAAATATGGTAATTAAATTGATAGTGCTGCCGACAATTGATGGTAGTCGATTTTTTTTATAAAAATTTTAATATCAAATTTTTAGTAATTTTAGTAAAAAATTATGTAGAACAAATCTAGTTACTGGTCCATACAAATGTTTTCAATATATATTTATTTTACTATAATATGACTTATACATATATTGTCAAAAAAGCAATACTATTAACCGAGCTCCACTTAGAATCGTTTTTCATTAACAATAGTTAATATTTGCTTACAGATATATACTAAATTCTCCTCTAAATTCTACCTTACTAACTACTCACTACAACTGGGGTCCACCCATCGTGAACATTTTTATTTATCGTTTATTTTATGAGTAAGAAAGTTGTTATTTCCGTATAGTTTTCTTAAAAATTACGAACAACTGGGAAAAACAAAAAATATGGCAAAGTGTTCGGCATATAAACATTTGTTATTGTTATTCGGTTAGAAATAATTATAAAGACCTGTAGTTTTCATAAAATATTTATATTGGCGTTATATAGACGTGGTAAAATGTTCGAAACATTCCAACTATTTTTAGGCTATTTATAGATATTTGATATTTTTGTGATTTTGTATGTTTTTTTATTTCGTAGGAATCTGCTATTAAAATTATATGAGATAAGAAAAATGCTTTAAAATTGAACGCAATGTACATTATAAGTTGTATTTAGTGATCCAAAAAACAAATTTTAATTTTATATTAATTGTTTTTTTCATGAGCGTCTTAAAAACAAATTTTGAAAAACCTTAAAAATTGCGACATTTCAAAATGTGTCTTACCGAACTTCGTTCCGAATTGTTTTCTGTTTCGGTGATTAAAATATTGATGTATTATTTTATTTCCTAAATCCTAGATCATATTTAGTCTCGTCAATTTGTTCAACGGCTTTTTCTATATTATTAACATTATTGTATTCGCTCTTGCGCGTTTGTGTGCGTGTGTGCTCCGATCAGGGTAAACGATTTTAACGAAATTATCGCCAATTAATAACTTATATAATTTTATCATCTCTCAGATTTCATGAAACGACAAATTGGATTTTGACGTAGGTACTTAGTGTTACAATAATTGTAATAAGTTTGCATTCAATACAGTTTCATCCGGGGGGAAAATTCTGGTCGTCATTTTTTTTTTTTTAACCGGGTTTATAAATTTATAATATATTATTCCAATAAATTTTGAATTGCGAGTTCTCCTGTATCTGTATTGTCTAATATTTGATCTAGTAATTATAAAGCGATTGTTAATGTTAACATAATATTGAGAATATCGTTGTGATAAATTAGTAAACGAAAAAGCCGATAGTATTTTCAGTACATTGTTTATTGTATTATAATATTATTGTACTGTACATTATATTTAATACTCTATATTCACATTTTTTTCGAACTAAAACACTAGTAGAATTAATATTACATTAGTAAAAATCTTCTTTTAACAATTACACGACTGGAGGACCTTTTTTTTTACCCAATTATAGCAATGACAAAGGAGGTAGTAATATTTGAAAAATATTCACTAACTAAATATGGCACTGTTTATATGTGTAGTTTATTTATTACTAGTTATAATTATACTGAACTAATTTTTAAAAAATATGTGTTATTTGTTTAACTGTTGTTATGCTGACTAATATATCATTTTGTTGAAATATGTATTTATTGTTAAAATGAATGGAAATATTTTTAGTTGTTAATTGCCTATCCACAACTGTTAACAAATTACGCTACAGTTGACCGAGTGAACATTTTCTTTATTTCTTTTTAACGTCCAACTAAATATTTTTACAACGTGGATCTCATAAATTATAATTTTTACCAACCTTAACGGACGCAGTGGCGTATATTACAAACCATTATGCCGTTTCAGTTCATTTTGAACATTGATTGTAATTAAAAATTTTATTTATTTACATTAAATTTTGTATCTAAATGACGCTCTTATAAATACTATAAACTGTACCTGTGTGGCTTTGTCCCAAAATTGTATTTTATAAAACTGACTTCTTAATAACGAAAAAAAATGTATTTCTCATATGCGACAAATCCTTACTATCTTTACGGAATAACTTACTGTATTTTTCGTTTTGATTATTTCCATTCATCTTGCCGTTACATCCGATAAGAAAACGTAATAATACTTTTAAAAACTACAGATTTTGTATTAAGGACGAAAGTTATTGAACTGTTCAATTACTTAAGTACTCATAATAGTCTTATTAAGAAGTTACGATCTGAAATTTGAATTAAAATAGGATTTTTTTTTTCATCGTGTTTAATCAGTCCAGTACAGAAACAAATAATCAATGCAAGGAAAAAAAAACTTTTAACTCTGTAAATTAGTTTTTTCATATTCACAAATATATAAAATACTTAACTACCTATGAAATCAGAATAACTCTCCGTTTTTATAGCATTGTATTCTATATGATTGAATTTATTTTTACAATTCATTCAAGTGTAACTGTGAAAAAAAACTGTAAATAGATTCATTCAATCTCTTGTAATAAACTATTAAATTTTACAAAATGTTTGTATATTCACGTAACTATTGGTACTTTCAATAATATATTGTTATTTACTTTCGAAATCTAAATTAATGTTACGATTTACTTTTTTTTTTATTATTATTAACACATGTTGAAACACATTGTATACAAGATACGATTAAAATACATTAATATTATATAATATTTGGTGATATTATCAATAACCTAAATATACCTTAACAAAATATTATATTATTGTAGTTTACTGAAATGTATAGTTCATTAGTTTATAATAATATTAATATTATGATACAGACCGGTGGAGTATGATTGTGCGCAGTCCTTATCGGCGGTACCCTTTTAAGCGTACGATTGCGCGCGGTACATCATTTTTATTTCCATGCAACGTTGCCAATTAATCTATACCAGCGGTTCTTAACCTGTGGTTCGCAGCCACCTAGGGGTCCACGATACTCATATCGAGAATTAGCGGCAGCCTTAACTCAATATATATATCAATAAGTAACATGAGAGCATTATTACAATATTGTTGAATTATTATTTATTTTTTTCATATATAATATACAGAGTGATCGGAATTTTATGTTACAGCAATTTTCTCCTGTAAATATTCAAAACAGAGAAAAATGTTTAATATGAAAGTTTCTTCATTTATAAACACCTAAAATAATTTTTAAATTTGTTTTTATTTTACTGAATTTTTTTGAGTCGGTTTTGAGTGTTAACATTTGAAATTCAAATGGGAACCTATATTACATAAATAAATAGAGTAATATTTTAAATAAATTTTGGTGCTGACATGTATGATTTCCATCAACCCGTTGACGAGTTATTCAACTTTTTAGTTTTTGCAGGAGGAGAGTGGTTGCTTGTGTAGTGGCATGGCACGACGCGCGGCGTTTGAATATTAAAATTTGGGTTATGATAACATGAGATGTTTTGTCAAAAAAAAAGGTATTCGAAAAAATATTGGTAAGGGGTCCGCGATTTCTAAAAATCTTCCATCGGGGATCCTTGATCTACAAAAGGTTAAGAACCACTGATATATACTATTATACCGTATACACGGTATCTGCCTAAACAATATATGACCAACAAACTTTTATATTGGATTTATAAGAGTTATCTTGAAGACTAGCACTATTCCAGGTTATTTATTACTTATTATTGTCAATAGCAAACTTTTATCAATATTATTGTGACATTATAGACACGAATATACTATAATCGCGCATAATGTATGCATATTATACGTATATACCTACTTACAGTCGTATTCATGTTTCGGTTTTATTTCAGTTAGTTTTTTTTACAGTGAAACATATTGCTCTAAAATATAAAAATAAATTTGTTTTATAAGTTCGGAGAGAGGAAAGGATTTATTGGTGCACAAGAGCCACAAATTTCGATGCATAAGACAGCAGGCTGATAGGTACATAAGGATACAACACGATTGCACAAGATTTTAAATGCAATGTTGCCATAACGTATTATATATACGAACCCCAGTGTGCGATATAATATTCAAATTAATGAAATAAATTATTATTTTTACACATTTTTAGATGGCCATGGTTATGAACATTGATAATAATTTTTTGTGGCTAAATGTAGTTTTCACGCAGAACGCAGTTTGCAGTATATAATATTATAGTAATATATTTATTTATACATGGCAACGTTGTATTTAAAATCTTACGCAATCGTGTATGTATTTCGATGGCTATTAAAATATATACAATTGCGCAAATTTTGCTCAATCGTTCTTCGCCGATATATAAGATGGAGGTGCTGTAAAAAAAATAGTGCACAGTTACACTAACAACAAATAATAAATCAGTTTTCGAAAATACTGGTGACCAAAACCATCCTATGGATACGGTTCAAAAAATCGATAGGTAAATTGTATGGAAATATTGCAAACGAAAAGCTACTAATTACTATATCTACCGGCCGATAAAATTAAAAATGTTTTAATTTTTTGCTGTTTGTATTTATTTAAATATATATATATAACGATTTTGGCAACGTCGATTCCAATATCGCACCCAATCGTATGTTTTTGAAGCAAAATTATGTTCTTTGTTATTCCGACACCGCGCGCAATCGTACTGCACCTATATTATTATAAAGTTATCTCATATCCATCAGTGTTTATACAAATGTATTAAAAAATAATATTCGTTAATAGGAGGTTATACCCACATTTACTGTCAGTCTCGCTAATGAAAAACTAAGAAAAATTACGTTACTAACCTATAAAACATAAAGGGGAAAGCGTTTTTGAAAAAAAAACGTTAATTTTTATCTAGAATATTATCAAACAAAAAAATTATAGTCATATTGATTATTTTTTTTATATACACACCTAACGTATGTATCTACTATCTATACGTACTTAATGTATTTGTTTGGCAATTTTTAAACAGAGAGTAGCAGATTACCCTCGAAATATTCTCCTCTTTAAATTATGATATTGTTATTTATGTTTGAAATTCAATATTGACATAAAGGCTATAATGTATGCTGCAGTAACGCAATTTCATTATATTACCCATTAGTTAGACTGAAATCGTTCATACGGTTCTCTTAATGAAACATTATTTCTTTCATTATTATTAAATAATTTCACTATCATTCAATATGACTTTCGAATTTAAAATATGTTAATTTATGCTATCCATGGTTTTATAATATGTAAATGTATAATTACACTATAATTTTGCTAAGAATTTACATAATATTTTATATATTATACATCTTTAAAATAGTTGGAGTAAAGGTGTGTAAACAACAAAAACATTGGAATCATTTGTAATGCTATCTATAAAATGAATCCTTCAAATGTCATTGTAATATTATTATTCCTTTATACAATTCGAAAAAACTATAAGAATACGAACAATATTCATAACATCCATAATTATTCCAAAATCAGAATTTTGTCAATTGTGCAGTCTTATCCTATATAATATGTATACATTATTATAATAATAATAATATAATTTATTGTTTTCTAATACTTTAGAATTATTATAAATTTGAAATAATTAGATTAAATAACCTATATAAATAGATAATATATTAAGATATAAATTCGCGTAAATATGTACTATACATGAATGTATTTTATACCTAACGCATATTTCGTTGAAATGTAATAAAAGAGTGACATATGACTACATTATTTCTTGTATTTTTAAATATTATTGTGGAATGTGTATATGTAAACCAGAAGTTAAGGTAGGAAAAGTTTCAAGGAGAGAGAAAGGCTATGACAAAATATATATGCCAACAAATTGAGTGCGTTTCCAAAAACTAACTAAACCCAACCCGATTTTCAGGAGTCAAGGCTTGCAATTATTTTTCTCCCATGCATTACGATTCGTCCATAAAAATAAATGGCAAAAAGGTTTAAAAATAAGAGTTAGGTTCGGTTAAGTTTTCTTAGGTTTGGTTAAACTCTATCCCTAAAATATAAGCTATATGACCAACTGAAAATGCCGTGGAAACAATAATTAGAAAAAGCGAAAAAATAAGAATAAATTCATGGCGCAAACAACTTGTATTTTAAAAAAATAGATTATATCATAACCATTATATATAGTATATACTATTACTTATATTATGTATTGGTCATGAATAATTGAGAAATCGAAAAAATCATTATACTTCAGCCCGGCTCAAGGGGTAGACGATATAGGCCCACACCTAAGACTATATTTTTTTGGAGCGGCATTTAAAATGTGTACATTTATAAATAATTTTTAAAGATTAAAATTCCTAGTACCTATAATTATACTAAATTGTGTGTAGTAAAATAAAAGGAACTTATAAATTATTTTGTTTAATTAAATATGTTATAACTTATAACAAATTTTAAAATAAATATTATAAAATATAAAATTAGATTAGTGCAGGGGTCGGCAACCTGCGGCTCGCGAGCCACATGCAGCTCTTTCGGTCTAATGTTGCGGCTCTCCAGCTGCACACACAAAAATTAATATTTTAGTTCAAAAACAATATTTTATAATATAAAAAAAAAAGTATATTATTTTTGTTGTTTTTGGAAATATGAAATAACACATCACAAAAATAATTTGACAGTGCCCGCATGGAGTACAGTCTATAGTTGTAAAATGTTTATTATAGAGTCTAATATAATCGCGACGCTATCTACAACTAATTGGTCATACGCCGTCACGCCAAGACATGCAAAGCCAATGCTCCCATTGATGTATTCCCCTATTATTAAAAACTGTTTTTTTTTTTTATCATAAATTTATTATATTATTATAATTAATTTCATTATTATTATGTCTATTAAAATTTAAAAATAAAATTATATTTAAATACTTAAGAAAACTTTTAGTGGCTCTTTAAAATCTGGAAAATTGCGTACATTATAACTTTTGGCTCTTCCGTCAAAAAAGGTTGCCGACCCCTGGGTTAGTGTGATCGAACAAATATAAACGTGTGTACTACGCTGTGTCGTTCATGAACATTCGTTCATTTTAAACGGATCACTCAAATGAACAAATTAATTCAGATTTATTAACTGAAAACGATTTGTTCCATATCTCGTTTAACTTGTTATTATCTTCATTTTAATTATTGAATCATGAGTAACCACGAGTCATAATCGTATACCTTCCTACGAAGCTACGACAATACAACCGAATACCGATAAGAGAATTAGATAATACTGATAATAAATATTTGTGTGACCGAGAAAATTATATTTTCCTCGCACGCACGACTTTAAACGAGTTGCCACCTCAGAGGTGGCACGATCGTGTAGCGGACAGTTTCACAAAGGAGCAACTCACCCTGACGTTCTTTTATTACATAAACACACTTACAAACGATTCAAGCACGGACTATACAAATCACCATAAAGTTACCTATCTCAACGCTTTAAATTGGGTCAGTTTCAAAATGGTTCATTGAATGATCGAACTAAACAAGATTTACATTCATAACATTGATAACATTGATTTGAATCAATTAATGAATCAAATGAATCGGAAAACAAAATACAAATCAAAATGAACGAACCAATTTTTCTCATTCCTAAGTTTCAAGGTCTTTCGGACGGATTTAATCGGTTCCGTAAATCGGTCTCGTCTGGCCCAAATTTTCTTTTAACATATGTTACTGACAAAATACACTGTTGACGAATATCAATGACTGAAATAGTCTGAAAATACCAATTGACGATTACAGTTTACAAGTAAGATAGGTAATATTAATGATCTCATTTTTATTTGCATGCTGACTTTTATCAGAAGATATTACATTAGATACGTCTACTACTTTACATATTATATCTATTCTTATTATTTGTGCAACAACAAAATAAATCCACTTTTTTCAGAAAGTCACTTTATTACACAATATTATTAGTGAAACAATTTTCTTTCAATTTTTTTTGCTCCTAAACAATTTTAAATTCCCGTACCCATTTGGCGATTCATTATGTCTGGTCCATATGCCTAGATAAGTCGACGATAGATTTCAATGGGAATGATTCCTTCTTGGAAGAGAAAACGGATCACACTTCTCATTTCACACATGGAATATTCAGTAATATAGGTGGCATAGATAACTCACCCATCACGAAAATGACTCACGGATAGAGATGTCCACGTACTGAAACGTTTTTCGTCTTGATTTATTTGTTACATCCGCACTAGAGTCAACGTTCGAAAAAAAAAAATTACCTACAACCGTGGGGGGCTTGTATCTTAACATTCCGGATGTCCCTCGTAGCAGTTTTATTTGTTAGTTTTATATTTTCTTATATAGTATTCTTATTATAATGGATTTTCAACAAAAAACTTTAGCTATTGCTGCTGGCAGTATCGGGCACAATATAATTTTAGTTAATAAATTTAAAAAAAAAATATGGGTAAAAAAGTGGACCAAAGTTGAATAAAGATAATTTTTGGTGGCATTATTAAATTTTGATACCTACCTAATTAATTGCATTATTATCCAATTATTTCAGAAATGAGTTCTTTATATCTTATTTTAACATTTCTACTTACCTATATAAAATTGATTACAGCTACATTTAAGTTTATGTATACCAACATTTTAAAAAGAAGGGGCATTGTTTGTGAAGTTTTTAGATCTATTTTTTATATGTTTGATTAAATTATTATTAGTCTTAAAAGCGATTTTTATATTATTTGTATTATTGTTCAGAATTTTAGCGAATTCGTCAGACATATTATTTTGATATTGTATACTACAATAGTTAACAACATTATTCGATGAGATGTATTTTATTTTTCTTTAACACGTTTATGAATTTTTTGAATAGTATTCAATTTGAAACTATTTCTACGGATTTTATTATTATAGATAATATTGAGCTCGTGTTGATAATTATATTTCTTTAATAGAATACGTTTAAGCCTATAAAATATTGAATTTAAAAAATTATATTTTTTGAGAATATAAGTGATTAGAATCATGTGGTATTATAGCATCAGTTTGTATAGGTTCCCTGTGAATACTAAAATCAAATGTATTTTTACTATGGAAATTGTAAAATCTGAGAAAATTTAATTTATTATTTATTTGTATTTTGAATTTAAATTGAATGTTTTTATTTATTTTATTTAATTAACTAACACAATTTTCCACTTATCTATTTGAACCTCTAAATAAAATAAAAATGTCATCAACTTATCTATAATATGTTTTTATATATTGTGGGCTATATATTTTGTTGTTAATAATATTATTGATTTCATAATTTTGTATGTAAATTTCAGATAAAAGGGCATATAAAGATCCACCCATAACTAAGCCTTCTGTTTGCTAATATAATTTATTATTATATTGGAAAAAATTTTGATTAATAATAACATTTATTGATTGAATAATTTAATGTACTTCGTTTGTATTGAATTTATTACTATGTATAAGAAATTTCTTTTAAATTTACAACCCCCATTCCTTACCCCGAAAGCCCAAAATAAATCCTAATTGTGCCACTGTGCATATAACTATATTAATATAACGAAAGTAGTTTTTTGAAAGCGATAAGTCTCACATTAATATGCATGTTACATTCAGACGAATATACCAAAATATGTAATACTGCATTATATATATATATAGTACAAATAATATACGTTGAAGGATCAGAAGTAAAACAAATCAGATCCACTAATCTTTTATTTCAAATTTATTACACAAACCAATTTCAAAATAAAGAGAAATCTAAAACATTTATTTTTAAGTTAATTACATAACTTATCTATATGAAAATTGTACAAATTAAAAATTAAACATATTATGACTATAATTAATTCTGTAATTTTCGTAATATTGCATATACTTGTTCAATGTCCATATTATACGGCCTTGGTCAACAAACGTGTACCAAACCTCTGTATGATGAATGATCCAAAGAAGGCTTTAAGTAGTAAAAATATTTCAGCGGTAAACTTAATATGATCGAAGAAATTGTCAATTGTATTATGATCATAAAAATACGAGGTAGTTGTCAAACACGTCTACACATAAAAAATCCATATATTATATAAAAAAAATTTAAATGTTTTTACGATCTATACTTGTACACAGAGACGCCGCAAGGGAGTGAAAAGAGGGTGCAAGGAGAGGCAAGGGGGTGCGATTTTACCCCCCTGGATTTTCACAAAAATAAATATTTAAAAATAATTGGATCTTTGGAAACACCTGAGTAACGTAGCCATGAATAAATGGCAAATCATTCTAAACGAAATTCTCTCGTATCTCTTCTCTCTTCTCTCAAATCTTTTTTAAAGTCATATTTTTTCGGAGGAACTCAAGGCTCTTTCAGTAATTTCAAATTTAGTCTATCAACACGAGAATTTAAATACAGTCCAATATCTAATTTATTAGCACCAATTTGTTTATTGATATCTACAGTAGGTACTTCAATAACTTGTCTCGTGACTGTCTTTTAAACTAATTTGATCTTCACTAATACTCAAGCTGGTACTTGTACTTGAATAAATTTTACGTTTCTTTTGGAAAAAATGTAAATTAATGATAATTAATATTATTTAGGATTGGGTTAGGTTAGGATAGGTTCTAAATAATTACTGTGCACCCCCCTAAAAAATATCCTGGCGGGCGTCTATGCTTATATAATGCAAACAATAAATAAATCCAATATTCACAAAATGTTACGTAATATGAAAATCAAAGTTATTGAATGATAATATTATTACTCTAATATCTAATTAGACATATAATTAAATTACATAACATGGAACATTTAATGTCAACAAATAATAATAAGTCCAATCTCTCATATTTTATTTTTTGAGCGTAGCGAGGGACCTATTGATTTTACTATGTTTTTTTTTTCATTTGTTTCTGTCTGTAAACAACTTTTAAAAAAGAATTTTTGCTCCGATCTATAGAGTATATTAATTTTTCTGAAAAGGAATTTAGTCTAGTTGATAAATTGGGAGGTCATTTTTTAATTTTCCAAGAAGTTTTCGATTAGTTAGAAAATTGTAGACGAAACGGCAAATATTTACAGCGTACCACGACATTACCGATTGCATTGTTTTTATTTTTGCAACTTATGTTTTCTATCAGAAAAATTGCTCCAATCGAAAAATGATAAAATTCCAATTGTTCCATTTAACATCTAATTATTAACAGACAAAGTCATTTTTTGATGTCTAAAGTAGTTTTCATAATAATTAGAAAAAACTAAAAAATTTAAATTGATTAATATTTACGGCAACAATAAAGAAAGTCGTTTTTTGATATCTAAAGTAATTTAGATTCTGAGCAGAACGAGGAATGTAATGGTTTTACACTGATGTTTATTTATAATTCTTTTTTGTCTGTGAACAATTTTTCTACCATAAAACTTGCTTCATTTCACAAGTGTAGCACTTTTTCCGAAAAAAAATCTGACAGAGGTGATATATTAAGAAAGTCATTTTTCGATTTTCCCAGGTATTTTCATAATAAAAGGGAAAAACGTGGGAATAAACGTAGGAAAAACGGGCGCAAATAATAATAGGCGCAATCTTAAACAAATATTATTAAAGAAAATATATAATACATTATATTTAATTATTTTTATCATGATATGGCATATATATTGTTGACAGAGCAACACTATCAACCGAACTCCGCTCAAAATCGTTTTTTTGTTGGCAATGGTTAATCGTTACGTACAGATGTACATTAAATTTCCTTTCTACTACCTTCCCAACTTCTCATCTATAACAGTAACTGCAACCATCCCCATTATCCTAGGAAAATTATAAATCGTAAATATCACGGCCGTTCAAAACATGTATAACCGAACTTCGCTCTGAATCGTTTTTTTGTTAGGATTGTTTATTATTGATACAGGTATAAATTAAATAACTATATCTATCTCATCTCCCCAACTACTCGCTTACTCGCACCCGTCCCCAATATCAGCTTTTTTTTTTAATTGTGATTTAAATTAAACCCTGATTTGGAAATAGATTCGTTCAGTTTGTATATCTACTCAACAGTGTGGTGAACATAATAGAGATATCTGAACATAGTCGTAATTTAATTTCATGCAAATTATTGATATTTAAAAGAAAATAATTTACATTACCATAATAGTAGAATTAACAATCCAAACTATATTTATAAATATCACTTCATTGTAACTGAATCCTGTACCCCAAACTGAACATGTTGTGATTATTATACGAATCTGAAAATATGAATTTATTTTTTTTTAATTAGATAAAAAAAAAGTTTAAATGGAATATTATTCATATGCTGTAATTTTTCACTTTAAAATCATGATAAAATTTTAGTTTATGAATGTATGTTTTAAATATTTATAAGTGTATATTTGTCGATGCTTAATTATTTTAAAACAAGTTTCCTACGAAAATATGCCCATTGCGATATTTTGGAAAGTATTATTAATTTTTTTCGGAATTTTTTATAATTTATGAAATAAGTAGCTCTTAAATATTATAACTCCAATATTTCTTAATATTTTCGGAGATAAAACCTCTACTCACTTCATTTTCAAATTGCATCCTATAATAAAAATACCACAAATAAGTGACATTTTCACTAAAATAAATGTTTGTATCAACATATTTAATATTTGTCAATCCGTTTACAATATATTCTAATTTTAAGTTTGATTAGGTGAACTGCAGTAATGGAGCATCATTTGTTTGGTGACGTGAAGCATAGTATAATTAAATATCGTTTTTACCTATACTTAAAATTGGAATATCTCGTCAACGGGTCCACGGGTTGACAAAAATTAAAACTTTCAAAATTAATTTTAACTAAAATATAATCTATCTATCTCGTATTTATGGAATTTTAGTATAGGTTGAAATTTGAAAATTAAAAGTGGGTAGCGTTTTTCGCTCCTAAAAATAAAGGTAACAAAAAATAATGGAAATAAAACATCTTAGAACTGTTTGTTTCTTAAATTGTCAAAAAATAAATACAAGCAATACTTTCCGAGTTATCACAAAAGGTATATCTTCATGAGACACCCTGTACATCGGCGTGTTTTCAAGGGGACGTCCCGGACCTCGACCCCCTCTCCCCCGAAAAAAAATATGGTTCAAAAGTTATAAATAACTTGCTACGAAAGTATAAAAAAAAATAACATTATATCTTGGAAGATTTTAAGTGAATTAGATTTCTATTTTTTTTTTATTTTAATCTTTATAGAATTATTTAAGCTCTATTTTGAAACCATTTTTAATTGTTTACCCTTATTTCATATAGGTCCCTTAAATAAGAATAAACTTTTGTTTTTCAAATGGGAACCCCCTCCCTCCTTTCGAACACAGTTTCGAATAGAGTATATTTTTCTAGACATTTTAATATGCATAACACTAAATCAAATTTACTGTTTATAAATAATAAGTTTATTGTTTAGTTTTAGACCGCAGGTGTAGGGAAGCGTTATCATTAATCATTTAATAGTAGATATACAATGTATAGAGTAGAGGTAAAAAATTAAAAATGGTTTCAAAATAAAGTACAAACAATTGTACAAAGATTAAAAAAAATATAAATCAAATTCACTTAAAATTTTCCGAGATAATTATTGGTTCATGATAAAAAATCACTCTTTTTTAGACAAATGTCGACCCCCCCAACAAAAAATTTGAAAATACGCCACTGGCCCAGTAAATATAGTTTTACTAGGTACATCATAGGAATTTATAATTTGATAATTAATAATCTCTTTAATTGAAGCAATTATAAAATAACATCAAGAAGATTAGAAAATGAAGCACAAAACAAAAATGATTAAAAACACCAATTAAGAAAATAACTCAACATGCACACAGTGCTTTATATCAGTATTATTAATAATTTTTAATTGCTATAAAAAAGAAATACTTACAGTTACAACGAATAGAAATACGATTATTCCTGTGTATACTACTTCAATGTTTATTTTGACATAGCCTATATGAAATCCAACTAACACGAATATCATAGGATAAAGAGCAATTAATAGAAACTCGTATATTTTTGACACTGCATCAATTTCATGTTTCACTTGATTATTAATGTCTTTAGATGATATTGTTGAGTTTATATCATTCTTATTTTTAAATTTCCAGCCAGTGCTTGCTACAAACATTGATATGGCACATCCTAAAGACCAAGTTACGGGGAAATTGGTATACCACTTCAAAAACCCAATAATGAATCCAGCTATGCATGATATAGCCACTCTTAAAATTGATAATAGCGGTACAATATTCTAAACAAAATAAAAATTAACTGTCATGGTTTAAAGGTATTACAATTAATACAATAAATTATTATTACCGACACATTATAAAATAAAACTATTATAATTTTTATTATCACTATTATTTACACTATTCAAATATCACAATAGAACACATTTAGGCCGCCACAGGTGGACTACCCACTTTCCACCTATTTGTTTTCATTCAATTCTAACACGGCCAAAACCAAAAATGAATATGGTTAAAATAATAATAATAAAAATTGGCACGGGCAACGCCGGGCGCGGGACAACTAGTAAATTATATAATATTGTATATACATAATGTATTAAAATCATTTTTAAACTGTATTTTCATTTATTAATTTTCTAAGTTTAATAATTAAACAATTATTTGTATACCTTCTATACAACTGTATAAACTTAATTTTTATTTTAAAAAGAAAACTTATCTCGACCCAATTTTAAAGCTTACGCGATCCAAAAATGGGTCGCGACTCACCGGTTGAAGACCACTAGTCTAGACAAAAGAGCGATAAAATATTATTATTACAGCAAAGGCAAGTACCAAAATATGTTTAAGTTTACGTAAAGACAATTTAATAGGTTCGACCGTTTATAACTGGTTAAGTTACTAGGTATTTTACTCACTGAAATATTATGTAAAAAAAAATTGTAACTGGTTTTATAAATTATAAATAAAAACAATGAATTATGGGTTCACGAGGAAAACATTTCCAATACAAAGGTAAATAGGGCAAAATTATGACGTGAAATAATATTTTAATATTTTAAATATTAATATTTTTAAGTAAAACCTAAATTATAAATCAATATTATACAATAATAAATGTATAAATCTTACATTTCTTATTATATTTATATTATTTTTTTATGTTTATAATTTATATTGTAGCTATAAATATAAATATAAGTAGCTTTCTATTACCAACAAAAACCTTGCTTAGGAGAAAAATATTTATTGTAAGAAATTATTGTTCCATTTTATGTAATTTAAATATATTTATTTATTTGTTACAATAAAATGAAATAAAATACATAAATATCATACCTTGTTCCTATATATTAAGTAAACATATTATAGCTTATATTTACTTGATTTTTATTAATATCTTGATTATCATTTTCCCGTTTTTTCAGTATATTAAATGATTTTATCCATGCATGAAATGGTGCAAAAATCATTATTACGCCAAATATTATGCCAATCCCAATCTCAAGGAATAAATCTTCGGCATAAAGAACAATTTTAACAAATATGGTCGAAGCTAAATAAAATTTAAAAAAAAAGCAATATAACCGGCAAATATATTTATATTCATTTGAAAAATATTGTACATGCAAATCCTCCTAATAATGTCTAAGATTTAAAAAACAAATTACGAGTAACATGTAAAATTTGAGAAAAGACCAAATAAACGTTGCCACATTAAGAGAATTTTTAAATCGTATAGAATCATATTTGGAACACAAATGTAGAAACTTTGAACAATTTATTTGATAAAACTATAGTTGCAAATAAATAAATCTTAATTTCAAATTCATAGTGTGTACATATTTATAATTTTCATTACCTTCAATATACCTTTATTTCGGAAGAATAAATTTAAAAAATAAGAGTAAATTACGAAAACAAAAAAAGTGTTTATTTGTGTATTATATCTATCTACATAAAGATCCACGCGGCAATGAGATCTAAATATCTGCCACCTTATCTTTGCCAGATAGCAAATGACTGCTTCAAAAACAGAACCCTATACTTGCAAGTGCCAAACGGAGCTGTAACGATGATGAACCTGACAAGCGGAGTCCCACAAGGATCAGTTCTTGGCCCCAACTTATGGAACATCTTGTATGGCGATCTCCTTAGCCAGAAACTTCCCTTGGGCGCTAAGTATCTAGCCTTGGCGGACAGCATCACACTAATAGCCCAAGCCAAGGACACCTGGGAACTCAAAAGGCTACTAGGAACAGCGGCGGAGAAAACCAGCCAATGATTACGAACGGCCGGCCTCCAGCTGGCACTACAGAAGTCTGAGGCTATAGTCATCACCAAGAAGCGACATCACATCCAAATGGAGATAGCAATTAACGGGACGCATATCAGGGCGAAATCAGACCTTAGATAATTAGGCGTATAAATCAACAGCAAACTAAGCTTCACTGCGCACTCAAAACTGACGGCGGCCAAATATAACAAAACAGTGCAGAACCTAACGAAGATCTTGCCCAACATAAGTGCTGCTAAACAGGAGAAAAAGATGCTACTGTCCAATGTGGTACATCCGTTGCTCTTGTATGGAGCACCAGTGTGGGCGGGCAGAATGAGCAGAAAGGGAATGGCAGAGCTCGAAAAGGTTCAAAGGCACATCGCGCTGAGGGTTACGTCAGCATACCGAACCACTTCTACCGATGCAGTCCAAGTTATTACGGAAATTCCCTCCATAGACCTCCAGGCACTCGAAAGGAAAGTCAGATACGGGCAGCGGCTGACTCCAGATATCAACAATGCTAGACGAGAAGCGGACAACGACACGATAACGGCCTGGCAGACCAGATGGGACAATAATTCCAAAGGTAAAAGGACGCACAGGATCATCAAGAACATCTCCCCATTAAGAAGTAAGAAGCATGGTTCAATAGACTATTGGCTCACGCAAGCGCTGACAGGCCACAGCTGCTATGGCGCCTACCTGCACAAATATGGGAAACTCGTCACGCCAAAGTACTGGCACTGCGGCCACCTCTTCGACGACGCACTACACACACTCTTCTACGCCTGGGAAACCCGAAGATTCGGCATGGAAACAGACATTGGAGGACCACTTAAACCTGACAACCTAATGGACCACATGCTGAAGGACAGTGTCACATGGAACACCATCAATGCATTTATTCACGACGTTCTACAAAAGAAAATGGAAGAAAAACGGAGAAGGCAAGGCAATCCGCCGTAACGGAAAGTTAAAACTAGTTAAATCTAAATCTATAAGTCAAAGGCCAAATCACAGGGGTGGCTAGAGGCCTCCACCACGTATGTAAAGATATATATTTGTATGAGCATGTTTTGTAACTTTATGTTCAATTAACGATCGGAGCTGGGGGGAGAAATGGCTAACGACAGTACCACCCCTAGTTCTCGATTCATAATGTAAAAAAAAAAGTATCTATCTACAAACAGGTATTTCAAAATATCGGAGATATCATTTCGATTTTCGAGCATAAGTTGAACATAGTTAAAATTTCGTCATAACAAATCATTCGTAAATATTAAACTTCAACATGCTATAATTTTGCCAATTTTGTAATTAAAAAAAACTTTTTATACAAAAATTGTTCTAAATAGTTCTATCCAAATCTATACGAAAGAAATAATGTTGCCGTTTAAAAAAAAGTAAGTTGTATTGCCCATGCGCATACCAAAAGAGTTAAAAATTTGAAACTTGTCTGAAAATATGTACTTGGATACTCCCTATCATTCCCCGAAAATTCCATTTCAATACTAGGTCATCCAACTGAAATATTTAGTGGTACCTCTTAGCGCAGGTTGCGAACAGTACGAACAACATGACTGTATATGTCATATTATGGTAAAATTACACATGCATTATATATTTTCTTTAATAATATTTGTTTAATATTGTACCTATTTTCCCGTTTTGCCTACATTTTTTCTATTTATTGGGAAAACTTTAGGGAAAATCAAAAAATGTCTTCCTTAAAGTACCTCACCAGTCAGATTTCTTTTCAGCAAAAGTGCTATCATTATAAATCGGAGCAAAATTGCTGGTAGAAAAGTTGTTCACAGAAAAATAATAATAATAATACCATTGTAAATACATTCCTCGCTCCACTCAAAATCTAAAAAAAATATTGTGAAACCAATACATTCCTCACTTTAATCAGAATCTAAAACTAGTCGGTGCTACTACTAAATGAAAACTATCAACTAATTCATTCGATAGTTTTCAAAGCAATCAACGAATAAAATTATCAATTCAATCGATAAATTTCTTGATTAGTTTTTTGAACTCTCGATTGACAATCGAAGTCAAAACTAATCGGTTCCGCCCATTACTTATTTAAACGTTAAAACGATTATAATAATTCTCTATGCACAATTACAGATAAATAATACATTGAAAAAAACATGCCATGATACTTATCCAAGCATTGTAAATAGCCATCTGTAATGTTTGTTATCACTTCCATTATACATGATGCAGCAATTAACAGGTTTATTACACCGCTTTCTTCGCCATAATCCATACGTTTTAATTGCAACAAACTTGGAACTAGTACAACCGGATTAATAGTTGACCAAACAAACCTTTGAATTTAACATAAATATTTCATTAACATTTAAAATATCTTCAAATTCCTATAGGTATTACCATTATTGATGAAATATTAATATAATAACTGGAGAGACTATACCATTTAAGTAGGTGCACTGAGAAGACAGTGATGTACAAATTTTAAAATTAATTTGTTATTCTTCTGTCAGTATAATAACATTTTATGAATTTTTAATTCACATAATACTATGTTATACATATGTCCTATAGGTTATAATTTAAATTATGAACCAACTAAATGAAATTTTAACACAGATGTTATGAGTATTATAACTTAAACCAACATTTTTATTAATTTGCATAATATTTTTATTAGTTCATCAAAATAATAGCTAGTTACTACCAAAATGTGTTTCATGCTGGATCGCAGACAAATCACAGCCTGACAAATTTATCGCCGGACAATTCACCGCGAGAATTTTTTTTTTACTATATTATAATAATAAAATAATTTAAAAATAAATATCAATATAATAATTTTTGTATGAAAAATACACTTGTCATAAAAAAAATATATATATAATTAGTATTAAATTATAATAATACCTTTTATACCTAACACCTATACAATTAATGTACAATTTAAAATTCTTAAAACTCAACATTCAATTGAAAATTGTGGTCGGTACCTCTCAAATAATCTTCAATTGTTCTATTTATTTGTTTGAACTAGATTAAATTAAATAACAATAAGCTATCAATTGAGATTACGATTGTATACCTTTATCGGTAATATAATAACAATATGTCATGACAATAATCTCAATAAAACTAATCACTGGTAATTTGTAAATAATATTATTTGTATAAATATATAATATATAACCGAGCGATGAATTATCCAGGTCCAGGCGATGAATTGTTTAGCTACCTTTCATGAAATAATGAGTCTACGTAAACAATTTTAATTCACACATTTTGACTTTTTAGGTTTTTTAAGACATATTTTAGAGTTGTTTGCGTTTTGAGAGCATATCTCAAGGATTTCATAAATTTGTAAGACATTTTTAAAACGACGAAACAAGAGTCAAAAAATGTATAAATATTAGCATTCAGCATGCATGCTGATACTAGCATTGTACCTACCCGTTTTTTCCGTGTTTTAGATATTAATTTATTTCCCTCAAACAAGTTTTTATGGGTTATTCAATTTATTAATACATCGGTGAAATCAAATTAGAATGTCTTGTCTATGAATTTTATCGTACATATATGCCACTTTGATTTTATTGGAAAATGGTGAGATTTATACTTGTTAGATTCGCTGTTTGGTAACCAGAACGGCAAGTAGAGGTCGGGTCGCAAAGAGGGTCCCTTCCCACCGCAGCGTATATCAATGAGGACCAACTTGACCTAAGTAAGCATTGTTGGTGTACGCCGAAGGCGATAAATTATAGGGTCAGTCCTGAAAATGTATCTGTTTTAAACGTTTGTTACATTGTATGTATGTTATTTTTCAATAAACGATGCAGAGGTAGAGGGGTAGGACAGCTCCACCCTTTGCCGCACCGTGATACAACACAAAAAAAGAGTTAGGTTAAGTTTTTCTTTTTAAGAACATAATTTTTTGCATATTTTGGTAATTTTTATGGCGTAACTTAGTAACTACATACACATTTAATCGATTTTTGAGGGCATATTTATGTCGATCGTATAGTTATAATATTATAACATTGTAACACTATTATTATTATTTCAGTATGTCTTGATTTGCCAGGTGTTTCTAATACTTTCAATATCTGATAAAAAAAAAAAAATTACTTAAAGATAATTTATTTAATCACTACTTAATTATACCTATAAATTTAGATACACTACAATTGTACATATACTAATAGTAGAAATTATTCAAAATAAATACCTATCATATTATAATAACTAGTTAGAAATGTTATGGATAGAAACGATAGAATTAACATAAATAATCTCACCCATATCCATATATCGGTACCCACGCATCTATTGGCCAAATGAAGTATGCGGCAATACCAATAAAACCAATATCAACTATGAATGACACGACCACCAATCTTACCAGAGAACCACTAATCTGACGAAACTCCCACGTGTTCAGCTCCAATACACTGATGATCATAATCACGAATGGTGTGATCTCGCTTTGAAAATAAAAACAAACATGAAACTTATAAAAAATGCTTGCTCGTATGAGTGCACTTTGAATGGTTGAAATTTAAATAACAAGTGCTCGTTTAGATGAATAATTATTAAAATTGATTCATATGTTGCATAGTATATTAAATATTAGGTACAAAAAGTAATTCCAAGTATTAAAAATATATTTAAATATAATTAAAGACAACGATATTTCTATAAAATTAATTTTAAAAAGAGCTGATACTGGAGACGGGTCGGCCATTAGCTGTTTTAGGTGGGTTATGGGGAAGGTGGGACACATAAAGTTATTTAATTTATACTTGTAACCAACGATAAACCATTGATAACGAAAAACGACTCGGAGCGAGGTTCGTTATACACGTTTTGAAAGGCCGTAATATTTAAGATTTTCGTACAAATTTTACTTTATCTTTATTTTTTTTTCATTAGTTATTGGTAAGTGATTATGATAATTCGACACTTATTTATAAGGAAAGAAAAAACAAAACACAAATGGGCACTAAAGCCAGTATCCAATACTAAATTAATTACCTTAATTATGACCAATTCGGATTTGATGTTAAGTATAGAGAAGATATTGAGTGGAATGTAATGAAATATCAAGAAAAGGAGCAAAATTAAGCGCTTGGAATATAATGGGGGACAATCAAAGATCAGATAAGAGAGTTTGCAAACCTTTTCTTTTGAGTGTACAGAGTGATCCATTTAAGTGGGTACACTTGTCATCTCGGAAAATATTAACTTTTTCGGAATTTGTTTTCTAGAACATTAAAAAAAACAAGCTGCTCTACGATTTTATATTTATGTTATATCGTGTTACCCTTAATTTTTGCGATAAAAACACAAAATATAAAAGCATAATTTTCGTAATATTTCCTTTTATATATTTTTCAATTTTACTCAATTATTAAAAAAACTAAAAAGAAAACCAAAAATGACTTCCTTGGTCACCAACTAGATTACAAAGTCAACAAAAAAGATCTCTTGATGATTTCTGTTGGAATAATATTTACGGTAGACATCAGCCGTAAACATTTAAAATAATGAAATCGTAACAACATAAATTTGTCAGTTTTAATTTTACGTTTTTGTCTTGTTTATCCTAATTATTAGATTAATGTTAATTAATTATTATTATCGTAATTAAAAAATCAAAAAACGAATAACTTACTCATGAACAAAACATTGTATTAATATAATAAAAACAATTAAAATGATAGGTGTAGCCGCAGCATTTCATCAAGAAATGTCAAAATGTATAATAATAATAGTAATAATATTTTTTTTTCTCTGTTATTCTAATCGATAATAATATTATTTATAGTCGAATGTGGGCCATGACATAGGTTCTAAAAATATTATAAAATATAAATAATAATGCTGCGTGTTCGCGCGCGCAATTACGAACGCTACCAGACACGTTTTAGCGTTGGTTGTAGTAGAGGGGTTCACTGTGGGGGATGACAACTACAAAATTCATGGTGCCACTAGGAGCAGCACATGACGGGAGACAATTTACATTTCAAAGCATTAAAACACGTTCACATAAATCAAACGTAAAGCCAATAAAAAGTGGTTTTAGAGTAGGAACTCAGTGGTCCACTAAGGGTTGTTCTGTGGGTTAAACCCCGCCATATTTTTTCTAGCTGTATTCATTACTGAAGTATAGTAAAATATTGATGACGAATGACGAAATATTTTAAAACTGCTCTGAAAATGTCTATCATGGATTAATAATAATTGGAGACTGTCAAACGATAATAATATTAGGTTTATGTGTATTAAACGAATACATAGTAAATATACGAATATACAAAATTAGAAAATAAAAATTTTAATACTTTTGTTGAAATTCAGTTAAAAATATTCGTATCAACTCTATGGACTTACAAATATCTTTTCGTTCTCGACAGAGTGATTCTTAAAAATATTTCTCGAATAGTTGAGCAGCTCGAGACGCTAAAAAAAAACCATTATTTTTTATAATCAATAACGTCTTTACGTCGGGGCCGATGAATTATAATTTGCTGATAATCAAACTTTAAGAATAAGAATTCTGTTAAATAACGAAATTGGGTGGTCTGCAACCACGTCGGTGCGTTGACGATGTCGCCAAACGCACCGACCGGCGTGTGAATTTTTATATTCTCACACATTATACAATGTTTCGACTAATAAGAAATATATTAATCTCTCTCAAATAACGAACACCCCGTTGTATTTATTACCTTAATTATTTTTTCATTAAATACCAAATACTCGGTCGTATTTGAATCTTTTAGTCACACGATTGAAAAATAAATGCATAAACGTTGAAATTCAGTTAAAAATATTCATATCAACTTTGTGGACTTACAAATATCTTATATTTGTATTTTCTGGACGCGGTAAAATACTCAAAAATTTAAGCCATTTTTGAGCTATTTATAGACATTTTAATTTTGCAAGTTTTGTACGTAATTTTTATTCGGTAGGTACTCTGTGATAAAATTGTTAAGACTTGAACAGAAATTCTTGAAAATTTAGTTTTTCAGGTTCATTAAGATTCTTACTTTATGATAAAAAAAAATTGAGTTTTTTATAGTTTTTTTTTTGAAGAAATTTTAATATCAAATTTTGAAGAAAATCGTTTGAATAAAAAATTATGGTTATTATAAAAATTATAAAAATGGTTATTCATACCTAGTTTTGTCCTAGGGTTCTCGTGAGCAAATTCAAACCCCATGCTTCGAAAAAAATGTTTACACTTTTTTTCCCTTTTGCCTAAACAAAAAAAAACAAATAACCCCATGATTATTTCCGAAGATAATAAAGCTAATCCAAGTTTTTTTTTTTTTTTATATTGCTCACAGATAATATTTAGATTTGTATTTTTTTTTTTTTAGTAAACAAATATAAATATAAATAATAATGTTGCATGTTCGCGCGCACAATTACGAAAGCTACCAGACACGTTTTAGCGTTGGTTGTAGTAGATGTGTTTACTGTGGGGGATGACAATTACGAAATTCATGGTGCCACTTGGATCAGCGCATGACGGGATACAATTTATATTTTAGAGCATTAAAACACGTTCACACAAATCAAACGAAAAGCCATTAAAAAGTGGTGTAGAAACTCAATGGTTCTCTAAGGGTTAACCCTCCCCCCCATATTTTTTCTAGTTGTATTTATTACTGAAGTATTGCAAAATTTTGATGACAAATGACGAAATATTTTAAAACTGCTCTGAAACTGCTCTATCATGGATTTTTTTGTACCTTTTATACCTAACTTGTATATTTGGAATATTACAAAACCCCGATGAAGTTCCCTCCGAAATATTGTTCTCAACAAATTTCATAATAGGTATTTTAACTCTGGGACCACTTTTTGATGCCGTTTTGGTTGATTTGCGTGGCTATGTTTTTACTGATGAAAATCGATGTAACGTCCTTAAGTAAGGTCCTTAATAGTAGAATAATTATCTTTTAAAGTCACTTTTTCTTGGTGACCTTAGTTATTAATTAATACTTTTACAGCACATTTTGACAAGCAAATTAAAAGAATAACTATTTTGATTGGCTTTAGTTGCATAAGTATACGGTGAACAGCAACCAATTGATTATTCTCGGTAAGTTGATAACAGAGAAGTTATTCGATTTTCGTTAACATATATTAATTTTTTTTTTTTTGTTATTGATCATTAATAAGTTGCTTCTAATACTGGACGTTTTTTAATTTGCGAGAATTCATAATATATAATAGTTGTAATGAAAGAGTTATACGAAACTATTTATAAATTAAATGTTGTATTATAATCTGTAGTAATTTACTCGCCACAAATGATACATTTTCTGCTACAGCCTACCCGTTTTGATTTTCCTTCGTCTATTAAATTTTAGCAATAGTGATATTACGTTTAATTTATTGAGTACAAAAGTTGTTTTTTTCTCTTTAGTCATTAAATATTAACAATAGTAGTGAATAGATAGTCCGTTTTTCGAAAAAATGTATAAAGAACAGTTTTAACACGAACATTTTTTACAGTTTTTTGACAACTTTAGAACACCTATACAAAATCCCATAACATCTATCGCGTCGTCTATCGATAACTAAATAATAGGCCATCCAAATAATAAATCTTCTATTCAGAAAAACCACTTATTTGTGTTAATTATTATTTATTTTTTATTTATATGGTGACATGCAATAATTATAACATCTAGCACTCGTTATTATAAAATCAAAATTAAAAAAATATTATTATTAATAAATTATAACACGCACCTAATGAAGAAAACAAATTTTTGCAAGGTATCACTTGTGTTTATACTTAGTTCAAATATGAAGAACGTAATACCTGCCAATACCATACCCATCAGTGTTGGAAAGTTACATATTATATTAATCGCTTGACCGGCTAATATACTGGCTATGTACAGCATTAAAATCTTGACCAAGTCCCAGAATTCATCATTCCTGGTTTGTTTGGTAAGAATCGTACACCAGATACTCAGCCACCACATAATACATATCAGTATGATTCCGGCTAGAGCTTCAACTGCGATACATAATATTCTGTGACCGGACCAACCCGAGATCGGTTTATTTTCTTCCGGTGAATCGGGTGAATTATCAAAGTCGATACAAATATTTTGACATTGTTCCTGTTGTTTTTCTAAGTTTTGCATCGTAATCCCATGATTTTCGTCGCACATTTTAACTAAAGAAACATAAGATTCATTATAAACATTAAATATAATTTCAATTCAAATGTATTAATACTATTTAAACTCGAATCGAAAGTATTACTGTAGCTAATATAACTCAATATTTAATATTTACCCTTCAATTTCTAACTTTTAAATACAACTCTAAATAAGTGTGTACTTTTGAAAATATTATATTATCGGTCAATTTTGTAGTAATACAAAAAAGGAGTATATAAGGTGGGACAATGACATGACAGTAAAAATGATAATGTATAAAATTAACGGGCTGGGTTATTTTGATACGTGCGTTAAATCTAGTATTTAGATCACTAGCTTCCTAGTGCTGTTCGTAGGGATACGGGGTCGTGAGTCCGAGAATAATAACGATACCAATAAATATAAATTATTATTATTTTACCTATCCACAGTGTTGGAAAGCTAGGGTTATTAATTGTAGGTATCCTCTCGTGATTCTAGGATTGCTGGACGACGGTGACAACTCAATTGAGATAAACTAATTTAACTGATTAACACTTTGCATCTGTGTGCACTCAGATAACAAATGTTAAAGTTTAAACTAGGTTAGAGAAAGGGTTGAAAAACTAAAATAAATACAAAAATAAATTGAACACAAGTGATTATAGCTGCTAAAAGTGGGAGCTAGCTATTAGAGAGAGAACTTCAAGAGATTGGTGATAGGTACTGGTTGTATGTGTGGTTCCCGACAGAGCAATTTTTAAAAATACTTCTCGAGTGGTTGAGCAGCTCGAAACGCTAAAAAACAACCATTATTTTTTATAATCAATACCGTCTTTACGTCGGGGCCGATGAATTATAATTTGCTAATAATCAAACTTTAAGAATAAGAATTCAGTTAAATAACAAAATTGGGTGGTCTGCAAAAAATTTTTATTTTATTATTTTAGAAAAATTTTAAAATAGCCATTCTGTAGTGTTTATTTTTCTGAAAATCGTAATGTATCACACATTTGTATCCGATGAATAGTTTATAAGTAACATGCTGTTTAAATTCTACTAATCCGTGTAAAAACCTATGTTATCACGTATAGCAGTTAAATTATTCCTTAAATTTTTTCCGGTTTTTCTCATTTGTTGAGAAAACTCCTGGGAAAATTAAAAAATTACCTCCTTAAAGTACCTCCCCAGTCAGATATCTTTTTAGAATAAGTGCTATGATTGAAAATTGGAGTAAAATTGCTGCTAGAAAAATTGTCCACAGAAAAAAAAATACAAAATTAAACATCATTGTAAAACCAATACATTCTTCGCTCCATTTAGAATCTAAAATACTACATTGAACTCATTTTTTTTACGATTAATTACGAAATAAAGAAATTCCTATCAAATATGCCAGCGTTTCTGTTAAGTCTAACAATTTATCTAAAGAATATCAATCAAATAAAAATTACTCAAATATTCTGAAAGTTTTACCACACATAAAAAGTAAATATATATTCCCAATTATTTCAAAAAACCCTCGGAAAATCAAAAAATGACCTCTTCAATGCATCAACTAGAGAAAATTCTACATCAAATTATTTTTCGGAAATGTTTCAAGTAAATAAATCATATCAAATACGGTTCATTAATTACAATTTATAGTTTAGATCGTAGGAGTATGGCTGAGAGTATTCAACATTATATATCTATTTTTAAATTCATCTTTTATAATCCTTTAAAATTAACTTTAATTAATAAGGACTGTTAAATAAATCATTTGTCAAAAATTAAATTAACGTTTCAAACATTCATCTATTTTAACAAAAATATATTTTAGTTTGTTTGGTTGTTTTTTTTTTTTTAAAAAGAAAAAGAATTTAAAAATAATATTATATGATGCCATTCATAGTTGCCATCATATTCCATTACAATTTTTCCTGACTTTTTCAGAAAGGATTACCAGAGTAAATAATTAATATATATTAAAATAATCTTGTTAGTTCCTTTCTTTTTAAACTTAATACATTTTTAAAAATACTTACACTTACATAATATTGTATATATTTATAAATGTATGAAACCATAGTCAAATTATTTAAGTTATTATAATATACAGAATATCCCACGAAGATATACCCATTGTATAATAACTCCAGGGATAATAAAGATAATCAAATTCTGTTGTTTTTTTATATTACTCACATGGATAAGGACCACAAATATTTGTTTTACAGTTAATTGTTTATGCTTTCAATAAAAAACTTTTTATTTTATTATTTCTGAAAAATTTGAAGATAAACATTATGTATAGTTTATAATTCTTATGAACATTTTGATACAACTTTTCATTAAATTCATGAATTTTAATATATTTTTTAAAGTTCAGAGAAAAGTATCTATAATCATGCAGCAGGCTGTAATTGTATTCTCTAATTGAATATTATTATTACAATTATCTAACTGTTCACTTGTTTTCTCTGAACTTTAAACAATTATTAAAAATAACGAATTTAATAATAATAAATAGTTGATGGTATAAGGAGGTTTTTCATTTTTTGATTTTCTTAAGAGTTTTCTCATCAAATGTGAAAAATCGAAAAAAAAAAGGCACAATTTACGAAATATAACGATTTTTTTTTCTATGGACAACTTTTCTCCAAGCATTATTGCTCAAACTTTTAATGATAGCAATTTTTCTGAGAGAAAATTTCACTATGAAGGTACTTTGAAGAGATCATTTTTCGATTTTCTCAGTAACTATGAAAAACTGGGAAAAAAGAAAGAAAAACCGGGAAAAGCGTAAGAAAACCGGAGAAATCGGTGCAACATTAAACAAATATTATTAAAGAAAATAAATAGAGCCTATTTAATTATTTTACTATAATATGACATATTATGTTGACAAAGCATCACTATCAACTGAGCTCCACTCAGAATCGTTTTTTCGTAAACAATGGTTTATCGTTGCATTTCAGATATACATTAAATTACCATCTGTATCCTACCTTCCCAACTTCCTACACCAGTGACTGCACTGTCCCTATTATTATTATAAATCTCTATTTATTTGTTTAGTTATGATAATTTAAGAAAATTTACCCTTATGAAAGGACATTTTTCGAGTTGTTAATTGATAACCCATAATAGTTACGTACCTTAAATACAAATTATAGTTTGTTTATTGTAACTACAATATTCGGATATATTTGTTTATAACTTATAACTTGCTATATACGATGATGTGTACAATTGGATAAACCTTCATTCATTCTTCAAAAATAAAAATAAAAACATTGAAATACTTTATATTTATTATATTAATGATAAAAATGATTTTATTTAAAATTAAATTCTGTGCAATAAATTGTGTTTTGATCATTACAGTACACTAAGTAGTTTCGTACTAAGATATTATACATAAAACGTATTTGTCTTGCTCCATTAACTTATCTTTGTAATATTATTTTTTGTAAGCCTGCATTTATATTTAGAACTTAATTTATGCATGCGCGGATAGAAGGGATAAACCGTCATTTTACAGTTTACGTCACTTATAGTTATTTAGTTTTATTAAGTTGATTGGCATTATACTCGTAAATTCTGACGTCATATGATTTCATAGTTTTATCATTCACATCCAATTAGTTATATTCTTTTTAAGTCTTAACTTTGAATATTGTAACTCCCGTCGTTCAAAATAGTTTGCCACCTGCTCTGTAAAGCATATAAATAATAATATATATCTGTTCACCGTAGGTTCCATACCTATCTATATCTGAGTATTCCTGTATGATATACACACTACAAATCCAGAATCCTAAATTTAAGTATTGTACTTACATATTTTGGATTTATTTTCAAAACTAAACCAATTAACTTCATTGGCTAAAATTACAAAAAAACATAGAAGTAAGTTACTTGGGACGTCTGGTTAACTTGTTTTTCATTTTAAAATAATATGTACGCAAATTCCTTAGATCATTATTATACTATAGATAGAGCTATTGATTAAATATTTGAAGCAAACATAACTAAGGGGAGTTGGGTCAAATGTACATGCGCAAAATTTATATCACGCGCAATTGGTCGAATTCACGTAATCACGTGTAATATACCTACCATCATTGCCTGGTGGTATTATACGATATTTATCGTATGATTATACAATAAATATGCTACAAGTACTGATACGCATGCGCAATAGACATCAGTCCCCTAGCACCCTTTAATAATGTCTTCAACTCGTAGTACGCATTATCATATAGTAACTCTATCCATAGTATATGATCTAAGGGAATTTCTCTTTTTTTATTTATTTCTTATCACGCTTTATCGTTTTTTGGACGAGCTAACCTTATCTCTTTATTACATTCAGCTTAAATACGGTCAATATTTTTTGGCTTATAAACGATACGGCCGAAATATTTTTATGTTGTTTTACGCGTTTTACGCGCTACTATCTAAGGCCTAGGCTCTCTAGTTTGCATCATATGCACGCAGTGGTGCAGAAAAATTAAACTAATGTTATTAATTTAACATCGGTAAACGCAAAAATGTCTCAAATTTATACCAGTTTGTACCAACGAATTTCTTGACGGATGGTAACTATCTATAAAAATAAGTAAAAATAAGTATATTATCTGTGAATCCGGCACAACATTGATAACTGTTATCATTAATTTACTCAAAACTTAAATAATCATCCTCAATTCATAAACTCAATTTGTTTAGTTTCGAGTTTTGAAATATTTAATAAATTATTCTCTAAACAAAATATTATTATTTTTATTAAAATTATGAAAAAAAGAGTTGTCATTACGGGTATGGGTGTTATTTGTCCTGCTGGGACTAATAAAAGCATGTCTTGGAATAATGTACTATCGGGAAAATCGTTTGTTCAAAAATTAGACAGCAATCTTTACAAGAACATTCCTTCTAAAATCGCTGCAACATTGGATGGACTGGATTTACACGAAACTATACCCAAAAGTAAAGTACGTACAATGGCTCCTTCTACTCGTCTAGCTCTTTTAGCTACCCATGAAGCAGTAGAAGATTCTAAAATATTTTTATCACCAGTTAATAAAGAAGCCATTGGAGTCAGCGTAGGAGTTGGAATGATAGATTTGGAAGATGTGTGTCAAACGGCTAAAGCTTTAGAATCTAGTTACAGTAAAGTCAGTCCATACTTTGTACCGCGTATTTTACTAAACATGGCTGCTGGTCAAATAAGTATGGCATATGGTATACAAGGACCCAATCATGCAGTTTCTACCGCCTGTGCAACTGGAGCTCATGCAATCGGTGATGGTTTTCGTTTTATACAGTATGGTCAAGCAAAAGCAATGATTTGTGGTGCTGCTGAATCATGTATAAGCCCTTTGTCAATGGCTTCTTTTTGTAAATTACGTGCACTATCCACTCAAAATGAAATGCCGGAACTAGCATCAAGACCATTTGACATGAAACGAGATGGTTTTGTTATGGGTGAAGGATCTGCTATGTTAATACTGGAAGAATTAGAACATGCACTCAATAGAAATGCTCGTATTTATGGGGAAATTTTGGGTTATGGCCTGTCTGGTGATGCTGCACATTTAACAGCACCCTCAGAAAATGGTCAAGGAGCTTTTCTAGCTATGAATAGAGCTATTATGGATGCAAATATTAACAAAACTCAAATAACCTACATAAATGCACATGCTACTTCGACTCCAGTAGGAGATGCCATTGAATTAATAGCAATTAAAAGACTTTTTGAGAAGCATTGTATTAATATACATGTTTCATCTACAAAAGGTGCACATGGTCATTTATTAGGATCTGCAGGAAATTTAGAGAGTATTTTTACTATTCTTGCGTCTTACGAGGGAATCATCCCACCAACAGCAAATTTAAATAATATTTGTAAAGAAGCTGAAAATCTAATTTGTGTTTCTAAAAGTCCAATGGAATGGAAACAAAAAAAAAGAATAGCAATAAAAAATGCATTTGGTTTTGGAGGTACAAATGCAAGTCTTTGTTTCTCTAATTATGTATAATAATTAATTTATAAATAATAGTTAATAACTTTTTATAATATTATGGATCACAGAATGCCAACGCTGTGATTGCTTTTTGGTGTCCTTCATATTCTCTTTCTATATTACCAGTTTCAATGTTCCATAATCTTGCTACACCGTCGGATGAAGCTAAAACATGTTATGAAATATATTTACAACTAAAAAATATTAATTTGCAAAACATGATATAGTTCATCACTAACTGTCAAATTTAAATATTATGTTAAGACCTACATTATTTTATAGTGCAAATAAATTATTTTCAGATATAATTATTTATATTTTTTCAGATTATAAGGTACCTTGCTCCAATCAGAAATTCAAATGAATCTTCAGTCAAATTAATTTTCCAAATTTGTATGTTTAAACAAATTTAAAATATAGGTACTTGCATGATTTTTTAAGCTACTATTTAACTTCATGTATAGGGTGTTAGTCTTTGTTTATCATAAATTACATTTAGAATACCATGTCATAAATCATGAATTGTAATGAAATTGTAGATTAAGTACAGTAAGCCCTGTCTATGAAATTAGAAAGAAAATTTTTCGAATATTCATCCAAATGTTATGTTTTACTCTGGAAAAAACATATCATATTCCAAATGTGTATTTCAACTTGTCTATAATGAACATGGACAGTAATATTTCATCCTGTTGGCATAATAACAAACAATAATTGTACAGTAATACAAAGAAAACAAACAAATTATATGATCAATTGCTTTTTTTAAAAGCAATTAAGCTGAAAATGATAATGTTTATTTTGTGATCAATTTAAATTAAATATTATATCTTATTATCCTATTTTAATCAGAACTATCATTCTGCATTGCTTATTCTGAGTCGGTTGTTTAATCTTTGCAATGACACCTCTTGTTCTGCGGAAATCATTTGATTTAAAGCAAAAAGTAAAAATTGTTTGATTCAAAGGCACTAGTAGCTTGTCCTTTCATAAACTCTGAATAATTTGGCATCAGGGTAATGCAAGTAGCCAAATAAATTTAATTAAAAATATATTATAATCTTACTACAATGGACACCTTTATATAACACACCTGATAATCGCATGAGTATCCCTTAAAGACAATTTATAATTAATAAAATTATGAGATGATATGAATCAATAATAATTTTAAAAACCTAATAATTAATTTAAATAAAATTAACTTCAATAATTAGTTTATAGTTGTTAAATCAACATAAATAGTTTTTATCTTTTTCTTAAATAATTGTAAAATATTTCATATTAATGTTTTCATAATAAATTACCAGTTAATAAATGTTCAGAGTCATTACTGAAAGCAGTATCCCACACCCATCTTTGATGTTCATCTTTTAATTCTTGTTTCAATGAAAAATCACTGGTTTTCCAAATACAAGCTGTTTGATCAGCTGAAGATGTTGCTAATAATCTATAAACAAATTTTGGAATGAATGTAGTTTACCTCCCAAGTAATATTTTGAATTTTTTTTTCAAAATGTGCGTTTTTACATTTTTAATTTGATGGTACTTTGAAAAAAATTTGCTCAAATTTCATTTGGGAATTATGGTCTAAAAATTTAAAATTGCTCAATTTGAGCAATCATCTCGATGAGAAAACTCAAAAACACAATTTTTTTGACCATAACTTCCAAATAAAGTTTGAGTGACTTTTTTTGAAAATACCATCAAATTAAGTATGCAAAAACACAAATTTAAAAAAAATTCTGAAAAATCGCTTGGGAGCTAAATTGCATTTATGCCCAAATTTTGGTTATAATTTGATGAACTTAATAAAAAAAATCTAATTTATTCTTACGTTGAATTAGGACTAAATTTACAGTGAAGGGCATATTTCTTGTGAGCAGTCATTTTGTGTTCTGGGCTAAGTCTAGTACCATTGCCATTAAATTTCCATAAATAACAGTTTCCTCTATTATTTACTGAAGCAACATAGTTTGCACTTGAATCAATAGCTACATGTAATATAGATGCATCAACTTCAGGTATCTAAATTTAAAAGAAGGTACAAAATTATATGCAATACATTTAACAGCAACCATTCAATTTATAGAACTTAAGTAATACACTGAACTCACAAGTTGTTCATTATGATCAGTTTTCAAATCCCATATATGAAGTAAACCAGACTGATCACCTAATATCAATTCACCTTGATTTGGATGAAGACATATACTATTAATAGGCGCATTTGTTTGAAATATACGCTGACATTGTAAGTTTCTAGACCTATTCAATCATTGTAAGTGACTTATTTTCGATAATTGTATATAATATAATTTTGATTTATACCTCAAATCCCATACACGTGCACTGCAGTCTTCGCCACATGTAAACATCCATTTACCATCTTCATGGAATCCAACACCAGTAATATTTTTTGAAATACCTTCATAGTTTAAAATCGGATTTGGATTACTTGAATTTAAATCATACATACGAATGTGTTGGAATCCTGTGAATATATGAACAGCAATATAATTAAATAATACTAGAAGGGAAAAAAATAAACATTATATCACCTGCAGCAGCTAAAAGTTGTCTGTCGGGTGTTATTTCTAATGCGTTTACTTGCTAAATGATTATGTTAAGGGATACTCTTATGTAAAAACTAATTCAGCATAATAAATGTATTACATAAATTTAAAAAACCGCTTTTTATCAATTTAATTTAATAAAATAATGTACATTTAAACTATTTTTTAACATACCTGTAATACAGTGATCAATTTAAATATTTATCGTTAAAATTGTGCACGCGATTATCCATATAACGTGTTGTTTATTTTGATTTTAAAACAAGTTATATATTTTTTTATTTTTTTTTTATTATATACATCAGACTTGTAATATAATAACTTTAAAGGATACAGATTCTAAATGTGTCAAACTTCTATTGCAAACTCCAGTATTTGCATGCCATAATTTAATTGTATGATCATAACCTCCAGTAGCCAACAGTACCTTCTCCGTTAAAGTATTGTCGACCATGATTTGAATTTATAAAAATTAAATTAATTTAATTGCATAATAATTTTTAATTTTATCAACAATAGAAAAATATAATATATATTTAAATTCGAAATCAACTGTCTACCAGTATCCTTTACTTAGCACTTGCAAAGTTTAAAGCTAGTTTATGGCTTTAACTTTATAGTTTATCTTAGGCCATACTTTTAGTATCAAAATTTAGATAATACTACCTATAGATAGTACATCCGTACACAGCCGTTTACAAAACTGTTATCTTAGAAATACATTGTAATCGTTTGTATATATTTTATACATGTATACGGCAATATTATGGCATATTCTGTATTGTCTTTTTAATCTTTATCAAGTTTGTAGTTGTCTACGTAGTACCACAAAACAATTATAAAAATATATATTTTATATATCTGTGCATAGTACATTCTACATTTACAATATTGTTATCAATTGAACACCTAATCTATGTATTCCATTTCTCAAATCACAGTATTTACCATTTCCATCTTCCAATTTCCATTGACATACACCCCATTTAGTTCTTAATTATTTATTTAAATTAATTAGTAGGTACATAGAATGATAATACTGAAAAGTTGCACTGAATAGAATAATCACAGAAAATATATTTCTATTACCTTATAAGTTATAACCTATACCTACACTATAATTGTTTATAATATTTGTTTGTACTCTAGTAGGTAATTATATTCCCAATTTTTAGTTTTTGATGAATACATATATTTAATGTAAATACTTCAAATACTTATACTTAAGTCTGAATAAATATCAAAAATTAATAATTATTAATAACATTAAAGTCGATGAAGAATTATTGATCTAATATGGATAATAAAGGTAAGTCAAAAATATATTTATTGAGTTATTAATAAGTTTAGATAATATTTGTTATTATATTCTTTAAATTGAGAAATATTTAAATACAAATATGTACAATATGTTTTAAAATGCTTATTTGCAAGGCCGGATTTAGACTTTCAGATGCGAGGGGCATATCTTTTTTTGAGGCCCTAAGCGGTAAAAATTTAACAATACCCAATATCTAAGTAGTTAATAAAAATATTTAAAATTTGCAAACTTGCTTGTTATAACTATCTACCATAAATGTGTTTATTTTCAGTTTTAAATACTGCTGTTTGTGTATCACAAATTTTAATATATCAATGTTACAATGATTATATTAAACCTTCATAATTTTAAGAGTAAAAATAAGTATAAAAACTGCTGACCACTGGAACGTTTGTACCTAATACCTACGTACTAAAATATTTTGTGTTCACTGGGTGTCCCATTGCCATTATGTTGTCACGTGAAATTTTGACTTATTAATTTGCAGCTCAAATCATAAATACAAATCATTCTTTATTTTTAGTAATTGTCTTTATTTTTTTTCATACATTTCCTAAACCAAGAGTAACAAAGTTTTAAATTTTTTATTTAGTATTCCGACATTCAGACTTCCCAAACATCTGATGCCCAGGGCAAGTGCCCTTAAAACTCTCCGTCAAATACGGCCCTGCTTATTTGACACTTATAATTAATAAAGTTATATCTATTTAGTTTATTTGATTTGTATGATACACTACTTAGATTCTAAATAGTTCTAAGTCTTGAATATATTTATAATAGTTATTTTATTGGTTTAAAAACAAATACTGCATTGACAATTAAATTGTTGATATTTCAGTAATCCTATTTTTTTTTTTTTTAGGTCAAGAAAAAGAAGATCAAACTAGATTGAGATTTCAAGTTGAACTTGAATTTGTTCAATGCTTAGCTAATCCAAATTATTTAAACTGTAAATATTTGTCTTTTAAATATAATTGATTAACAATGGTTTGTAATTATTTAAACATTCAGTTTTAGCTCAACGTGGCTACTTCAAAGATCAAGCGTTTGTTAATTATTTAAAATATTTACTTTATTGGAAAGAACCAGATTATGCAAAATTTATTAAGTAAGTGTTAACTAATTATTTTTAAAACTAGTAAGTAATATTTTGGACAGCTAGAATTAAAGGGTACAGGGCTTGTCATAATGTAATTTTCGGGGTTTCGGTACATTTTTCCTCATCAATTTTAATGCCCCTTTAAAAAATACTTAAATAAACTTAACATAAAACATATAATACATGCTTGTAGTTTATTAAATTTTGATTGAAACTTTACATGATTTTTATGATTACCCAATAAACATTTTTGATAATGACACATAGCACTTATAAATGTATTTAAATATATTTGAGTTGAACAATTTTCATATTTTCTAAAATGTTGAGATAATAAATACTACCACTTAATACAGCACATTATTTACTTGAACTACAATAAAATGTAGGTCCATACTCATGGCAAAATTAGTTTGACAAAAATTTTGTAATAATTTAAAAGCAGGTGAATCATGTGCAACAAATTGTTTAATTAAGGGCCTGATTCTGATAACTAGAATCAAAAATCTATGTTTGTTTTAGATAAAACTAATCAATTCAAGAAGAAAAGTTTTCTAAGAAAAGTTAATCTCAAATTTTTTAATAGGGATTGGTCCTGGATTTTGTTAAAGTTTGAAGATCGTTATATAGTTGAGACTCAAACCTGTAAATATATTAATTTTTCATCAGAATTTTTGTTATTAGAATATCTTTTATCTAAACCTATTGTTTTAAAGTTGGTGTTACTTATTATTTTATTTATGTAAGTTATTTTAGATGATTCTGAGCGGAACGAGAATTTTATTGGTTTTAAAATGATGTTTATTTTAATTTATTCAAAGTATCAAGTATAGCATTTTTCCGGGGTGCTACTTTAGGGATGTAACTTTTTGATTTCCCCAGGGGTTTTCATAATAAATGGGAAAATGTACAAAAAAAAATGTTTTTATAATTTTAAATCTTATTTTTTTGTTTTGTTGTAATTCAGTTTAAAATATTCAAATACTCGTAAAGGCTTGAAATTTAAACATCAACCTTATTTTTGCCTTGTATATATGTAGTCAAATTTTCAAAATTTTTGAGCAATTTTTGATCTTTTATAGACATTTTAATTTTGTGAGTTTTTGTGTAATATTTATTTTGTAAGTACCTACTCTGTGGATACAATTATTAGACCAAACAGCAATGCTTGAAAGTTCAACAGGAGATTCATTATAAGTTGTACTTAGTGGAAAATAAGAAAAAGTTGAGTTAATGTAGTATTTTTTTTTTAACTTTTTAAAATATGTTAAACTAAACCCTGCTTAGAATGGTTTTTTGTTAGTAATGATTAATCATTGTATACAGATTTACATTAAATTCCCCTCCATATTCTACTCTCCCAACTTTTCACCTACAACAGTGACCCACCCATGTAAAGTATGTCCATCTTTTTTTATAGTTATATTTTAATTTATAAGAACAAAGGATCAAATATTATGTACACGTATTAAGTTTATAAAACTAATAATATAAATTATTGGAATTCCAATGTATGAGTTTGAAATTTAAAGTTCTAAACAAATAGTGTGAATAATCTCTATTTTAAAATCATTAATTATACTGTCATATGGCATAAGTTTGGACGATTTTTAAGCTATTTTATTCATTAAGAATTCATTTATAGCTTAATTCAAATTATTCTGATGTCAATACTTCTAATACACTATAGGAAAAACATTTTTAAATATTTCGATTTTGCTAACATAAAATGCATACATATAACTGTCCAAAATTACCCCTCATTTGTTATAACTTCAAACACCCCATTTATTTTACATGTTATTCATATAATCAAACAAATTTGGAAAAGTAAAATTTAGGTTTGGACACTATAGTATATTTTTAAAAAAATGTTTTCTAAAAAAAAATGTTTAATATCAGAAATTATTGTAATTATTTTTTTATTATTATTTATTTTAAATTTATCCACGGTCTATACAATTTTGTATAGTTAGTAGGTTTAATATAGGACAAAAAAAAAAATTAATTAATGTATAATCTTCAGATTAGAGAGATTCCCCCTGTTAATGGTAATATCCAACAAAGTGACAGTGAGAAATGGATAGGAAAAAAAAATATGAATATTTTTAATATCACCTTTCTCGACAAAAACAGTTTATTAAAACATAAAATAGATATGATATAATAAAACAATATTATACAACATTTTGTATAATCTTTGTATACATCTTCACATGATCTTATCATGCGTATCATACTTCATCTTGTGATTATGTTTTTTCGCATTTCTAATTGGTATGTTTAAACTAAAAACAATAAATAAAAAAATTGATTGGAAATCAATAACACGTGCCACTTTAGTACTTTATACTTCTTTTTAATGTTTAACATTCTGATCTAACATCAACTGTGAATGATACGGAGTAAATAGATACAAACGGGCACGTGCTGTCCACAAAGTAGCCAATTGTTTTATGACACATTTAATCACAAATTTTTTTTTTTTTAACGAATGAAATAACAAACTTTCATATAAATATAATGTTTTTTTATCGATTTATCAACCTTATTATAGAAATTAGAGAATAATTATTTGAACACATGTAAAGAAATTTATTGAAAAAAATATATATATGCAATGACACCTCAGTTGGAATTTATGCCATATAACAGAACATATTTTTTTACTGTTTTGTAAATTAATACAATTTTAATATTTATACTAAAGAAAATAATAAACCATGTATTAAGAATAAGTAATTTATCGCATAATATACAAAATAATGTGAATCATGTACAAGTCTTTTTCACGTTTCCAAGTACCTTACAACAACAAAAATAATATTGAAAGTTGAAAAATTTAATTTAATTTACTTATTGTACGAAATGGGATTTGTAATCATTATTTGACAATAAAGGGCAAGTATTAGATACTATGTTAAATTAACAAAGTTAGTAGTACAAAAATAATTACTCAAATTTACCCACCAAAAAATATTTGAACTCGGAAAAGACTTGTTAAAAATATCTATGAAATTTATTCATATTATCACACATTAATTTGTATAAAGTTTATTTAATTTTTTTTACCTAAATTATATATTTTTTTTACAGGTATCCAATGTGTTTATATTTTTTAGATCTTTTACAGCATGAACCATTCAGAAAAGAAATAGCTACTGCAATTTGTTCAAAATTCATTGATGAACAATTGTTATTGATATGGCAACATTATACTAGACGACGAACAAAATTGATTCATACAGCCTATGAGCACAATATGAACATGATGAATAAAACTAATACATCTAATATGGGACAAGCACAAACTAATGGCACAAATGGTATCATGTCATCCTCTATGTCTATTCCCAAAGTTATGCCTCCTTAGTAGTAAATTGTTTGATTTTTATCTTGTTACATGTAATTAATTATAATACCTATGTATGTATAAATGTTTATTAGATATTTCCATAAAATAATGTAAATAATACTAATAAAGTTTACAATTTTTTTTTAACTAAGAATTAAATAAGGTTTTAATAATTATTTACATAAACTAATTTTCACATTGTCTAATTTGATTTTTAAATAAATTACAACTTAAAATACTTATAATATATCAAGTAGTATTGTACAAAAAAATTAATATATAATATATATTTAAATATCAGAAGTATTTCTTTTTGTTCAACTTTATGACTTTTTTAAGATACCTATTTTGTTTTATTTATACATTTTTGGTGTTTTAGATGTATTAATGATGTTTGATTTATATATTATTTTTTCCGGTCTTTTTTTATGATACAATTTTTTTTCTCTTAGAATTTTTTGTTTGTTTACATGATTATGGTTGTTTTACACTATTGCAGGAATCCAATATAGATATTGTTTACTAGACATAGTACTTTTCACTTCTTGTTGTTTGTTTCTAGGTAGTTGTGCAATTTTTTTTATAAAAAAGTATCTTAATAATCAGAAGAACAATCACAGCTGTTAGTACAATAGTCTTTATTCAAAAGTAAGGACATTATGAAAGGGATATTCCTCATGACATTTTCCCCTTCAATATTCAATATAATACAATCTAAAGAATGAATCTAGTATGTTTCACTCTGTCAAAAAAATTAGTGAAGAGTCCCGACTAGGATATTTACCTAGTCCCTTAAAAATATTAACCATAAGTATTGCATTTTCATCCTCCGGTATTTACAAATAGGTGTAATAAAAAAGTTATAAAATATTTACATTATGTTTATAATTATGTATGTTAATGGATTTAAACAACTGTTGGTTGAGAGGTCACAAATAATGAACTGCAATCCATAGATCTATTAATCGCATCATTGGAATATTGAAGGTTTAGATTTATAATATTTATATCTAAGACAGTATTCTCCTTTTGGTACTATCAGGTTTGAATTTATGTTATTTCCTCCCATGTAGAAGTATTATGAAAAAAGCTGCATTGCTTGACTTAGCAAGAATAGCTGATAGGCATAATAGGCTGTTCTCTGCGCACATAGAATATTTTTTGATTAATATAGATGGTAGATGGAATAGAGTATGTAATCTATACAAAAATTCGAAAATTTGATATTCTAAAGAATTATTTCAGTTTAAGATGTATCTTAAATCATAGCAACACAATTTATAAGAAAATCTTTACGTCATACATGGAGATTATTCTTAGATCTGTCATATATGCAAGATTCTTTTCTTGCACGTACACGACAACAAAACCAAAACTAAATTAAGATCTTTGGTTATTGATGTTATAATATCAACAACTTTACTCTAGAACTCGATAGCTGGCTTTACTGACTGAATAGCTAAAGGAATATAACTTCTTATACACCGCAGCTTTCCAACACCAATTCCCTTATCCCAGCTCTTGGTAGTTCTATATTTCAATTACCTACTGCTTGTAGTTGAGTATATATAATATAGATATCAATTCACCCAATAAGTATTAAAAAAGTAGGTAACTTCCTGAAAATATGTATTTACTTATACTTAAACACAAATGAATCCTTCAAAATATTTTTATTTGAAAAAACTAACTGGGCTCGTGAGTCGTTATCAAGGTTTTTTTACTGAAGTGTCCACTGTTATCATGCTTTTGTTTATCTACTAACTAGTGGCGTACTTACGGAAGGATGGAAGTGTTACGAATTCAAACCCCCTAAGCCAAAAGAAAAATTATTAAGGGTTTTCGATTATAAAATTAAAAACAAGCTAAACAAGTGTTGTACAATTTTTAATTGTACAATAATCTATACCTACCCAATTATCTGATTTTATTTTTTTTTTACTTAAAATAATTTGTATAAGTAAAATAATTTTTGTTTTTTTTTTTTATGAGATTCGTTGTAATTTATTAAATATGTAATATATTGTAAACATTTTTAATGTTTTTTTCTTCCTAGCTTTTTTTTTTGCACACATTTTTTTACCTGTTAACCTGTAAGATTATCATATAATAACTGATAACAATTATTTTATCTATGATTTACATTTAATTTAATAGTATGAATTATTACTCTATGTCCTATTGTATAAATAATTTTTAAATAAAAAAAATGATAGTAAAATAATAAATGTTAATAGTAATGTGCTTTGATTGAAAAACTTCGTTAAGAACTCTGAAATAATTTCTGTTGCTTCATTTTTCATTTCATTATAATTTCAATTTTCATTTGTTTGCCAAACAAAACTATTTTCAATGAACAGAGAATATATTATAAAAGAGTCTGTCACAACATTGGCAATTGCTATTGCAGAACACCAACAAAATCCAAATGAAATATACGTGTCCACTTGCTTGGATAAAGTTAATAGAGTGTTCAAACCTCAATGGGTTAAAAATCAGGTGAAAATTCTAATTTGTATTAAAAATATAACTATAATAACTACTTTTAATAAATGATTATAACACGTATTATTTACCTAATTAAATTAAATTATGATAATAAGATTGGATTTATAATACACGTCTAATCTACTTTAATCTACTTAAGTTTTTATGTTTTTCTATAGGATGATATTCTATGTTTATTTCAAGTTTGTCAAGAGATTAGTCCTACAGATATCAATCTGATATCCAAATGCTGTAAATTGCTTGTCAAAGTATTACCAAAACTAGGTTGTGATGAAGAAAATCTCTTAAAACATACCATTTCTTGGATTTTATCATGTATCATCCATTTTCAAAACCCTGATCATAATTCTGAACAAATCAAAACCATTCTGCATTTTTATGTGGGCACTATTCAAACATATGGGAACTTAAATATTAACAATAATAAAGTATACAATTATTGCTTAACTTATAATATTAAAATTGTTTATTTATTGATCATATGTAATAAATTGTTTAGGTAATTTCTAAGATAATGGCATTATTACTACCATTGTTCGAAAGAAAAGAAAGTGTATCTGAAGAACAACCACAAAATACTAATATACTAATATACATTAAATTCCTAGAAGCTACTGTAGCTATTTTAAAAGATTATCAACACATCAATATTGTTGGGAAAAATATAATACAATTTATTGAACAGTCAATAAATCAAAATAATATTATGCAACCATATGAGCAAGAAGTAAGTTAGTAAAAGTAAATAATTAAAATATTTCAGAAAAATAAAGTACCATTTAGACAAATGTATAAACAAAAATAATTTACTTATTTTATCTTAATCATAGTAATGTTAATTATAAATTAAATTAAAATAATTGTCCACTAATAATTACATTTTTGATCATTTATGTTTAATTTAATATTATTACTTATAATTTTAGGTTATGAAATATGCCTTACACATTTTGCTACAACTTATTGATCAATCAAAACAATGGACCAATGAGAATTTTAACAAATTGTTACCCATCGTTTTAGTATATTCAAGGTATGGTTTGTTTTTTAATAATTTCAAGTTTTTTAATGACTTGCAACCCTCTCCTATTGTTCAATGGGAAAATCCATCAAGACTTGATATACTACCTACTACAGTAAGTTTATTTTAAAACTTATTTGTTTGTAATTTTTTTTTTTTCTCTGTTACCTTCAACCTTACTATTTAGGGTAGATCACTCATTCTAAACTTTCACCTACCCGATTCTCAATCACATCCAACTACCAATTATTCGATCTTCCTCTCCTTTCTTAACTACTACGTTTATTTTCATTACAATTCTTACTACTTCAGATTTCTCTCACACCATAACATACCCAAACCATCTCAGTGTATTTTTTCTCATTTTATCTATTATTGAAGCCATGTCTAAGTTACCTCTTATGTAATCTTTCTTATCTTATATTCTCTTGTTACTTCACTCATCCACCTAAGTATTTTTATCTCTGCTACACTCAATTTCTGTTCTATGTTTATACTATCTAATACTCAGAATGGTTCAATTTAGTCAATCTTATCACACTTCAGTAAAATTTACTTTTAAGTCTAATTGGAATTCTCTTTTCACATAATACACCAGACTTTATTTTGTCTATAGCCACTTATTGTTAGCTGTATTGTCCTATTCCCCCAAACTCATACTCTGTTTTACTGATACTTATCATTCTAGTCATTTTTCCTTCAAGTGCCACTCTCCATTCATCAAGCCTATTGTTAACTTAATTCAGATTTTCTTCTATTAAAACTATATAAATAGCAAATATCATACACTATGATACTTTCTCTATTTATTACTTGTTGTTTCCCTACACATTTGAGAAGGAGAAATCTGATAAAGTCCCATTTAGAACTTGTTATACTGTTTAACAAAATTTTACACCGGTTATCAACCTGACAAAACCTCATTTGTTGCCTCTTATAACAGATAGAAGTACTGTGGGACTATTTTAATCACCTTCTCAATTATAATTTTAATTTTTATACACTACAGAAACAATACCATATACCTACTGGAATCGCCTACTTGGGCTTTCCACCAGTAGGAGTTTGGGGCCTTGTGTTCATTAAACTTATAGCCCTATATATCGCCCTGAGGTGATTTGTAAATAATTTGTAAACATAAAATTAGAACTAATATTTTAAACTAGTAATTCTTTTTTTTTTTTTAGATAAATATGACTAATAAAAAGCGCCAAAAAAAAAAGAGAATTACAGAATCTAAAAATAAAGTACCAAAATTAGTTACTTTTTCTGTAGATGATGAAGTATTACTGAATATTAGAGATTCAGATTTTTCTGAAGATGAACCTTGTTCGTCTAATGAAACTGGGCATTTAACTCTAGATATACGATTATTATCTGCACAGACTATGAAAAAAATGTTTACTGTAAGTTTTATAGAAGAATTATAGTCGCATTCCATGTAACAGTAATTTAATTTTAGGTTGTCGATAAAAAAATTTTGTTAGGATATTTGTACTCAATTGTTGATGGCCCAATGAATATTCAAAATTGTTTGATATCTGAAGTGGGCAATTCTGTACGTGAGCCTTCTTCTAAAATACGCGCTACTATTATAACTGCTATCACATCTATTTTCAATGGTTCGAAAATTTATTTTGCCCAAGCTCAATATAGGTAATATAGCATAATAATTTTAAAAAATAAAGGGTTTTATTAATTAATTTATAATAATTATAAGGGAAAAAAAGGGTGCATTTACTACATGGTCTGAAACTCTTGCTGATTATATAATTACAATACATAATACATTATTAAAAGATTTTAGTATAGAAACACATAGTGTACGTCTAGTACTTTTACATTGTTTTTCTACAGTTATTATTAACACACCATATAGAAGGTTGAATAAAGATCTTCTTAAATCAGTATTAAATACTATACTTGTTTACATCAAATGTGAACCTTGTGGTTAGTACTATATTTGTTTTTACTTCATTTATTTTAATAACTGGTATATTAATAACTAATTATTTTTTAAGAAAACTATCTGAGAATAGGAGTTTTTCGCTGTCTGTCATCCGTTTTCAATTCAGAACTGCCAGATTTTGAAAAAGAATTATTAATTGAAAAAAAAACAGAAATTATAAATATATGTTTATATTTATTTAAAGTAAGTTAGCAAAAAAATATATTATATTTATTCTTAAATTAAGTAAATTTGTATTTACAGAAATTAATAGGACTCATCAGTTTGAATTTAATTTATAAATACTAACCAAATATAAAGTAACTCTTAGGGATGAAAATCGCTTAAATTTACTTTATATTCTATAAACCTTGTATTTACTAACTTAATTTCTTCATATACATATTTAGTATAAATGATTCTGGTAGGTACCCAGTATGTATGCAAATTACTTGGCCAACACTCTGTATTTAACCGGCTCACTGTTTAATTTAACGCAATAGACAATATATAAAAATATATCTTTATTTTTTACAGAAAAAATTAAAACGATAATATAACACGAGCATATTGTTTATTGAGCAAAATAAATTCAATTTTATTTTATTGATTATTTAATGGCTACCTAGTTACTCTATTTTTATTTTGTTTTTTAGCACTTGAATCTTGAATATCTTAGTATTGATCCGGGATCTCAAATTTAATTGATATAATAACAACTGCTACATGGTATACTGCAAACAGTGTTCGATAGATATTATATCTCGAGTTCCTGTATTTATATAAATTAAACTTATTACTCGTCCAGTTCTTAATGCTAAATTTATCAATAAATAATCTACTCGAATCATCTTTAGTATTTAGATTGATCTAAAACCATTACAAATTTTACACCATCCACTATTTGGTAGTATAGTGGTACATTCCATTGCCAATATAAGATTGGAATCTTGTTATTCAAATTAATAATGATAATTAATTAATTAATAAAAATTACTTATCAAGCTATATCCATATGTTAAGGATAAGAATAGTGTTTTTTGTGTGTTATTCTTATGAATTATATGAATAAGCATTAGATAATTAGTATACCTTACCCCTTGGGGGTCTTAATTATTAAATAAATGAAAACTGTAGACTTTGGTGCAAAGTGTTTCTTCTTAAAAATTGAATAATTCAAACAAATTATAGTATTTATATATTATCTAATTCCTTGTAAATTTTTAGGAAACTAAATTATTTTTAGAAAATGACCAAGACAATTCTCAAATGATTGTAAGGCGGCAATGTTGGCAAATATTAAATAGCTACAGTAATCATTACCCTGGTTTAATTGAAAATAGAATGTTAATTAATATAGCAATTGAAGACATGAAATATACTAAACAAAATCTGTTACGTAAAAATATTCTACTGTGCTTAAAACAAATGTCAACAGCATCAGAAGGTAATAAGTAATCATTTAATTAATAAAAATTCATTGCCTACAATTAATCTTATTAATTGAATTCAAACATGTATGTTTGTAGGTAGTATTTATAAACCAGCCAGATTGGAAAAATGGAAGTTGATGTTTCGGAAATTAATACCACATATGTTTGAAGAAAAAGATCCACAAACTTTACCCATTCTTATTGAATGTTTATCTACAATTGGATCAGATTTGTTTAGTGAACTTGAAGTTGGTTATATATATTTAAGTATTAAATTATTATTATATCTCATCAATTTACAAATTCTTACTCTTTAGAATGAATTAATTAATCCTTATTGTGACGAATTACAAACATTTGTCACAAATACAGATCAAAATATTCAATCTGCTGCAATAGCAACACTGGGTACACTAATCAAATATGAAAAGTTATCGAAAGTGAGTTCATAAATACACTTCTATAAATTGTTCAATTATTTATACATTGTCTTTTTTTATTTTGATTATACACACTACAGAATCCTAACTATATCAAACAAACTATAGATAGTTTACTTTATGTAGCATCAATAAATAAAGTAAATTCAATTCAAGAAAAATTGGCATGGACATTGAATTGCTTGTCTGAAATTTTAGTTGAAAACTGGTTAGTACTACAATTTTTGTTTATCCTTCAGCTATTTTCAGTATTTTAGATAAAAATGAACTATTGTAATTTATAAATTTATTGATATACCTTATAGTAGATATAGAGTTGTCACGAGTACCTGTCCAATATTTAAAAAATAAATATGTTTGAATTATTTTATCCAAATCTATTGATACTCAACAAAATATTATTTTTATTACCCTGTGAATAAGATACTTGGTGAAACTCTAGTAGATATAATCACATTTTGATCCATAATTTTTAAATTTATATAACAACAATTTATAAATATAAATTATTGAATTAATTACCAAAATAGCAAACAGATAAATAATGTAATACCTTCATAATGTTTTTAAAATCATAAATAATTCACTAAAAATAAAAAATGTATGCTGCACAACAGTCAATAAATTGTTTATTCTGAATTCATTACTTTTCAAAACATACTGTATTTTGATAATAATATTAGCAATCTAAAAATAAACATGCAAACTTAAAAACATCTACTCCCTGCTAATTTTTAATTATTATCTAGAACAAGATTTAAAAATATATAAATAAATAAATGTATGAGTCGCCTGAAGAATTATGATATGTGTATTGTACGACTGAGTTTGAGTTAAAAATTCATCATCAGGTAAATCACAAAGTACAATGCGACTAAATATGAAAAATAAATGAAGGAATACATAGTGAAAAAATTATACTAATTGGTCGTCATACATAGAAATAATTTATTTTAATAAGAGAGATTATTTAAAATAAGTTTTAATTAGACATAGATATGTTAAGAAATATAAATTATTTTGTTATTATTTATTATCTTAAATGTATTGATATAAGATATTAAATGTTATTTCTGGTATTAAATACTTATAAGTCTGTACTAATATCAAAACTTATGGTTATTTCCTAAAACTTATTTAGCAAAGTTTGAATTAGGGGCAGTATTTTTTAATTTTATTTGAGAAATGTGTTCTTTATATCTTATTTTGAAATTTCTATTTGTCTTATCTATATAAAATGTATTATAATTAGATTTAAGTTTATATATACCAGCATTTTTAAAAGAAGGGTGATTTTGTTATGAAATTTTTAGTTCTATTGTTTATATATTTGATTAAATAGTCTTAAAAGCGATTTTTACATAATTTGTATTATTGTTCAGAATTTAAACAAACTTGTTAGACATATTATTTTGATATTTCATACTACAATGGTCAACAACATTATTTGGTGAGTTGTGTTTTATTTTTCTTTAAAACGTTTATGATTTTTTTTTTTTAAGAATATTTAAATTTAAATTATTTCTATAGGCTATATCATAAATAATATTGAGCTCGTGTTGATATTTATGTTTATTTAATTAAATACGTTCAAGCCTATAGAATATTAAATTAAAAATTGATTTTTTTTTTTTTTGAAAATAAGGGTGATTAGAATCATAGGGTATTATAGTTTGAGCAGGTTTCCTGTAAATACTTAAATCAAATTTATTTTAGATTCTGAGTGGAGTGAAGAAGCTTATGGTTTTACAAAGATGTTTATTTTTATTTTTTTTCTGTGAATAGCTTTTCTACTAAAAATGTTGCTCCAATTTTCAAGTGTAGTACTTTTTTTGTAAGAAAATCTGTCTATATGGTCCTCAAGGGGGGTAACTTTTTGATTTTTTCATGAGTTTTTATAATACATATGAAAAAAAAGTTGGAAAATGTATAATATTTATTATTTTATAATATTACAGTCTTTAAAAACATGTATAACCAAACTCGGCTCAGAATCGTTTTTTAGTTAGTAATGATTAATCTTTGCGTACAAATATACATTAAATTTCCCCTTTACCTTTCCAACTTCTCACCTACAACAATGGCCCACCCATCGTATTAAGTATGTCAATTTGTTTTTTCTTTATATTTACTTTTGAGTAATATTGTAAATCAAATGTATATACCTGTTATTTACTCGTTGTTATACTGAAAGGAACCAACCTGTATATTTATAATAAAAATAAAATATAATGTAATATTGATCCTTGTTTTAGGAATTTATATGAAATAGAAAATAGTAAATTATTGTGCTTGGCCAAAACAGCACTTTCCACACTTGATCGTAAACCAGTAATGAAATTATTATACTAATGAATGCATGAGTATTAATTAAATGTGTTTATTAACTTCATATTTTTTTTTAGTGTAGAGCCTGTGGTGCTAGAGCATTAGGTCTTTTACTATCTTTAATTGACTTTACTGATGTAACTGAACATCAATTTGGCCCTTTATTTCAAGACTCAATTGAAACCTTAATTAATATTGCTAATGGAAATGATAGTATGAAAGTAAGTCGATAAAAATTACATAATACCTATATAATTATTTTCAATATTATTTTATTAAAATCTATTTTAGAATCGATGGAATAGTTGCAATTCTTTGGGCGTTCTTTATCAAACCAATACTATTCAAAAATTACCAGAAACTGTTAAAGTAAATATTTGAGCATAAAAATGTTATTTTTGTGTAATATTAATGTTATTAATTTTCAGAGCAATGTATTCAATACATTATCTACGTTAATTATAAGCTGTTGTAACTTTAAAGTCAGGCATGTAGCATGTTCGTCATTAATGTTCAACCAACGGGAACTATATGGGAATAACTATATGAAAATGTGGCATAGACTATTTGATGCCTTTGAAAATGCTCAAAATTTACCACATATCTGTGAATACAAACACCAACAAAAACTTATAAATCAGGTTTGTAAAATATATATAATGTATATGTGGTGTGGCAGAAAAGTAACGAGACTTATTTTTTATTTACCAAAGTTTTTATTTTTTTCAAACATCAATGTTATCCCCTTCAAAATAGTTCCCTTGAGTAGCTACACACTGATGAAAACATTGTTCTCAGTGCTGGAAATCTTCAACCGATATGGTCTTCAGCATGCCTGTTACACTCTTTTGGATGTTTTCTAAAGTCCTGAAATAAAGTTCTTTGAAGAAATTTTTCTGGTTAAGAAAAAGGAAAAAGTCTGCAATGTTTGATCTCAAGTGAATGACTCTTTTTCTGAGTCTTTCAATGGCACGTCTTTATAAAAAAAAAACTTAATTGACATTTTGTCCTAGAGGAACTAATTCTTTTGTGGACGATTCCCCTTCTGTCAAAATAACAAATCAGCATTGAATTGATCTTCGATTTGCTCATTCGAGCTTTCTTTGATAAGTAGAGTTTGCAGTGTGCCACTCCTCACTTTACCTCAAAAAACATTCCTGCGGTTCTCCAGCCCGCTATTCACCCAACCTCAGTCTCTGTGATTTTTTCCTTTTCCTTAAACTGAAAAATGTGCACAAAAGATGTCATTTTAGAACTTTAGAAAACATCCGGAAGAGCTTAACAGACATGCTAAAGACCATATCATACATGCCTAAGACTTCCAGTGCTCCTACCAATAATGGGAACAACGTCTCCATCAATGTGTAGCTGCCCAATGGAACTACTTTGAAGGGGATAACATTGATGTTTGAAAAAAATAAAAACTGGTAAATTAAACATCAATCACATTACTTTTCTACTACAGTTTGGAGTATACTAATCATTCCAGGTATTATGTTAGCACTTCTAATAAACATTTGTAGATTTATATAAATATACATTTTTAAAATGATTCATTATTTATTGTTTTGTTATAATCTTGTACATTATTAGCAGTTAATAATAATCAGCCTATGCATTTGCATGATAAAAAATGTTTTTATCAAAATAATTTTGAACAAATGTAATTATAATTATATTAATATGATAGTACTGTATTCTAAAAATCATTGCATTTTAAAAATTCTATCAAAAACCTTATTAAAGCTTTATGATTGAATAAACATAGTATTTAAAGAATATTGAATTTATAAAAACAATTTATTCAGGAATTACAGCTATGTAAATTAAAACAGCAATACTGATTCTAAATTAAATATTTACAAAATTACCATATAATTGTATGCGCTAAAAATCCTCTTAGATTAAAGCTTAGTATTGGTAGTAAAACACCCAAAAATGTAATTCAAATTGTATCAATGTTTAAATATTCACTGGTTCTGTACCACACATTAATATTTTATTTTATTTTACAGCTCTGTGCATCATTTTGCAATTTGTGTCTTTTACTGGAACCATCTGATATTAGTAATTTAACATACTTATTTGATTCACGACTACATGTAATACAAAATGAGATGGATAAATTTTGTAATATTATCGATATACCAAATTATTCTGAAAAATTATCTGCAACACATAATCATTTGCACAATATGTTTAAGACTAAACAACTCACGTCTAAACAATTAGAAATTGTCAGCAACTTATTAAATATATTTTATAATCATTAAGTTATCATCTAGTTTTTGTTTACATTGTATTTCATTACTAAATAAACTATTTTAATATCTACCATTTTCTAATCTTTTAAAAAAAAAATTTGTACTAAAAGTAAAAATAATTATTAACACGGTGTATATTTCAAAAATAAATTGTACTTAAATACTAACAATATTACAAATATTAGAGTTCAAATAAAATATGGGTCATACATTTATAATATCTACTGGAGATTTTAAACAACATATATGTTACTAGTAATATGGATAATCATAAATATTGAATAAAATAACACTAAAAAAAGTACATAATTCTTACTTTACCAAAGATTTATATTTTATAATACTAAAACTCCAGTAGACATACGGCAGATAGCTCTTAAGTAGGGCCTACGCATAACCTATGCATTTGCATCTTTTTTCCAATACTCATATTCGAGGCTTGTCTTTATACAAATTTGCCTTGTCTAGATTTCACTGACACAAATTTAATTTTGCATTTTTCCTGTTATTCTTTGTTGAAAGGTCATTTTTAACAATTTTAGTATACTTTATGCATTTTTCTACTTATTGTTTAAAGTTTAAAATTAATAAACTAGTATTAAAATTGTTGAAAATGTTGGATAAAAAGATAAAATATTTTAAGTCATAATATATGTCAATACACTTATATGTATACACACAGAAACGCTGCTGCCACCACTAATCAGTTCATATTGCAAACCCATATTGATATTATTTGGGTTTTTTGTTTGGAATTATTTTAGTGTATTTTAGTATATCACTTATTTTAAATATGCACTAATCACATATTATGTGAAAGTCACTAGAAGTTTTTCTGTATTTAAAATATTTTTATCTGCAATTACCAATCTTTATGGTTTGAAAATATGCTTAATTATTACTTAATTGTCCTATAATGGTAAGAAAACATTTCCATAAAAGATTTAATTTAATAAATTAAATTAAGAATTAATTAAATAAAGGACCTAATTTAACTACTTCTATTTTATACAGTATAATTAGTAAAAAAAATATAGACATACCTCACATGATGGGTGGACCACTATTTTGGTGAGAAGTTGGGAAGATTGAGGCGAACTTCAATGCATATCTGTATATAATGATTAGAGTACGGATTTTTAAGGAAATTTTATTTTTGTGATTTTTCAATCGGTTTTCATAATAACTGGGAAAAACCGGGATAAAATGTCAGAAAAAAAAATGTACGAAATGCAGGTATTAGTAAAATAATATTATAGCCTTTTTCTTTCTGAGTACAACTTTTCTACCATAAATTTGCTCCAATTTACAATGATAGCACATTTTTTGAAAGTAAATTTGACTGGGAAGGTCATTTTTCGATTTTGCCAGGAGTTTTCTTAGCAAATGTGTTAATCCGGGAAAAACAGAAAAATCGATTCAATATTAAACAAATATTATTAAAGAAAATATATAAAGCCTATTTATTTATTTTACCATAATATGACATATATATTGTTGACAAAGCATCACTATCGGCTGAACTACTTATGTTAATATTTACTTTTATATTATTTAGTGTATTCCAGAGTCATGGCTGGCTCAATTGATTTTATCTCGATATGTTTGATTTTTGGATATATTTATCGATGTAATTTAGATAATGTGATTCACGTACCACATGGTATATAGTAAATTAATTTATCTTGAAACGACAATAAACACAAAAATATGCTCTTGCTCTGGAAATTGTCTACTCAGAATTACAGTTTAGTTTTCGTTGTAACACTGCATAGTTCGTTTTTTATGAAATTTATAATGCTTTTTTTTTAGCGTTTTGGAAGATTTATACAGCTTTATTACTTTTTTTAGTGCTTTTCTGTAGTTTTTTATTGCTTTAAAATCCTTACTGTAATAATGCTTAGTAATGGTCCATTACTAACGAAAAACGATTCTGAGTGGAGTTTGGTGACTAGTGTTACTCTGTTAACAATATATATGTCATAATATTATGGTAAAATAATAATATATGCATAATGTATTTTCTTTAATAATATTTGTTTAATATAGGAAATAATTATTTTACTTTTTTTCACATTTATTGGGAAAATCAAAAAGTGACCTCCTTAAAGTACCTCCCCGACCAAATTTCTTTTAAAAAAAAATGCTATAATTGAAAATCGAACCAAAAATTATTGGTAAAAAAGGTGCTTTGAACGATTAAATAACTAATTATTTTTCTATACCTCAAGGTACAGTACTTGGTTCAGTTTAATTTATTATTTACATAAACGGACTTTTAAATTTAAACCTCAATACAGGTATATTATGTTGGTGAAACTGTTACTCTAGTTAAAAGCCTTAATTATGACAATTTATGTAAAAAAGCTAATTTTTGTTTAGCATTAGTAAAAAATTGGGGATAATAATTTACAGTTAAATTAAACCAAATCTAAATATATCGTTTTTAATACTATAAAAGCTTCATATTATCATTATATAAGTCCTCACATTGTATGATGGTACACTATTTCAATTGTAAATTTCTAAATTTAACTCGTGTGTGTGTGTGTGTGTACATCAGAAAATAGTTAATTGCATTAAGTATCTTAGTATACATTTTGACTATAAACTAAAATTTATTAAACATATTTATTATGTAAATAATCTTATTAGAAAATTATTTTATAAGTTCTGTTTGCTCGAAAAAATGCTAGATTCTAAAACTAATATAATTATTTATTTAGCTTTCACAAAATCTATTTTGTCTTATGGTATCTATGGCTAAAACGTATCTTTAGTATATATAGTTTCTATAATTTCCTATATGTCATTATCATACAGTTTACGTTAATTACGTTTTCTACGTATTACAATTTTTGTCAAAGTACAATGTATAATTAAGAAACTGATAAAAATTTGTAAGACAATTCCCGCACATAGTCTAACCTAGTCATTTTTTTTGTTTGCAATTCAAACATATTGGCATGTATAAATGTTTCTTTTTCAGTCATTTTTTGTTTTTTGTTCCCTGACTTCTTTATGTGATATACGTATCACATTGCATGTTTTTAAAATGTTAATGAAATTGAATATGTTTGGGTGTGATGAATTGAATGAGCTGTTTAATTTTTTATGAAATAACTTAAAAAGGAAGTCCAAAAATAATTTTAAAAAATTACTTATATCAATATTATTGGTTTGGTAATCATTACTTAACCCCAGCTGCTGTATTTTCCTGTACCAACTTTAACCAAGGTGAAATCTACAACTTTTTACTTCAATTGAAGACCAAACATGTCTTACAGCATTGTGAATAGCCTTTTCAAAATCGGCATACAACCGAATAGGACTGAATTGTTGGTTATTTTTTTTACATTCGTTAACTAAATGTTGAAATGCCTGTAAATAGCATTGTGTAATCTTTGAAGGTAGTAAAATATAAACGAATGGAACATACAAATGATTTATTATACAATAAACGGTAAATATTTGATGGTATAATTTCGGACAACTTTTAAATGTACCATCTACAAATATAGTATCTGAAAAAAGATTTTTTTTTCCTTGCCACATTAAGATTTTATATTTTGTATAAGTTATCTATGTATTTCAATTAAAAAATTAAAAATTAAATATTTTGGTAATTCAATAAAAATTCCGTTAACGGTCATTTTTTTGGTTCTGTCAAGTGATATGGGAAAAATACATTATTACCTCAATATAGTGGGCACTCTAAATAAAGATCAAAATATAAGATAAATTAATAGAAATACTACTTTTATAATACTTATGAAGCGAGTACATAAGAAATGTAAAATGCATGGTAATGCCCAAATTATTTATGACATTTCATAGTTATCTTATCAAACTTTTACCATAAAGTTAAAACACAACGGGTCTGTATATTTTATTGTGTTTCATTAGTTTTCAATGTCAGTTGAAAATGTTTCGCATCGTTATGATGGCGTTCAAACGAAAACATCTAACTGTCGTAGAAAAAACTAAGCTGTTCGAATATTATGAAAATTAAAATACGAGTGTGTGTGCTTTCGCAGATAAATTTGAAATAGACAGAAATCAAGCCACCGATTTAATACAAAATAAAGATAGTTTTAAAATCTTAAATATGGAAATTAGGTTTTTATGCACTGTATACAGCGGTCATCTGGAAGTATTGTACTTCTGTTAACAGTCACCACTATAGGATAACCACCTCTAAATAGCAGTCATTATTTCTGGTCCCTTTAGTGACAGGTATATGAAAGTTTTACTATACTTAATTTGTATAACACAATTCCTAATGAAAAACATGTATACTATTTTTGTATGAATAAACAGATAATATTCTTTATAAAAAATTGGTTTATTAAAAAAAAAAACATACAAAACTAATATAAGAACAAAATTACTTCATAATAATCACACAAAAATCACTATTCCAGACTTAAATCAGTTAATAATAAATTAATATCTAGTTACTTTTGATAGAAAAAAAAAATGAAGCACCTGATTATATCCTATGAGTTATTTGACAATAATAAAACTAAAATTCTTAATATTAGTTAAAACAATAAATCCATTTTTGATTTTTAAAAAAAAATACATTTTTCAAAAAATAAAACCATACAACTTCACACAAATAAAATGTATTATACCCTGAAATATTTTAACTTTAAAAATAAGTCAATTATATGTACTCAAATTTATGTATGGAAATATTTTTTTTTAAGAATGGGATGAAATGGGGAATGAAATATTAATGTTTAGAAACATTTTTAAATCAAATGCAGGGTCCTTCCAGATTTGTCAGTTACTTAATTTAGTATTAAACATAAACTTAATACCCTACATTTCCCAACCATTTAATTACGTTCAGAGATATATTACATTCAATAGTGTCATAGAGGTTTGCTATATTTATATTATTAAAATTAATATCATGGTAATATTTTAATCTGGTAAACAAAAGTTAAATAACATAAAATAATAAAAAAAAAAAATACATATTTATTAAAAATTAAGTATTACATAATATTGTAAAAAAAAAAAAAATAACAAAACAATAACAAATAAAGTAAGGTTAAATAAAAAACAATACAAAATACATTTAAAAATCAATACAAAATAAACAAAAATTGAATTAATAAATAATATTGCAAAATATGAAATCAAAAATAAGTTTTTTTTCTTGTTATGAAAAACTAAATATATTTCTTCATTAAAAATAATATTATATTCTATTCAATTTTTGTTAAATTTGCTTTTAATTTATATCTAGTCTTTTAATTTACAAAGTTGATATGATTGCATAATATTTAAACACAACTAATACAATAATACGGATCTATGGATATTAATTATTTACAAATCATACAAAAGTTGTTATTATTATGTAACTAATATGATTGTATTTATGTTTTTTATGATTATGATTCACTTAATGTATAATGGATACAATATCGTTAATAATATAATATATATTATTATTCTTAGACAATATTAAATGAGTTGTATATATCAATTCAAACAAATAATAGAAGGGTAAAAACACAATATAATTCACATAACCTAAATCACACAATAAAACCAATAGCTACCTTTGTGCATAAGATTAAAAAAAAACAAATGCATGGCAGTATGGAAATGAAGCATGTGCAGTCTTATAACAAAGGTAATTAGAACCTCGTTTTGTCGAGTAAAAATGACTAGTAATTTTTCGTTAGCCAAATGTATAGAAAAAAAAAATTCATAATGGTTAAACATACAAAGAAGCATTTGAAGAATCAATAACTACAAAACATTTGAAATAAAAACAGATTAAGAAATGTATAAAAGACTTAATAAATAGTAGATGATAGATTTTGATATTTATAATGCGATGTCAAAAATGTTAGTTACTATGGGATATTTGACATACTTTAGATAAATTTGATAGTTAGGGCGCATAATTTATTGTTAAACAATTGTTTGTAGTCTACAAATGATAGATTTTGGCATTGTAATAAGTTATTTGACATAAGAAATGTCATAAAACATCAAGATTACATTATTGTTATAATAAAACAATATTAATTAAAACTAAACAATATAACATTACTCTAGTTTGAATAGAATCAATTTTAATTTATGACATATAATTTTCAAGAGATTTATAATTTTTGTATGAATATTACCTGTAAACTATAGAACATACTAAACATATTTAATTTATTTTATTGTTTATTTTGTAAATAAATTAGTAGTTTAATACTAAAATTAAATGAATTAACCCTGTAATTTTATTGTGTAGTTGTTCAAAATAAAATATATCTACATGTTATTAAATAAGCACCCTAAACTTTAAAGCACCTTTTTTAAATAAAACAATTTAATAACATTATCTTTCCCAAGTTATTTAAATTTCAAATAGTTACTTAATATTTTTAGTGTAATAATAATTATAATCTTCCTTCTAACTAAAACTGCATTTAAAATATGTCTTAAAATACAAACCTGATAATATACATTTTAATTTTGAAACAAAATTTTTTTTTTTATATAAATATTCGAGAAGCTACTGACTTAAAAATTAGTGTCAGTATATTCAAATCTTAGCTATGTTTCACAATAACCAGGATTTATAGTAATATTTGGTATTAACTCAATTCGTTCAATATCATCACTGTCTTCCAAACCTGATTTAATAAAAATATAAAGTAATTATAAAATTATGTTATTATAATATTATTATATTTGTACAATGCAATACTTTTAATACATTTGAAAATTAAATGCGTATTAACAAATATATTTACAATTTTAGCCATCATTGACCAGGTTAGGTAAGGTTATCAAAATGAAAAAAGAAATTATTAGATAATTAAAAACAAATTTAATTGTACATGTCAAATGTGACCATTTTAAAAGAAGTTTAAATTAATAAATATGGCTTCAAAATCTTGCCTGTCACTTAAATACAATTATCTCTATGTACCATATATTTGACAGTACCTACTTCAAACACATACAATTAATCACTAATAATTTAAATTTAAATAACTAAAAATGGTTTTTAAAAATAAAAATATAACTTATTGGAACCTAAATGTATGAACTGTCATACTTACTTTTTTGCATTCTAGGATCCTTAATAAATAAGCAACATAATGCTATTCCAAAAATGCTGAATGTACTCATAATTACTATTACTGCAAATGTCCATGCTCTGGTATCAAACGTATCAATTCCTTCCAAAAGGTGTTTTTCCAACTCTAAATAAATACAATAAAATTAATAATTCAAAATCAGCTGTAAAAGATAAAATAATATCATAAATTTAAAAAAAAATAAAAAAAATGTAGTTAAGTATTAAAGAAGTTAATATAGACATCTTAAAAAACCACTTATGAAATTTGGTAAACAAGAAAATTTAGAAATATTAAACAATACAAATTTAAAAAAAATTGAAAGATTAATTTTTTTTTCAAACACTTCTTCGTAGTGTAAAAGTGATCCAAAATACATTGAAAGGAATTTGAATATAAAGTTGTACCAATTACTTACAAATTATATAAAAAAAAAAAAACCAGTGGAAAAAATCATAAGTAGATCTTTAGATACACTTGTAGTTTATGAAAAATTGTCTTTTTTTATTATTTTATGAAATGAAAAGAAAAGATGAAAAATTCCTAACATAATTAAATTAAAAATACAAAATATTATTTGGTTAAAAATAAAGTAATTAAAAATGTAACTTAAAATTGGGATAGTTTTAAAAAAATAATATTTTATTTAACATCACAAGTTAGGTACTTTAATTATTAATAATATAATTAACAGAAGTAATATTTTACCAGTCTCTGTCAAATCATTTAATGTTTTAGTAGTTAATTCAGTTATTGCACCTTCACCTATTTCATTACTGACCGAAAGTTGAATTTTGTAATGTGTATTTGGACGCAATGAATAAATTTCTTTCTGAACCTAAAAATATATAAACAGTAGACAAAAAAAAATATTTATTAATTTACGGCAGTATAAATTCTAATTTATTTCGGTAATTATAAACATAAACTATACTGTATTAATATTCTGATAAATAATATACAATAGACTATCTATACAGTAAAATCTCTTTATAAGGGAACTTCTATAAGACAGAAATTTCCTTAAATGGAAAACAACAACAGTTCTGCAGAACTTATATCCCATAAAATTTTAGTCTACCCATAACAGAAACTCTTTTACAGTGAAAAAATCACTTGGTACTGAACGATTCTGTTATAAGGAAGTTTTACTGTATATTTTAGGTAGTTATAACTAAAGCAGATATGTTATACCCTAAAAAACAAACAAAATGAAAATTTGTTTTTATTATTAGTTAAACCCAACAAAAAGATTTAATATTTTATTATTATATTGTAATTTAAAATTTGAAAAATGTCCTAAAAAAAATAAATGTTTTAATTAAAATATAGGTACTAACATTAACAGCTTACCTGTTGATATTTATAAATCTAGATCATGTATTTTAATTCTCTATTTTTAAGATAAAAATTTACAAAATCCTAAAAATGCAAAGTAAAATTTTGTATATACAAGCTGTCTCACGAAGATATACCCCTTTCAATATCTCCAGAGATAATAAAGATAATCAAATTCTGTTTTTTTTTTTTATATTACTCACAGGGAAGAGACTACAAATATTTGAAATAATTTTTTTTTTTAAATAACTTTTTATTTTATTATTTTTGGAAATTTTAAGATAGCCATTCTGTAAAGATTATTTTTCTGAACATTTTAATGTATCCAAATTTTATTATAATCCATGTGAAAACCAATATTATTGTGTAACTCGGTTAGGTTATTCCCTAGATAACTTCAGTTATGAATAAAGCCAGGCAACTATGCATGCGGATGACGGGTGCAGCCACTCTTGTAGGTGAAAACTTGGGAAGGTAATAGAGAAGAAATTTAATGTATATCTATAAGCAATAATAAACCATTGCTAACGAAAAAACAATTCTGAACAGAGTTTAGTTGATAGTGCTGCTTTGTCAACAATATATATTATTAATTGGATAAAAGCACTTGACATACAACTATATAAAGAAAAAAGTATCATACAAACTTCCAAATCATCTTACAGTTAACATAAATCACTCAATAATTTAACATGTTATTTAATTTTTAATACTCACATATTCACTAATTTTACTATATTTTATTATATTATCTTTTATTTTGGAACAAAAATCTAGAAGTAATGCTTTCATAATATACAATAATAATAATAATAACAATATGTATGTTATATTATCGTAAAATAATTACATAGACATAATATATATATTTTTTAAAATATTTGTTTAATATTGTACCTATTTTCTGGTTTTCCCAGTTTTTCTAGTTTGTTGATAAAACTCCTGAGAAAATTGAATAATGACCTTTCTAAAGTACCCCCATAGTCAGATTTCCTTTTAGAAAAAGTGCTGCTTATTAAAGCAAAATTACTGGTAGAAAAGTTGTCCAAAAAAAAAAAAAAAAGATCTTTGTAAAACCATAAGGTTTTCTTCGCTCTACTCAGAATTCAAAATCTTTGGGTATAAACTAGCAAAATTTTTGATAAACCAATAAAAACATGCAAAAACATATAAATATCTGCACTAGTTATAACTAATTTCTAGACTATTTTTTAAACATTTTATAAAGTGGATAAGCATTTAGCAAAATATTACTGTACATTTATATAAATTATTTTACCTTAGATGGATTCACTTTGAGAACATTCCAACTATTACTAGCATAACCACCATCTACTATTCTATACCTAATCGTTATATATTTAACAGGATATGTATCATTATTCTCTATTTCCCTCCATGTGATGAGTATTAATACACTATAAGGAATAACTTTTACATCTAATAAGGACCCAGGTATACCTGAAATTATTTAAATTATGTTTAGTATATTTAGAAATGAAATTAATAATTATAATACTTGCTTTTTGATATTAATTCAAATTCAATTGATGTTTCATTTCCAGCTGCACGATCACAAATATAAATACCAGCATCTGTTGTGTTAAATGATGATATAAATAAATTTCCATTTTTTAAAATTTTAGCTCGGCCGGGCAATTCTTTATGATGAATATTCCAAAAGACAGTAGAATTTATCATATTATTGAATTCACATTTTAATGTAACATTTTCACCAAGTTTTGGAAACATTTTTCTATATTCATTAATACTATTCCCATTTGTATCTAAAACAATGTTTATTTTAATTCATTTTGTGAACCATTTATATTTTAATTTTATGAATAGATCGGGTAAAATTATTCGAGTTTAATTCAAACAAATCAGACAAATATCATAATTTATTATTTAAAATGTAGGTATATTTTTCTCTTTAGCATAGGTACAAATAGTCCAATTTTTTGGGGGGAATCAAAGATATTTAATGAGATCCCATAATCTCTCTACATAAAAAAAGAAAGTCTGTCTGTTTGTATGTTCTTTATAAACTTGAAAACTACTGGACCGATTTTAACAGGGTTTTTTGCAAAATATTCTGCGTGGTTTGGACAAGGTTTAAAGTTATTGAAATTTCTAGAATTCAACTCCTTAAGGATAGCTGACACAGGGATTTTAGTATTTTGTGGTATAATTTTTGTTGATTATGAAGTATCTATGGTATCTACTGAATATTGTTTGTTAATTTTATTGGAATTTTGATTACTGATCAATGCTCAACAAATTTAAATTCATTTAATTTAATTTCAATGCCATTTCTGTGCAATTATGCCTTCTAATAACAATAACAGTAACAACAGTAATAATAAGAATAATAAAATGTAAAATGATTCAAAAACATTTTTTTCAACTAAACAGCTAAACTATAGTAATATAGGATATATATATATTTATATTTCAATATTTCTTCGATAAGAATTGTCTCTTAGAATTTTTCTTTGAAATACTAAAATATAATCCACGTTGTTACAATACACGGGCGAAGCCGAATTATTCAACTAGTATTATATAAATTTTGTATTAACTTAATTGTGGGATGGGAGGTGTAGCGACTAAGTTTTTAAGGGATTTGTGACTATGCTCTTCAGAGATATTTTAAAACCATTAAATAATATAAATAAGTTTAAAAATATGAACAAAACTACATAATATAAATTTGTTGTCAAACTATAAAACATTGGGGAACTACGAAATATTATTACATGATTTATTTTACTTACCAACTCAAATATAATAACAATGGACTATTTACATTTTTAGATATAATAGTGTCCATAAATAGTAAAATTAAACTTAAATATGTGAAATATCCAAAGTTATTAGTAAAATTAAGTATTTAAAAACAATATTAATTTAATGTATTATGTTTAATTTATATTATTTATGATAAAACAATAACACATAGGTATGATTTATTAACTAAACTTTTGAAACCAAAGTATGATAATGTAATAAATGTTTAATACTTACATGGGACTGAAATGAAGGATACAACGAAAATATAAAACAAATTGAATGTTATAGATTTGTAATATAACATTTTTAAAAGTGCATTTTTAAAATATAAATATAAGAATTATTAACTAAATGTTTTAAGTTATGGAGAGACTTTAATATCTATGTTATGTACCTATACAGTAAACGTACATCAGTCTACGCTTTTAAATCGTTAATCAATCAATTTATATTTATTAACGATTTAAATAAATGAAAAACAATCTTATTATTGGAGAAATAAGATGACAGTGATTCGAAAACTAAATATTTCGACCCATAATCCCATGTTATGTAGGTATAATTGTATTTTTATGTTTGTTTTACTTTACATATTATCAATAACAGTCAGTGTATCAACTATAGACAATAATAAATAAATACAAAATACTAAAAATGTTGACAAAAATAATTGTATTTTTTCAACATATTATTTTTTTGATATTTCGTAGGTACTTAATTTTATTTATATTTGGGTTAAATGAATTATGCATAGTAATTAACTTATGTTAAATTTTCATTTTTTTTTTCTCATTATTTTCACAAACATGTTGATAACGAATTGACGTTTGTGAATCGTGATCACGGTCTGACTGTGTTTGTGATTAACGCCTATAGTTATTATTCTATTAATCTTGTATAATTAAATAATTAATAATTGTTATCATTTTTGTATTTTTGTAATTATTGCAGTTTTCAAGAGTTACAGACAGAAGAGTATGTTTAACATACTTTAATAAACATTTGAGTAACCAATGTTCAATATTTTTGACATATGAATTTAGAAGTATTTAACAGAGTGAACTGGAAGGTATGAATTTTGATTTGTGTATCTATACAGTTAATTAAACTCAACAACTAATTTAGCATTATATGTTTATATATGTATGCAAAATTTAATAAACATAATCCATTTATAACATTACAATTACATGTTAGTATATACATTGGAATATGATATCTTTATAAATATCTATATAAATAATAGTATAATACGTAATACATAAATTACCAATTTGTAACACTTGGAATGAGATTTTCTTAGAAAATGTTTAGTTGTAAAAATGTCTTGTAATTTATAAACACATAGCTCAGACATATTATCTACCATAAAGGTGTATATTAGATATTTAATTTTTAATTTTTCAGTTTGGTGAACTTACTAAACCAAAAAAATTGTAAGAAGAGTATAAAAGCATTTTTTTTCTTTTTGAACTCTTATAGGTAATTTGTTTTTAGAAATATTTTTTGTATCATCTATTAGTTCAGTTAATAAGTTTTAAACTTAATACCTAGTAATATAAAATATGATTTTAATTGACAAGTAAGCAATACCATTAACATAAATAACCCATTTGTAATAGAGTGGTCCTCTGGAAACCTTATACTGTTGATAATTTTAGTCAGATTTAAAGGGTCTAATGCCTGAGATTCTAAAATCATTTATTGAACATACCTTGCGATCCTCATGATTATGCTCCAGTTAATATTTGCTCAATCTAGTTTCCTTTGTAGTGCGTATTGCGTAAGCATTCCATGAGTTCTTATTAAAGGGAATATTGGAAAATAAAAATGATTCCTCCAGCCCAGTCGCATTGGTCAACTACAATTTTACTCTGCGAACTACGAGAACTACTGTTCCCTTCCTTATTCCTTGCTATACTTCTAACTACTTGGGTGATTTATGTCTCTCACTAATGTGGATCCCTTCTTCTTACAACTAAGTACTCAGTATAGTATTGTAATAACTAATAATTTGTTGTAATTCAATGTAATAATTTAACTGTAAACTTATCTGTTGTTTGCCGTTGTATGTTAATTTGATTCATGCATACATCTTGTAGTAAAGGCCCATTTATTTATTTAAAACAAAATAACAGACTAGGTTAAGTCAGGTTGCAAATTAATGAACTCTGTGTTGTTTTTTTTTTTTTAACGATATCTATGCAATTATAGATTTTTCCATTTTATAGGAGGGCTCTGGAGGACGTTCAGGTATGTATTGTGAATGGGCATCGCTAAGTTCAACAGTTCAAAACTGTGGTGAATTTGGTCAAAGTGTCTTGAACAAGTTTCCAGCTGGTTCATGCAAAGAAGTTGTATTGTCTGTAATTAAACAACTGTCATCAAATTTAGGAATAACACATCCACCTGAACCAAGCAAACTTTCTAGAGACAATGAAGTGACCTGGTGCATGGAAGTTAGTAAATTTTAAAACAGAAAATAAAATATTTTTATGTATACTGATCTGTATACCTATCTGTTTTAGGTTATTTGTTATGGTTTAAGTTTGCCATTGTCTGAGCATGATACAATTAGAGATTGCGTACATATTTATTGTGATTGGCTTTCAGCCTTATATGAAACACCAAAAGTATCGGTTCCAAAACCGGTTTGCAATGATCCAAATTTATATGCTAGAAAAATAATTTCACATTTTTATAATTTATTTGTACCCAGAAAAGGTGAAGGTGAATCAATTTGTCTTATTGCATTAAGATTATTATAATATTTAATACAGGTGTTTTCATCTAATTATAATTATTATAATAATTGTTTTAACCAATAATACTTAGAATAAAATAGTGTATTTATTTTGATCTTTGTTACAAGTCTGGACATTTTTATATTTAAATATCGGTAAGGATCAAATGAAATATATAATAATGATGTTTTTGTTAAATTTATTATTCATACATAACAGAATGTCTTATGGAGATTTTTTTATTTTAAAGAGATAAAATGAATGTGTGGATAATATCTCATATCTTCATCATTTAAAATAATTTAATCTTCAAGACGTCTTTATTTTTAAATTATAAACTTTCAGATTAACAGTTTTTATTATTAAAATATTTTAAAATATTTAATTTATTTTTGTGAAGGTACTGATACAATAAACCGCCAAGCTGTTTTGTGTCATCGTGTTTTACGGACATTACATGATTTATCTCGAACATCTAAAATCATTGACCAAGAAACTTGGGAAGCTTTACTGCTATTTCTTCTCGCAATAAATGATGCTTTATTAGCTCCACCCACAGTTAAAGGCATTATTTGTTTTATTATACAATGTAATAAATAGTTCTTAGACTTATTATTTATAATGAATTTAACAGAGGATGTCGGAGAGGAATTATGTGAACGAGTTCTTAGCGTTCTCATAGAAGTATGGCTTGTAGCTTGTGTACGTTGTTTTCCTTCGCCATCTTTATGGAAAACATTACGAGAAATGGCAATTACTTGGCGCCATCGAACAGCTTTAATTCATCAATGGAATCGTATAAATTTAGCACTTACAGCCCGTGTATTAACATTTATGTATGGACCAGATTTTCCACAGCTAAAAATACGTTTGTATACTCATAAAACATACTATGTTTCATTTTTATTTAAAAGCCTTTATCAATTATATCAATTTTATAATTTAGCTAACGAAGATGCTCACTTAATACCGCTCGGAATGTCTAATCATACCATTGCTCAAAGTTGGTTTCGACTGTTACAAACTATTGGAAATCCCGTTGATTTAAGTCGGCCTATGACAATTAGTCGAACTCCAAAATTTCTTCAAGCAGCACTCTCCGACTCGAATCATAGACTTATAGATCCATCTGTTCACCCCTGTTTAAACGTCTTACCTTACAACTTTTATGTAGCTATACGTGGGATCGCATCACTTGTAGATGCATTTTTAGGCAAGAATTTATTATACTTTATTTTATTTCTTAATCAAACTCTTCTTTTTCTGGGAGATGAGAAAAATCTATTAATACTAGCACCTATTTAATTTGTAAATATATATATAAATGCACATTTTAAAAATAGGCATTGCTTCTCATCCTACTATTATTTGGGATGATGTCTTACCTTGGACTTCAGGAAGCTCTTTGGAAAAAAAAGAAGCAAGTGCAGTAACACATACACCGCCTTCGCAACGTCGATTGGCTAAAAGTTTTAGCGTTGCACCTTCACTTACCAATAAGGGTATATAATTATAATAAGTCACAAAATTATAATAACCTAATATCTTTAAGTTGTATGTATATATTAAAAAAAATCTTTATGGTGTAATGTAGTTTTTGTAATGAGTTGATATTAGAAGTTTACAACTGTTCAACAACCATATAACATACATGTGTATAACAAATTAGAATATTATATAGTTTTAAAATTTAAATTAGAAAATTAAAATTTACAGAAACAAATAAAACAGGTATACTTTTTATTTATGTTGTTTTAAATAGTTTATTGTTTTATTATAAAATATAGGATTATTCTTTGTGAATTCTCGTATACATATACTTGATATAAAAACAAATATGACTACATTAAAGAAACCAAGTATAAAATTCAAAAGCAATCTCCAATAATTTATAATTCCAGATTTGAATTACTTTGATGTACTCAGTAATGTTATATGGTTTAGAAACAAGGCTGTTCAGGAAGGCAGATGAAATTAGATTGAAAGTTGTTGAAGGGAAAATCCCTAAAAAGATTTTTGGGCCATGCAGTGATGCTCAAGCTAATGTAAAGAGGAAAAAACATTATGAACTCGAGAATCTAATTAAACACTTAGTATAACTAAAGCATACAAATGAGGAAAATGGATTTGTTAAGACACAGGTAGTGGAGCAGGAATTGATAAGAAAAATAGTGATCACAGAGAATCTAGTAGGAAATCAACCACTAGACCCGTCTAAGATGGAAAGATTGTGTAGTAAGGGATGTAGGACTGATGGAAGCTGGGATACCATGAAGATGTGATGAAGCTTCCTATAAATGGAATAAATATGTTTGAAAGAAGTCTTTAAAGGCTATAAAGGCTATTACCTCTAAAAAAAATTAATTAAATTAGTTTATTATATTTATATTAAACAAAATAAAAATTGTAAAAAGGTTTTATGTTCATATTAATGTAGCTAGAAAAAACATTATTTTATTTTTATCAGGTATTGCAAAATCATCTTTAGTTGGTTTAACTACTAGCCGTATTAGTACTCAGACACATAAATTATCATCAAATACTTCTATGTCATCAACAATTTCAGGTAAATTATTGTGTTTTTTATTATTGAAATAGTGTAACTCAAATAAGTGCACACGTCTTTATGATATTGAAACTAATTATTTGTTTAATGCTAGTGTTTCATAAATAATAATTGTATATGGTTTTAAATGTATTCATTGTTTTAATTATAGAACCTAAAATATTTGCTGAAAATCGACCACGGTGTAACAGTATTCTTCACCTTTTTGGTGAATGGTTATTCGAAGCAGCATTAATTGGGGTTGATATTAATAAATCTAAATCTTCTACTACATGTAAGTTTTAAACAAAATAATAGTGTATTATTATTTAACATGAGTACACTTATTATAAATACCAAAAAAGAAGAATAGTCTTTAAATTGGGTGATCCATCCTCTGTTACCAATTACAGGCCTATCTCTATGTTACCTCACATTGCCAAAATAAAGCTTGAATAAAGCTTAATTCCTACTATATGCCAACGATATAAAAATATTTTATAAAATCAAAACTCCTGCTGACTGCCTTATACTACATGACGAACTTATTCAATTTGATTTGTGGGTTTCCCAACTAGGCATCTCTTTAAATGTTGACAAATGCAAAGGTATTTCCTTTATTAGGTCTAAAAACCCGATGCACTATTCATACACCCTTAATAGTATATAGCTAGAGCGTGTTTTCGTTATTAAAGACCTTGATATTCATTATTCTTGCTTTTTCTCCTTTAGATGTTGTCACTGGTAGAACACTAAAGGTCTAAACACTTAGGTTTTGTTAAGAGTTACACCGGGCTCTTCAAGTCAGCTAATTCTCTTCGTTCTTTGTATTGTACTCTTACCCAGCCAATTATAGAGTATGGTACTATTATTTAGCACCCTTACTTTGCCAAGGATCAAGTGCGAGTCTAGAGTGTTCAACACAAATTATATGTTGCTTTTAAACTTAATTTGACATCCTAATCATGACTACTCCTTTATTTCTAGTATTCTGAATTTACCTTTTCTGTCTACGCTGGAACGAGGCAGGATTTCGGTTTCTTTACGGTCTTTTCAACAATTTACTAGATGCTCCCGACCTTATCTCTAGTGTGCCTTTTAAAGTTCCCTCACACAACACTAAGAATCAAATTCTTTTTTATATTCTAGCTCACTCAACTTCGTATAACCATAATCATCCATTACATAGAATGCTTAGGCTGGAGAACCTGGTTTGACCTTTTAAACTATTAACTTGTTATAATCTCTTACATTTAGTACTGTTTCACTATGTTTGTATTAAGTTAATCAATTATCTAAGTCTTTGTTTTTGTAATTGCCACTTTATATTCTAATAAATAAAAAAATATATATATTTATACATACTTAGCAGATAACAACAGAATGTGCAAACGACCAAGTTCAGTGATGTTTGATACAACCAGTATAAGAAGTGGTGGTTCTGGTGGTGGATATAGTAGTATGGGAGGTGGCAGTACTGCATCAGCATCTCAACCAAACTCACTTACAGACAATGTCTCCGATAGTATTGATTCCATAACTTCTAGTTCTGCAAATGCTCTTCATTATGATCGCTATATGCCTGGACGTGCCGAAGCAATAGGAACATTGTGTAGAATATTTTGTTCCAAGAAAACGTCTGAAGAAATTTTACCTGTATATTTGGCTAGATTTTATATGGCACTTTACGAAGGATTGCATTCTAATGAAGTATAAAAAATTATAATCTTTGTTATTTTTAAAAATAAATGTATAAATAAAAAATAAATGAGTGAATGCATCGCCTGAAGTATTATGATAAGTGTATTATATGACTGGTTTCGAATTAAAAATTCATCATCAGGTATATCACATTCACATTGTAAAACTACTCATTAATTTATTTATATATTTATTTATAAATATTAACCATTTTAATAATTTTGTTTTTATTTTATTATTTTAAAAATAATAACATTAATACAAATTTTAATAAGGTGAATGAATGTGATGAAACAATTGCAAGTATTTTATTAAATTCGCCTAATCTTTTACGTTTGGATTTAAGTGGAATCAATGTACTTATACCACACATTATTGAAACGTTAGAACTCGTTTTACCTGAAAGAGAACTTAAACTCAAGTAATAAGCTATACATAAATTCATTAAATTTAAATTTAAATACATTTAAATTTCTAAATTTTATAAGCAGATCAAATAACATCCATAAGAATGAATTAAGAAAATCAGCAATACATTTATTACTTTCCATACTTTCATTACCGTTACACTTTAAAGTAATTTTAATAAGTATTTAAATTTACTAAAATATTTGTTTAAATTAATATTTTTCTATTTATTTTAGGATTTGGCTATCAAAGAACTGATTCCATCTAGTTGTAGTACAAAAGGACACATTGTTATGGGAGAACTTAAACCCCGTATTATGAATCTTCTAATAAATGCCTTACAATTTGAATCAGATTCTCATAATACTCAAATGCTATTAGGTAAAATATATTTTTTTTTTAATTATTATTTTGTTTAAAAAAAAAAAGAACTAACTTTAGTACATATTTTTGTAGGAGGGTTGTTGTTATGTGTTCAAGATTCTGCAATTTTTGAAGAATCTGAAAATGATGCAGATTCTGATACTACTGCTCATAGTGATACAACATCTAATTTGCTTTCTTCTGGTATTTAAAATAATTACTCTACAAATCATTTAGTATGCATATATAAACACAAAACAAAGTTTATCCAATGAACGCTGCGCTTAATATTATAACAATATAGTTAATTTTGTATTTAAAATAATATGTTTTTTTTGGTTGTGCTATTATATTTTATTTGCGCCTGTTTGCACAGTGGATACAATGAGTTCATTTAGCTTACCATCCAGTAATCAAGATCAAATGATGAGTTTACCTCAGAACAATACAAGTAATACTCCAACTCCTGAATCCAGTTTAGATTCAGCCAATTTTTATTTTGCTGAACCAATTGACTCCTCAATCCTAAACAAAAGTAATAATTTTCACCAATAGATTTTATTTATTTCTGTGCTATTTATAATTGCTAATTTGAAATGTATATTTATAGTTCTCATGCGTAATAATTGTTTTATTATTTTTAATAATATTTGTATATATTATTAATATTATTCAAAGTAATAAAAAGCTTAGAACACCAGTTAAGTTTTGAAAATCACTTTTTCAATATTATAAAAAACAGATAAATATTTATGAGTTATTTAATTATTCAAAAATTACTAGAATCTGATGACAACTTGATTATTTGATAAATATAAAAATTGTGTTTGTTTTTTATAAGTTATTATCTATATTTCTATCCCTGCTTAAACATGACCGATTCAATGATCTTTATTATAGTAGCTTTTTTTTATATACATATATTTAAGGCCTTTGAGACCATTTTGCTGTAGAACAAATCTTCCCCTATTCTATTCTATTTTCTGCTACCTCCTTCTAATCCATACCTCCATATCTACTCTTCTAGCATTTACAAAATATTTTTTATTTCCATCTTCCCAGCGTAGCCTTGGTCTACCCAGTGGCCTTTTGCTCCTTGGCTCCTTGGGTTTTCTTGGAGCACTCTTTAAACCATTGAATCTTGCTTTCTATATACATGGCTTGCCCATTCCAACTTACTCTGTTTGATCTCGCTTACAATACTTGGTCTATTGAAAATCTCCATCAGTTCTCGGTTGTGCCTTTTCCATCCTTGAAAATCTTGATCATATATAGGTCTGTATATTTTGCGCAGTACCTTCCTCTCAAAAATATGTAATCTATTCTCCTCCGTCCTTCGCAAAGTCCAATATTGTGAACCATACATGATTATTAGTTGTATGATTGTCAGATATAACTGAGTTTTAACCTCTTATGAAATGATTATTGAGCTTAATAGTTTGCCTAGTGCATAGAAGCATTTAGTTCCCATTTTAATTCTTAGTTGAATTTCTATTAGACATTCATTCTTCTGTGTGTTACAATAGTGCCTAGGTATTTGAATTCCTCAACTTTTTTGAAATCGTACTAATACACAGTTATGGATTTAATTACAAGGGCGTTACTTAGTTCCCTACTAACTCATTTATTGCGTTTTATCCGTGTTGAGATCTAGCCTCACCTTTTTCGCTGTTTCTATTAACCTGTTATACAACTCTACCACCTTTTGTTTCTTTTTTCCTAGCAAAACTGTATCGTCCACAGGCGAGCAGGCTAAAGCAAGTTCTATTTATTATTACTCCTTCATCTCTTCCAATATCTCGGATCACCTTCTCTAATATTAAATTAAAAAGGATTGGCGACAAGGCATATTATAGTAGCTATTATTATATTATAAATAATAGATATCTATTGATATTTTATTTTTGCTATAGTGATAAGAAATGTTTTATTTATTTTTGTATTAATATAACTGTAATTATTATAAACGACTAAATATGTTTATAATAATATGTAAATATGACTTAATATGTTATGATCATTTTTTAGATTCTGCACACGCATTATATGTCAGAGCTACATATTTAGTATGTCACAGACTAAATTCTTCATGGAAATCAGATTTGAACATTTCATTAGCAGCTTTGGAATTACTTATAGGTTTAGCTAGAGTTCATATAAAAGAAACGGGTAATAATGCTTTGTTTATTTAAAAACTGTATCTACTAAATAAATACATTTATATACATTAAATATTATTATTATTTAAGGATTTTCTATTCTCTATGCAAATCAAACTATTTCATTATTATATAAAGTTTTTACAAGGTGTTTATTTTTTTTCTATGTACAATTTTTTTCCAATTTTCAATTATAGCACTTTTTCTGAAAAGTAATTTGACTGGGATGGTACTTTAGGGAGGTAATTTTTTTATTTTCTCGGATGTTTTTCATAGTAAAAGGGGAAAAATGGGAAAATAGGTACAATATTAAATAAATATTAAAGAAAATATATAATGCAAATGTAGTTATTGTACCATGTTATGACATATATATTATTGACAAAGTAACACTATTAACCGAACAACGCTTAGAATTGTTTTTCACGAGCAATGGTTAATTGTTGTGTACAGGTATACATTAAATTTCCCCTCTACCTTCCCAACTTCTCATCTTCAACAGTGGCCTACTCATTTTGCGAAATATCTTTCGCAAAATCTATCTAATCTATCTTTTCAATAATATTAATGATCATTTTTGAATATTTAATCAAAATATTATTATAGTACTTAATAAAATAAAACTAGGCAGTGAATATTATTAGATAAAGTTACTTACATTTTAAAATATAACACTGAAATTAGTCTATTATTTTTTATTTTTTATTGATTTCAAAAATTTGAACTCTGTTTAAAAATTGTAAATTATACTTTTTATCAAATATATATATATATATATATTCATCATTCACTTAGTTCTGGATTACTTCTATAACACTGAATATTATTATACATTTATGTATTTTTTTCATATTATACATAAATCTAGCATTTAAAAAATCATTACAATCAAATTAATTACCTAATCATATTTATTGTTGATCTTATTATTTTTAGTTTAATAAATTATTAATTAATGTTTCATGCAGCAAAAAAATTAACTGGTAATTTATGTTATATTTTGTTAGTAAAAGAATTGATTTTTTCATTTCAATTTTAATTTAACTGAAATGCATTATTACATATTGTAATAATTTGTTTAGATTCATTAGAATGTAAACGAGCGGTAAAATGGTTATGTGATTATATAACTTACCAATGTTGGCGTCCTCCTCCAGCTCATTCACGAGATTTACATTCCACTATTGTTGCTGCATATCAATGTACTGTAGTTTGGCTTGTGGCTCATCCTTACTTACTAGATGATAAAGATTGTTTGAATACAATTATTGAAGTGGTTGAACTTGGTATATCTGGCACTAAATCGATTGTAAATAAATAATTTTTGTATTATATAAGAATTTCTAGTGTGATACCTATAAAAAAATAATTATGTATGTTTATACAGGGAAAACTTCAAGAACCAATAAAAATGAAGGACGAAAAAGAACTTAAACCTGCTTCAATGAGAGTAAGAGATGCCGCTGAATCATTACTAACTATTATATTAGAACAAGTAAGAAGAATAATAATTTGTTTTTAGTAATTTTTTAGGATTTCTCATGATAAGATTAAATTTTAGGTCGGGTATTTTCCATCCATTTGTGGTGCAGAAAGTTTATCGTGTTTATTGGATGAAATAACATTAATTAAACACTGTAATTCAATAGCTACTGAAAACATGCTAAATAAATCGCATGCCATATCCAAATTTCGATACTTTGTATTAGAAAATTCCATAATTTTAGCCCTTTTTGAAGAGCCTCTGGGAAATAACCAAGGTGGAAATACTCTTTATTTTTAGTAATTATATGAACTGTTTTAGCATATATTACTGAAATTCTTATGTTTAGATGCCCAGCCAACTTTAACTGTACTAATTAGAGGATCGTTTGGACGGCAAGCTTGGACTTTACAACTAAGACATTTACCACGACATCGATCTTCATCAACCAAACAGTATAATATTTTTCCTGGCCGTCCTGTAGCAATGGAAGAACCGGGTAGACATAGATATTCCCGAAAGTCCACTACACATTTTTCAGATAGCATTGAACGAGTACCCACTTGCAAAATGTATTTAATTTATTATAATTATTTTTCAATAATTTAATTATTATTATTATTATTATTATGAAAAAATAAATACAATTTTACAGAGATAAATCTATACCAAGTTTAGATAGTTTAGTATTTGATGATGAAGAGCATAGCGTATTATCAGATTTGATTGAAAAGCAGAAGGAAATGGAAAGTTTTTGTCCAGATCCTCCACCTAAAGCCATAGAAATGTTGCCACCTCAACCATGTACAGATTTCAATACAGCTAGATTATTTTTATCACATTTTGGATTTTTATCCAGACTTGATGATACCAGTGTAAGTATATTACAATTGTTCATACTTCACACAAAACAATAATAGTTAAATATTCTTACACCACTAATCATAATCGTAATTTAAATAACACTAATATAAATTATTTAGTTATGAATAACAATGTTTATATTTTTAGCCATCATCAGTTCCTTCATTAGTTGCTTTGAATGTTCATCAAGAACATTTTTGTAAAGACCTTGAAATACTTGATAATACTCCATCGCGTACTTGTGATACGTGCCATGTATTTTATGTTAAAGATGGTCAAAAAGATTTTAAGGACATACTAAATAATGTGGTATGTATTATAAAAATGAGTGCATACCAAACAACAATTTTGGTTAATGAATCTTTTTAGACTTCCAACACAGCAGTTTCTCCAAGCTTTTTAGAAATGTTAACTAATCTTGGTTGGCCCGTTAATATTAGCGAACATCCTGGGTGGACAGGTCGTGTAGAAACAAGTTGGAACCTCCCAAACTATGAACATTCTAAAGAACAAAAGTTTGATACTTCTCATGGCGGAAGTTTGTATAATGGAGAAACTCATGTGATATACTGGTCAGATGTGAGTTCTGAAATAGCTTTTGTCGTTCCTACCAATTTTAAAGAACATGGTAAATCACATAAGTTTGAAGTTATATTTATATACAATACACAATTAAATAATTGCAAAGATTTTTAAAATGAGGAGGAAAACATATGAGAAAAAAGGTTTTGTTAGGTGAAGAAGAAAACAGAAAAAGATGTGGGGGGATGCAATTGAGAATGATTTAAGGACATCCAAAGTATGCAAGGTGGATAATTGGGTAAGGTGGAAGTTTAGAAAGAGAGTGGACGGCACCAAATATTTGATTCAAAGGCAAAGAAAAAGAGCAAAGGTTTTTAAAATTTAATTTAATGTTGAATAGGTGACACTTCACAACATGGATCTATTAGGTATTCAAAACCAGTTACTACGAGAGCTTTATCTGTTGAATTTGATTATAAAGGAAAACCAACTTATCAACATATTGAACCACCTAAAAGGCGTCCACAATTTGTGTCAGCCACTGTCATGTTAGTTTGGCTAGAAAGCTTTGAAGATCATATACACTTTCCAATTGGTAAGCCATATTATTTATAATTATAAATTTTAATATTAAAATAGAAAAAATAAGTATTTTTTTTTTTTTTTTTACTGAATCTTGTGCGTTAGGTTTAGAAATCAATGTGCGTATTAAGTCTGAAATATTTCAAACCTTTAAGATGTTTATTAATGACAATGTAATAAAATAACAATGAATATTAATCAATTATCTCATGGAGATATAGGTATACATTGCATATCTCCTGTGATGATAACGATAATTTTATTTTTTTATTTTTTTTATTACTCACAGGAATTAGGACTACAAATAATTATATTTGAATTAAATTATTATGTTTTTGTATTAAAAAAAAAAAAAAAACTAAAAAAGCTGTCTTAGGATAATGCAGGTGCAGCCACTGTTGTAGGTAGGAAGTTTCAAAGGTAGGATACAAAAGAGAATTTAATGTATATATGAAAGCAATAATTAACCATTGTTACCAAAAAAACGATTCTGAGCGGCGTTTAGTAGATAGTTCTTTGTCAACAATATATGTCATATTATGGTAAAATAATAACATTTGCATTATATAATATTTTTTTTAATAATATTTGTTTAACATTGTACTGATTTTCCTAGTTTTTCACATTTGCCGAAAAACTCTTGGAAAAATCGAATAATGACCTTTTTAAAGTACCTCCCCACATCAATTTCCTTTCAGAAAAAGTGTTATTTTTAAAAATTCGAGCCAAATCTTTAATGGGAATGTTGTTCACAGAAAAAAAAAAATTGAAATATAATTATTTATAGTCCTTATACTTGTAAGTGATATAAAAAAAGTAATTTGATTATCTTTTTATTTCCAGAGATGTTGTAATAGTATATCTTCGTAGGATACTCTGTGAAAAAAAAATAAAATGGTTGGAGCTTTACAAAAATAATTTAATTATTCTTTTTTCTTTTTTTAGCAAATCTTCTTTCTTATACAAATACTGGTGTTGAACCTTTATCATATGTAAAAGATATTGCTGATGTGCATATTATATACTTACATGCACTGCAAAATGGATTACTTAGAGTGAAAATGCAAGGCCCTATTGGAAGGTATATTTATATATTATAATTATTATAAGATAAATTGTTTTTATTTGTTATTATGCTAATAATTTTATTTATATATATACACACTATACAAGGTGACTCACTAAGCGTGCTCATCCCATTTTTTTTAATTAAACTATGCATATTATACTCAAATTCTGTATTTTGGTAAGTATAGTAGTTTAGGCGGTATTTTCAAATACTTAGATTTTTCTCAACATTTAAGGAGTAACTTGTTTTTAAAAGTATTAATTTAAATAAATTTGAGTGTCAACATTTTTGATTTCTGTAAACAAATTCTATTCTAAACTATTCTACCTTCAAGTTTAGGTAAGAGGGGATTAGTGGAGTATCATTTGTGTAGCGGAACAGAGCGGTTATTAGTACTCCACTACTCTCCTCCTGCCTAAATTTGAAAGTAGAATATTTCATTAACGAGTTGGCGGAAATCAAAAATGTTGACACTTAAATTTATTTAAATTAATACTATTATCTATTTATATAATTTTTAATATAGACTTTCATTTTAAAAACTTAACAGTAGAATATCTTGTTATCGGGGTTAAGTAACCCTGTGTATACATATATATTTAGGTGTACCTAAATATTTTTTTTTGCAGGCGTATGTTTATATTTAATTTCTACAGATATGACTTTACCATCAAATCTAATTTTGTGAAAAAAAAAAAATTCCAGTTGGCGAGCAGCAATTTTAGATAAATAATTCAATTTATATGTATTTTTTTTTCACGCTTTAAATTATAGTTAACTAAAAAATAGCATGAGGTAAAATGATCAAAATTGAATACATTTTAATTTTTCAACAAATAAAAAACATTTTCTGGGGTAGTTCTTGCTGTTAATTTACTAACATTTTGTAATCATTTGCGTTTCATGGCTAATAACTTTGTCAGTTTTTTATTTTTTTCTTATCAACTAATAGAACCATATTTGTTCCTTTTATTAAATTCTGATCATTTAACCTCATGCTATTTTTAGTTAACTATATTTTAAAGCGTAAAAAAAAAAAATACATACAAATTGAGTTATTTATCTAAAATCGCTGATCAACAACTGGAAATTTTTATTTTTGATTTAATTAGATTTGATGGTAGTCATACCTGTAGAAATTAAATATAAACATACGCCCGCAAAAAAAAAAAAATATTGTTTTTAACTACCCAAATATATTATACCTGTATACTTATTATTAAAACTTCTAGTGTAATGTTTTAATTTACAATTTTTAAGGTATATATATATATATATATATATATATAAAATTGTTAAAATTTGAGTTGTGTTAACCGACATTGATAATTAGGGCTCAGAAGTTAAACAAGTTGATTATTTTTGTGTATGCACTGGATTTATAGCAGACCAAGCTATAAATTCTTTCTATAAAATGAAGAGTTTAAAAATCGAACATTTAAAATTAACTTTGCTTATTTCATTAATTTTATAGAAAAAGTGTATATTTCATTGATTTTCATTTTTGGCACTATTGTGTTGCGTTAGTCAAAAACTTTGGGTGGGACTTTATTTTTTTGGCTTATTTACTTTTTTCTTGTACAATTTAATTATACAAAAACTGATTTGAGATCTGAAAGTAACTATTTAACTTCATTAGAACAGTCTTCTGTCTCTCCATAAAATGTTACTAATAAAATAAATAATTGTTTAAATCTTTAAATTGCAATTGAAAAATATGAAAATGATAACTGATAACAGTTGAGTGCACTTTTACAGTGCAATAAATGCGGGTATCTATTAATATAATATTGAACGTTTTTATTTTTTGTTAATATAAGTGATCCATTTAAGTGTGTTATCTCGAAAAGTATTAACTTTTGTCGGAATTTGTTTTCTAGAACATCCAAGAAACAAGCAGTTCTACAATTTTATATTTATGTTATTTTTTGTCACCCTTATTTTTGGTTGTGAAAGTACTATCCACATTTGATTTTCAAATAGCAACTTATATTAAAAAGTTCATAAATAGATAGAATATTAGTTAAAATAAATTTGAGTGTCAACATTTTTGATTTCTGTCAGTTCGTTGATGAGATATTACACTTTTAAGTATGGCCTGGAGGAGAGTAGTGGATTATCATTTGTATAATGGTACGGCGCGGGACATAGACAAAATAACTATAAAAAAAAATAAAAATAGTGGACCGCGCTCAGAAATATGTTTACCACGGCTCAATAACACGATTAAAAATAATATACTGGTTGCCCAACTGGCTGTTTAAGCGTTATCACATGGCTATTGAAATTGCTCTCTGGAACAGCTGCTTAACTAACTTAGTGTGCTCTCTGTCCATGAAAATAATGCTATATTACAATATTATGTGAAATTATCATATTCCCACCTAATTTAAAAGCACAACCATTTCGATCACGACTATAAAGATTCAACCATATGCAAATCTAAATGTAATTATTATTTTCATAGTGTTTTACGTAAAAAATCATGTCGTGTTGTTTATCTGTCTGATCTTATAAAGGTTTAAAAGCCAGTACGTTTTGTGTACCAAAGAAAATTCCTTTAAAGGTTGAATGGGGGAAAGCTTTAGGTATTACATTAGGAGAAAACTCTAGTATATGTCAATACCATTTTAAAAATGAAGGCATGAATATCTGTACAAAGAATCAGCAAATATACAACTATTATGTTATTGGTTTATTATTTTGTATTATTTCTTTAATGATATTAGTTTAATGTTGTATCGATTTTCCCAGTTTTCCTACGTTTTTCCGATTTTCCAATATTATCCCGGTTTTTCACATTTGCTGGGAAAACTCTAGAGAAAATCAAAAAAGGACCTCCCAACACCATTTTTCTTTCAGAAAAGGTGCTACGCTTAAAAATTCGAGCAAGTCTTCTGGTATAAAAGTGCTTTACAGATAAAAAATAATAATAATAAATAAACATTTTTGTAAAATCATAAGTTTCTTCGTTCCACTCAGAATCTGAAATGTTAAAACTAAAATTAGTGGGTTTACCCCTAAAAATAACGGTGACAAAAATAATAAAAAGTGTATAAAATTTTTGAGCAGTTTGTTTCTTAAATGTTCTAGAAAACAAATTCCCGAAAAAGTTAATATTTTCCGAAATAAAGAGTGTACCCACTTAAATGGATCACCTTGCAATGCGGAATATAAAATTACAAAAGTGAGGCATTTTTTATACCGATTTTCTTATCTAATCGATACATGAAATTGATCTCCCGACTATATTTAAAAATTTAAACAGAGCACCCATTAAAAAGTCGGTACTTTTACGCCTAAATTAGTATGTTTGGTCACACCACTAAATAGATTAACTTGGTCACACTATTGATAACTAATAGTTGTTTTTTTTATTTTAGGACTAACCTTGCCACTCCATTGGTTGATGGTATGGTTATTAGTAAACAAGTAGTTGGCACAATGGTCAGGCAAACTGCTTTAAATATATGTAGGCGTAAAAGATTAGAAAATGACAGGTAAATAATTTCCATTTAAATATAAACATATTTTTTTAAAATTTCATAAAATTATACAATAATAACACGATATTGAGGCCGGGTTGCACAAGCGTCGTTCTGTAAGGACATACAGAACCATTAGCGCACTTATAGTTAGACTTTGTATTATTTATAGATTTGCAACTAACTATAATTTACAGAATTCAATTCGTATCTGTAACTCCTTGCAAAACAATTTACACATCGACGTTATCATTTTATCAATGTTGTTATTGCCAACATTTCTGATCGTTTTCTTTTTTGAATTTATACACAGTCTATTCAAAAAGTTCCGAAACTGATTTTAAAAAAATACAACAAACGAGTTTAAAGCAAACAATTTTATTTAATTTTCAACATAATATCCTGTCCTATCTATACAAATAGTTAAACGCTTGTACAGTTGCTGTAAGGCTCTGGAGAAATCGTTTTCTTTAATGCTTCAGAATATAGTCTTGTCACATTTTTTGGATAGCCTCCAAATCGTCAAAATGCTCTCCTTTCATGGCAGGTTTTAGCTTATGAAATAGAAAATAGTCGGCTGGGGCCAGATCTGGCGAGTACTGTGAGTGGTTGATAACAGTAATTGATTTTGTAGCCAAATTGTCATAACTATCTGCTCATTGAGTAAAATTACTTGAAGCTTCCACCCAGCGTTTTTTCTGTGCAACCGTTAACGAGTGTGAAACAAACTTCGCACACAATTTTATTTTTAGCCTAAAGATGCCGCAATTTTATTGCTTATTATTGTTCAGGTCTCGGTTATCAGAGAGTTAAACTTTTCAGAAAAATTCTAAGAGGCCAGTCACAATATTTTCGCGATACCCGATAAGTGCCTAATACCAATACGACTATATATTAATAAGTTATAGTGTTATACTAATTAAAGGTACTTCCACCTATAATGCTTTATTGATTTTCAATTTTCATTTTTCCTTGTCACCTACTCGACGAGGTTTTACACAACAAATCGAGGGTTATTTTCAATTAAAATTGTCTGAATGAGTGCAGCGAGCGAGTGACCACCTTGGGTCTCTAGTTCCACCTATAATGCTTTTTCAATTTTTCTTGCTATTTACCCGATGTGGTTTTGCACAAGACCGGTTAATGGTTATCACTTATCATGATACATACATAGTATGAAATAATATTTTTTTTCACATAATTGATTTAACTACATTTTTCTTTCAACTTTCTTTTTTTAACGTTCATGCAGACCGATATGGCTCCGATTTCTTATAAATTTTTTTAAAAACTATACACAAATAGATATCTGTGATCATGAAGATTAGAGATACGGAGACCAAACTCTTAAGGCTGCCTGTTTTTAAAATGAGACAAAAAGCGCACGGTTTTTCTTAAACCTAACCTAACCTTACCGATTATGTACGTTTTTAATTTATTTTAAAATTAAAATTACATTGAGTATCAAAAAATGACTTTCACTGTCAGTGGCTAAGTATTCTAAGGAACATAAAAGGTCTCTTGACAACTCAAATATTCAGATTTCTATGACTGTAAAACCCTGGATTCAAAAATTGTAATTTCTAGATTTACACATTCAAGGTTTGTACATTCCAGATTATTACAGGTACTCCAGTGGCTATATAGTGTATACTACCCCTCGATTATCTACTCGAGTAAGATAATCATAGAGTAATATAAAGAGGCATACGCATTACGCCAATATAAAATATTGAAGACCAGAAAGGAATATAAATACAGTGTAACTACTAAATCATTTGGAAATTATTGTAAAATGTCATCAATGGATAAATTAGAGGGAAAAACAAGTTTATAAAATATGTGTTTTGTTTTTGATCATTATTATAATTATTATTACTATTAATTATTATTATTATTATTATTAAATAAGAAAAATGTTCATTCTGTAATAAGACATACAATAACAGTTACACTAGAGTTATATGTATTTCCATATTGTACACTTTGTTGAATCATGAGATTATTTTTTCTGTAGATATGTTTTAAGATTAAATTCGGATGGATTAATTTTATATGATTAACTGATTTTTTGAATCTAGGTCAAAATATCCAAAATATATAGGTATCTTTAATCCTATATTAATAATAATATAACATAATTATACTTTATAAGCAATAATTGTTGAGCTTTATCTATTATTTTTTTTGAAATTTAATAATTATTAAAAAATATATAGGTATATATCATTGTATAATATATACATATTATCCTTTAATGATTAAACAATATTTTGTTGCCTTTTACTGGTCGACCTGTAAATACAGTCATTTTGCGTCTCACTTTTTTTGTCAATGGTCTCTCTATATTACTCTATGAAGATAACCGTGGTTCAGGGTTATCAAATATAAATATTTTGGTTTATCCGGTTACCATTGTTATCATTATATTTTAATTTACAGATTCATTATAAATTTGTTTATGCAACACTATTACATATTACAGAGCCATTACAATATACAGGCGTTTGTTATATCAAGGAGTCTTTTCTTTTTTATTTTTACAATCCTTTTTGCATTACTTCGATGGACCTTCACTCTTCCCTATCCATCACAGCTAGTTTTAGTTCTTTGTAATTGATTTTTACTATGCCTTCTGTAATCTGTTTCATAAATGGTGCTCTTGGTCTACCTCTTCCAGCTTTTCTTTCTATTATTATCGTTATCCATTCATTGTTTCTTATTACCTACATGTCCAATCCATTTTTTCCTCTTTTCTCAAATCATTTTTTATATTGTTTTTCGTTCGTTCATTTTTATGTATACTTCTCCATTTTTAACTTTCTTTGTTCAAGAAATTTAAAGCGTTTTTCTCCAGCGCGTCTATAAAATATTTGTACAGAATGTTTGTGTAACCCAGCCTGAGCATTATATTATACTATAAATACTATACCTATAAATTAAATTTAAATTCAAGTTATACCTATTAATGTAATTATGTATAATAAAAGAGCTGGAATTTAATTTAAAAATAATATCAAATCATCTGGCTAAAATGCACTTTACCAGGCCTCTTACGAATTTCAATTTTTTTTTTTTAAGACGAGTTTTTCATTGCTGTTTTTGAAACGGTTTGAATTTTTTTGCCGAAACCATTATTAAAGAAGTTATGTTAAAAAACATCAAAAACTTTGAATTTTAAAAACATTTTTTCCTCAGTAAATGTGTTTTTGGACTCTAAAGATGATGGCAGGATCAAAGTTTTTATTTATAAATATGTTAGAATTTATATCGATACAAAGTTTGTTTTTTTATGATTTTATAAATATAACATAATAATGTAGTCTCGCATTTTAATTTTTTTTTTCTTGTTTCTTACCCGACGTAATTTTGCACACGTAGTACACACAAAATACATTTGTTTTTCCCTTGTTACTAATCAACATACCAATACCAAATATCAATACCAAATTTTCACTTCCCCAATATTACAGAAAAAAAGATTTTATAGCAGGATATCTCGCCAAACATTTTTTTTTAAAACAAATCAAAAAATTGATCCTTTAACATAGTTTTTAAATTGGCTGAGAATTTATATAACACGGATGTTTTGAATGTCAAACCAAACTTAAATGAATTTAATGATAAGAGCAATGAGAATGATGACATGGCACATAGAAACTGACAAAATAGTATTTTAAAAAATTAAAAAATCAAAGTTTTTTGACGTAACTTCTATAATGATGAATAGACGTATGATATGCTTAGGTAATAATCTCCTAAGCTTTTCATAAATTAATTTTATTATTATTTTATGTTTATTACCATTATCTATTTTATCTTACCAATGTATAATACTATTTTTTGCATGTCTACTCCCATGATTATGTTATATTGTCATAATTAATGTATTATTTCTAATATTGTATTACTTACTGTTCTATTGGGTACTGAGCCCGTAAATAAATATAAGTAAAATTAAAATAAATAGAATAATGGTTCTAGCAATTTAATTTGTGAAGGGCTTGGTGAAGTGCTTTTGTTCCAAATTATCTATCTATCTGAATATTTATATTTTTCAGTTTTCAACCCGGGCACATTCGTAGACGTTTAAAAATTCAAGAAATTGTTGGAAAATACCAATTAAAAATGACTAAACCAGAGTTTTACACATATTTATTAAGAAATGCTAATTCTGCTTAGAAAATAATTTTTACTCAACGGCTTGTGCAATATTTTCATATAGTTTTCAATTTAACATTAGAAAACCTATTAAATCATTGGAATTAATACTTATCCCTAGTAAGGAATATCTGTGTATTGAATTACAAATGTGTAATATTTAAAAATATGTATAATTTTTATTTCTTTAAATGAAATATTTTCACTTTGTCTATATTTTTTTATTTTTTCTCCATGTTGTCATTAATTTGATTTTAGACTAAACAATTAATTAATATTATTCAAATAAATTTGACACTTTTTCCTAAGTAGTATTTAATTTTACAACAGTATCCTGCATTTACTAAGTATGTTTATAGAACCACACTCCTATACTAAATATTATAATATGAAAAAAATAGGTCTGTTTGTAAGCTTAGTTTTTCTAAACTACACAACATCTTCACTATCATATTTTAGACTAAATGATACTAAATTCACTAAATTTTAGATACTTTCTTTCGGAATGTGTGTATATACAGACCCTACACAAGGGGTAGGTGACATAGGCCATGTCTAGGACGGCTTTTAAAATTTGTATATTATAGATAATTTCTTAAAACATTAAAATTCCTAGTATCTACTTATATTAAATTATGTTGAGTAAAATATAAGAATCTTGAAATTCTTTTGTAATTAAACAAATTATATAAAATATAAAGAGGAGAATCCATCCACTGGCAATACTCCAACGTTTATTTATACATAGTGTTATTGAAGGAGTAGTTTACAACGCCATTTCCTGTTTAATGTTGTAGCTCCTACCCTTAATTTAGATTCTTAAGCAAATTCGTATGGTTTCAGACACTTAAGGTGTCTTATGTCTTTAGAATTATCTAATAATTGGATAGCCAATGGATTAACATGTTGATCTAGTCCCGTGTTTGTGAGAAAACTTTTGGATTTCATCAGCTATTGTGGGCAGCATCATATCGCGGTAAATGGCATCGTTTCTTTCAAATCGGTAGGTTGCAGTGATAGTCCGTAGAGCGATGGTTTTTCATCGTTGTATTATATCAATGTTAGACTTACTGGCACAACCCCACAGTTGATTGCCATAGGTACAAATTGGTTTAATGATAGCTACATATAGTAGATTTTTGTTTTTTTAATTTAATTCGGAATGAAGTCCAACTAACCAATAGAGCTTTCGCTTTTTTTTTTAATCTGTATTTTTGTCTAGCGGACATGGTGTTTCCAGTTTAAACAGTAGTCAAAGTGCATTCTAAGGTATTTTGCTGAATCTTTTTATGGGATTAATGTTTAATTCAACATAATTTAGATTTGTTTTGTTTTACGTTACGCATAGTTGACGTGTACTGATTTATCACTATTTATCTTAATTTTCCAACATCTCGTCCAGGTAAATATGTTGTCAATTGATTCTTGTTAAATTGCAGTTGTCGACAAATTTGCCGTATTATCGGTAAGCATAGCTATCGTTGTGTTGTTATCATTTGGTATATCAGCTGTGTAGAGTAAGTACAGGATAGTTCCTAAGGATGACCGGTGTCAAAATATCACCGAAAATATGTATCCGGTACATTATAACTTCGACAAAATATATCCAACATTATAGTCACACAAAATATATCTTCTATATAATAATAATAATATATTATTTTAGAGTCGTCATTAGACAATATTTTAAAAATATTGGGAATTTTCAAATACTAATTTAACATCTGCAATCTTTAGGCGACGAGCCGTCGTATTGCTGGCGAATAGGTTCCTTATCGCCAAATGCCCAAATTACCCGGAGATTAAGAAAACGAATACCTATGCTTATAGCTATGAAAGTTTAATATTTTAAACATAACGACCTTGACCAGAGATATTTTGTCCTGCAACTAAGACACTACATTGTGGTACTCCAGCTGATATATTTTTCCATTCGGTTACCGCTTCTTCATGTATTACTTAGAATTGATGGTCAGATATGATTAAATATGATTCAAAAAATGCACACCAGGCAGTTGATGAGTAAACTCTTGTGGCAGACTGGTAAAAACCTGAGCACGTCAAGGAACACTCCACAGCAGTAATTCTTTAAGAGCTTTACTCATCACGTTAGTGACGCGATGAATTTGATCGATTGTCGAATGTTTATTGCGGAATACAAACTGATGGTCCGGTATAAGGTGTTTTCCTTCTATGATTAGTTTAAGACGTTTAAGTAAAAGTTTCTCTAAGAGTTTAGACAAACTTGGAAAAAGTGATATCGGTCGGTATGATGTGACATCTTCTGGTGATTTTCCCGGGTTGAGCAACATAATCACTTGTGCCCGTTTCAATTGTTCTGGTATGTATTCCCATCGCAAAATATCATTGTATATATAAGTAAGATGAATGATAGCCTTCTTTGGAAGCTCTTGAAGTATTTTTGGATTTATTTCCTCATAGCCTGGTTCTTTTTGGGGGTTTAAATTGTCATCTATTACTGAAGCAACTTCTAATGGAGTGAAATGTTTAATCTTTTCACGTGTTACACTAAGCTGTTGACATTGCACAATATCAAGCTCAGAGTCTATGTCGTGAGGTAGAAATACGCGTTCAAGATTTTGAGCGTATATTTCTGTTTTTTCTTGTTCACTGCGAGCCCGGGTGCCATCTTCCTTGCGGATAGATGACACCTGAACACGAGGTCTCTTTATATGTCTTGTGGCTTTCTATAACGAATAATCGGCATTATCCGTTGCAGAGAGACCACTTATATATGATCTAAAAACTTTTAATTTTGTTAATTTTGTTATAAAGTATTTTGCTTACACGGTTCCATTCGGTTTTATCCGTTGGATGCCGTGTATTATGGCATATTCTTCTCGCTCGACGTTGTTGTTGAACTAGATTTCTTATTTCCAGTAGGTATGTAGTCTGGCGTTTACCGTTGGAAGCTGTCAAAGTTGCTAAGAATAATATCGTCGATCAATTTTTTAACTGAATTTTCAATGTCGGCTATTGTTATTGTTCTAGTAGAAAGAACTGTTTTCTCCGAGAGCACTTCTAAATAGGTTCCAAACGCTCGTTAGCGTTCCATATTACAATTCGAAGTGTCCTACAAGTTTTCTATTTTTCTGTACTTTTTGATTGGTTATGCTCGAGCTTTTTCAATCTCTGGTTTATTTTTGTTAATTCTGCCATCACGTCAGAAAGCGATGTAACATTTTTTTTCTATTGTGTATAAGTTTGAGTTTGTGGACCTTTGTGTTTATCATTCTAAAATCATGTCATCTGAGCAAAAGAAACATTTTGAGTGACTAGTTTCGCAGAATTTTGTGTGTGCAGAAACTACGTAAGGAACACGAAGGGAGCGAGAAGGGGCTTTAAAATTAACCAATGGATGAAGAGCAGAAGCATCACCACGATCATCCACTAGCTTTTGCTAAAACTTTAAGTTAGCGTAAACTCTTCTGTCTACCAGTGAGATAAGACAAAGTTCTTGCATAATTAGGGAATAGTTATGAAGATGATTTAATTTAATATAAGTGCCGGGGAAGATAAAAATCGTCCTATTTTCCAATTGTCAGGAGTCAGTATCCATGTAAGAGTCTCATAAAATAGACGCATACTATAATAAGGAACATACAAATGAGCAATAGTTTTCAATGAAGATAATAGAACTTCTAAGATACACGTAATACGAAACTAAGCGTTTTTAAAGCTTAACAACATCAATTCAGTATGAGAGTGAAAATTAAGTTCAGTGTTAAAAAGAACATCCAAATCTTTTTTACTGTCCACAGAAGTAACACTATAATCGTTAATTAAATATCTGTAATAGGGGATCGATGTCTTAAAAGTGATATAGAATATCATTTTTCAACATATCCTAGTGTTAGTAAACCACGAAACAAGAATATTAAGATCATTCTGAAGCGCGATGCACTCAAATTTTCAAATACAACGCGATTTTAAACTGAAATTGAAACGTTATCACAAGATAAAATCATGTAAGATTATTATATTCGGAGTGAAGTGAAAAAGCTTATGGTTTTACAAAGATATTTTTTCTTTTCAGTGAACAACTTTTCTACCGTAGATCTTGTTCAGATTTTTAAGTGTAATACCTTTCTGAAAGAAAATTGGCGAGGAAAGGTATTTCTGGGAGATCATATTTCTATTTCTCTGGAGTTTTCTAAACAAATGTGTAAAAATGAAAAAAAAAACCAAGGAAAAACGGGATAATGCAAAATATGCAGGTATTAGTTAAAAATATCAACAACATTTCTACCAGCAATTTTGTTCTAATTTATAATAATAGCAATTATTCTAAAAGGAAATTTGACTGGGGAGGTCATTTTTAGATTTTCTCAAGTTTTTCCAGCAAATGTGAAAAACCAGGAAAAACATGGTAAAATCGGTACATTAAACAAATATTAAAGAAAATATATAATACCTTTAATAATTAAGTTTATAATTTATATTCAGTCGAGTTTTACATTTTGACTTTGTGATATACCTGATGATGAATTTTTAATTCAAAGCTGGTTGTATAATACACATATCATAATACTCCAGGCGACGCATTCATCATTAATTTATTAATTGTATTATTTATATATTTGTTGACTATATTTATAATGAAATGTACATACTTTATAAAATAAATCAAATTTTTGACTTGAGTGTTTTGATGTTTATTCATGTTTAATTATTTCTTATTTATTATGTCCTTACATCTACTGATTTTTATTATTTATATATATTTTATATTTCAGTTTCTATTATGGATTGTTCCAAATGTCGTGCTATTCGTGCACAAGCTTGATCCAGTCGATTAGGGTGTAATGTCTCGTTAGATACCTCTGTTTGGATTATTTGTCCCATAATTCATTTGACAAACTCTAATTAGCTCCTTTCGAATAGTTTCGCCATTCTTTTGGCTGCCTCCCAGACGTGTATTGGGTAACACCTTAGTTATACACCTACGAGTGGAGCTATGGTAATTTTTTGTACGGTAGTTTTCATTTTTCTGCCAAATATATTAAGAATTCCCCGTATAGGCTGGTAAGCTGAATATTTGACATTTACTTGTTATTTATTTTTTTTATCTTAAATAATAATATATCTTATTTGACTGTTAATTACTATTACTACCTACGTTCTTTCATAGACCTTATATTTATTATTTATCAAAATTTACTTATGATTACTTAATTATTATTTTATAACTTTTTTTTTCAAATTAAAAATATTTATTCCTCTTTGAAAGTTGCAAACTTAATTTCTACAATGAGTACTCGAGTAAACTCTGGTGTCGTTCGAGATATCAGAGTTAACTCTACACTGCCGTTTGGGAATGCTGAGCCATTAACTCCGAGTCAACTCGAATGATCCCAGATAAATAGGTAGGTTATTTTAACTCCACTGATAATGATGCTAATCTTGATGATGACAAAACCACAATAACATCGGGTCGTTCGTTCCAAAACCATATTCTTGTTAATTAATCTCTTCATATTGGGTATTCAAAATTAAAAGGGATAAAGGAAAGATTTAACATAGAAATGCTAGATTTGTCGCTAAATTTCAGAACTTACAAATTTTTCAACAAGATGTTAAGACAGATTTTCTAAATGGAAACCTACTTGAAACTGTCTACATGTCTCAACCAAAATGCTTTGAAACAGGAGAAGGGATAGTCTGTAAACTAAGTAAATTTATCTATGTTTTAAAGCAAACCTCAAAATGCTATAGTTTTTGATAATTTTATTAAACTTGGTTTTAAAAATTCAAAATTTAGTAATTTTTATGTTATACAAGAATGTACTAATAACAAAAATGTGACAATTTATTTAACACTTTATATAAATGACATTTTAATTGCTGGAAATTGTCTAGTCTAATTAATTTAAAATTGAGATTGAAACAAGAATTCAACATGGTTGATCAAAGGAATTGCAGATTTCTTTCTATATGATGTATTTAATTATCGTAATGCATTTAAAATATATCGTCGCCATTGTGCAAAAGAGACCAAGTGAAATATTAAAATAGTTGGTAAACTAAAACTGAATATTCATATGGTCTGCAAATTCATAAACTTATTAGATTTTAACAATTTTTGTCTTGAAGAATCAGGGAAAAAGTAAAGAATTTTAACCTTGAATTATCCAATTATAGGTTTAATAATAACTTGGAAATACTTTAAAAAACTAAAAAAAGCGAGAAAAAGAATGACCAACTGACTTCTTAACCACTTAGTCAAATGAAAAACTTATTAAATGACTCAAACAAATGTATAAAATAGGATTATTATATTCTAATAATTATTATTATTCTAAAACAAATCAACTAAAAATTATTGAAAATTAGTGCCTATCAATAAAAAAAGTCTGACATATTTCACATGTGTGTGCAGCAACTATTGTAGGTGGGAAGTTGGGAAGGTAGGATACAGACAGAAATTTAATGTATATTTGTAAGTAACAATAAACCATTGCTAATAAAAAAAAAAAAAAAATTATGAGCGGAGTTTAATTAATAATGTTGCTTTATCAACAATGTATATGTCATATTATAATAAAATGATTGTTTAAAAAAAGATTAAAATAATAAAAACTTAATAATAACAAAAAATTAATAAAAACAGTTGCCAGTGGCAACCTTATTTTTAATATTTTAATCTTTTTTAACCTAAAGAACCGGGGTTTTCCTAATTGTTTCAAATATCAACGAGACTTTCAAAAAAAGGGATTTTTATAGGTTCTAAAAAAATAATTACAATCAAAATCTCGTTCGTAGTCTTCAGGATCTGGTTCGTAGTCTTCAGGATCTGGTTGTTGAATGGACTCATAGTATAATTTTCTGGCAGCATCCGCCTCTTGTACGAATTGGCCCCATCCTTTTGCAAAAACTGTAGGAGTCCTGAGTCCACATTTACGAACGTACTTTAAAACATCAAAATGTTTATTTTTTAATGCTAATTTGCAGATAACTACATCCCATGGACATCCGTGTTCATGAGCATATTTTAAGGTATCAAGATGCCCATTTGAAGCCGCCAATATGCATGTATTTACATCCCATGGACATCCGTGTTCATGAGCATACTTCAAGATTTTAAGATGCCCATTTGAGGCAGCCAATGAACACGTACTCACATCCCAAGGATATCCATGCTCTTTAGCAAATATTAAAACATCAAGATGACCATTTGAGGCTGCCAAATCACGAACCTTCACATCCAATGGAAAACCATGATCATACGCATAATTTATAATGTTAAGATGCCCATTTTCGGCCGCCAATTCATATGTATTCTCAGCCCACGGACATCCCTGTTCATGGGCATATTTTAAAATATTAACATGCCCATGTTTGGCAGCAAATGTACATGTATTCACATCCCACGGACATCCATGTTCACGGGCATATTTTAAAATAGCAAGATGCCCACTTGAAGCCGCTGATGAGCATGTATTCTGATCCCATGGGCATCCATGCTCATGAGCATATTTTAAGATGTCAAGATGCCCATATTTGGCTGCCCTTTCACATGTCTTAATATTCCATTGACATCCGTGTTCATGAGCATATACCAACATATCAAAATGTCCATTTATTGCTGCATTATTGCATGTTTCAGTATTCCATTTAAATTCTAAGTTATGTGCATAGATAAGACAATCTAAATGACCATGTTTTGAGGCAATGGTACACAGTTCAAACGGACGTGTTAGCTCATATAATGCTGATGGGTAACTTTTATTTGATCTCAATCCCAATAGTAGTTCACAACAGTCACGTACATCAATATCGATTACATTTTTCGGTACAGTATAATACCACTTCTTCTCTAAATCGTTGCATGCATAATATGAAAGTTTAGCCAAACTGAACATTATTGCGTTTTTCAATTGACGTCTCAAAATATGAGTAGAGTTTTCGTATTCACCTAAAATAACAAAACATACCAAAGATCATATTATTTTTATTATTCTAACAATATCAATATTACTAAATATTAAATTTAATGTTTATGTTTTAATATGAATACAATAATTAAGGTATGTAGAACCATAACAGCCAATTCAGAAAAGTTCAATTTTACAAATCAATTCATTAATATACTGATTTTACACAACGTTTATCATATAAAGTAATAATATAAAAATATTATTTTTCTTTATTAGTAAATAATTTTAAATTAATAATACAATACACAAAATTGTATGTAATCAATATTTATTTGTTTAATAGCCTTAATAATAAATTAATAGATTGGATCATTCCTTGTCCCAATTAAAAAGTTAAAATATCCATGACAAAACAAAATAATTTTTTTTTAACTGTTGGCCTCTTTGGTATAAGGTAAAATAATATAAATTTGTAACGTTTAATCTGTTAAACCTAAATATTATTTTTTTGTGGGTTGAGATCATATGATTTTACGCGTCTCATTTATTTTTCTCTATATTGGTACCTACTAAAAGTAAAATATTACCGTATTACAACCGTAAATAATGTATAGAAGTGTAGTATATGGAAGACCTAGATTTTTCCCCCCTTGAAACTTTTGACATGTTTGTGAAAGGTTATTTTATAATATTTGGGCACTAAATATATTATTTTTACTATGATGTGTATTTTTTTAAATTCTAATTTTCAGTTAAATCAGTTTTAATCAGTTTTCGTAATAATTGTAAAATAAAGTAGAAAATACAAGAAAGTTTAGAATGATTTTGATATTTTAAATTTTTGTTGTTAATTGGTTTAAAATAATTGCAGACCTAAAATTTTGGTAAGGTGACATTTTGATTGGTTTTATAAAAAATTTAATTTTCAAATAATATCCAAATTTTCTGTTCCCAAAATGTTAACAGATTACAATATATAAATATAATATACAGATATATAACTTATATTGGACTTTTTTTTATGTAGTAATTTTAGAGCAAAGCAAAGGATTATAATTTGTTTTACAAAGTATATTAATATTTTTTTATATATATAAATTGTGAGGAACTTTTTTACCAAAAATTATTTTCCAATGTGTCAAGTGTAACAACTTTTCTAAAAGGAAATTTTACATAGTTGGTACTTTTGGGAAGCCATTTTTTGGTTTTCAAAATAATTTAGAATAAAAGGAAAATGTACAAACATGTTTAAAAGAAACTTCACTCCAAATTGGTTATTTTTAGAAATGGTTAAATGGTTTATCATTACTTACAGATATACATTAGAATTCCTTCCATATCCTACATTTCTAACTTCTCACTTATAACAGTGGCCCACCTATCATGCAAAGTATGTATGTATTTTTTTTAAATATTTTATTGATATTTAAGATATGTTTCTGGGTCTTTTACATTTTCGAGTTTTTTATTTTTGTAGGTATTATATGGATAAAATTGTTTGACGAAACATAAATGCCTGACAATTTAATATGAGTTTCATTGTATGCAGTATCAGCAGTAACAATTTAGTATCTAGTTATTTATTTTGATTAACTTTAAGACAAAATACCTTAGATACACATATCATATATTTTTATAAAATCAGTAAAAAATAAACAAAGAAAAAAAAAGACCGACATAATTTGCAATATGGGAAGGCCACTGTTGTATATGAGAATTTGAGAAGGTAGGATAGAGAGGATTTCAAAGTTTATCAGTACGCAACGATGTATCATTACTAATAAAATATTCTGAGCAGAGTTTGGTTATACATGTTTTAAAAGGCTAGAATATTTACGATTTTTTTTTATCAAAATTTGATATTAAAATTCTTAAAAAAAATAAAATATTAATTTAAACTTAACTTTACCTTAACTTTACTTAACTTAACCTCCTGTTAAATTTTCAAGTATTATTGTTTGGTCGATTAAATATTACGGAAAAAAACTAGCAAAATTAAAATGTCTATGAATAGCTCTAAAATGGCTAAAAATTTTTACTACATCTATAAGAGTCAAATGCAATGTTTTTGTTCAAAATTTCAAGTCTCTACAGATATTTTTAACTGAATTACATTACAAAAACAAAATTAAAACTAAAAGCATTATTTTTGTACGTTTTCTCAAAAATGATTTTTTTGAACTATTACTCCAGGAAAATTTCCTTTCAGAAAAAGTGCTGCACTTGAAAATCGAAACAATATTTTTGATAGATATTTTGTATATAAAATATAAAAATAAAAAATAAAATTAACATTATTGTAAAGTATTCCTCGTTTCACAAAAAATCTAAAACAAAATTGAAAATAATAAGCCTTATTTTCTTAAATTTCCCCCATTATACCTAAGTTTTAGATTCTGTGTGGAGCGAAGAAGCTTATAGTTTTACAAAGATGTTTATTTATTTTTTATTTGTACACAACTTTTCTTCCAGAAGACTTGTTCGGATAGGACACAGCACAATATTATTGTTCCTGCTGAATGCAAAATTTAATGTTGCACGCTATTAAGACAGAAGCAATGTATATGAAACACACACCCAAGATAAATAATAATATATTTGTATTATTTTCTTGATAGAAAAATGGAAATCATTACAGCCATAAACAAATAACTATAAAACACTATCATAGTTTGTGACAATTTTTTTATATTGCAAACATTGTAATGAAATTTGCTTATCTAGTTGTATATGGCCATATTTTAAAATAATTTATTATATATTTATCTATAATAAACAAATACTGTCCATACATGGTTTTTAAATCAGTCTTACACAATGGCGTGGTTAGCAGGTAAGCCTAATAGGCTCAGGCTTTTTCTGAATCCTACAAAGTAATATTTAATAAGATAACTTTTTCCCCCTCTCTTCTTTGCACATTTTTTCTTTGATGAAAAGAATCAAAACATATTTAGGGACATCTATAACACCTCTTCATAATTTAGTGTTAATATCAATTGAAAAACAGTTTAGTTAGGAGTAATTCATGATCCTATAAAGATTATGGACAAGTTTGCTAAATTTAATATTATAATAATTAAATTAATATATTAATAAGTTGTCCAAACGGTTTTCTAAGATTATCCTAGTTTTTTAAAGTTTGTCCCGGTATCCCTAAAATCTTTATCGGGACCTTGATTTTTCCCGGAATTATATTAAATAGTATTATGAAAATCAAATATATTATCAAATTATATTTAAATAACTATATTGCTTTCATTTATTCTTTATTTCCGTTTTAGTTATACTTATACATATATTAATAATTAATATAATAATTATTATTATTGTTATGGATAACCATAACCATAATCGTAGTAATAATATTACTATTCTCGTTTATTTTGTTAATTAATTTTATTCAGCTATTGAACTCTTCTAGCAATTCTAGCAAATTTTAATATTAGTTGTTTAAAGTTTTATAATTTACTCTTGAACTAAAATGAATTGCTAAAACTAGTAAAGTCAAATTCAAAGTATAATTAATAATCAATTTAAATATTGTAACTTCTTAGATTAATATACCTAATAACATAATGTATTTATATTTTATACATATAAATAAAAGTAGATTTTTTTTACAGAATAATTTGTTTGTCCTAGTTTTTTTTTTATTGATCTGATCTAACTACCAAGTAAATTTATAAATTTTAATTTTTAAAATTAACATAAATAATTTAATAAAATAATATTATATAGTATAATTTTTAATTAAAAAAATAATAATAAAAAATATGGTATTGATACCACCAAAATTGGAAAAATGGGATTATTAATTCCATCTGTATAAAAATAAATTATTTGGTTAGCAAAATAGGATTTACTGAAATAATATCACACCAACATGTATACTTACAAACGGGCCTGTTCTGAATTTTGATCCTGAGCACACCTCTGCAAAATGGTAAAAATCTAGTTATTTTATTTATTAGTAATGAATATAATAATAATATAGTTATGAATCATTAGGTACCTACTTATTTTATACAATTATAGAATCAAAGTAAATAAGTCTTATGATTAAAGTTTAATAATACAATATGCAGTTAAGTAGTTGATACATACTTACATTACGTAGTAAATATTTAATGTCTTTAGGCTGTACTCTACACTTTGTAATTGAAATAATGAAAAAAAAAAATGAATAAAATCAGTGTTTACACCACAAATTATCCTTAAGTCATCTGTGATGACTCATGGCATCGGTCATCGGTGGTATCAAAGCATCGGTGTTGTTTCTTTTTAATACATATATCTATATTACAATATCAGTGTTTTTTAAATCCGAAAATCTATAAAGGCATCAAAGAGGGTGTAAGCCGTTTGGTCCATAAAATATTTGTTCCACATTACTTTTGTTCAACATTTTACCATTTCTTCCAAAAACGCTTGTTCCGTCGAACTTATGTTACCCCAAAATTTCTTCCAATGGACATTTGTTCAAAGGATACGTAGTTCTATGAATAAAAGGTGAAAAAGTGTTTTTTGGAACAAATGGTTTTGGAAGAAATAGTAATGGGAACAAACGATTTTGTAAGAAATGTTCACTAACCACAAAATATTTGTTTCCCGATATATTTTCTCCATAACCCATTTGTTCCAAAGGCATCATTTGCGGGGTACCTGTGAAAATCTGGATTGTACAAATCTGAAACGTACAATTCTTGAAAATACAAATCTTGAATCCAGGGTTTTAAGATTATCGAAATTTAAATCGTACACATTTGGAATGTACAAATCTGGAAAAATAATTTTTAATGATCCAGTGTCACCAACTTCGAATAAAAAAGATCTGAATTTCTATAAACAATTATATATATATATATATGTTTCCCAATTTTGCAAATTTTACCTATATACTTAATAATAACATTCACGGCTACCTGTAGGTAATACTTAATAATTGTTTTGTTAAAAAAAAGATATGGTAGCCGTTCTCTGGCACTGATAATAACTTCTAAAAAGTTAATATTTTCTTATAATTTTTTAAAAAAATGGCTTTTGGTCATGGACGTACATGTTTTTGGTCAAAATTTAATAAAAGTTATAATGGCCGTGCCATGGTTTTAAAATAAAGAGTTCCTATTATAATATAATTCTAATAATTATGAATATATTGAATAAAAAGTATTGCACCTATTACAACAAAATGTTGCTCAAATGAATAAATTAATGATGTGTGAATAAGTCAAATTAAAACTACCCAAAAATAATAAATCACTCACATAAGGGAATTAGTTCAAAATTAATCAAATATTTTAAGTTTAAAGAAAATCCATGTTTGAAGAACTAATTTAAAAACAAATGTCAAAAATATTAATAACTTATTATAACTTGTATATTGTAGTCAGTTTTCTCAAAATAGTTTTTGTACCCGGACGCTGTACAAATTGTAACGGATTTTGTCGGAATTTTTAATGAGAAAGACTAAATAGATTTATTTTGTCATCATTCACCTTGGTGTCCTTTGTTTATTTTTAAAATTATAACTTGGTAATAATAATAATTTGGTCTTCGGGGCCACAGGTTGCATATTGAGCACAAATAAAGGCAACCCCTACTTTTATAAAATCACAGCGCCCGGGAGCAATTGTCATCTTTGTCCTCCACTTTTAACACAGCTTTGATCGGATTATAAAATATAATTGTCAGTGAAAAATTAAATGATTTAACTAATATTGTGTTATTTTTGAACCAATAATGCAAACCTCGCAATAGAGACGATTACAGAGAATTGTTGGAATTAGTTGTAATATTTTAGCTGAGGTTCCCATATTGTGGCATATTTTTCCAGTATTAAATATATGTTATAAATTCAGTCCTATATATCTATTAAAAATATTATTATACAATACATATAATATAATTTTTTTATTAATTCTTATTCGATTGCATATTAAAACAGTTTTGTGCACCTATTGCCTTTTTAAAATAATAGTAATCTGTGGTGCCAATCATGAATATAATTATATTATATATTCTGTACTCAACAAAATTTCATATTTTATAATTCAAAACCTATATACATAAACTTAAATATGTATAATAAGTCTTGATGCCTACAGGCTATAGTTAAGCTTTTATCTATTCTGCAAAATGGCGTTAGATTTTTATCAATTCTGTAATAATTATACATAAACATTAAAACTTAAGTAAATGTATGGGACTGGTTATTGATTAGAAGTAATAATATACAGAAGGTTCAGTTTACTTTCCTCTAATTTTATTATTTTATAATAGACTTATTAACTAATTTTCAGAATTTTTTTTTCTGTATACCTACAAATTTAAACTTGATGCAGTTTTAAATTTGATATATTGTCTTGATTATTTTTTCTGTATGTTTGGTGGTAAAACCGCAACCAATTTTTGATTCTTAAATTTCATATCCTATACTATGTCATATATTATATAAATTCCATTACAACGTGGAATTTTAGATGAAATTAATTTTAATGTTGAAATTATAATAGTATGGAAACTACAATCATTCACATTTGAATGGATAAAGATTTTTTGTCAAATAAAAACAAATAATAGTTTAATGATTAGTGCCAAACACAGACAGAACTTACAGTGTAATTTATACTTATACATAATACAAACAAATGCTCAAAATAATATCAAATATTAAATAGGTATAACAAAAAAAATAATAATAATATTAAATGTATATGTTTATATAATAGGACACAAATATTATATGAAAGTATACAAGTAATTAAATGTGCTAAAATTAATATATTAAATATAATAAAGAAACACAAGTGTTGTGATAATAATACAAATATAAATTTAATTGTTATACTATGTACTTTAAATGATGTAGGTCGATACTTTTTTTAAGAAAGTAAATCTGTTAATAAATGTGGTGTATAGTGAGTTCTGCAATCATATTCGGGAGAACTGAGCGATTCATATCCAAAATCTTCATACTGTTCTGTGTCCATTTCGTCTTCCTGACATATTTCTAGTATATGTTCATCATAAGTTGTTGTTACTTCTTCAACGGCTTCCTCTACTATAATAAAACGTTCCAAAGCATCATTTTCATTTACGGTTTGTTCTTCTATTTTAGATTCATTAACTATGTTCGGTGTTGAGTATTGTGTATCTTGATTAGGAATCTTAACTGTTTCTGTGTCTGTGTCTGTGTTTAGCATTGGATCGTCTTTTATGACTACATTATGTAAATCATCAATATTTTGGCAGGATTCCAAGATTTCTGATGTGTCCCCCACCATTTCATCAAGACAACATTCATTGAGGAAACTCTGAATAAAATAAAATATAATATAACATTAATTCAATTATACTGAAAATTATTCTGAAGTCATGGATTATACTCACTTCGCCGAGTAGTTCATCGGCAATTTTTTCCAAACGTTGTGACACGTTGATGTCAAGCCAATCCATATCGTCATCACCTGGAAGTTCCAGATCATGAAGGATGGAATGATCAGTAATTGGAATAGAATCTGATAGCAGAGCATCAAACAGGATATTCGATTCCGTTTTCCCTTCTGCAGAGGGTGTCTAATGGACACTGCAGGTCCTTTAATCGTATTCCTGTCATTTGCTACTGGTATATTTGATTCTGTGGTTACTGGTTTACTCGATACTGTTGTTACTGGTTTAGGTATTGATGAATCAGCTGCGAGTTGTTCTCGTAGCCTTTCATTTTCAGCCATTAATTGCTCTTGATTAAATCGTAAAACTTCTATTTCTTCTTTTAAATGTAAATTCTGAAAATAATATTTTTCAAACTTGAATAATATATTATGTACTATAATACAGCACTTTAATACTGGTATTTCTGAATCATGATCAGTTTAATTATAAAATATTTGTATATTTTGGGGAAGTGGTCTAATAGCAAGATTAACACATTTATTGCAATCTTGCAATCTTGAAAAGTAGATATTAAAAGTATTACTTAGAAGCTAATCATTAGATTTTAATATTCATACAAATGATAAGTGGAAAACAAATAATTATTAATTTCAAATATTAATAAATAATACTTATTTTTTGTTTTGTTTAATTAGGAATGATTTATAAATTTATTTCATACTATACTATCTAGTAACAGTGATTATTACAGTGGCGTAGCTGAGGAATGGCAATGGATGGATCCCCTTCCCTCTCTTGACATTAGTGGTAATGTTTTAATTACGACTATAAACTATAGATAATAAAATACAACAGTATTTATACCCGTGATGTATTACAATTTTTAACACCCCCCCCCTAATTGAGCTTAAGCTATGTCATTCGATTATTAAGCATTATAATCAATACTAAAACCTACCCACCTAGATCAATTTAATAGTAGGTATCTAATACAAAATATGAGATCAAATTTGTATTTTAATAACTGCTAGAATATAGAAGATGAATACAGGTATCTGAGTAGATAATTATTTTCACTAAAATAATTTTAGAGAGTTGTATTTTAATGTTAATATGATAATGTCAAACACTTTAGGTCAAATGTATAAATAATTCCCCGTAAAATAAAAAGCACATTTAAAAATGCATCTTATTTGTTTATGCTTGGTGACAATTGAATAAAAATATAAAGTACAATAATTTTAATTTTAAGTTCATAATTAGATGCAACAAAAGTTATTTCAAACAAAGTAATATTCTGGGTGAAGTTTAATTAAACTCCTTTTGAATTTTATGATTTTAACGATATTCATTAAAATTTTAATTTAAAAAAACGTATAAAAATAAATAGTAATGGTATTTCATAATTTTTCAAAATGTTAAAATTCCAGAAAGTAATACTTCGAAATGTACATTTCCGGAACGCAAAAATCCATAATGTTAATTCACGGACCGCAATAATCCAAAACGTATTATGAATAATATTTATTTAAATTCCTAAACTTAATAATATGAATGTTAAAAAAATTGAGATTAGGTAGGTAGGCATTAGATACTTATATCGGTACAACACAGAGAGGGCGTGTAAAAAAAAAAACGAAAATAAATCAGCCAAAAAGTATTTCGACCGAACAATATTTGAGCTTATATTATTTATTTTTATCCGAAAATATTTCAGCCAACTGTAATTTTCCGGACCGCAATTATACGGAACATAAAATTATTTACATATTATTTATGGACAGCAGTAATCCAGAACGTAATATTCCAAAATGTCAGATACTTGTAATGCTCATACATGTATATATTTTTTTACCATCAAATATATCTTATGATAAAACTCGTGTTATATTTTCAAAAATTTTAGGTACATCAGCAAATTATATTCACACAAAATTCTAAAAATACTTCACAACATTATGTGGTTATAGATTCCAAGCGTAGCGAAAGAGCTATTGGTTTTACTACTAAGATGTTTATTTCTTTTTTTTCTTTTTTCTTTGTTCTAGTCTGTGAACACGTTTTTTTCCTAAAATACTTGCTCCGGTTTTTAGGTGTAGCAACTTTTCTGAAAGCTCAAGTTGTCTAGATGTTACTTTATAGTGGTCATTTTTTGATTTTCGGCGCCATTTTTTAAATAAAAGCACTTAAGTGGGAAAAAAACGTAGGAAAACGTATAATTTCACGATTTCATTATTTTATAAAAACAAGGACATTTTCTACCAGAAAAGGACATCTTATTTGTTGCCTTTTTGTTTTACTTTCTAACCGTATTATTGTCAAAACTTTTAAGCTATTATGGAATTTTAATTTTTAGGAGTTCTTTGCTGTAATTCGGTTATAAATACACGTAGAGGCTTGAAACTTGATGATAATACTTATTATGGACTTACCTAGACGTGGTAAAATTTCCAAAATCATAAGACTTTTTTTTTTTTAATAAACGTTTTGAAATCAAATTTAAACGAAAATCGCAAAAATTTTGTATTACCAAATTTCGATCGGAATTATCTTTCGCCAAGATAGTTTATCGTTGCTTACAGATATAAATGAAATAACCTTATGACCTTAAATAACCTTAAATATCCTACCTTCCAAACTTCTCACCTACAACAGTGGCCGCTCCCATCCCTAGTATTAACACTTTTTTTAAGATTATCATTATAATTGAAACACTGAAATTTAAATTTTGTTTTAACAATAAGTATAACTCATGATATGTAACAATATGTAATATTTTAAACGAATTTCGAATCAGCCAAGATAATTTAATCCCATTAAAAAATCGAATAAAATTTCAAATACCTATCTATATTTATAGCCGATTTTTGAACTACCGATTTAAAGGCCATAAGCCTATAAACCACTAAATACATCAGAATGTTTTAAATATTGTACTAGATGTGTCTAGATAAATTTCAGGTTTCTAATTATTTTAAACCAAATTAAAATCAAAAGAACAAAATAAAAAAAATCGTCAAAACCGCTATTTTATTAAACTTTTCTATTTTTTTTTTTTCTTTTCTCAATTATTATGAAAACTACACAAAAGTCAAAAAATGACCTTGTCAATGCACCAATTAGATCTTAACCGACCTAAACGCTATAAAAGATCTCTTGTCGTTTTTTGATTGGAGTTTTCTGGTAAAAAAATTGCTTACAGGCTGAAAGAAAGGCACACATAGTAATACCAATACATTCTTTGCCGAGCTCAGAATCTAAAATTATACACACCTCTTTTCTTAAGCCATGAACCATTCCAGATAAAATATTAAACTGTGCTTTCTTTTTGTCTCTTGATAGTTGTGCTGCTTCTCTGTTACGTAATTTTCTGAAAAAAATTATAATAAGTAATAATTAAAACCTAAATAATTGTATGACTAATATTATTTAATATTAAATGGTGTTTATTTAAACACCTAACACTTAATATTATGAATGTTTAAAAATTGAAATTAGGTAGGTACTTCTATCGGTACAATATATCGCATAAAATAATCTAAAATAAATCAATCGAAGTATTTCAATTTTCAGCCAGTAGTATTTATTTTTATCCGAAAATATTACTGTTTACCTATAAACAGTGGCGGTTTTTAGGGGGGAGGGGCGATAGGAACGATTGCTCTCCTGAACTTAACTCTTTGTCAACTGTTAGGTAAGTTCTGTACGTAAACAACGATAGACCATTGCTAACGAAAAAACTATTCTGAGCGGAATTCAGTTGATAGTGATGCTTTGTCAATAATATATATTATGTTATATTGTGGTAAAATAATTAAATAGGTATTACCTATTGTATTTTCTTAACTAATGTTTGTTTAATATTGTATCAATTTCCCCGTTTTGTCTATGTTTTTACCCAGTTTTTCACATTTGTTGGGAAAACTACGGAGAAAATCAAAAAAATGACCTCTTTAAAGACCCAACAAAATTTTCTTTCAGAAAAGTTGCTACGTCGTATACATCGGAGCAAGATCCCTGGTATAAATGTTAACCACACAAAAAACAGTTGTAAAACCATAAACTTCTTCGTTCTACTCAAAATCTAAAATGAAAACTGAATAATTGAAATAATTATAAATAGTTGAAATAATAATAATTTAAAACTTATTTAAATAAGATTATATATTTTGTTAGTTTTGTATTTTGTGTTCAAAATTTGGTCGTTCAATTATTTTTTGTTTATTCAAAACTGTGTCAGAATTATAACTTAAGATTTGCACGTTCTTTTAATTTTTGATCAAAGTTTTCAAACTCAACTTTTTCTGATTAGAAACAATAATAAGAAATTAACAAGTTGATAACCATTAGTTTTGACTTTTCGGCTGAAATACGATCGATTGATTTATTTTTGTAAATTTATGTTTCAAATTGAATTAATGATTCAAGAATATTGCACCCATTAGAAATGCATCAAGGATTTTCGTCAAATTCAGTATTAATATTTGTATAAAAAAGAATATACTACATTTAACTCGTATTTTTTGGTTTGATCACAAAGTACGACTTATTTTAATGAATATCCAGTTAAATTATCAAGCATTTCTGTTTAGTCTAAAAATTTCACCATTTTAAAAATGGTGCCACACGTACATATCAAATTTTTGTCACAAAAAATCGTCTTTATAAAACCAATACATTTTTCGCTACACTCAAAATCTAAAATAAAATAAACCCATTCAAATAATAATGTTCCATATTAAACCATAATTATTTTCAGTAAATATATTTAAGTTCTAATCTATTCAGGGTTCAGCGAGTTGATGTATTACATACGTAATTGAAACGACACGCAAATGACGCAATTAGGAGGACTAGAAGACTCAGCCCTCCTGGATCATCTGAAACTACCTCAATGTTGAGGCAGATCCCGATATTCACATTAATTTAATGTTACAATGGGGCTCAAACCCCCCAAGGTTTATAAGCTAATTGCTAAAAGCGTTTAAAAATTTAATGTTAAAATTATTCTCTGAAATCTAAATATAGCTCGTAATTAAATTTCAATAAAAATGTAAACCAATAATAGTAAAATAATACTTTAATCATATAAGATATAATTAAACGGCAACAAAAACGAGTTTTAACGTGTTGTCCATTTATACCTACACAAACATGTAGAATCTACATATTGTAGATATTACATCTACATAATCATAGCTGTTGTTTATTATACTAATAAACATACCCGAGGACAGTAGGTATTCTAAACCGTGATTAATATATGGATTAATAGTACTTATTGGCCATTACATACAAAGAGATCTGACATCTAACAATTTTATTTTATTTCAACAATAGTTCCACTTCGGTAATCGGGATCGACCCATTTTTAGCCATTTTTTGGTTGGTTTACAAAATAAGAATTTTTTTTTTTTTTTTTTCATGAATCAATTTATTACTCCTAATGATTTTGGTAATAATATATTAGGTACCTAAAAATATAATGAAAACTAATAAAGATAAAATTATTTTTTTTTTACATCAATAATAATATATTCAATTTTGGACTTTCAGCCCCCCCCCCCTCCCGTAAAACCATCACTGCTCATTTGTATGTTACGTTATAGTGTAACAGTATCTTATAATAAATTATTTTAATGATTTAAATAAGTATATTAGCTGTAATTGTTCAATAAACGATGTGGGCAGTGTTAAGTGTCAAGTATTGTGAAAACAGATGCCTCGAGCCTAATTGCTGTCGGTTGAAAATGTTCAAATACGAAAAAAAAAAAAAATTAATGATTAGTAAAGTGTTTTCTTTCATTTACGTCACTTGTTATTTGTTTCTCAGTACCTACTTGATTGACAATATTACAATTCATAATTAATAGGTAATAGTCTAGACATACCTACTGTTTTTAATTTTACATAATACAAATCAATAATCGTGTAGTGTTAATTTCTATTGATTGAAATGTAAAATAAAAATTATAATAGTGAATTAGTGTAAACAAATGGTCTAAATGTCCTATCGTGTATTATGGGACCGCAAAACTATATAACGGACAGTGGCCACAATAGCTGGTTAATATCCATTGCTTTATTATCTATAGTTATTATTGCTTATTACAAATAATAATTTATTTACGAAATTCAACTACCGGTTAAGAGTCCGAACAGTAAAAAAAATTACGCGAGTGCGCGTTCGTATACATCGTACCGAATCGCAGTTTACAGCTACACAGTAGAGCGTCTCTCTGAGGCCATGGTTTCCCAAAAACGCACGAACTGAGTTAAATTCCAAATCACATATTATTCCTCTGTACGCGTTATTATTATTAATTATATTTGGATAGCTCGGGGGCCCCCACTTGATCCGGACGACTTATCATTCGACCTATTTACTGGTTAATATTCTAACAATAATATTACAGTACAATTACCGCGAGAACTGTTATAATATAATATTGAGATTGTGGCGCAGGGACAAAGCCGTAGACAAAACACTCCTGAATAAAAATATCTATATCGCTCCCGAATCGCAACATCCTGTACAATCACAATGTAGGCGTTGAATGTTGATTCGAATTTTAATATTATTTATCAATTTATTATACTGCTGCTTCGCACTCAAGGCCTGTCCCGGCCGCCCGCACGCGCACGGGCGCTATCGTGAGGCCCCCCCTCTACCACCGTCCCACGGAAAATGTGCCAATGTGGCCGACACGACACGTTGCGTCTTGCGCGGTGGATGCGTTTCTGCGGCACCGCCGATCGGTGAACGCAATTAGGGTGGCGGGTAGGTGATAAATATATGACTAATATATTATCTATTCGTTTTTCCACACGGACTCACTTGCGCAATATCTTCTCCTCCGGCGATATGTTTTTCACGTACGTCCTCTTGGCTGGCGGCGACGGTCTCGGCGACATCGGCTCGAAGTCACCGTCGTCCTCAGCGACGATCGCCTGGTGTCGCGGCTGTTCCACGTAGCACATGCCGGCCGGGTTGAATATCAACATTTGACTGGGCCGTATGATGTTTGGTGCCATGATTACCGGATTACAGTTTACGACGACGATTAGAAAAAAATCGATTCAAGTACAAAAAAAAAATCTAATAAAACTTTCCTTACGGGTGAAAAAAAAAAAAAAGACTACCTATTCAATATAATAATATATATATATATATATTTGTTTAACGTTCCCGCGCGTATATTATTAAATTATAATGTGACAATATTATGATTTATGACGATGTCCGAAAATGCACGTCTACTCGGTATAGCGGTCGGTACAGATACTGAAACGCCGACACGAAACTAGCGACTATCGACGCGTGTCGTGGCTGCTGCTGCTGCTGCTGCTGCTGCTGGCGGCGACGGTCGATTTTGTCGACATGGCAATGTTGGCGGTGTGGCTTGCGAACTGAGGCGTTCATCCGGCCCCATGATGTTAGAACGCCGGGACATTACGTCATGTTTACGCGACGGACATTAGTGACGTAAACACTTTTCTGATTCAAAACGCAAAATTTCATCGGTGACGACGAAAGGAAATATCAAATGCAACGAACGAACGGCTATAATTGTATTATGTATGTGCCGAAACACTCAGATGATACTTGCACACTTAACACGAGAAAAAAAAAATATACATTGATTACGACGATTATTATTATTTCGATTCGGCCGGCGTAATAATATTATCGGGACATGCATGCGCACGTCTGGGGGAATATGATTTATTGTGTGTTGACGAATGGCGAAACAGTCAACCATCATCGTAAATGTAATATTTGTTCTTAAAAAAAAAAAAAAACCAACTGTATAATTAATGACAGTATTACGCCTATAAACATTACCTACTATACAGGTGCCTATAAGACGCGACGATAATATAATTGAAATTCGTGTACCGGTTGGCCGGTAATGTTGGATTAATGTTGGATGTTATTGAATCGTTTTAGGAGCTGAGCGTACCTAGGAATGTATCGGTTTTACTATGACGTGTGTTTATTTTTGTACTTTTCTGTCTGTAAACGACTTTTCTACCACAAATTTTGTTCCGATCAAAAAATTACTTAAGACCTTTTTCGTTACAATTTGAATCTAGTTGACGGATCGGTAAGATTATTTTTTGATTTTCCAAGCGATTTTCACAATAATTGAGAAAAAAAATCTTTAAAAAATCGGATAAATTTACAGTGATAAAAGTTTAATTATTTTAGATCCTGAGTGGAACAAGCAATGTGTTAGTTTTACAATGATGTTGGTTTTATTTTTTTTTTTCCTTGAACAACTTGTCTACCAGAAATTTTGCTCCGACTTTCAAATTTAGTACATTTTCTGAAATTTGAAAATTTGGCTAGAGTGATGAGAAAAACCGGGAACCAACGTAGGAAAACAGGAAAATTTATGAAATGCATTATTTTCAAATCGTAAATATTATGGCCTTTCAAAACATGTATTACGGAACTCCGTTCAAAATCATTTATCGTTAGCAATAATTAATATTTGCGTACAGATATGCAATTAAATTTTCCCTCTACCTTCCCAAAGTCTCACCTATAACTGCAGTGGCCCACCCACTCGTTTGTCTTTTGACTTTATTTTGATACTATAAATCCTGTACCGAATTTAAAATGTAGGATTTTGCTGAAAGACAATTTGATCTAATATAATAAAAAAAATCATTAGTTTATTTTAAAAGGGGTTATTGTAATTCTTGAGAGTGACTAAGCCCTCTCTATTTGTGTCTATGTATGTTGTTTTCTTAATAATTGAGTAAACTTGGGAAAAAAAGTTTACGGTATATTACTGGTTTTATTATTATCGTTTTTCGTTAAAAGAGAATTTTTCAAAGTTTCAATGATATCATCCACTGGTACACTTATTTCCTGGTAAATATGCAATAGTGGAAGCCCGCATAAGCAATCCTGGCCCATCCTGACACAAAAACCTTGACCCGGTTTGACTATAGATATCTATGGATTTGATGTTATCATATTAACTATTTCATGAAAAAAATAATTTTAAAAACCTTAAAAACAAATAACAAAGCACACATATGATTAAACGGCCCACACACGGGGGTAAATATATAGCTTTAAAATTTTTAACATTATAATCTCCAATTATCGTTCATCAATTCCCATTAATGGACAACCATCATGAAGTATGTAGGTGGTTTTTCATTCGCCTATTATACTAAATATCTTATATTAACTAAATAAAAGTTTTACTATTATTTAGATGCCAGTTTATGTTTATGCGAATAAATTCAGTTTTTATATTATTAGGTATATGTTATACATTTATACCTATTCACACACTAATTTAGCATGCGCCGTAAAAAGAAAAACGTGTTTATTCCGTTAGATAAAAAAAATGAGGTCATTGACACTATCGCGGCAATAACATCCATACGGACATAGGTACGTTACGGAAACACACAAAATGTGACTCATTGGTTAACAAGTATAGTAGCTAGGTATACTATAAGGCACGCAAACAAAAAGATAGGTTTAGAGGTTCTTTCCCCCCCTTTCTGAAATTTGAAAAATGTTACTTCTAATACATCTCATATTATACCAATTAGTTCTAATAGATCTATTATATAATTTAAAATGTTAAAAATTTGTTTTACTTAGAAAATATAAGTTTATGACCCACCCTCCGGGCCTCGCCTCCTCAAAATTGTTGTCAATACATACCTGCCTATTATAAATATACAATAGGTATTTAATTGCCCGTTGATTTCTAAATGGAATATTATTAAATCGTCGAATACGATGACAAAATGTTATAATGGTTTGAATATAATAAATTAAACAATTCGATGGTACAATGTGTTTGCAGATTTGCTCCTGGTGGGTATAGGTACACCATTGGTACTTTTATATTATTATATTCGTGTTAAGTGGGTAGATTTAGGTACAATATATGATTATAACAATTTTAACACACACCGGTTTTAATATTTTGACACTTTTTAAATAATTTACAATTGTAAACCATGAAGTTTATACCACAACGCGATCGGACGTGCAGTAGTAATTTATACATATAGTAGGTAGATAAAATACACTGATTTTTTTATCGTTGTGCATACCTACTCGGCACCCATAGAGTCAAAAATAGCGCTGACCTACATTATTAGTATTTAATATTATAATATTGTAAGCACGAGGGTTCCTATATTATTGTAATAGTATTGTTTAAGAAATACAACAATGGTATAGTAAAAGTAAATAATCCTGTATTATATAGGTATACTTACATTTTGAACATGGCGATATTAAAAATTAATTTTGTGTATACATCAAAATGTCAATAAAACCATAGAGACGTCGACACTCAATAACTATATTACATTATTTAGAATCTATACATACCTATACATACCTATGTATACAATAAGTGATTAAAGTGATGTTCTCCTTTTTATTTAAGATAAAAATATAAAATTATCAGTCTCCGTTAGCTTAAGCATTCTTAAGTAAGTCAGTGGGGACAGTAGTTATTATCACTGAAACCCTATTAGTAGGTATAATAAGGCATAACATTTTAATAAACAAATGTGTGTGAGAAAAAATCATTTTGGAAGTTTTGCCTCCATGATGAGTTTCTTGAAAGTTGGGTTAGATTTAGCTAATTTTCAGTCCCTTAATTTTTGGTAAATAGTCGCCGATGGAGTTTTTGTCTCTTTAACCACTGTTTACGACAATAACGTGATTTGTCAAGATTACCTAGCTACACATATTAAATTTGCATGGAAATAATTCCAACATAGTATATTTAGCCATTCCTATAATATTATTACTATCGTGATATTTTTAAAATAAGAATAAAATCGTTTGTGTCGTAAGCGTTATAAAATATTTGCGCGTTGTACTTTTTTTTCTGTTTAAACAATTTTGATTTTAAGTGTTTAAAGGGACCGTATATATAGTGCAACGTGCACGTCACCCTAATTAAACACAAGATGGTCATAAATATTAAAGTCACCAAAATACGCTGTACAAATAATAATATGTATTTTTAAAAAAAATGACTTACAGCTAGTGTTTGAGATTTTAAAACTATATCTAGGTAGTTAATAATATTATTGAAGTTATCTAAAAATTATAAAATATTTTACAATTTTTATTCAACCTCGTATTTAAATTTAAATTAGCTTTAATGAACCTAACAAAACAAATACTAAACAAGTGTAGAATTATAAATTCTGTATTGACATTTGATCAAAATACGCGCACATATATTTCTATAAAAAAAAAAATAGTATAAAACTTCTCTCGTTTTTTTTGTTACAGAATTATTACTCTTTTGTTACTTTTAATGAACAAACTACGCGCATGAATATTTCACAGATTTGTATAGTATAGTACACAAATTCTCTCTTTTTTTTTTTTGGCAAAATTATATACTCTTGTTATCGTTTCCGGGCGTAATAACAATATACCTATACGCTTAGCTATATATATACGCTTAGTCATTTTGAAAAGTAGAAACGGATGTAAATATGCATAATTGCATATATAGGTATAATTCGAAGGATAAAACAAACTGTACGCACGTGTAAAGTAAAGCACAAAAACGTATTACCATCCGTTCAAATAAAATTATAGTACATAGTTGTTTATACACGGATTTCAATGGAGTTAAACTATAGAGAAGAGATATAGGTATACTACTTAGGTAAAATACTTACAATAGATCTAATAAACTTAGTCACTGAATCTTAGCCACAGTGGTGGATGTGGACTGTCTCTGTGTGTTAAAGTTTAATCACACCCCAAGCCCTCAGCCGTATTAATGTTTTAGGCTTTAATATAGTTATTGGTTATTCTTAGTTCCACGATCAAAAAAATTATTTCTATTCGTATTCTTACAAATTAAACATAAAATATAATTCATATATAAGTTGTATGAATATGCGTTTAGAAGTCAAAATACTAGCTAAGTAATCAACGGAATAATGGGTTACTAGTAAATTTTGCATCCCGAAACTAGAATATTGTTAGTCTGCCCCTGAATTTAGGTTAAAATGGTTGTAATTCAGTTAAAAATCATAATATTATTTCGATTAAACCGGGAAGGGATAAGGACTGACTACACAGTCCGGTAAATCTATGGATTATTCCAGCAGCTCACATAGGTTTTTTTTTTTGGAAGAAGGTTGTGCTTATAATAATTTCCTAGAGAGGGAATATTATCAGTACAATAGGTACTTATCATTATTATTACTGAATAAACTATTTTCACGAAATTAGATTTCATTTTATTCTATGGTATAAGATACTTATTAAACTGCTGAATGCAAAACTTGTTTTAAAAAAAATGTTGTGAATAAAGATATTTCGAAAGAGGGCTCTAACACCCTAACCCCCTACGTGTACGCTACTGATGTATATACCATGATTTATATAGGTATACCAAGAATTCTATCTATTGATTTCACATAATATAAACACGTCTATAACCGATATCATTAAAATAGGGCGTCACCTAAAAGTGAAACATTTGTAACGCTCGAGAGATAGTATTTAATGTAGTACCTAAGCATTTAATAGTAATTACATAGGTATATTTTATAGTTTTTAATTTATTATCAATAGTTGATAGGTACTACACGATACCCAAACACGTGATGAGAACAAAGATTTCCTCCGTTTTGTTTCGTGTTAAGTTCAATGTAGGTATATTCAACTTTAACCTATTTAGGTAGGTACGTGTGTCAAGCATCACCATTTTGATAACGACGAATTGAAAAACACATGTATTACGTAAAGTCGTAAACATATTATTGTTATTGTTATGTGTGGTGAATTATTATGTGGTGGATATCCTGGCAAATATTAGGGGGCTGAAATATTTTGTACCATATAAAGCCATAGGGGTTATGCCCCCACATCCCCAAACAGTTTTCCAACACAAAAATGTATAACAGAAATAATGCATACTTAGGTACCTAATCATTTATTACAAACAAAATACATTTATTTGATTAAAAATATTAATATTTAATATAATAGTATTTGTTATTAATAACAAAACTAGGTACAAAGAACATAACTCAACCAATATTCTAATTCTAAAACCCCCACCGTTTTCCATGTTAATTATTATTTTATCAATAGACTCAATTCTCCGATTTGGTCAGACACGACAGATTAGAAAGTCTTTAGCAAGTTATTTATGCAAAATATACACATGGATTAATATTAGATTAAATAATTTCTGAGATTATGTATGCTTCAAAACGTAAAATATTATTTATTAATCACTAATCACTAATCACTATAGCGTATAGTTATCAATTTTGTAAAAATATGTTGTATTAAAAAAAATATACAATATGTATAATTGTATATATATCATTATTATTAAAAATAGGAAAATATTATTATAGGGGAGCTTGAAAAACGGTGTCGGCACATTTGCGGTCACGACCTTTTTGGTAACACTTGTGGTCACTCGGTTTTTTTTACTCTTTATCTTTTTTTAAAATTCATCACATGGACATCCGTGTTTGCATACATTTAAAATAAAACCTGTCTTCACACTTTTACAGGCTTAGGACTGAAAATTAATATTAATTTAATATTGACTAGTGTGTTTAAAAATTATTTTTTAATGTACCCCACAATTTAATTGCCATATTATTATTATAGGTACTGTTTATTACCATTATTAATTTTTCTTAATTTTATTAAAATATGTGTGGTTATTATTCTATTTAGTTAGGATATTATTTTAGGTTAGTTTTTGGATGAAAGAAAAAATGTTTAGACATTTAACTTCGAACATAAGACATTTGTACTGAGCTAAAAAAGTTGGTCGAGGTCTATTAATTTGTTTGTTTAATCTGCTGTTCTAACCTTTAACCACATTATTTGTTTTAAAAGTTTATTTATAAAAACATTATGTAAATTGTAATTCACTCTAGCTATGAGCACACATCAAAGTAAAACCAATAAATTTCTCGCTCCATTCCAAATCTATAAAATATGAAAATATATGCAAACCCGGATGTTTGTGTAATGTATTGAAAAAAAGATAGCAGGTTAAAAAAAAAAATCCGAATGACCGCAAATGCCGGAATCCTGAAAAACATTTTGAAGGGGCTAAGCCCCCGTAAGCATCATTTTACTTCCACCAAATAAAATTCTTCCTTACTTCTAATTAGGTGCCAAACGACGTTCGATCATTATTACTCTAGTCTTTAAGAAAAGCGTTTGAAAATAAAACAAATAACAAACGATATATAATAGGTAGGTTGTTAATTTTATTTCGAAATTTATATTGAGCCAGGGGGCCTCGTAGTTTTAGAAGGTCTGGCAAATGCCTTCCCGCTTCAACGCGGTACCTGTATCGGCGGATTAGGTTAGCTTAGGATGCACACACAAATTCGCACAGGAGCAGTGGGTGAAAACAGCGGTTACGGTGACTAATAAAATATTAGTCACGGATGTTGTGTTCGTTTCGTATTATTGCGCAGGTATCTTAGCGACTGATGTAACCGACGCGGAGAATTGCGCTACGCTCAAAATTCTCTAACAGGAGTAGGTAGGTACATGACGCGTAGGCGACGCCGGAGGAATGGCAATATTATAATATAAATTAATCTTTCCCTTTGTTTTCATTCCACATTGCAAGTGGAGTTAGTCAGCTACTACTTCCCTACTCTCGGCATATTTGTATTTTAAAGTTTAAAGAACCCAAAGTGGTAAAGAGTAAAGTTATGGTTATTATAATTAAACAAGAGATTATACAGTGTACCTATATATATATATATATATATTATTATTATTGGCGTTTGTCAAAAATCAAAATATATTATATACTTACCTAGGTATACTTACGTGGTACACTAGCTGACTGTGTACAAAAGCACTTTTAATTAAAAAATTCAACGACCCCAACTCCATGATCTTTAAAAGAAAAAAATTAGGTAATTCTTTTCCAGTATTTAATACATTTAAATATATAAATAAAATATATATTGAAATATAAAAATAAATAAATGAATGAATGCGCGTCTGGAGTATTATGATTAGTGTATACGAGTCTTGTTTTACATTTCGACTGTGACATAGGTACCTGATGATGAATTTTTAATTCGAAATCGGTCGTATAACACACTTATCGTAATATTCCAAGCGACGCATTCTTTCATTTTTGTTTTATTTGTATATATAATTTTTTTATTTATATATTTATTTACGAGTACAGTGGATTCCGCCTGATGTGGGCCTTAGTTAATATGGGCATCCGCGTAATATGGGAAAAATGGTCTGGTCCCAACACAAATGTATATTAACAAGGTTAAAAAAAAAGGAATAATATGGACACTTGATTCGGTTTATGGGGGTAATTTTTATTTTATCATAGTGTTAGAATATATACATAAGTATTTAAAAACGACTAATACAATCTGGTTTCGTCGTATCTATAAGATTGTGTTTATCAAAAACTATTAAAATAAAAAGCATTACTATTTATTTTGATGATTAAATGTATAGACTTGCATGTGACTTCATGCAAGAGGGTAACGAAAATAATCTGTCTGATAAACTTAAAGTGTGTGCCCATTTTGTTAACTAGATCCACACTAAACCGCTTATACAACTAGCAATTACAACATTTTATATTTTGTACAACTTCCACATCCAAATAGTAATTTTATATAGTATGTTATATTTAGTTTTATTTATGCAGTAATTTAACATTTTTTTCAATTGTATAGTTCACGTGTGCAAAATAAAAACTTTTTAATATTACAAATTTTTGTGTTTTTTAATTATTTTCGGTTTTTATGGGCAGCCACTTATTGTGGGCAAACAAGGCTGGTCCCAACGTGCATTAAGCGTACATTAAACAGAATCCGCTGTATTAACCATTTTAATAATTTTGTTTTTACTTTATTATTTCATTATTAACACATTTAGTTAGGCAATTCTTTTTAAAATGTACTTTTGTGTCTATGGTACTGCCCAATAGGTTTTTAGTCACATTTCCAGTAGGTACTACTAATTTGTAATTACCAATATTATAATAGTTATAATTAATAACCGTCTATTGCTACCAAATTTTTAAGTGACGGTCCAGTATGTGATCTACCAATAAATTTTAAATTTGTGTTATTTGATTATGTTTTGTAATGGGTAGTGCAAAAATTTATAAGAATTTTGGTCCGCCATTGTATGCCTCATGGCACGGAGTACAGATTGAATTTTAAAGTGCATCATATACTTAAATTAAATTTCACAGTTAGGTTAACATAATGAACCTGTCCGGTTTACAATTCACCACAATTCTACACATTTTCAAAATATAGATATTATTTTTATTCTCAAAATCTTATGTTTACCTGGGGCTTCAGTACTTACAATTAACAACAAAATTCAAATATATTATTTAACACATGCTATTGAATAAAAAAATATTTATATTAAAAAAATAAATAAATATAAAATATGGCAATTTGTATAGTCTGTATAAAAATAAGATCTAAAATAATTTGATTTAAAATTTACTATTAATTAACAACAAATAAATTATACTATTTAACGTGATTAATGATTTAATAATACATATTTCTTAAATTACATATAAAAATAATATTTTTCACTTAAAATATCTTAGAACTAATAATTTCAACAAAATTGCACTCTATATTTGTTTAATATTTTGGTGTATAAACTGTAGATTTTAAATTATTAATTTAGAAACAGACCAAATTTAAAAATATATAATTAATAAATAGCATAGTATCTTATTAAAAAAAAAAAAAATTAAATATCTATATAGATAACCATGTTTAAAATTTTTATTTGTGATAAAAAAGAAAAAGAAAAATATTCTTGAAGTCACAGTAAAAATTAAATGTACAGATAATATATTAATTTAAACACCTATTTGTATGTTTATCTCTTTACAGAGAAATACTAAATCTTTAACAATAATTTTATTATGTAGGTGATCGATGATTACAGAATTGTCAGGAGTCAATTTTTTAACTTTTGGTTATTTGATAAAAATTGTAAAAATAATTTAATTTAAAAGTAAATAACTATTGAAACATATCATGTACTGATTATACATAATTTCTATGTAAAAATAATTGAATGTGCGCTTATTATTGACATAAAATTTGTGACTCATGTGACGTTTCTGCAATAATCGGATTCAGAAATTTCAATTATTTATAATATTATTCATATTAATATAAACTAATTAGTAGTTTTTATAAACATATAATTTTGAATGTTAACATAATATAACATTACAAGAAACACTTGAACAATTTAACTACCTGTACATAAACATTAATATTTAACACTATAGGATACCTAAGTTTGATGAAAACAAGTAAACATTTTTTTAATAAACCACTTTAGTAATTGATTTCAAAAATTTTCTAAACAACACCGTGTGCTGATAATTGTTCAATACATTCATCTAAAAAACCATGATGCATTCTTGTATCAAAGTCAGTTTTATGTACAATACCGTTCCACGCAACAACATCTTCATTGCCAGTTGTCATAGAAAGTCTAACTGTAAAAATGAGTTGTCTTTCGAAAGCTTTGCTTAACAATGACAACACACGTCTTCCTTTTTCCGTGTCTGGTAAATAACATATTCTCGGAAAGCCAAGAGCATAGTATGGACGGCCTGGATGTGGATGTTCTTCACCTTGAATTCCAGATGATATCCTATAAATATTAAAACATTATTTCACTAATATAATTATTATCTTTTTCTTTTTTAAATAATACTTACTCATATGTGATTTGAATAGTTCTCGTACTACCATATCCAGGTAATGATCGATTTAAATAAGTCCATTTCATGGCACCTGGTGGTTGATTTCCTCTCTTTTCTCCATAGACTTTTAAACAAATTGGACATTGAATATACATCCACTATAAAAAGTTTGATCGATTAGGAATTAGGATGTAATTATCATATAATATTTTCAAATTTCATTCATAAGTATTATACCTGATTAGAATAAGGCTGATTGTTTAGAACAGAGTTTAAACATGTAAGATGCATTCGATGTTGACACACGCTTAAAGCTACAACAAGACTTTTGTTTGATTTATTTGATGATACAAATGGATTATCACAAAACGGACATAAAGAGTCAAGTCCTGACCAAAATTCATCTACTATTTGAACGTAGCAAGATAATTTTTCACTTACTGAATTGACTCCTGAAATATTTTTTATATTAATAGAATATTACAATATACTTTTACAAAATCTAAATGCCAATGTTGATTTTTAAAATGTTTTAGTATTTTAATACTAGAACTTACCAATTACAGATTGATTTCTTCCCTCATCTGATTTCTGTTGACATTCAAAAGCATCATCGCTCCCAATGCTACCACCGGAATAATCTAATAGATCATACTATAAATACAAATATATGATTATCAAATATGATAAAAATAGCAAAGTAATAATTATTATATATTTTAAAATATTTTACTCGTGATGTGCGAAGTTCGTGACTGTCATGACTTAAATATGTTGATACTGTATCTACACTAGGACGTCTACCACTACGTATACTACTTGAGTCTAAGTCTATTATAGATGAATCAGACTGAATTGATTCACTATAGCTTTTAGTTGCTGTGGTCCCTATTGGCCATTGAGCTTCTCTAGAGAGCGACGAAGGATTCTTATTAGCTAAACATATTTAAAATATCAAGAACTTTAAATACCTAGGTAATATATTTAAAAAGAAAAAAAAAAATGGAAAATATGATGTACTTACCAAAAATGCTTAACAAAGTACGAGCTATATTTGTACCACTGTGATGATTGTCAGGAACTAATTGTTTTGGTTTTTTATATTGAAGTGATTTTTTAGCCATTGTATCTATGTATTCTGAATTAGATTTTCGAATGGGTTCGTTTTTCAATGATAAATTTCTTATAGTTTCTACAACTGCCCTATCTGAAAATAAAATAATAAATTACTATTACCTATATTAATTAAATGATTATGTATACTGTACATGATATAAGAACAAACCATTAAATTGAATAACTTCGTCCGATTGTATTTTCACAAGTGGATATGGAGCTTGGTTTACACGTCTAATATTACGTTTATATCCACTGTCATTACGTACCTGAGTTAAATTACAAAAATTAATTGTGTACGGAAATCCTAAATATGTCCTGCTCACATCTATAACTTGACAACCCTGAAAATTTAAATATTTTAAATTAGATGTAATAATTTGTATAGACCAATAATGTATGTAGGTATTAAGTAGTTTATGTAGTACACAGTTAATAATACTCACCAATGCCCAGGCCGTTTCTAAAAAACATTGAGATTCCATGTCATATGTATGCCACTCACCAGGTACATCACCAGCCCATTCCCACCTGGCTCCTTTGCCTGGTAATGCATTGGCTGGATAGTAAGATCTACGCACAGCCAGAAGTGCACCTAAAATATAATATTAGTTTTAAAATAAAATACAAATTAAATGATAATTTAAGTTGTGAGTATTATATTTTTCTGATGGTGGTTTTTTTTACTAAAATTGGTGAACATTTTTTCTAAGTACTATTCATCTTTAATGTATAATATTGATATAATTGAATAATTCTAATACATCTTTATTATTATTTTGCATTATAGTTATACAAATATATATTTTGTTTTGTTTATTTTTCGGGATTATGTTCAATACAATAACTTCTTTTCTCTTTGCTATTATCTCCGAAAAAATTAAAATATTAGTTAATCAGCAGCCAAAGTCTCGCTTCTCCGTTCACCATAAAACTGGACACAATTAATTTCTAACTCATCAATTTATTTAATTAAATGTACTCCAAATTGAATGGACCTATAGGAATACTTACGTACCTATACTTTTTTATGTTTTTCTCAAATCTTCATGCTACGTGTTATATAATATATTCTGTAGATACTGTACTATGTAGTGAGTATTCCTAGTTGAGAAAAAAACCAGTAAAATTACCTTCGTTCTCTTCAGAACACTGGTACATTGTACGTAAATTGACAAATGATGATTCCATATTGGGGTCGGCATCCCTTAGTATTACCCTGGTCAACTTTTTGAAATGAGCCCTTTCCAGCAATTGTGCTACTTCGGGACTATGAGGTTTCCATCGACCGTTGCGGTTTTCCCATTCCCAGACGACCACGGCATGTCCGAGGGCCATGTTACGTCCAGGGATCGTCGGCAATTCAAGTAGGTTTTCTTGGACGCATTTAGAAGGTGGCTCGGGCGGGTAGTGACTACAGACAGGTTATGACACGAATAATATCTAGTTAAACATTATTATTATTATTGTTCGTCGTGTTTACAAAATATACGGTTGGTTGATAACAATTGATAAGTCGATAACGATCGATCAGTGTTGTAGTTACGTGTTCGATTGGCCAAGTAGCCTAACCCACGTTCGGGGGCGGTATACACTGCGCCCACGGTCACGGTGTATTGGTAAATATTACACCCTAAAAATATTCTTGATTACACTCGAGTGTGGGACGTGCGTATTACGTATTATCAGTGAGCCGATAGCTTTGAGAACTTAATACCGCTGTTGCAGTACGTCTGCTACAGTTAACAGTATTTAAATATTTATCCTGTCGGCTCACCAATTACATTTCTGTGAGCATTAATTCTGAGTTCCGAAGAGGCGCCTCCGTATCCACCTATATGCGTGTGTCATCAGGCATCCGGGCACTACAAGGATCAAGAGTGTATGTCGATTCCCATAATCCTGTGATTTATTGCTGACAGTTCGTTGTTTGAAAGTACGATCGTCGTTGTTCAATACTATCACTTAATAGAAGATGTCCGACGAACGGCCGGAAAGTTCTGGGAAACGATGGGAGGCACGGGCTAGGGTCGATTATCCGTTACACTATCTCATATGGTTGCGAGAACACAAGTTACTTGAAGAAAAACTTGGTATAATCGGTCTTGATGGAGATTCTACCGACCAGGTAACATTTATAAAATAGGTTTTGTAAGTACTTGATACCAAACTCTTTATAAAAAAAAAAAATATGTAGTTAAGTACTTGGTTTAAATTTTTCAAAAGGTACACTTAATTTTATAAGTAATTATATTTTAATTTTAAATATTTTGTCAAGTTTTCTAACAATTATTTATTTTATTTTAGTAATACTAGGTACACCATTCATATATTTTGATAGGTACCTAATATTAAAATTGTTTCTGTTTTCTAATTAGTTTTTACAGGAAAACTTAGGTGCTTAAAATAAAAATGTTTTCAAGTATAAAAAATTTAAAAGTTTAATTATACAAATTTTTTTATTCTTATTATTATTAGGCATTATATATTATTTATAAAATAATTTAAGATATTAAATAATAAACAAAATATTTCATATCCAGTTAGTAGGTAAATAGAATTCTTTCAAAAAATAAAATTTAAATGAATGATAATTATTATTGTTTTGGACACTAATAATAACTTTGTTTTGAATTCAGGCCAGTTAAAATAACTATGTAAACATAATAAAAATAACATTTTAGTTTAAAATAAACAGTTAATCAGATGTATTTATAGGTACCTAGGTGTTTTATAATATAATTAAATACCTACCTACATTTTAATTTTTGTAAACAAGCAAACAAAATTGTATTTCATATCTTTTAATAATTAAAAATTAAAAGATTTGAGGAACTATTAATAAACAGGTATTAAAAATGTACCTTAAAATAGTACCTTTAAGTTATAATTCTTTTTTAAAAAAAAGTTGGTCATCTTAAATCCTAACAAAGTGTATATTTTCAGTTTTAAAATAGATGTTTAAAAAAAAACATTATTACAAAATAAATAACAACTTAGGTTCTATGTTTCACTTGGATAGTATAAGTACTATTTTATTGTTTAATTAGCTGTGTATTATTGTTCAGTTATAAAGATATATATTAGTATCTATAGGACATATAATAAGGATTTTATAATTTTATATTGAAGTATATTTAAAAGTGTGTAAAATTTTCATCACATATTTATACACATAAATAATGTATACATATTTATGTATATAAATAAATAGTGTTAGTAGGATAATAATACAACTAAACAATATTTAATACAATTATTTTAATTAAATTATTACATAGCAATGGCTTCTTTAAAACCCTAAATCGATAATTATGTGTAAAAAAAAAAGCTTAAGGTTAAAGTAATGCCTGGTGACATTATGCAGTGAACTCAGCTATTAAGCATATTAAAAAAAAAAAAAACCTGTGTACTTACACCCCAATATTTTCCATTTGACCAAAATTATTTTATATTCTATTTGAATAATAAAAAAATAATTTTCTGTGCTGTTGCATATTAAAGCAATTTTAAAAAAATAAATTAAACTCATCCATTATATTATAAAAACTTATATAGGTATAGTCTAATTGCCCTGATCTTATTTTTAAGAGGCTCCTTAAAAAATTTTAATTTTGTCTATTATAAAGTAGTTTTAAATGATTGTTAGATTAGTATTTACTATTGATTATGATTTATAATTTATTTTGTTATTAAATATATTGAGGCTGTATTGTTCTAAACTAGTGGTCTTCAACCGGTGGGTCGCGACCCATTTTTGGGTAACATAAACTTAAAAATTGGGTTGCGATAAGTTTTCTTTTTGAAATAAAAATTAAGTTTATACAATTATATAAGGTTTACAAATAGTTGTTTAATTATTAAATTCAGAAAATGAATAAATGAAAATACAGTTTGAAAATTATTGTAATATATTATGTATAAATAATATTATATAATTTATATTCAAAAATATATTAGTATAATGGGTTTCAAATCACAGTATATATCTCATATACTGATATGATTCTACGTAGTATGATGTAATATATTAGTATTAAATATAATAATTTACGAGTAAACCAGGCTAGTAATAAAATAAATATATTATAGTATTATCGTCAAAGAGTCCCATAATCTACGAACTTTGTCGATGTTGTCGCTGTGTTTAAAGACAAATAAATGTTAGTTGCGTTATTCTAATCATATTTACGTATCCTTTAAAAAGTTTTTTTATTTTTATTTATTCAGTTATAACAGTACTACTACTACAAAGTATTAAGTAATTTTAGATTTTTTTTTTTTGTTTTCCTACAAACGTTTTTCTTAATGTATGCCTTATGTGGGTCGTGAGTCCAAAAAGGTTGAAGACCACTGTTCTAAACTACCTACAACTTTAATTTTAATAATTTTACTCGAAAACCATTCAGTAAATTGTAAATGTATTCTTGGAACAGCTTTAACATGTATTTATACAGAATTTTGAATGAGTATCACATGTTCTTAATTCTTATAACTATTTATGTTATATAATTTTATAATAATATAATTACAGAGATAAAATTGAAACATATAATTTATTTGGAGACAAATTTGTATAATTTGTTTACATACAAAATATTCTTTAAATTTAACTATAGTTGAATTTTATAATAATTTTTATGTTCAGTTTCATAGTTTTGATAGATTATAATTTGTTATTAACCATTTAGTGTTTAAAAGTTAAGTTTGTTGGATGATATGTGCAGTAATGACATGTACAGTACTTTAAATTCTGTTACTATTAAGTACATTCATCATAAAAAGTTGTTTGTACTTGGTTGAGAAAAAAAAACCATGAAAATGTTTTATGTTTTTAATTTTAGGTACCTATGTGTATATACAATTTTATTTTTATTCCACAAAAAATAATAAAATATTATTGGTAAAACTTTCTATAAAAGTTATTATTATATTTCATATTTAAACTATCTTCTTCTTATTATGTCCAGGCTTTATATAGATGTTTTATTAAATTTTTTTTTGCCCCATTGATCGGCTATTTGTATAACCGCATCTGTTGCATTTGCTAGGTCATCTCAACTATTAAATTATTATTAGTTATCTATAAAGTTTAATTGTTAATTATCTGTATGTTTTTAGAATCCAATTGAGAAATTAGATCCTAGAGGCCGTACTCCATTGATGTTAGCCATAACATTAGGCGATATAGAATCTACTAGATTATTAATAATCAGAGGTGCTAATGTCAATGTAAAAAATGATGAAGGATGGACGGGTAAAATAAAATAAAAACAAATTCAATTGAATGATGCCATACTATTTTGTAATTTTAGTACTAGTAATACTAGTAATATTATTTTATAGCAATGCAGGAAGCAATAGCTACAGGTGATCCACAAATGGTCCAACTTGTCATGGAACACAGAGACTATCAACGTCATTCAAATCGTGCTACTGGTGTTTCAAAATTGTTAAAGCTACTTGAAGAATCCCCCGATTTTTATGTAGAAATGAAATGGGAATTTATTAGTTGGGGTATGTTATTTTAGTTATACACTGTTTAAATTTTATTTAATTCCGTTTATTATTTTTGATTTTAGTACCATTAATATCAAGAATGTGTCCAAGTGATACATATAAAATATTTAAACAGGGATCCAAAGTGCGAATAGATACTACATTGTTGGGTTTTGAACAGGGTAATTGGGAACGTGGAAATTTAAGTTATATATTTTTAGGTCAAAGTGAGTGAAGTATTAATATTTCTTATTTTATTATATGCTTGGTCATGTCAATAACATTGTAAAATTACAGCTGCAACGCTTTTCAAATCAGAACGAACTTTCATATTTCAACTTAACGAAGGTTAAATCTTTCATATAAACAAAATATAACTTTTATTTAGAATATAAATGTTCATATTATTTTCATTAATTATTATAGAAAAAGCTTTTCTGATAATCAAATTTTAAACACTAGTAAAGGTATAACTTGTTTATAATAGGTTTAAGATATGTTTTAAAGATCCTTGAGCAGTTTTTAGAACACCTTGTATTAGTTTGAAATAATTTGTCAAATATTTTATATACTTATCTGCATTTTTCATGTATATAATCATTATACCATATTTAAATATTTTTGAAGTAGTTACTAACCTAATGCAATTTGTAACCATGTAAATTATTTAAATGTTAACGATGTATTGATTGTTTTTGAGTGATACATTTATGTTAACTGTCATTTAGTTGAAAAATAGTGTAAACATAAATTTGTTTGCTCAAATTTAATTAGTACAAAACAAAGGTTTTCTAAAACACTAAATAAAAACTAACATTAAATATAATAATACAGTAATAAATTTATTAAAATATAATTATTTATCTATACTTGTCATTGTTAAATTTAAAAATAATAATTACAGTGGAACCTCGATAAGTCAAATTTTTGATAACTCAAAGGAATGCCTTGGCCCCTGAATTTCAATATATGATATGTGGTATAAATTTGCTCTATAATTCAAATTTCGCTAACCCAAATTCCTCAATGTGTCGAAGTTATTTGAGTTGAATTTTGGCTTATAACTAAAATTATTCAAAACAGATTACTGATAATATATTGATAAAGTATAATAAAGTGTATATTCTTAAATAATGATAATCGTAATAGAAAACTTATTATTTTTATTAATATTTACTTAATGCTTAAAAGGCATGGATATAAATTCGTTAAGATAATAAAACAATATAGCCTATGATATTAATGTTTATTTTTGTACATTATTAGTAAATGTATATGTTGATCGAAATATACTTATAAATATTTAAAAATATTTTTGATAACTCAAATTTTTTTTGCCCCCAACCAATTGGAGTTATTGAAGTTTTCTGTAGGTCAAATTTTTAATAATTTGAATTATTTTTTTGCCCCAAACTGATTCAAGGTATCGAGGTTCCACTGTATTTTATACTATAATCATGTGCAATGATTGTGTTATTAGAAACTGACCCTATGACATCCAAATAAATAGATCTTAATAAGCTTTAAATATATGTGATTGTTAAAATAATTAAAAATTATTGATGTATTCAATGTTATTAGGTCAATCAGCTAAATTTCTAGAGGTTGATCACGAGACACACAGGGTATATGTAGAAGAAATACAAATGATTCCTTTAGATCAAGGTATTGAAGTGATGCGTCCATCGGATGATACAATAGCTAGCAGATTGTCTGCTCCTATCGTTAGTTTCGATATAGACACAAAAAAAATAAGTTTCGAAAGGTACTGGTTGAAAGGTTGAAGTAATTTACTGTTGAGAAATTTACAAAATCTTTAATTACTTTTTATTATTAATTTTACAGAAATAAAAGTGGGATTTGGGGTTGGCGGCAAGATAAATCGGAAATAATAAATGATTATAACTGTAAAGTTTTTAATGCAAGTAATGTGGAATTTGTTGCCAAATCAAGAACAGAACACATGAATGAAACTGAAAAGGTAAAGTTAAATAGTACAAAAAATACCATCCAAACAATGTTAGGTTCAAGTGAAGAAAAATGTGTAAGTTTATAATAAACTTTTTATACATTTGATAAATAGCTTATGTATATTTTTATATATGTTCTTTAGCCAGTTAAACCAGAACTTAAAGTTACTATGGCTGAATATTTTGACGAATTTGTGGATATTAGAGGTAAATATTTACGGAAACCAATAGAGCAAACTACCAAAGTCACGAAAATCAAGGTAAGTTTAAATATAATGCCCAATTTATAATTGCTAATTAAAATACATTTTGTATATTTTAGGCCAATTTATGGCTTAGTGAAGATTACCCATTAAGTCTGAAAGAACAAATAATGCCAATTGTTGATTTAATGGCTATTACAAGTTCTCATTTTGCTAAACTCAAGGATTTTATTGAAATGCAACTTCCATCCGGATTTCCTGTTAAAATTGGTATTATACATAATACTAATTTATTATTTATTAAATACTTAAATAATTATAATATTATAGAAATACCATTATACCATATTTCTAATGCCCAAATTACTTTTGGTAATTTATTTGGAATGGATAAAACTATAGAAGGTGTTCAAACATTAGATACAGATGGAAAAATATTCTGTGTAGTTGAAGATTCTGTATTTGTTCCACCCAGAAGTTATGTAGTTCTTGGTAAAATATAAATAATCTAATTTGTTTTCCTTACATATTTTGTGTTCATAAAATTACTAAAACTTTTAAGGTGCTGAACAAAGACGTCAAATTGGTGTAGACAACGATGAAGAACTACTTCAATTTGCTGTTCAACAGAGTCTATTAGAAACTGGTGCTGAAGAAGATCAAGTATTTTTTTTTTTTTTTTTTTGGTCTATATTATAATCTACTTAAGAAAAAAAAATAAAAACATATTATTACTCATTATCAGGTAGACATTTGGGAAGCATTACAAGTTCAAAGACCGAATACTCCTAATGACCCTTATTTTGATCCAGCTGATGAAGAATTGCAAAGGTATAATAATTAACATATCAGATATGATACTTTAATATACATATTTCTTAATCTAAGTGTATTTAAACAGGTTACCATTTAAAAAGAGAGGACTATAAAAATAAAATGCTTAATTCCTCTAATTTGATCCTAAAAATAAATCTACCTTATACCGAGTTGTTAAATATAATACAATTTGATTATTAATTTTGGTAACCACCCAATATAGTGTAATTTATTATGGATCCTTTGCTTAGCTTTTATGTAAATTTAGTTAATTTCCTTGTAGAGCGATCCATGCAAGTTTGACCGAGTGTTCATTTGTGCCTGCGGTTTCGCAACCAGATGTGCCCGATCTTGTAGATGATACAACAGTTAATGATACAGATGCCGATCTTAAAGCAGTATTAAGGTTGTCGATGGAAGAAAAGAGACAGGCTGAACTGCAGATACGAATGGAAGAAGAAATGTTAGAAAAAATATTACAGCTATCTTTAATTGAAAAATAATGGCTTGTAACAGAATATTATGAGTATTAATAAATTATAATTTATTATACTATAATATTTTACAATATGTGTCCCATTAAAAGTGTACAATATCTAACTATAGTAAGATGAATGGTGATTATAGCATCAACAATTATGATGAGAGCTTTTATTTATATATATTTTTATATACTGGGAAAATATTTTTTATTTAAAGATTATGTGCTGCATAAAGTTTACTTAAACTATCAGGTAAATTATATAAGCATAAATAGTTGATTTATTATGATGTGTTTTTAACAATCACTTCAACAAATACCAGTTTATATTTTTTATTCAAATTTAAAACAATCATTGTGTTTTCATTTCTATAAAATACTATATCTTGTATTTGATTTTTGACCAACTATTTTCTTTGTAAAAATAGTGTTGTTGAAATTATCCCTTTTTACTTTAAAACATTTAAATAATATTAGATATTTTGGTTTATAGAAATTTACACCTATATATATATATATATAATGTACACAGGGTGGTATATTCTCTATAAGACTCATTATCTTGAAAAATATTTACTTTTTGGAAAGTTAATGAAACAAGCAGTTATGAAATGTTTTATTACTGTTATTTTTAAGTTTGAAAACTATCCACTTTTGATTTTGTATTAGAAACCCACATTAATTATTCCATAAATAGATGAAGTTTATATTTTAATGTTGAAATTTTCAATTTTTTTCATCCACTTTAAGATTTTGGCGGGGGGAGTGTAATGGAGCACTATTCAATGATCATGCCGCCACACAAATGATGCTTTACTGTTCTTCCCCTATTCAAACTTGTGAAATGTTTCATCAACACGTTAACATAAAAAATGTTCAACACTAAAATATAAGTAAACTTAATCTATTTATCGAATTTTTACTATAGATTTTTATTTTAAAATAAAAAGTTGGTAGTTTTTTAACCCCTTAAAATAAAGGCGACAGAAAATTTCAATGTAACATTTTGAAACTGATTATTCCATAAATTATGCGAAAAAAAAATTCTGAAAAAATTAATTATTTTCTAGAATAATAAGTTTCTTATTGAGGATTCTGTTTAACATAACATATATTATATTTCTTTATTATGTTAATATTACAAACAATAATTTATGTATTTACTTATGTTTAATAATACAGAGTGATTCACTCAATTGGAAACACTCATTATCTTGAAAAGTATTATCATTATTTTTTTTTTTGAAAACTTAAGAATCAAATAGTTCTAAAATTGTACGTTATCATTTTTATTGTACCTCTTATTTTTGGGAGTGAAATGACTGTACTACTTTTGATTTTCAAATAGAAACCTATTTTGAAAATGCTTTAAATAAATGGAGTATTATTTAAAATAATATCTCGTCAACGGATTGACGGAAATCAAAAATTTCAACAACAAATTTTATTTTAAATAATACTTCATTTATTTAAAGCATTTTCAAAATAGGTTTCTATTTGAAAATCAAAAGTAGTACAGTCATTTCACTCCCAAAAATAAGAGGTACAATAAAAATGATAACGTACAATTTTAGAACTATTTGATTCTTAAGTTTTCAAAAAAAAAAATAATGATAATACTTTTCAAGCTAATGAGTGTTTCCGGTTGAGTGAATCACTCTGTATATACTTATTTTGTACCTAGCAAAAATTTTAACTTCTTTATCTTTATTAGTACAATATTATTCGCAATGTATTAATGTTATTAATGTTTATCATAAGCTTGGGTGAAAATTATATCTTTTTTTTTTATTATTATTATTATATTTGATCTTGATTTTTTTTACATTAAGTCATTAAATTACTATTTATATTGTTCTTATGTTATATTCCTATGAAATTTATATTACTTGCATGTATACTTACTCAGTTTTTGCAATGTATTCAATAATTTAAAAAAATATTTGTTCACCTACCTATTTATTTTAACATTTTAAATTGAAAACTAAAATGAATTTTGTAGCTAGTCAGAAGTTAAGTCATTATTATCTATGTTGTTGAGTATAATATATGATATATTGAACCGTGTAATGTATATATATTTATTTTTGTTTTGTTATTAATATAGGTAAGTAACTATTATTAAAATTTACCTGTATAACTGTCGTCGTAATCCATCTTATTTTTTTTTTCTGTTTTTCTGATTTGTATTTTATACATTGTTTTAAAATCGAAAATTGATACCATTTACACAAACCTTATTATTACACCCATCAAAGTCGAATGTTTTTTTCCCTTCTCACCGAATTTGGTCAAAACAACTGTTTCCCCCCTGAACCCTGTTAAACATTTTTGGATTTGTCCCTATTAACTGTTACAGTGGCACTGGACCATGTTTTAAGAAGGAGGACAAGTAAAAGTTGTATAGACCACCATCCTCGTTTACAAAATAAACTTCTACACAACACTCTTAATTAATATTCCATACGTAGGTACCAATTCGATAAAAATATGGCTCAGATACCCATCAAGAATCTACTATCACCCACCCATTGAAAGAAGGGTGGCAATCACTACCCTTGACTGCTGGTTTGGGTGCCACTGAACTGTTTTATTTGGTGTATACATTGTATATATAATATAATTGTTTAGCAGATAAAAATAATTAATATTGTTTAGTTAGGTAAGTACTGATATTTTAATTTTTTTATCTATAACACATACCTGCACACATTTACATATTTGAGCAGCATAGCAATTTAGAACAAATTTTCCTTCAATCAGATGAAGTGAAGAGATCATAATTCTGAAAATAGATTTGAATTCAATAATGAGATATGCAAGTATCTACATTAAATGAGGAAGGCTATTCTTAAAATTACCTACGCTGAATCAAAATCTATTTTCAGAATTCTTATCCCTTTATTAAATCGATCAGCCTGATTGAAAATTGATTTAAATTTTAGTGCTTAGAATGAGTGTTGACAAAAAAGAAAAACAGTATGTCCTATCCAATTCCTTTAACCAGGCACGTAGGTGCAAAGAAAAACATTTGTCATTTCTATCTGGAAGTGCCAATATGTCCATGGAAAGTGCATAATGTGAAAATTGATTCATGTACTTATCGTTATTTACAGATGACTATTAGAAGAAGAAAGACACAATTACTTTTTCACAATATACAAAATGGAATTATTTTGTACTTCTTTTACAAGGGTGCAACTCCTTCCAACCAGCCGTGTTTACAAAAAAATATTTCAGAGGGGTTTAAGGTTTTACACTTTCATACTCTTAAAAGAAAAAAAATTACTTTCTTTTAAGTGAAGCATTATTTTTATTTTTCATTAAAAATGTCAATGTTTTTTAACATTAATTTTAGATTCTGAGTAGAACAATGAATTTATTGATTTTACAATATTTTTTCTTTTTTTTTTTTTCTGTGGACAACTTTTCTACCAGCAATTTTGTTCCAATATACTATTAGAGCACTTTTTCTTAAATTAAATCTGACTGAAAAGGTATTTTAAGGAGGTCATTTTTCGATTTCCCAGCAAATGTGAATAAACGTAGGAATAACGAGTAAATATAAGTATAATATTAAATAAATATTAAAGTAAATAAGTTATGTATATGTAATTATTTTATCCTAATGTTACATATATATATTATTGACAAAGCAATATTATAAACCGAACTCCGATCCCAATAGTTTTTTTCCTTAGTAATGGTCAATCGTTGCTTACAGATATACATAAAATTACTAATAATAGTGACTGCACTCGTAACCATAATCTTAGGACAGCTTTTCAGCCTTTTAAGTACTTATTACTAAATTTTATATTTAATATTTTTTCAGTAAATATAGGCTAAATGATAACGTAATTTCTATTATTGTGATGATAATGCGGACTATGTGATATCGCCGTATAAATTATAATTTTCTAAAAGCTGGAAAAGGAAAACCACAACAAATTAGAAATGACAATAATAATAATATAATATACCTACTGTCTAGTGAGAAAATAAAAATAAAACCAGGATTGTATTTATTTTCCGCATTGGCAGAAACCACATTTGAGGCTCTATTAAAAATCTACTTTCATCATAATTTCCATGAAATTTCGGGGGGTTTGAACCTCTACCACCACCCTCCCCCCATCCCCTGTACACGGAGAAAAAATCAATTTTGAGGCCACGGCGTCGTATCGTGCAGGTGCAACTGCTCCCGGAACAGTCGTGGACACCAAAAGTTTGGTCGCCACGACCAGTGGCGTCTTGCGAACCCGCAAAGTATACCTACTTAAATATCATTTTCGTACAGATATTGCAATGAATTGATATGCACACCTTGGAAACCGTACCTTTACTGTTCGTGTCACGATGTTTGGGGTTTTACTGTTACGGTACTGTGGCCTATGACTCGCCATACCTGTACGACTGTACAACATACATAATCCGTCTTGTTTTGATAATAATATATACTAAGTATGAACAATTTCAACATACGTACGGTGTACGCGCCATGCCACTGGCCATGCAATACTAAATACGACATTTTCGGTACGGCATATATATTTTAATCGGGCGTTATTATTATTGCAATAGTGTCAGCGCAGTACAATGGAGAGACTATGTAGCCACGACGTGACGTTTGACGGGCGCTACGATAATATTATTATTACTCATACAGTACACCTACATGATATTATATGTGAGCATTTACGATTTTCAAGAGAAAAAAAGGCCATTTGACGTCGTCCTATATATTTTCAATAGAGCCGTCGGAGCAATTATAGCATTATACAGGTACACCTACCTGCGGGTGCCATTGAATGATCGCGAACAATTTGTATTACACTATATTGTTCGGCGACGATAAACTGTATCTACTGTAACTGTAGGCGCACCTATCTATATTTACGGATATTTTTGAAAACCGCCCGTCCACGTAAACCGCGATACCTACACCGAGTATAGTACGTAGTCGACACGATACTCATTATGATTTCAAAAAAAAAAAAAATTCAGTAAAATCGCGAGTGTTAATATTCAATAGGTATCTATTACCGAGTGGGTATTTCGATCCCTGCATATTATTTTATTGGATAATAGATAAGTAGGTGTAAGGTATGGTAACCTATCTATTATTATTTCGAACGACTTCGGCAATCACCGTCCGAGAAAAATCTCAATGTATATATTACATGTGTTAGGTAAGTAATAGTGTTCGGTGAGTACAGGTACCACCTACCTTACACGAGAAGGCGAGAATTGTAGCCGAGTCGAACGGAGTAGAATAATTGCTGCGAGTAATCCGTGTACTATTTTCTGACGCCGGTGGTTTTGTACCGAAAACGGTAAAAAAATCAGTAAATAATTAAAATCCACGTCCAATATATTTTAATACTCGCGGTTTTGCATCATTATTATATTTTACGTCGAACGCGTTTATTTTTCATTTTTATAACGACGATTACCTATACATAAAAACGTTCATATAAATGTTATAAAGTTTTGTTTTTTTTTTTTTTTTTTTTATAAAATATAGATATAACATCATGTACGATTTTTCAAATCTTCTGCTGAACATTTGGCAATGTTGCTTCATCGCACCGGTCACGCGACAGTCGGATGGCAATGGCGGCAACAAAAAATACGTGTTCAGCACCGTGTGGTACGTGGCGAACTTGGTCGTGTTGTGCGGGTGTTTGGTGATCGGCGTGTGGGCCATGTCGGACGACATGCACGCGTCAAAAGTGGGCCGGTCGTTGCGGATGAAGAACACCTCGTCGGCGGTGGTGACCGTGTTGCAAGTGACGTTGATGTCGATGGTGTGCGCGGTGGCAGTGGTGAGATCGGCAGGCCGGCACCGCACGCTGCTGGAAATCGGCCGGCAGCTGAGGAGCGCGGACGCCGTGCTGGGCCCGTCGGCCGGCCAGCCGGTGGTGATCCGGTGCGCGTTCGTACTGGTCACTTTCCACGCCGTCCTGTTCGTCGTGGACGGTTTGTTGTGGTATTCACGTTGCTCGACCAGCTGGATGTACACGGTATGTTACGTGTACTCGTTCGTCGATCTATCGTCCATGCTCATGTTCGCGCAGATCGCCTGGTGCATCGGCACCAGGTTTCAGGCCATCAACGAGGTGATCGAGCGGAAACTCGTGGCCGTGGGATCCCGGCATCAGAAGAAGAGCAACTTGGCCCGTTGCGGCGGCGGCCGTTCCGCGCGTCAGCGCTCACAACGGATTTCCGGAAAATGTGCGGCCACCACCATGTCCATTACCACTACACCGATTATGTCCGACAACGATTACAACACGAGTGAGTGTTTAAATTATTTATAGACCTTAACAGATTATGAATGAAATCCATAAATGTATAAACCGAATAGGTGAATTATAAGTATGTACCCTAAGAGGGTAGCCGTAGCATAGGTGCGGCTTCGATAGTTGACACAATTAGAGAAAAAAATACTGAAATTGTTTGGGTGTGTCATGGGGTGAGATGAAGCAGCAAGAATTGTAATAAAAATAAACGTACGAAGAAATAAGGGAAGAGGAAAACCAAAAAAGAGGTGGTTGCGTTTGAGAATGATGTCAAATTACGGCCAGTGTATGTGAGGATGATGTGGGAGATCAGATCAAATGGAAGTTTAAGATCAGAATGGCTGACCCTAAATATTTAGGATGAAGAAGGAGAAGAAAATTTGTAGTATCTTCTTCTCCTTCGTATAGATACTACGAGTGTTATAATTTATAATTAGGTATCTGATCAATCGTAAATCGAACTCTGAACGTATTATATTATGTTGCCTAGTGCAGGTGTTCATAAATAAACCATGCACTCCAATGAATTTTTCGGTCCGGTTCTTAGGAAAACGAAAATTTCGGTTAAATTAATTATTATAAAACTAGTTCCTATATAAATATATCAAGTTTAATTTTGTAATTCAAGTCAGAACTATATTTATTATAAAGTAAGAAACGGAAAAAACCAAACTTATTAATCATTTCAATAATTCATCGACCCGAAATTGCATCATCTATATTTTCACACCACCTTCCCCCCATATAACAAATAGTTTCTGCGCCTCCGAGGTCCATGAAGGAGTTACAAAGGCATATGTCTTATATTAAGTAGGGAGGTAATTATGGTGATGGATAGAGGAGAAGCACGGTGGGCAAGAATAGATAGTAGATTATTCAACTCGTGTAAGATATAAAACCAAAGAAAAATAATTGTAATATTATATAAATTAAATTAAATGTGTACCCATAGGCGTTGTATTTCTGTATATTTTTATCTAATTTTTACTCAGATTTCAAAAACATTTCCATCGCCAAATTACAAAAATTCCACTGGAGCTTCTGCAACAGTATCAAAATGGTCAACGATCAATTCGGCTGGCAATTATTTTTACAACTGTTCTGCAATTGCGTGCAACTAATCGTAACACCGTATTTTTTGATCATGGATCTATTTTATCCGATGCTTTATGGTTCCTCAACTACAGACATCAAATTCATTCTGATCCAAGTCGTCTGGGTACTGACCCATCTGTCTCATTTATTATTACTCGTGTTGCCCACATCTTATGCTACAAAAAAAGTATAAATGAACAATTTTTAAATATTTACACAAGAAACCGGAACAAATCGGTATAAATCTAAGACTTTTTGTAATATTTCACAGGGTGAAAGAACTGCAGTGATCATATGCAAATATTTGACTCTTGACGTCGAACCAGATGATATGAAACAGGTATTTAAACAAACAATGTTGGTACACACAAATTATTCTTCATTTTTGAAAATATTCAATTCGATATTATAATACACTTGCAATACCTATATGAGTTTTAAGATATATTATATCTTAAGTCATAATATACAACTTACATTTCACAATATAAGTAGCAATATTAGATTGATTAATTATTACAAACAGCTATAATGTATTACTGTAACTTTGTCAGTTTTAAATATTACATCGGTTATTTACTCAAAAGTTTTTCTTTTTGGTATAATATTTTTTCAGTTAGAAATATTTGTCCTTCAGTTGCATAAATACGCGATCGATTTTACAGCGTGTGGAATCATAAATTTGCATCGGTCTACTATAACAACGGTAAATATAATATATTATTACAATTCACTGTGTTTTTTTTTTTTATTTTGAAGACGCGTTTGGAAACGTTTTATAACTATTAGATTTACATATTATATACGGCATTAGTTATAGGTACCTACGTATTAGTGTAGTCATGTGAACACAGAAAATATTAGATTTTACTTTCGTTTTATTTCAATAAAATATTATGTGGTTTTGGATTTGGTTAACTTTAACATTAACTATTTAAAATTTTCTTGTTATAATATTATAGCTTTACGTTCAACGTCCAATACATAGTACAAACGAATTTATAATTTATAGTTGGTAATAATCATAAATAATTATAAATTATAATATGATTATGACGTGAGTCATGGGCGTGTGCGCGGGGTTTATGCATAGTATACATTACATCTGTATAATGTATTATCAATGTAGGTATAGATTCATCCTATTAAAAAGTCTATTTTTTTTTTCATCAATGAACTCGTATTATTATTTTATTGATAAACAGGAATTACAATGTCGGTTTCTATCTCCATATATTATTATATAATAGATATGAATTTATTTAACATATATTATAATATATAGGCCGTATTGGTACTTACATATTATTTGAGTTTAATTTGTAGGTATCTATTTAATAATTTTAAAAATATATTGATATACCTATTTTTATTTCGAGGGAAGATGGGCTTAAGTCAATTTTGTTTAGTTATCAATGCAAACAAATTCTATTTTGAAATACATACACTCATGTCATTTAGATCAAAAACTAAAAGGGTAACAAATAATATAAGATAAAAAAAATACGAAAAATTGTGTTAAGCCCTCGCTGGGACCAACGATATTATTTATTGGTTTATTAAACCACAAATATAAAAGTGTATATAACTTACTATTTATTTATTTATTCGATATATTCAATTTGTTCTTTTACGACTAAATTGTCGTGTTTCGCTCATATTGATTTTTCACATTTTTTTTTCGCTCACAAATCCACTTTTTCGTCCAGAATAACTCCCATCACCGAGTTAAAAACGGTATTTGCGCCCATTTTATATGTATTTGTATTAGATAATAATTGCATTAATAATTATTTCAGATTATCGGTTCTGCAATTACGTATTTGGTAATTTTAATCCAATTTAAAAACTCAGACTAGAAAATCGACGATACAATATTATGACGTATAGGATTATAGTATAACAGACGTGAAGGCGTTTCACAATGATTGGACAGTGGACACATTATATACATCACAAATAACATTATAATATAAGTATACTTATTATTTGACAAGTAAATTACGTATAGTGTCGTACATATAATACTATTATTATAGGAGAATACCTATCTATAAATAGGTATTATTTGTTTAAAATCATAAATATTGTATAAGTTTACTGTTTGTATAATTTATTAAATTTCAAGTCTATACTGCAAGGGTAAATCGTTTAAACTTGTTATTTGTTACGTTTCCGACGAGGTTACTGTTCCGGAAACGTCATATGAAGGGCACTGTGTTAAAACGCGATAACTCCTTTCAAAACTTTCCAAGAGACAAAATAAAAATTGCGTTTTAAAAACATTGAGTGAACGATACATTCGAATACCATTTAAGTTCCTCGGATCGTGATAATTGTAATGGAGAACCGTCTGGTATAGTTTTTATTTTATTTGCACTGTTTAAAAATAATTCAAATTGCGCGGAGTTACCTGCCTTTTTGCCGCCCAGATTTAGTGACTTAAGTACATATATTATATTATATTTTATTGAAAATATATATCACAAATAGTATTCTTTTCGAATTTTAGTGAGTAAATTTGTATTCTAATACCTAATAGTATTTAGTTTTAAAAAAAAAATAATCATAAATAAATAATTAATAATCTTTCACATTTATTTTATATCTCTAGTTAGGTAAATAGGTTATATATTTCGGAGCTATCATATTCTTTTTACTGATGAAAAACCAGATAGTTGCAAATATGTTTTAAAAACGTTAAAAATAAAACATAAATATCTCCTATAGTACGGATTGTTGTAATTGTCTCGTTCTTATACAGATACCTATTATATACGTGCAGTGGTGGATCTAGAATATTTTTATGGGAGATGCTATTGTGCTATTATTTTCTGTATAGTCCATTTTGATTATGTGACCTTTTTTTTTGTCCCAAAAAAATTAATGTGTTTAGTATTTAAAAAGATAATCATGAATGGAAACTTTAAAAACACACATTTAAAACAAATTCCTTTATTTTAAAAGAATAATCTTCTCTGTAATAATAATAATAAAAAAATAAATTTTTTAAATGAAAAATTAACATTCTATCAAATATTCATTATAATTGATAAACAAAAAATCAAAAAAAAATTATTTGGCCATTTTGACCATTTTGTCCATCCTTCTCTTTTTTTCGCACGAATGTGACAATAACTTGGTTTATGTCTATCTGTTACACACTATCTGTTAGTGTATGTTTAAGACGGTCAAGCCGTTAAGACGTAATTCAGGAGTAGTGGATCGTAAGTAATTTTTTAACCTTTTTAAAGTTGAGAAAGATATCTCCGTTGTGGCTGTAGAAACTAGTCACATGGTAAAAAAGTATTTTGATGTTGGGAAAAGTTGATCGCAGTGTTCAAATGCTTTAACTGCAATTTGTAGATCGTTTGAAATTTTAGCCCACTGATTTTTCCACAAATTTATTTCTGCTTTCAATTCTAAATCCGAACCCTTAATATCTTCATAATAACATTTGGCAGATTCATAGAAACATGCCGGGCCTTCTAAAAATACATGAATGCACTGTGTACGTATAGTATTTGTTTTAACCATACGGCAATATAGCACCCTAGCACCCTCCTCTGGATCCTCGCCTGTATACGTGTTATTTTTTGTTTTTATACGATTATGTAGTTTAATACACGAATTTTGACGAAAAATGAAATTATCGCGTTTTTGCACACAGCTCTTCGTACCATAATTCCGCCGTACGCAATAATACAATATTGTATAGATAATGTTTTATGCGTCCGTCGCCATGGCCACTTTATGGCGGTGGACCGGGCTGGAAACGTTCGCAGCAAAAAGGACGTGTGGTGGTAGCAAAACTGCCGACTGTTGTAGGGCGTCCTCGCTGTTGGCCGTCTACGCGGCGGCCGTTTATGCGGTGTACGCGTACATGTTCGCAGTGTTCGCGTCCGACAGGATGCGCAAGGCGTACAGGCTGTCCCTCGAGGGCACGGGCAGTACGCTGCAGATCCAGTTGATCCAGGACACGAGCTCGGCATTGTTGTTCGTCGGATCCACGACGGTTTACTGGTGCGTAGCCGCGTACCGTCGTGAACAGATACGCTTGTACGACGAACAGACCATCGTCGAGCGTCTGTTGTTCGGTACCACTGGCCAACGGACACCGCCACCATACAACCACACGGTGGACGCGTGCTGTTGGGCGTTGTACGCTCTGCTGGCTATCGTCCTGTGGCTAGACGAGTATGCCTACACGGTGCCCTATACGCACGCGGCCGTGCACGCTTGGGGCCATTACGTACTGCTCACCGGCACTGTTCAGTTCGCCGTCACCGTGTTCGCGTTGAGGGGTTGTTACTGCGAGCTGAACGGTCGGATGCGAGCCGACGGCGCGCGCGGCACGTCCCGCCGCCGTGACGTTTTATTGGACTTTGGTGATCGTTACGAGGGTGGCGGAGCCGGAAGTGATGACTCTCGGCCTGTCGCTGATGACGATCCGAAAACGTCAACGGAGTCATCTGCGGTGACGTCGAACGACCCACGACTACTCCAAAACGTTATATTCATCGGCGGTAAAGACGCGTCACACGATTCAAAAATACATAAATTTCATAGACACTATCGATAATTTTGATATTATTCAATTTTTTATTTTGATGTTTGACAAGGGGAGAGGGCTCATGTAGTATACAAGTATACAATTTTCGGATAGATCAGTGAAAACGGTGAAAACACTGAAACTCCTAGGGACCGAATAAAATGTCTGTTTATTAAAGGTTAAATATTTTTTCGTGGCTAGATTTATTATAATTTTTAAATATTCGTACAATTTGTATACACGAACACGTTGTGCATACAAAATGTGTTTAAGCGGCTGAAGTAACTACGCAATTATTATTATAACATAGATATCCTATATAACATCCTTCTATTTTATTTTTACGAGAGACCGAAAATCAAATTATTCAAATTTATTTAGGTACTTACCTACTGCAACGCAGCATATTGACCTGGTTATGTATACATAAACCGATTCTCGAAGGACAAAAAACAAACAACATTTAGCCTAGTGGTCCAGGGAATATGGTCGTAATTTTTGAAAACGATAATATTTTTTAAAAATGCTTATATTGTTGATTGGTTTGAAACTGTTATAGAAAGCAAGTTGGAAGGGAGGATATATTATAGAGCAATTAAATTTATACCTGTAGTATAGTAAACGAAAAACGATTATGAGCGGAGTATTGCTGGTCGTGTTTTTTCCAATGTCGTCAGATTAATCTACAAGAAATGAACAAAATTTATAAAAATAATTTCCAATTTTTCTTGTGTGTTTAGAAAAAAAATGACTCCCAATGCACCGACTAGATTAAAAATGTCATAAAAAAGTCCTTATAAATTTTTGATTGGAACAAGATTTTTGGGAGACAAGTTATTACAGACGCATAAAAAAACACATCGTATAGTGAAACCGTTATATTTAACGCTTCGCTCAGAATTTAATACTCGTCTACGACGTCACGAGTATTCAGTATTGTTCTAATGTTCACCACTCGAAGCCGGATTTTAGGGGGCAGGGGGGAATCTGCCCCCCCCTGGCACAAAAAAGGCACAATTTTTTTTTAAAGAATGTCCTATTTAGAGAATACTATTAGCGATTACGATAAAGTACTTACTCGGCACGCGCACTCGCATACGCGTTTCCACAAATTTACTCATATCCGAATTTATTACAAGTAATATCTACGGGTCACAGTGTCTATTTATACAATATTGTACACGTAATAATTTAAATAAAATTATTAAATTACTGTGGAGCGTAGATAATATTTCCACCGACAACCGCGAGCGATAAGGCTTCCATACACTACGAATATTACGATAAAACGAAAAAACGACGGTTTACATGTCGTGTTAAAATCAAGACTCGACAAAAATAAAATCCGTCGTGTTTCGTCGTCGGGATTTGCCCATAAACTTTTGTTTTGACGGTTGTTTTATCGTGACGATGAAAACCGTCGTTTTTTATCGTAGTGTATAGGGGCGTTATTCAAACGTACCTATAAAAATAGATTAGTTTATCTATTGTACGCGATAAACGCGGTACGAGCAAACAATTAAATTCGTTCGAATCGGCCACTTGGTTAGAAAATCATATTGTTTTTTTCGGTGATATAGAAAAACGATTTTATTCAAGAAGCAGTGCGATTGAGTTTTACGTAATGAATTCTATTTTCCCCAAATCAGATGAGTCAAACTAAGCTAAATTAATACACACAATTTATTGACTATTCTGAGAAACAAAGTTGGATAGTTTAATTCCTAATATTTGAATTACATTGTGATTGTACTATACTATGCCAATATCTAATGATGTGCCGGCGAAAGATCGTTTTCGGGCTTAAAAACAGTCAAAAACTATTTGCGATCTACTCTTTCAAAAGAAAAATTTGATTAATTTTCTGTTCTTAATATTGAACCTATTTCATGGGATGAATGTATCGACCAATTCGCTAAATAGATCATCAAGAAAGCATTTTTATAAAAATAATATAACTAACAAAAATAAAATAATGTACTTACGTAATTTACCCAGTATTTTATATAATAGTTTTAATTAATTTAACTTCAATTTTAATCATGTTTACAAAATTTAAAATATTGTTATTTGTATAAATTTATCTATCTACGTTTTTATTGTAGCATTTATATTGTTTATTAGTTTATATTAAAAAGATTGATAACATATTATTTCATTCTTTTTCTTATGACTTAAGGTTGAACAATTTTTGGGAGGGGGAAGGGGCTCTATACTATTCCATTTACCTTCTATTAGAGAATAAAATTAATAAATATCAAATTATAGTAAAAAAAAATTCATGTATATAAAAAAAAGTTCTGAATCTTAAGGAGGTTTAAACATACCTATGCCCTGGGGCGTACAATTTCTTAATCCAGCCCTGGACTCATCGCTTTTAAATTAGGTAGGTACCTATATGTAAAACTCGTAAAACTGATATAGGTATCATATGTTGTATTACCCGAAAAAATTGTTCGTTATTTATTCAGAATTTATAACAGACAAAATCATGAACTTGGTTATCTTTGAGATCTTTGATTGTATGTGTGCAAGTTAATTCAGTGACATGCGGAGGGGGCGGTTAGGGGTTATATCCCCCCAATGGCTTGAAATATAAAAATAACTAAATATGAGTAATCTAATAATTAATAATAATATATTTCAACCATGTTACGAGGAAAAATTAGCCTTTTTTAGGATCAGGCTTTTAAATTACCAATTCCCACTATAAATTTGGGTAGAGAAGACGAATTTATGATTCTTATTTGCTACATCCCCTCACATTGATAATTCCTGAGCATGCCACTGAGTTAAATACTAACATGTCGAACAGTGGTTAAATTTAGCCATCACATGTCGAGCCACTAGATCACAAATGATATTTAATCATTTAAATAGTGTACTTACTTACATATTTTATTTTAGATATGCATTATTTATTTATTTCACTCATCCCCAGTGGTGGATTTAGGATTATTTTTTTTGAAGGAAGAGGGTCAAAGTTGCTTAAAATAATATTAATTTAGACAGTAGGATAATGCAAATCCATCACTATCATTCAAACATCATATATAATCGGACACTATACAAAATACATAACTGTATAAATGTTTTGATAAAATCGACTAGGCGGGTAGGCTAGAATTAAAACTCTTCATGTCCAATAATCACAATTCAGAAAACAAAAAAACTGAGAAAGGGTTTTTCTGTAGGGTAAAAAAATCCAAAATGAATTTCTCTTATAAAATTTAGGCTAAACAATTCAAAGCTGCTACGAAAAATTAAGATTGTAATCATAATTTATATTTATTTTTTTTTTGAGGTAGAAGTTGGGAAATTAATTTTGACTTTTGAATTTATGGTACGAGACATCTGAGTTTTAAAAACAGTTGAAATAAAATATGTGAGTTTTCATACTATAGACCATATTGTGATTTTTGACACATGTTAAGTAACAAACATGACCAATTGGACTTGTTAGTTTTGAGTGTTTTGACATGAATCCTTACTTTCCGATTACATTTTAGACCTGTTTTTGGGTGTTTATATGAACGTTTGGAATTGGATTCACCAATTTAAAACAGAGTTAACTTACTGGTATTTTAATTTTATGGAATTTGTGAGTTTTGATTCTAGCCTAATAATGTACGGTTAGTTAAATAATATAATAATTTATTCAGTATTTTTATTCTGTTCGTATACAGCAGTGGTACTGGACAAAGAAAAATCGCTTACGATGTTGAAATATTTTACCGATTTGCATTGGTCGATCACACAACTCGTATGCAGAATCAACGACTTGTTTAAATTCCGTTTGTTCGTATTCTTTCTGTGTGGCTTACTGCATTTGATGTTTACGCCATATCTGTTGTCATTGACCATATTGAACGAGGATATAGACATCTTGCCTCACATAATCGAACGCACTTTATGGTTCGTCATTCATATATTCCGTGTGTTTTTGATGATATACCCGTGCGCTCTATTGGGCGAAGAGGTAAATTCATTTGAAAATCATTTAAACGATTAAAAAAAAAGTTTTTACTTATATATTTAAGTCTGTGCAGGAAATTATTAAATTTTATTAGTACCTATGCCAAATAATATTATATACCTACTCTAACGGTCCGTATCTTATATTTTATCTTTTTACTCGCAGGCTGCTAAAACGCAAATATTACTAGGAAGTTATTTGAATACTACAATGGATTGCGTAGACATAAAAAAAGTAAGAATGCAATTTATCATATATTAAGCAAACATACTACCAAATCATATCAACACATAAACTCTATATCGTTTAAAATATATTGGAAATGGCTGATGAAATAAATAATTGGTTATAGGTATCTATATCTTCGTTTTTAATATTTTAGGAAGTTTAAGTCAGGGCTATCTCTATAGGAGAGGCGAGTGGGGCCCCTCGCGTTCATCACGGTTGGACAGTCTCAGCGATTTTTTAGATACAATAAAACAATTAAATTAAAAAATCAGGCAATTGAAAAATAGGTGTATTTGAAGTAGTTAAGGACCCCATCACTTCACTCTAATTTGTTCACTGTCAAATCCGTTTAATATACATTCTGTAGGAAAACACATGATGTTTTAGTCCCCACAATTTATGTCTACTCCGAGTCCCGCAAATTGTCAGTACGTTTAGATTCAATTAAATATGATTATATAATAAGGTTCAATTTTACAATAATTTAAAACTTGAATAATATTTATCTATAAAATTGTGCAAAAAAAAAAAAAACCGTTATTAATATTTTAGTTATTACATAATTAGTTACAAATCAAATTTATATTAATCTTTGAATTAAAAATAATTGGTTATCAGATATTTGCGCGCGTTCAAAACACCTGGTAGATGACCGTTGTTCGCCGGAACGAAAGATCTATAGTCTATATACAATTAAATAGGCCCTTGCTGGAAAAAAAAAAGGCTTTATAAGCGACTATATCTTTGTTCCCAGGGAAAAGAGACTTAAGTCAGTTTTCGATATTTTTTTTTATAATTGTGATTTATGTATGCCATTTTTTCTTTTTTATTTGTAATGTCAAAATGGTATAAGTATGTGTATATTCTAATACATGTTATAAGTACTGAAAATTAAAATATCTTAAATTCTTAAGGCACTATGACTTATATACTTTTTGTCCAGTAAATTAGACATAAGTCATGTAAGCAATTAAGGTTTGTATTGAAAATTATATAAAATTACTTAACGACCTTTCTTCCTTTTGACCAAAGACATAAACGTAGGTAAGAGGTAAAAGGTTTGAGGTGTTCGACCCTCGCCTAAATTATGAACACCTAATGGAGTACAAATAAGACTTTTAAATACAATTCACTAATATTAATTTTAGATTCTGAGCGGAGTGAAGAATGAATTGGTTTTACATTGATGATTATTTTTATTTTTATTATTTTTTGAAATTTTACTCCAATTTTCAAGTGTAGCACTTTTTCTGAAAAGAAATCAGACTGGGTTTGTACTTTAGGGGGATCATTACCGGGATCACCGGTAAAAAACGTCGGAAAAACGAGGAAATTTACGAAATGTACTTATTATTTTCAAACCGTAAATATTACGGCCTTTCAAAACATGTATTATATATAACTTCAATCGGTGCTCAGAATCGTTTTCCGTTAGCAATAATTAGTCTTTACGGACAGATATACGTTAAATCTCCTCTCTACCATCCCAAATTTTCACCTACATCTATGGCCAACCCAATGTGCGAAGTATGTCCGTTTGTTTTTTAAAACATAATAAGATGCTTATGAAAAAAAAAAAAGAAAACGTATATTTTTTACTAATTTATTCATAATAAGTTATTAATTTATCATACTTATATAATAGTATCAAATATTATAATTTCATTTTTATCTTATATTATATAATAGTATTTTATACTAGTAGAGTAGAAACTCGATTAACCGTCAACCTTTGTCATCCGTCATCAGTCACCGTCTTATTTCTTCTTAAAATACGAAATATTGTCGTTCAAAAAGCTCATGCATTAAAAAGAACAGAAGAAAATTACGGATTATTTTGTTTAGTATTTTTTAGTATAGTATTATTTTTGTTATTATTATATATTATTATTATTTTATTATTTTTGCCTACAAATACAGACGTTGTAAAATATATTAGTTTATTGGCTTATTACAAAATTTCTGTTAACCGTCTATTCGATTAACTGTCAGTCACTGGATCGGAACTATGGCGGTTAATCGAGTTTCTAATTTACTATAAAGCCAACACTTAATTTTTTTATTTTTTCTCAAAATAATAGAAAGACTGGACAAATATTTTAGAGTCGATCCACAAAATTCTGAAAATTTCGGTAAAATTGACTACACAACTCGCCTGTAGATATGGATGATAGGTATCATGTCCTTTTTTCAAATGGTTTTTAGAAGGTCGTCGATTGGTTTGAATATATAATAATAATAAATATTTCGTTTCGATAATTCAAACATAATATAATAATTAATAGTGTACTGAAGCTGATATAACAATCAACTAATCATACTGTATTTGATGTCGAAGTTTACACCATGCCCCGTATAAGTTATCTATTTATGGTTTTTCGGCGTTTACACAGTTTGTTTTGAATCTAATAGTTCATCCGAGTTTATATGTATTACATTTAAACAAAGTTGAATATTTCGTTCACATCTCTCCGAAAATCACTAAAAACCGTTTTCGCGGGACCAAATAATAAAATAACCAAAAATCTATAGTTTGTTCACGAAAATATAAACAAAAACAAAAAAATCCGTGTTTTTTGTCAGTACATGTATTATAATATTTGTTAACGCATCGTTAAACATCATTTAATTTTCAGACTAACGGTTTTATTATTATTTTTTTTTTAATCGGATATTTATTGTGCAAATATAAATAGTATGCCTACTTATTTAATTGTGGTAACGAAGGAAAAAAGAATATTTTACAAAAAATTGAATTATATATAATAATACCTAACATATTTAATTTAGTTACTTGATATTTTTAGTTTTCGTTAAGGAAGGCTGTATAAGTCCGGAAAATATATGTTTCTTACCTTACCAATATTATTAACTATTATACAATATAGTTGAGCACATGTAATATGTAGATGTTTTACGTTTTTGTATATGTGTATGATAAAAAGCATAATACTTTTTTTTATAGGTAGAAACTTATGCACAACAGTTGGACGCCAACAAACCGGAATTTAGTATTTACAGTATGTTTGTTATAGACAGACCACTGGTTATTACTGTAAGTATACCTTAAACATTTGGGTTGTTAAATATAGCATTTATAGATATTAAACAAATATTATAACATATAAATGCATAATATGATTACACAATATTTTAACGGAAAGTGAAAAATTGAAATAACTATTATGTTGGAAGACGGGAGTAAATAAAAACTCATAAATACCTATAAATAATATATTTCGATACAATAATAAATAATAATATAATACTTGGAAATATTAACCGGGTAAAAGCAAAATCGATTGATTGATTTATCGTTATTGAACCGAATGACATTTTTTGGGGAATACATTTTGCGACCAGCCTACTACTCTTTATTAGATTTACTGATTTCGTTTAAAATAATAACCTACCTAATTTATTATTTTTATTGATATTTTACTCTTTGAAATCATTATTTATTAGTTTATTGAAATTCATCGACCATTATACACTCTAGATGATATAATGTCTAAGCAGTTATGTATATATAAACATTGGCATGGGTTACGTGTAATGTTATTAACTTACGGCTGTAAATACGTCTGACAGTTGTCTGTTATTAAAATGTACAAAGTCTTTCTCAGCTAAAACAAGGTGCCTAATATTTGTGTCGATAACAATCATTTTATTTAACGTTTTGTACTTATAGTTAACAGGAGCCGTTGCGACTTATTTGGTGATAATTCTACAACTACCAGGTCAATCGTAATAATGGTGGAATAACTATTTATCATTAAAACTCGTACAAAATGTTTGTTTTGCATTCAAATATCTAATAAAGACACGTCATCATTTTAATAATGTATTTTTATCGATTATCCTCAATGCACTAGCGATGCAGTGTTAAATTGTTAAGTGAGTATATACGCTTGAGACGAAAAATACCAAGAAGTGAGTATACACCGTGTACCCGAGCATACGCTCCGATACACCTAACAGACGGTCAGGTTATTATAGGCCTATACAGGGCCGAATTTGATGGAGGGTTTTAAGGGCACTTGCCCAGGGCAGCAGATGTTTCGGGGGGCATCCGATTGCCGGAATACTAAATGAAAAATTTAAAAACTGTTGAACCTTGGCTTAGGAAATTTATAGAAAAAAATATCATTTCATCATCAAATTATTATTGATTTATACTATGATTTAGGCAGCGAATTAATACGTCAAGATTTCACGAAACAACATAATGGCAATGAGGCATCCAGCGAACACAAAATATTTTAGTAAATAAACGTATAAACATTGGAACGTTTATACGATTTATTTTTAGACAATGTGGTGGTAGTATCTGCCGCCCAGAAAACACAGGTTTGATAAGGCGTAACATGAACTTCTACAGTTTCGCGGATCACCGTACCATATTATAATAGCGCATACCGTTGTGTAATTTTGTTTTCACGTCATTATCTTCAATATAATTAATTATAAACATTAAGGGGATTGGAAGCGACAAGTTTCTGTCTTTGGCTTACACACATGTAATACAGGGATTTAGACGTGTTCTAATTCCAACGCATCGATTGATATTGTGAAGCGATAAGAATTCTGGAAACAGATTTGAATTTGTCGTGAAGTCTACTTGAGATCGACTTTCCTGCTTTTAAAATTTATCTCGTTAAATTCTAAAAAAAACCATACTTATGAAAGAGTAATTGAAAAAGATGGAATATTTTAATTGGTTGAGAAATTAAAATCAATAAAGTGGGAAAGTTCAATCGGCACATTGGAAACAAAACACGTCTAATTTCCTATATCTTATGTGTGTAAGACAAAGACAGAATCTCGTCGCTTCCAAACACCTTAAGTATCTAATTAATTAAGTAAAAATAAATTAATAAATACCTAACAACTCGTTCAGCTGTTCAGTGTACAGCGTACTGTTGCGTGCATACGTGTATTTAGTTTCGTGTAGTCGTGTGCGCGTAATTACATTAGGTTTTTTTAAGAATGTACATGAATGTATTGGTTTTACATTTTTAATTCTAAATTAAATGCGTCCAGTGTTCGAATTAGGTTCGCACACGAAAAACATTAAATGACGCCGTTCTCGAAGAAACTGTTCGCTTTCGGGAAGGTTAAAAACGAACTGATAATAAACGCTTGCATTGTCGCCGTTCTATCGTGGAAAAAACTGTTCTCCTCGAATTTGCCCGCGGATACGTCTTGTGTAATTCAACCGTGTATAAAAATCATTACGAAAGTCGGTCAGATTGTTTTACCGTTGTATCGTTGTTCGTTTTTTTTTCTAATAAAATAAACTAAGTGCTTTAGTGATAATCGTTCAAGAAGGGCAGTTGGTGGAAATACTGAAATGCCGTAGCATTGGTGACTGGTAAGCATCTTGGAAATTATGTTTACATAAAAAACAAGATTACCGTTGTTTTGTATTTTCTCAATATTATATAGGTACCGTGGACGATAAGATATTCGTATGTATGGTCACTCGTGATAGACAGGTTTGGTGCCTATTTAGCTTTCGTATTTTAGATTTCGAGCGTAACGAGGGAGCTATTGGTTTTACAATGCTGTTTATTTTTCTTCGTCTTCTTTGTTCTAGTCTGTGGACACACTTTTTCCTAGTAAACTTGCTCCGATGTATAAGTATAGAGCCTTTTCTGAAAGTCAATTGTATCTATTTGGTAAACGCATAGGCCATTTTTTGATTTTCTAAACGGTATTTAAAATAAATACGATTAACCGGGAAAAATTTTTTCAAAATTTCGTTATTTTAACTCCAATAGAAAAACGACAAGAGACCTTTTTTGTTGAATTATTAATCTCGTTTTTAATTATGCAGGTGTTTTTTTTTTTTTTTTTTTTTTAATAAGCGTTTTGAAATGAAATTTAAACGAAAATCTCCCAAAAAAATTACGGCACTTTAAATTATGTATTACCAAACTGCGCTCGGGATCGTCTTTCGTCAGCAATGGTTTATCGTTACTTACAGATATAAATGAAATAACCTTATGTATCCTACCTTCCCAACTTCTCACCTACAACAGTGGCCGTTTCCATCCATAATATCAGCTTTTTTTTTTGTTTTACAGTTTATTTTGTTGATACACTTACACCACTACACTTAATTTTAAAAGTTTCGGTTTCCCCCCCCTAGAATCTTAAAAACTATCGCGGAAAGGGCGAATTGCCCATGCTAATCTGTCCATCATAGACGTCTCATTGGTTTGCAACTTGACGAGTTGCGTATTGTTTATTTGTTTACGTCGTTCGCTGTTATGTTCGAATAACGAATATAATGTTCATTTAATTCGAAACATTTTTTGACGGGTGGTAACCGTTTGAGTATTTTAACTTTTAGTAATAGATATACATTATTTAACTTTTGTACCTAATGCCATTTAATAATATTATTTGGTGTATATCTATACGAGAAGAAAACATTTTGAACTGTTATTTATAAAGTATTATTTATATTTTGTTTCGGGTTTGGCATCTGGTCTAAAACATTAAGTACAAATAACGTCACGAAGTTATAAACGTTTAAGAACAGCGTATAATATTGTAACAGTTTTTAAACGAAAGCAGCAAGGACCTATATACTTATTGGTTTTACATTTTATAGTAGGTACCTATTACAAACAGGAACGATAATTTGTATTATTTGAATTCCACAGTATTTTACAAACTAAAATGATATAATATGAATGACACGCGTGTTTAATGTTATTAACAGAATGATTTTTGTTTTTAACTTGCAAGTTTGAGAAATGTTTAGGTGTGTCGTTGGAGGACGTGAATATTCTAATATATATTATTACATACATACATACATACCTAGGCACTTATAAATATGTATAAAACGTACACAATTGCATTTTACAAGACAGTTTTCATGCGACACCTTTTATTTTAAATGTTACGCATTTGTATAAGTACTCGTACTGCATGTCTCATATATATATATATATATATAGTAGGTACATACATTTATAAATTATAATAATTAACGAGGTAAATTAAATATTTATATATTTAGAGAGAATATTAAAATAATATGATCAACTATCAATTATAAATATATTATTGTTATAATGTATACTAAACACATAGGTACCTGTAAATATTAAAGCAATATAATATGCAATATGAAATTACTGGAATGCTAAAACAGAGTATGTATTATATTATAATACTACAGCCTACAAGACTTACTTAAGTACGTTGTACACGTTACACGTGTACAGATAGAAATATTATTTTAACAAGACGTGTGGTAGGTGGTTTAAAAAATTAAATTACCAAACACATTTTTACGGTGTACTTACAGGTGAAATTAGAAACAATTATGCATTTTATTATAATACAAGCAGGCACTCAGTGGCGCCCAAACTATATCTCGAGTGTAACAGTGTTACTACACATCATATTTTGGGCGGATGAGTGCTCCCGGTAATCGGGATTTGGGATAGTCGGGTAGAATGGGTATAAATATTTAGGGTATTAGATTGTAGGGGTCGGAAAGTATATATTTATATGGGTAAAAGTTATTGAGGTGGATGGTGGTTTTGGCTTTCAGATTCCGCTCTCCCATAAAAATATACTTTAGGCACTGCTGTAGACACTTATAATGTTATATTAAAATATTGCTCTACAAGCCTTCGACTATGCGCTATACAATTATTATAATTTATATTATTATGCGGTAATAATAGGTAATCTTTTCAATGTTTTTTCACTCGTTAAAATAATATACCAATGGCCATTATTATAACTTAATATAAGTATGCAGAAAAATAAATAAATTGTGGGGTTTGTGTAAAACTGAGATATAATAATATTGTACATGCAAGTGATCACGTCATTAAATTCGGAAACGAAAATACAGTGAAACCCCCTTTAACGATCACCTCTAAATAGCGAACACCTCCAAACAGCGGACGTTTTTTTTGGAAACGGGGACATTTTCACTATTTATTCATAGGAAAACCTCTAAAAACAGGACACTCTAAATAACGGAAACTTTTTAATATTGATATTGATAGTTTTTATCGTAAATTAAGAATAATTTATAAAGTTGAAAAAAGAATATAATATTAAACCTTTTGAAGTGAGGTTAGATTTCAACATGACTTTTTGGCATTTCGTCTGTCTGTTTTTTTGCGCAATTACGCCTTTGGACATTGGCACTTCAGATTCGGCTTTTAAATTATCACTGATAAGTTAGGTATATGTATAACAAAAGAAGATTCTAAGATTTATTTATGAATCATGATCATTATTTACTACATTCCCTTCTATTGAAAATTCCTGGGCATGCCACCGTGTTAAATAATCGTAAGAGGACGCAACAGTGGAATTTGTCATATTTGCAGTATTCGTAACAAGTAATAGGTAAAGTAATAGGTGTAGTAAAATTACGTTGCTTAAAATTTAGACTGCGGTGGTTGATCATAAAACTGCTTAAATTATTTTCTTAAATTCTAAATGTAAAATTTGGAATGTGAATTAAAACGAACGTCAGTGAAAATACGAACTTAATTCACATTTCGTTTATACAATTTGAACTTTGAACGAGTTTATGTTTTAAACTCGTTCGTTCTGAGGTCTGTCCATGTAAAAAACGCGTTGGTTCGATGGCATATTTTATGCCCGTTAATCGCAATACGGGAACATTTTGCAATCCGCGTGCGTGAGTAATATATAATACCTACGCGAGCATTAGTAACTATTGGTTATGCGCGTGTTTACATATTTTGGACAATGGGCGGCAAACGGAGAAAATTGTTTCGGAAGGGATTTTCTGAAAATAATACCGTTTTATAACGTATGACGGTACCTATATGATGTCGATGTCTACATATCATTTTCGTCGTAATGGTACTGCAAATTAATCGTATTTTTTCAGGGGTGACGGTGAGGGGGGGGGGAGGGCACCCGTTCGATTTTTTCATAAAATAACATTGTTATTGGAAACGATTTTTTCATTATTTTTCTTTTCATGGTCGATTCGACCGACTGTAGCGAACGACAAATCATTCCACCGGGCCAACACAACCGGACGGTAAATCCGCCCTTTATTCAAACCACTGCATTATATTTTCGACCCCGGATTACGGAGCGAGCATTACCAGATCGGGCCACCTGGGCAGTAACTCGGTAAGTGATACTAAATTTTCCACCAAATTCGTTATTGTTGTTTTGTCGCGTTTACTCGAACAATTATTATTCTCCCGTAAAAAAACCGGCGCAATAAAATATTATCCGCGGATCAAACACCGCAATAACAGTATAATTTATACGGCTCCGCCAAGTGCGGTCTTGTAATCGCCGGCGACCGGTACGCGTGTACGGACATTATTGTTGTTAGCAATCGGAACGGCGAGTTGACACGCGAAGTCGTCTGCGGGTTTACGCAATCGGCAACGTTAGACGACGGTATTGCAATAATATTACTGCACTTGCACTCCGCCGGGTACCCACCACACCGCGGCGGATGTGTGCCAAAGCCAGTGTTTGTAATGCGGCACATTCGTGAATCGCACGAACCTATATAATATTGCATTGTACATGCGTAATGACGATAAATTATGATAATATTCAATGGTAATTGTATGCATACATTAGGCACGGGTTAGCGGCGAGTATAATACTGTATACAGGGCGTAGTCTGGTGTTTATTTTTTATTTTTTTTCGTTACATTTACGACTTGACATTTTCAAACCGAAGAAAAAATCGTTTCAAATAGTTTTTTTTTTTTTTCGAAAATCGCACAGTGTGTCAGTACGATATGCCCGAGAGCAAAAATATTCCATTTCCGACCGGACATTCATGTAAGCGTTATAAGCGTACCTACCATTGTTGTTGTTGACGGCGCCGCCGTCACCGCGGTCAACGTACTCCGCGGCGGCGGCGGCGTGCGCGGGCAATATGAAATTACAAAATAACGAACGAAAAAATGCCAATGCAGTGCATATACAACAGCAGCTGCTCCGCTGCAACGGTGATTGCGGTTACAGTGTAGCCGACGGTTGGTAGCGCTAGTCGCATAGCCATCGGAGAACAGCACGCATTGGCCGGGGGGGCTGCGGTGCATTCGTAGGGTAATAGATGCATTGTGACTCGAGTACGATAATTACACTGTCACGGTGTAGCGGTGTATGTTGCGCGCGCACCGGGCCACAGCGGTACCAATGGACAAAGTCTTTCTTCCACGGCCGGGTGCAGTATCGGCGGGGCGATCGGGTCGCGGAGAACACCGAAACCACCGTCCCGCCACCGCGTTTATTTTGCGTTCCATGACCATTCCGGGCGGCCGCCGGCGTCATCTCTGGTTTGTTTTGCTATCTGGGCGGTACACCGACTACACTGCACCGCGATTAAAGTGAGACACCAACACCGACGCGACCATTCGCACTACACCACCAAACAACACAATAATACTGTGGCTGGTCGTCCGTGTTTTGTATAATATTTACGTTTTAGTTGAACTGAGATTATTCCCGGTTATTGTATTTTTTTTTCTTTCCTGTTCTAATTGTCATTTTGTTCCTGGAGTTCTGGCTAGTTCTATTGCCCCACTGTCTGCCCAGCGACTGTTTATTTAACCGCCGTTAAAAACCCCGCCACCGCCACCGCGACGACGACGACAACGACGACCACGACCACGACTCCGGAGCCGAATAGCCGCCACAGCCCTGCAGCCGCCGTTATCGTACGTTCACAGACCGCGCCATGGTCTTGATCAAGGAGTATCGTATTTGTATGCCACTTACCGTAGAAGAGGTAAGAAAAAAAAAATATACTATCTAGGTACCAAATGTATAATCCTTATATAACAACATGGATATAAAACGGGGACGCGTTTTTAACGGCACAACGCCACGACCTCCAGTGGCAACGGTCGGGGCCTTTTCGTTCGTCTCACCGATCCCTACTAAAGGGCTCCTCCCGAAACCTTAGATGGTTTTTATACTCCGAACGGGTACCAAAAAAATTATCCTAAGAATTTTCAACATTTGCATATCAAATTTTCGGCCTTACGTTTAGCCAATGCGACGTTTCGGCGCGTCTTTTCAATTGTCATTCAAATGTGTGTTGAAAATTTCTATAGGTTCCCGCCATTCTACAACTGTGAACTTCCATGGATTGCGCTCAATGTTCAGTTCATTTGTATTGACATTTTGTTCAGTGTTTACATACTCCATTCTGATTGTTTTGAACAACCAGAAGAAACTCTTTAAGTTTTAACTACAAATGATTTTTGTTGATTATTGTCTGATTTAGTCTACTGTTCCAGAGCTATCTTGAAATGATTTTTATATGACAACGCTAATTATAATATTGTAAACGGACATATTCAATACCTGATCATAATATTTAGTTTTTGTTCATAAATATTCGATGAATACATTTGGATAATGTCTACTGATTTATAAGGTTTGTTTCAAATTGTTTAAGTATAATAATAATTTTTTTTTTTTTTTTTGTTTTTGTTTTTTTTTTGAATTATTTTGAGTAGGTACTTGAATTGAAATTTATAATTTTTATAATAGCCTCTTTGTTTTTTTTAATTTATAAAAGAGCATATTTATATTATATATTTTAATAACATTATACATATTATTTAGGTAATTTATCATTTTTTACTTTCTATTTATATTTTAAGATTAAGGTACCTATAGGCATTTATTGTTTTTTCGGTAATTTTCATTTCGTAGGTATGATAATCAATGTTGGGACATGTTAATCTAATCAATATTCTAGTATCGGATTAAATATTTTGATACTTTAAACCTTTCTTTAGTTTTCAAATTTGTATGAGAATAAGGTAGGTACCCTACCTTATTTGTTTATAGCAAGCCTTCTATATTAATATGTCAATTAATTTGTATAACATTATTTAAAATATGATACCTACTTTAAAAAATTAACCTTTTTTAACACATTTTCATCACTTTTTTTCATGTTAAATTGATTCATTGAGGCCGTTCAGATCAATATAATATATTCAAATAAAAAGATATTTGGTTAAAAAAAAAAAACTTCCTTGTTAATAACTCTTGTTAGTACCTATATCTGTTGGAACATTCCTTTAATCTTTATGTTTTATAAAGTAAGGATTTTTATTTATCTGTCTTAAATTTCTATCACAGTAAAATTAATTTTATCAGTTAATAAATATATGCTGCAGTTTTTTGGTTATTAAGTATGTATGAAAACAATATTAATAGGTATATTAATTGATTATTTTTCAAATTATAGGTATTGTTAATACCACCCATCTAAAATAAGATAAATAAATGACTATAGGTGTAATCAATAAACATTTCTGCATTTTAGTTTGTGAATTTTAAATTTCATTAAATTATTTTCAACATCAATTATAACTATAAAACTATAAAAAAATATTTTGTAATAAAAATTGCGTAGCTTTCAATGTGGGTGTACGGCTTGGAGCCCCGGCCTAAATATGCCACTGGTTCAAAATAACAATTTTTAGTTTAATAAGCTAATAGTAAGGAAAATTATTTCCTGAAGTTGATTTTGTTGATTTTATTTTCCAATTTTTATTTACTTTTCATTACCTGGATATTTTTTTAAAATAACTAACTTAATATTTCATCAAGATTTTCTATTTGAACATTTCTGTATTTTCTTTTGATAAACCTACAATTAAAACTGGATTTTTAAAATTGGAGTAGCTTTCCTAATAAGATAGTTATTGTAATCAATACCAATTAAATACATTGAGAATAAATATATTAATCTTTTAATGGGTGTGAATTGTGGAAATTAAATTAATTTACTAATGCCTAACTTTCTAGTATGTTTATTTTTATAAATTGTTTTGATTATAAAATTATACTTACATAATAACTATAAATTGTATTTTCAGTAATGCAAATATTAGTAAATTCAATTAGTGCAAGTAAAAATAGGTCCTCTAATATTTATTTGTTTAATATTTGGTTAATATGACCTGAATTTTAAATTGAGCAGTTATTCGTCAGATAAATTACTTATTTAGCAAATACACATTCAATAAAGTGATCAGTGCAGTTATATATAAAATTATCTTCCAAATAACAATTTGACAAATAAATAATAACGATTAATTACTTCCCAGATTATTTTTATAAATATTTGTCAAAATTATTACTGTTTTATCGTACTTCAATTAACAAACGAAATAGCAAAATCTATCTTACGCAGTCTGCATAGAATTTGCTGAAATCTGGTTTTAGAGTAAAAGCATCTATTATAAAATTAAAATAGGACAATATTTGGGGGGACATGACAATTTTTTTTTTTAAATTCATTATTTATTATGTTATAGTCATTTAAAAACTATAAATTAGGTTTAATTATTTAACGATATATTGAACATTATAACAAGATCAATAATTAGAATAAAAAAAAAAAATGCATCATCTTGCCTTCCGAAATATTGTCCTCTTTTAATTTTATAAAAGATGTTTTTATTCTAAAACCAAAATTAAGCGAGTTCTATGCCGATTGTATAAGGTAGATTTTGTTATTTCATCCGTTGTTCGGAGTGAAACAGCACATGCAGGTATAGCGTCCTTAAACAAAATACACCTTAAAATAAAAAAAAGGGACATAATATAATTTGTATTCTTTTTACTTCTTGCTTAAATGTAGCGAATAAGACACACACACTCACACAGATATATACAATATAGTGTAGTTAAAATATTGGACTTGATATTCTTTTTATAAGTTACATATTAGACCACTCCAGGTGCATACATTTGTTGTTGCATTTAAATATTAAATAACATAGAACCATGTTGGAACAAAAATGAACTTAAATAATACAAATTAACTACTATTTTTATTGTTTATAAAATATAATTTATTATCATTTTTAATTATTTATTCCAGATAATTTATATTTCTGGTAGAAAAAGTGTCTATTCTAAGTTACCTATTCTGTGCTTAATTTATCAAATAGCTTTATTCTTACACTGAAAACATTTATAGTTTTTAATTTTTTTTTCAGTTTAATAATTTGTGTTATTGACAAATAAATGTGATTGAAAAACTTGGCCTAAAGATTGAGAGTTAATAAACAAATCTACAATATACAATATACAAATATACATCTTAATTTTTTATCATAACTATTTAAAATTATCATAAGAGTTAAAGGAATTACACATAACATACTTACCTGCTTAATACAATTATTACTTATTAGACAATTTAATTTAACGTTACTGTCTGGAATGAGGGTAAAAAGTTAAAAAGTATTGTAAATAACATCATAAAATGATCTGTAATGATTAAAAAAACCAAAATCAATGTAGTATTTTGATAAATATTTTTGATAAAATAGGAACTATTGAATTGGTCATATTTAAATTTTATTATGTTGTGTTGTAGGGTCATATCTTATGATCTTTATATTTATTCACCATTTATTCCATTTGTATACACCTAACCATATTATCATTTACATGTTATTATGTTTATCACACAAATAACTGTATAGGGCTTAAGTAGGTATCTTATCATACAAGTCAACATATAATTTTATAGTATAATATTGGACTAATATGTCATCTCCCAACTTAAAGTTATCATGTTTTTAAGTTTACATTTGTGTAACTAATTTTTGGGTAACCCATGGTTTTGTATAATAAATGGCATTTAAATTAAAAGTCCGACAATAGTTCCTAAAGCTATATCATGGTAAGCAGATATTTTCTGCTTTCCATAAGGGGTATGAGACTTGGGGGCGGCTTTGTAATGTCACTTGAGTTGGTGATTGAAGTCATTAGGTCTAGACTCCAGAGTGCTGTTCTCCACATTTTAACTTTGACTGTTTTAGATTAGTGGAAACATAATGATAAAAATGATAATATGGTTTATATACTCAACAATTGTTATTTATTTAGGTATTTTATGTTAACTTTTGTCTATGTACTTTGTAAAGTTAAAAGTTATATGGGAAATAAATATTATGTTTTTGAATTATATAATTAACAAATTATATATATTTGTTATTTATTTGATTATAAAATATTTGTATAATCTATACATTTCATCAAACTATACTTAGGTATTATTGTAGAATTAGTAATTTTTTTTTATTCTCATTGATTAGTTTTTTTTGTGTGTATACTTATGCTTTATAGGTATACACATTTTTTTTCTTTTTTAATATCTAAGTAAGTGCTAACTTAATGTTGATAAAAAGTCCATAATAATCTGATAATTTAGTATAATTTATAGTTCTTTATTTTATTTTGTGTATAATTGTTTTTTTATATGTTGTTGTTATCAATGATATTAAAATTGTTCTGTTTTGTTCTTTAATTATGTGGTACTCATATTTTTAAATTATGATTGAATGGAAACTTTGGGCATTTTTAAATTTCTTTTTAATTTTCTTACAAACAACTTAGAAAGTGAATTTTATGATTTTTTCAACTATAATATGATTTATATTATGTGTTATTTCTACAGTCGAAGGTAAGTAAGTAAAAACAAACTTTGATTTAGATTATTTGAGCTTTATATACCATCATATATTTATATATTCACTTTTCAGAAATAAATCTAGTGTCCCCAAAGTTTCCACTTCAATTTGATTTATCAACTAGTATAAATATATATACAGTAATATAATGTTAACTTAGAATTTTTTTTTTAATATTCTTTGTGTTTTTGTTTTATTGCAGATTATTAAAAGAATATATTGTTGTTGAATATTGAACGTACTGATAAAATGGAAACAAGAATAGGTGTACCTTCAACTCCAGTATTAAAATGGAAGAAAATTGTTGATCCTCTTGGACCACAACCAAGACCACGCCACGGACATCGAGCAGTTACTATCAAAGATCTTTTAATTGTTTTTGGTGGTGGAAATGAGGGAATTGTAGATGAATTACATGTTTATAATGCAGCAAATAACCAATGGTTTATACCCCAGACGTCTGGTGACATACCACCTGGGTGTGCTGCATATGGCTTAGTTGTTGATAACACTAGGCTACTTATCTTTGGTGGTATGGTTGAATATGGCAAGTATTCAAATGAACTATATGAATTACAAGCAAGTCGGTGGCATTGGAGTAAACTTTCACCAAGACCTCCTCTTTACCACATGTCACCATGTCCGCGACTAGGTCATAGTTTTACATTGATAGGTAATAAAGTTTACCTATTTGGAGGGTTAGCTAATGATAGTAATGACCCAAAAAATAATATACCACGTTATTTGAATGATCTATATACATTAGATATATCTTCACCAGATGCTTTAGCCTGGGACATACCAGAAACCGTTGGTGATTTTCCACCTCCTCGAGAATCACACACTGCAGTAGCTTATACTGACTCTAGAGGAAAATGTAAACTTATCATTTATGGTGGTATGAGTGGTTGTCGGCTAGGTGATCTATGGACATTAGATATAGATACTATGTCATGGAACCGACCTATTGTTTTAGGTCCTAAACCTCTACCAAGATCTTTGCATACGGCAGTGACCATAAAAAATCGTATGTTTGTTTTTGGTGGTTGGGTTCCATTTGTTGAAGAAGTGAAGTTGCCTATACACGAAAAAGAATGGAAATGTACTAATCAGTTGGCTTGTCTTAATTTAGAAACAATGACATGGGAAGAATTAAATATAGACACGAATGAAGATAATATGCCTAGAGCTAGAGCAGGACATTGTGCAGCAAATATCCAAACAAGAATGTATGTGTGGTCTGGCCGAGATGGTTATCGGAAAGCATGGAATAATCAAGTCTGTTGTAAAGATTTATGGTATTTAGAAGTAGATAAACCTTACAGGTGTGCTAAAAATCAGTTGGTTCGAGCATCTACTAATGCATTAGAAGTTGTGTGGAATAATATACCAACTGCTGATGCTTATATTTTACAAATTCAAAGGTATGACCAACCAATCGACTCATCTACTCAGACTGTACCATCAATGATTGACTATTCATTATTACCTTTCTTGACACCTGAGTTGGCTAAAACAAATAATTACAATTATAATGATTGCCAAATTGTCCTTCCAAATTCTTCTAAAGTTGGAAGTCCTGTTAAACCAAATCAAACGATTTTACCTCAGGGTTCTACTGTTAACTCTCCATCTTTAATAAAAGATCAACAGTTTGTCCCTGTTACTGCTCAAGCGTCTGGAAATATGAAAATAAAAACTGTTCAGAGTACTAATGTTACTCCTTCATTGCCACAGAATTTGAAATCAACAAGTCCTGTTACGTCAAAGACGAATCCTGGATTTGGTAATGCTCCTTCAATAGATGCTTTGTCAGATACTGGTATGCACACGCTTGCAGCTGCAGCATCAGCTACTCAAAAGATTAAAACTGCTGTTTCTAAACAATCTGAACATTCAAAATCTGTGATTAAAACATCAAGCACACCATTTAAGATTGTTCAGACACAAAGGTCAATAAAAAATGTTATTTCTCCTGTAAACACTACAGCTCCACAGCAACAGGCCGTTCGTATAGCAGGCCCGGCTTTGCAAACTTCTGTAGCTGGAACAGTTATTAAAACTGGATCTAATGTTTTTGGAAAACAAGTGATTTTTCAAAAACCAGGTGGTTCACCATCCAATTTTGTTACTTTGGTCAAGACTAGTCAAGGTAACCTTATACAAGGTATTCCAGGGAAAATGATTGGAACAACTACACCAACTAAAAATATGCAATCGTCAGTTCTTAAATTCATCAATCCTCCCATAAATCAGCAAAGTACACCTATTAAAACAAATCAAACCATGAAAACTGTTCCATTAAAGACTGTAGGGACAAGACTACCAGTTGCTGCTAACAAACCAACTATAGTTATTCAAAAAGGCAATCCAAACAGATCAGCTTCTCCACAAATTATAATTGTAACAACTGGTTCAAATCTCAGGGGTATACAGACATTTTCATCATCCCAGACTAATATGACCAATCGCACTAGTGTAACTAATACACCTGTACAAATGGTAATGGTATCATCAGGTGGTAATACCCCAACTGGAAGTAAACCTATCACTATAACTATGGCAGCAGGAGCAGGTAATCGGAAAATGGTTACACTAGGCAAATCAAACTTGACTGGAATGACAATCGGTGGTAAACCTGTAACACTTCAAATGGTTAGTGGTCAAAATAACATGACTATTTTAACTTCCAATTCCGGTAGTAATGTAGTTCAGTTAAAGAACACAAATATTGTGAACACACCCAGTACACCTCGGTCCGCTGGAATAAATTCAAAAGTACCGTCCTCAGTAAAATTATCTTCTGATTCACCAGCTAGTACTGAATCAGCATTAACTCAATTGGCTGTAGAAGCAGGAATCATCGATTCATCCAATAAAGGAATCAACGATATGGACGAATCTACTGATTATACCAAAGACGAATTGGAAAATCTCATTCGGGAAGAAGGAATTGATAATCTAGGAGTTGATATATCCGATATCAACAATGCAGAAAGCACTTCAGGTGTTATGACTGAATAAGAAACTTCATTCTGGTGACTTATTGTTCATTGCTAATCTATTTTTATTATAGTTAATTTTGTATTTTAATTTGTCTATGTAGGCATATTTCACTTTAGCCTATCTCCTCTAGCCTATCAGATATATTGTATACTATATTTTTCATATAATGTTTTTTCTAATCACAGAAAAATATGGGTAGTTGTAATTTTATTATGTAAATACAATTTTGTATAATATATAAAAACATAGTTTGGTAAAAAACGTTAATTTACATGAATTATTTTGGTTTATATGATAATTTTTTTTTTTTTTTTTTTTTTTTTTTTTTTTAAATAGCCCAATTTGTTATTTCAAGTGTTTATAACATTAAAGATTTAATCATGGGTATTTTATTAATTAATATTTTTAAGAATTTTGGTTGTATGAATATATGTAGGTAACTACAATATAGTTTATGACCCAATACTTTTTATGAAATTTGCGTATTCTGTACACAAAAAAAAATAAACCAAGGTTTTTAAAGGAATAGATTTTATAAAAGAAATACAAAGCTAACAATTTTGTAGTTTTTATTGAAATTAGTACTTATTTTTTCGATCCATAATTATTTATTTGTAAGTGTTTTTAAAACTTACTTGAATTAATTAATATATAAACTAAAAATACATATTAAGCGGTATTTACTTAATTAATATAATAAATTAATAATTTAAGTTAAGGTTATTTTAGTCATTTACTTCCATTTGGTTTCTGTTCTAATTTCATCGAACTATCTAATTTTCTCTTCAATATAGGACATTTTGTAAAATTATTGTATATTAATTTACAATGGAAAAATGTTTATGTGTCAATAGAAATTATAATCTAATGAATTTTTTTTTTTCTAGAATGAGTCTTTAAACCTAGGTTCGGTTAAAAAAAAAAAAGTTCGTTCTGGTTCTTGGAATATTGGTTTTGATTCTTGGTAATATTAGTTTCGGTTAATATTACTTCCAAACTTCAGCTTAATTTAATTTTTATTTTTTTCAAAGGTTTTCCTCTTCACCTTGTTACTGCAACCAAACATCTCTTTCAATTAATACTGGCTTTTAAATTTTCATTGTTAAGTTATATAACAAAATACAGTTGTACAATTTATTTATGAATTATGATTATTAAATAATCTTTGTTTATTTCTGTATGTACATTTTAAAACTCCTGTGCGTGATAGATCATGCACAGATTGACAGAACAAACTATTAATATTTCAGTCATATAGAGAACATTTACTATCTGATTGTTGCATAGATTAGCTGAATTTTATTAAAGATTATTGAGTCAAAAACTATAATGTAGAAAATAGGTAAGCTTATGTGAAATGTAGTTTTAAAATTTTAGGACACTACTATTTTTATCAACCAGTCTGACATCTTGTATTCAACAGTAATTTATGCTGTACAAGTGATATTATTTTGATCCTATTGTATTATAACTACAGTGAATCATAATTTTGTGAGCAAGTTCTCACAATAACAATATAGTGTTAATATAATAATAATTTATAGGCATCATATATTTTATTATAATTAAAATAAATTCCTGATGGAAAATTTTATTGTTTTAAATTTTTTTTTTAAATGCAGTTACGCTGTAACATTAATGGTCATACGATTATGATTGTCATTATCTGATGGTTTAAATTTTGCTATTTTTATACTCGAACCTAGAATTATATTGGCTTTTGTTACTCTAAATATTGTCAAATTTTAAACCATTGTTTATATCACAAAGGAAATATCTTAAAGCATTTTGTAAATTATGCACTTGATTCTTAATTAATCTGAACGCAAATTGGGTTTTATTGTAGATGCACCCAGAATACAGATGGCCTATTGGATATGACATTGAGAAATAATATCATTGAATACTTTTTATTATTTGTCTTGATTTATCATTACATCTGGTCAGAATGTTACCCTGTCAGTAAATGGACATGCCTTGTAAAAACAGATTTCTATCCAGTTTTCCTTCAGATTAATTTAGGGGCTTCTATACAACATTTGATTTCTGTATTGCGTACTTCCACGATTGGGTTGAACACAAACAGAACCGAGTGCATAAATGAGTTTTCAAAATGTTTTTTAGGGGGGGGGGGGGTGCCAAGGACATAGAGATCAAAAGTTGTGTAAAAGCCCTGTAAGGAACAAGAGAAATGTATTGATTCCTTGTAGATACGTAGATAAATTATTTGTTGGCATTAATTTTTGTATAAATAATTATTTTTATCTAATCAAAATTGTAGTAGGTAATAAGACATAAATTAAAAATGTTAAGTTTTTTTAACACCTCTACTTACTTTACTATAGGAGTAAACATAAAACCGTCAATTTTTCGCGAGAAGTAATTTTATATAATAAATATACTATATTTTAATATTCACTTATAATTAGATACTTAGGTGGGTAACTAATTAATTTTTTTTTCAGAATAGGTACAGTAATCATATTTTTATTGAACCTGTGAATTGATAAATTTATTGTGGTAATTTTTTATACCTATTTTTTAACTGAAAACTCATACAAGATATATATATTTATAGACAAGACGAGTCACCTAATAATTTAAGATCGAAATTAGAAACTAAAAATAAAATTAATTTTCGTACACTTTTTTTTGTGAGTACTTACCTGCTTATCTGATAATCATATAATTGTGACTGAATTGATAATTACTACCTAAATCTAATAGGTACTTATGTTATTTAATAATAATACAAAAAAAAAAGAATTAAAGTAAATACCGTGAAATTTGTTGTATAGTTCTAGTTATTATTATTATTATTATTATTATTATTATTATTATTATTATTATTATTATTATTATTATTATTATTATTATTATGAAATAATTAGAAGCTCTAATATAATGTATATTATAATATATTTATTTTTGAAAACTATGAATAAATTATTTTGAAATATTATACTGTTTACTTTTTGTGTTGCATTATTTATATGAAATTGGTAAATTTCAATTTTTCAATCCTCTGCTTATTGGTAAAATCATTTTATTATTACATAATAAATAATAAAAACCAACTGTGAGCTTCAGGATACTGGTGAATTCTCTGGTCCTAGATCACATAATATTGTATGGACAGGCGCGCATTCTGAGTTTCCCTGTGAACCCCTTAAATGGTTTAAACCTCCATAGAAATTTTAAAACCCCCGAAAAAAAATAAAAATATTGGATCATCTTTTGAGAATGTGGAGTATAACAGTAGGTACCTATCAATCATTTTATTTATCATACAGTTGTCTGATATGTATCTAGTATACTCATTTTAATAACCTATTTATATATATTTGTGTAAATTATCCGATTATAAATTGTAATATTGATGGTTTATCATTATATAGCAGGTATCTAATTCATTACTCGTAACAGTTAATATAGACAAATATTAATTGGACAATATACATAATTAGGTGTACACAAAAATAAATACTCGCTCCGCTCGGAATCTAAAATCATGAATTACATTAATGAATGTTCAGTAGAAATGGTTCTACCGTGGTGCGACAATAGAAAACGGATTTACTTATGATCAAAAAAATCATAGGTTTAGAAGACAATAAGGAAGCGTGGTTAAATTGCAAATTAAATTAAAGTACATAGGCAGGAAGGTGCCCCATGCCTATGCGTACTTGCTGTACCATATATTTTATGTTGTACAAACTATTTGTACTATTAGAACCGGGAAAAGCTGAAAAATGTAAATTCGAACAAATTAACATGCGATTTCATTATTTGAAATTTATAAGGCTTATGTTAATATTTATGGTCACTAATTAAAAAACGACAAGAGGCCTTTTTTGTATTTTTTTGCATTTTAATTTAGCTGATGGGGAAGAAAGTTGTTTTTTTATTTTCCCTGTATTTTTTTTTTAATAATTGAGCAAAACCGAAAAAAACGTAAGAAGAATGGGGAAATTTACAAAAATAATGCTTTTATTATTTTTAATTAATTTTTTTTTTTTGTAATTCAGTTAGAAATATTCGTAGACTTGAAATTTGACAGAAAACTTATATTTGTTTTTTCTAGACGTGGTATAATTTTAAAAACATTTTTTAGCTGTTTATGGACATTTAAATTTTGTGAGTTTTACGTAATTTTTATTTGGCAGATACACTGTGGACTGTGGATACAATTGTTAGACTAAACATAAATGCTTGACAATTTGTCAGGAGGTTCATTATAAGTTGTACCCAGTGGTCAAAAATAAAATTGATTCTACTACGGTAATTTTTTTTTTATACAAATTTGAATGTTAAATTTTGACCGAAATCGTAAATAAAACGCCTTTTAAAATATGTATAATAATCGAATTTTGCTCCGTAGTGCGAATCAGTTTTTCGTTACCAATGGTTTATCGTTGCTTACAGATATAAATTAAATAACTTTATGTATTCTACCTTCCTTACATCCCACCTATAACAGTAATTAATATAGGCATATTGAACAAATAACTAATAAGTAAGTAATAAATAAAATATTAATATTTATCGAAGACTGTTGTAGCCTTTTTAGGTATAAGTCGTAGGTATGCTACAAATGTAGATATTAAATGTATTAATGTTACTATTATTTTTACACGCTTGATGTCACGTTATCCCGTACTTACAACAATTCTAACCGGTACCAAAAATTAATTATCAAACACGATACTAATCGAATTTCAAAAACAGAAAGTGTCACTCGGAATTTTACTATAATTGGAGATTTATCTATTATAGAATCATGACAATTTTCCTCCGACCATAAATTATACAAATTGAACTTGAAGTCAATACATTAAATATATAAAAAAAAACTTATTAAGTTAAAAGTTCATCATGTAAAAAATATTTCGTTACTCGTTAGTTAAATTTAACCAACATTAACTTGCATTTTTATTCAAATTTAAATTTTAACGCATTAATGCTCATAAAACCTGTATATCTGCAAGTATATTTTTATGAACTTATAAAAAATTGACTAAAAAAATATAATGTTATTTTGATGTGATCCGGTGATAAATTTAAATTAAATTGCTTCCATCTACGAAGTAAAACCCTATTCGAATGCTCGATAATCGAGTTTCATTTAGCCTTTTCTCCTAATTTTACAAATTGTTTTCGGTTCGACCGCATACGCTGGTCATAGCTCAAAAGGACATATCTAGGTTAGTATCTATATTATATAGTCGTATTTGTCTTTCTCGCGTGATGAAGCGGAGAAAAACGAGTTCGACCATGTATGGTAGGCAATCCATTTTGTAGATAAACTGCTTTGGTATTAAAAAAATAATAATAATAATAATAATAATAATAAATCATAATTTCAAGGACGTCTGATAGTTTCTTTTTATTATTACCTGTATATAATAATGAGTATGGCTATTAAAGAATAGTTAAAGACGATTTACAGTGTGATTGGGACGTGTAATTAGACGAAGTGGAGATGTGTTAATCAGTGGCAAAATGATGGAGCAGAGTGAATAAATGAAGCCCACAGGAAGTGAGTTTGGAAAGAGTTTGGTGGGAAGCAGAGATGAATCGACAAAAGTAAAAAGGATCTAGGCCAACTGGGAATAGACAATTTTAACGAAATAGCTCGGGGCGGAGACAGATGAAGAAGTGTTTGTTTAACAGCCATTGGCCTCAACGGCATCTAGAGTTGAAAGAAGAAAAATAATAGTTGCTTATTTAGAATTGGGATTTAACAACATTTTCCAAACAAAGGGGAGATTTATAATCGATCCGTGTGAGCTATTTACAATCGGTTTAAATATGTTATTATTACTTACCTACCTATAATATGATGGAACGATAACGGATCTCGGTGAGTAGTTCGGTTGATTTGATTCGGTATCTCGACCAACCAATATAAATAATTTCTCTTGTAATGTACAAAACTATTCATTTTGTTCTTGAAAAATGAAAATAAATAGGATAAAGTATTCGGCCGGGCGCGTGTATATGTATAATAAGTTTTGAGATAGATATTATATACTATGTACTTTTTTTTCTTTTTTTTTTTTTTACGCACGAAAATTTTTCGGGTTTTTGTTGTACTGTAACTGCATTATGATATACACCTACCTACTTAATCGACAAACAAAACACCGAGACTTTATTACAGTTGACTATACGGTTTATTTTTTTCCGGCTTATGGTTTCGGCTGATAAGTATTATAATATACCTAGGCACCCACTATTATTAAACTGTGATGTTTTTTTACTTGATACCTACCGCCTACTTAAATTTATCCGGTTAACATTCAAATTCACGCCTTATTCAAATAAAAAAAAATATTTTACTTAATGTTATTTTTTTTTTTTTTTTTACAGTATCGTGTTGGCCAACTTTACATGATCGCCAGACACAGTTATGAACAGACGGAGAACGGAGAAGGCGTGGAGACCATAATTAATGCTCCCTGCGAAGATCCCGTCCACGGCAAAGGACAATTTACCGAAAAAAGGATACATTTGTCAACGTAATTATATTTTATACATTATCTTTCTCATAGGCGGACATTTGGTTTAAGTTTTAGAGGGCTATAATAATCCAATATATAGTGATCCGCATGGGCTTCACCCTGCACTTCCTTCCTATACACAAGTATAACACATTACTAATAAAAATATGGATATGTTTAAATTATAATAAAAAAAAAAACACTAAATAACGTATGTATATTTAAAAATCATTAATATTTTATTTTTTTTAATAACAAATATTTGTTTTTACCAGAAAATATATTCAAAATATCATTTTTATTAATATTTTCGGACATGCATTTTTTAATATACAGTATAGAGAGATCGCTGAGTCTATTCTGAAACATCGATGTCCTTAGCCAAGTTTTTATTTTTCTCATTGCACTGAAACTTCGTTCACAAGTAGCCGAACCGATGGGTATCGTTAATGCTATTGTAAATAGTTTATGACAAGGCATCTATTGGATATCCACGTGACCGTGTGTTCGTAAATTCAATGAATTCGGTTGTCACTGGTGGCGCTGGATTTGATTGTTCTTAAATAAACTGATGGCCATTGTCTATGATTTTTAATGATATTTTATTTGCGCCATTTGTTGGTTAAATATTGTTTTACAATTTTCAAAAAAAATGAACTGATAATTATTAAACCAAATAACAGCAATAATATCATTCCGAATAAATGTTCGATATTGACATATTTGGGGGTGCTAAGTCCCCATAAGTTCCCCCTTCCCCGATGATCCTTTTACTGTATTATAATAAAGAGGAAACGTTTGTTTTCTTATTATGGTTACTAAAGTGTTGTACGATACTTTATATCAAAAAAGTTAAGATAAGATGACGTGAAAGAACTTTATGGGTTACCGTAGTGATTAATATCATGCAATAATAAAAAATCCTTTATTCATTGTTTTTGATTTATGGCAGTACAATTCATAGACCGTTTATTAACGAATGGACGGCGTATAAAAAGAGACATTGCAAGACGCTATGGAGTGAAAGAGAAGAAAACATAGTTATACCTCTCACGCTACATCGTTTAGGGGGTGCGAGGGGAAAATTACCATCAGTTAATAATCGGTATATGCCTCTACGGTACAACTATAGTAATCATAACCGCATCCATGTAAACATCACGGTATGATAAACCACGTATTATCGTATCGTTTTCTCTTTTATGAGTTTTTCACTCGGGTGTTCTAAAATCGTTTGAAAATAACAACATTTTATAAGTTATACAAGAACTTTGTAAGTAAATTGGATATTATATTGATAGTCTGAGAAATAAGGGTGAAAGGGGGGTTAGAGGAAGTGATGAAATGGCTGCTTGTGAGAGGGAGAGGTCGGTGGGGTGTAGGGAGTTACCACTGACATTTAATTTGTCTATAGACAATGCTGTCGTGCGGGACAGCTATACATAAAAAATGTTGCGTTTTAACGACATACGTGACTTTTTTAAGAGTTAGGTGGACAGTTAGTCTTTGAGAGTTTCGAAATGATAATAATACCCATATAATGCGAGTTTATATTATGTTTTATATATAGAGAGAGAAGACACTAACTAATAGCTAATATAAGTAATAGGTAACGCATACCATTTATACAAGTTATTATTATTGTTATTGTACTTTCACGATAGGAAATCAATATATTTTAGTGTGTAGTGAACTTATTAAATGCTGCTTTAAAGTAAACAATTACAGTTTTAATAATTTTTATGAAAAAAAAAACTATATTAATTCCAGATCGTATACTCAGACAATTTGAACGTGTAAGTTTCGTCGTTAGTGCTTGGATTAAAAAAGCCCTAAAAGAAAAAAAAAAACCTATTGAAAAATGATTACAATAAAAATGCCTTGTGAGCAGCAGAGCTCAGCCGCAGTCAGAATATTTCCCCGCCTATTTTTTGTTATAGAAATAATCTTTGTAAAACAATAAACAAGTAACAACCAAATAAACTATAATATTACAATACTATAACACAGGTACATAACTAGGATTTTTGTAATGGGTGGGGAGTGGGTGTTTTAATTTTATGCTTAAATACAACTTAGGGTGGCTGCTTTACACATCCTCCATGTATTTATAAAATCACATAAACAAACTATAATGATATATTCATAGAAATATTTAGAGACATTTTGTAAAAAAAAAACCCAAAGCGTTTAATGTATAATATATTTTTGGCTTTAATACGCCTTAAAAAAGGGTGTTTCCACATTCGAAATATACAACCCTGGCTAAGTGTCAGATACTACTTTCAAAAAAGTGCGAAATAATATCGACGGGATGGGGGTTGAAAGTTGAAATCCCAAAAACTCAAAGGCATATCCTTGATCCTAACTCAATGTATATATTGTACGAAATGTAATCACTCTAGGTTTATTTGGGGGTCTGAATGGATATTTAAAGTTTTAAAACTCCCGGCTCCCGCAACATCATATGCTGAAATTTATATTGGAATATATTTAATTCGATTTATATCACTTCGATCAAAAATATACTTTATAATTTCCGAATTTGAGCTTATTCAATCCAGAGTTTCGTTAGAAGTGTCTAAAAGTTGCGGGAAAATGATGGATACAATACAGTACATAGTAGTCTCTGTTATGGAAAACTAGAGAAAAATGCAAAACTAAAACAATTTTTTTTCTGTTACGTGAATATTAGGTTTTAAATTATGTAATCAGAATGCGTTGCACTTTATAATGAAATCCGGGTCCTATTCATTTATAATGTAGATGCTTTAAAAAAATTGACTGATAAATTATTAACAAACAATTTCATTGATAGATTATTATGTATTAATTCTAAAGTGGTCACTTCCTGTGAAGTTAAAAAATATATGTTTGCGTTGTTCAACGATAATAAAATTACTAACATTTGTTTAAGTCATTTAAATTTTGAACTTCGATGTTTTTTTTTATTAAAAACATGCGAAAATAAAAAAAAAAATGCATGAGTAAACTGTGACAGAAAAAATAATAAATATTATATACACTGCGATAATGCCGATAAGGTGTATTATACTAATTTTGATAATTTCATGATAGACACTATCATAGTAAAGCGTTTACCGTTCGGTTTATTGTTTAACAGTTTAAAACACAATCTGAAATTCCTTTACAAATGATTGTCTATGCAGTACCTATATAAATTGTCTATTTTTACCTACAATCGTATTTTCGTATTTGTTTTTTGTTCAAATAATGTTTAATTTTCTTTTTACTTATTATTATTATTTTTTGTTATAGTCGTTTGCCGTTTTGGATTCAAGCGATTATTCCCAAAGTATTTTACATCATTGAAAAATCGTGGAATTATTATCCTTTTACGATCACAGGTAAACTTATTATATTTTATGAAATAATAATAATTTTTTTTTACCTAGGTTCCATAAGAAATTGGATAGGTATTTTAGATTATTAGCGAGGAATGTATTGGTTTTACAATGATGTTTATTATTATTTTTTTTTTTAATCGAACAACCCTTATATTAGCAATTTTGCTCCAATTTTCAAGTGTAGCACTTTTCTAAAAGGAAAAACGGACTGGCGTGGTACTTTATTTTCAGATTTCCTAGGAGTTTTCATAGTAAATGTGAAAAAAACGTAGGCAAATGGGAAAATGTACGAAATGTATTATTTTAAAATCGCAAATATTACGGCCTTTTAAAACATGTATTACCGAACTCCGCTTAGAATCGTTTTTCGTCAGCAATGGTTAATCGTTGAGTGCAGATATACATTCAGTTTTCCCTCTACCTTCCCAACTTTTCACCTTAAACAGTGGCCCATTCATCGTGCGAAGTATGTCCGTTTGTTTTTATTAATACACTTATCGAGTTTAATATAATAAGAAAACTTATTTTTTCCTCTAAAAAGTAAAACATATACTACTGAAAAATATTGACATACACTGCTGAAAAAAACTACTTTAATTCGCTTTCTACAAAATAATGCATAGGTACCTATAAAACTATATTTTATTATTAATGTTTATGCATTTTATATATTTACATATCGAATAACTAAATAAATACACCGCGGTATTTAATATACTACTTCTGGTTCCGTTTTGAATAATAATTTTGTTTTTGTTTTATTATAATTTTAATATTAATTCGAAACGTTAATTCAATAGCGTGTACACGGTGCACTCGTGTAATAAAGTCACAAAACGACTAAATGTTATCCACATTTTCATTTAGGCAAAAATGTATACATTTTGTACTTTAATTTTTACGAAGTAAATAGTTATTAGTTTCTGTACAATTATATCGCGGCACGGTTAAAAACGTATGGTTATTTTTATGGATGTTGAAAAATTAAATAAAAAAATTTGGATGCTAACGATGTAAATTACGACGATAAATATTACTATCGTTTATTAAATTAAAAATAATTTCTCGATTTTTATGTATCTGTTTTGTAAAATTGATGTAATATTATTATGTAGTGTTCAGTTTTAAAATTATTAGTGATTAAAAATAAAAAAAATAAATAAAAACTTTTTATGATTTTTATCGACATTTTAACTTCAACCGTTTATTTTGTTAGTATTGGTTAAATTGTTGTTATTGCATAATATTGTTTATACCAGTAAGCGTCAGTGTCGTATTGAGGTAACAGATTAGGAAAGGTTATTAGGAAAATTATATCTCAACTTTTACATTTTTTATTTTAAAAATCCATTATTAATGCAAATTTATATTTTTTTAAAAAACTTAGTTTCAGTTGTAATATTAGAGGAGGTTGAATTACAATAATTATTTCCCAATATATAATATGTATATAAACACTAAACATTTTTTTTTAGTCTTTACACCAGTGTTGGTTGTATAAATACGACACAATGTTCAAATTAATTGTCTCCTTCCTAGACAAAATCATAAATATAGGCCACTGGTAAGGATAATACCCACGTCGAAACTTTACAATAACAGCGATTTTCGAGCTTTTTTTTTTTATCGAGTCAGAAAACGAATAATATTTTAAATTAACTAAGTCCGTTATTGCATATTTGTGACGTAAACGTTTTTAGTCGAGTTCGAGTTCCAACCTGTATAATATTATTAATAATATGTGATGTTTATTTTGTTTGATTTTATGTCTGCCGAAATCGGAATTTCAGAGTACACTGTAAGTATATCGGCTAGTATACTACGCGATCAGTAAAGTTGGTCAGCGTTATTTCTGAATAAACTATAATAATATATATATATTTTTTTTCATAATTCTCGCAGTGTTCGTTCATTCCGAAGTTGAGCGTTACCATCCATACCAAATTTGAAGATAACTCCGGAATTACAGAAAATGTAATTCACAATATAATTATTTATCTTATTATAATATTATATTTTTAATATTTTTACCAATTCAATTATATATATAGGGTGATTTTTTTATTTTTTTATTACGAATCAGTAATTTTCTCGTATGGCTTTTAGTAAATTTGTTCTGTTTATTATTTTTTTTTTTTGAGTCATTGTATAAACGTTTAAGCTGTATTTTAAAACAATTTTCAATTTATTATCCCTACTCTATATACCCTAAATAAATGTATACTTTTAATTTTCAAATAGGAACCCCTTCTTTTAAACACATATTTGAAAAGAGAATATTTTTTAGAAATTTTGGTATGCATAACATTAATATCAGATTTATCGTTTATAACCGTTTGAAGTTTAGACCGGAGAGGAATAGGGAAAAGTTATTAATTTATCATTTAAATATATACAGGCATACAATTTATTATCCTTGATAAAAAAATCACTTTGTCTATTATATTAATTACGGGTTAATTGTTTAACTCAAATTAGCGATTATTTTGTTATATAGATTATAGATATTAAATCATGATTGAGATGTTTGAAATATTGTTTTTTTTAATTAATTTTAAACATTATTTTTAATAACTGTTGTTTTTCAACTTATTTAAAAGAAAAAAAAAATCAATATTTATAATATATGTTATGTTCTAATATTTTATAATGTTCAATATTATAATACATAATTAAAAGTGTATTAACTTAGTTGAAACTTAAAACCAAAGAACGTTGGTACAATTTATAAAATTCTTTACTAAATAACATATTTAACAGTCTTGTTCATGAAATAACAACTAAGGTATAAAACGCAAGTTAAATACTTAAGTACAATATTGTTATATTATTATTACTACTATTCTTGAAATCTATATTATAACAGGTAATCTACTGATATGTTCTCATATTTTCGAATCAGCGAGTTTAGAAATATAGGTTACTATTTGAAAATCAATAGTTGAGACAATGTATTATTATGGGGGAAATAGGTACTTATAAACGCTGAATAAGGATATTATAAAAAACGGAATGAAATTTACTAAAAATCTTCATTTAACAGATAATTGCTGATTTATGATAAAAAAAAAAAATAAAAATAAAAATAAAAAATACCTTGCAATTTAATGATAGCACATTTTTTGTGTTTTTTCGTCGACAATGTATATACAGTGCCTCGGATTGACCGGCGAAAAACTTGTAGAGAGGACCGTGGATTTTATCGACATCGCGTACGACGAAGTCAGCTCTAAACACTACAGAGAAGACGAGGTATACCTAAAAAAAAAAATAAAATAAAATAAAAAAATTGTATGCATTATGTTACGTGTAATGCAGCCATCTGTGTATATATATAATATGTATGTAATGTGTTGTCTATTGATAAAAATATGTATACGTGCTCGTTTTTTATTCACTGCATTTTTTTTTTTTTTTTTATAGGATCTGAAGTTTTTTCAATCGAAAAAGACCATGAGAGGTCCGTTGACGGAAAATTGGAAAAAAACTGTTTCGCCGATAATGTGCTCGTACAAAGTGGTCGAGGCGTCGTTCGAGGTGTGGGGCATTCAATCCAAAGCCGAAGAATACATACAAAAAGTACCTATATAATAATATTATGAAGGTACCTATATAAAATAATGGAACGAAAAAGGGGCTTTAAGGTGCAGTATAATGCGCGGTGTGACTCTTAGCCCGGAAAAATAGAAAAATTCCGATTTTATCTAGAAAATGCCCTAACATCATATATTAAAACTCGTAAAATTGTTGGCGAGTATTTTTCGAGCGAAACATAGAAGAAAAAAAAGCTGATATTGTTGATGGATGTGCCAATGTTGTATAGGCGGGAAGTGGGGAAGGTCGCATACCTATTATCCGGTAATAACTCAGTTTCATCAGAAATTAGACATGCCATTTATAATACGAATATATTATACATAATAATATAAAACAATACATTTTATAATACTTATAGTACTACTAATGATACGGTTTGTTGATGTAATGAATTTATGTAAATTGCACTACATTATAACAGTATCACCGAAAAAAAGAGTTCGGGAGGGGTACGTACTCCCCACCCCCCCAATGCACCTACCCTGGAACGGCACTGCGCCCAATCCAATTCCGAACCGCTGACTCTGTAATGATTATGGACTAATATAAAATCTTGATCTATGGTTATACAGTGTGATCAATTCTCGATAAGATATAGGATAAGATAAGGAATTTTATTATTGGACAACTTATATAGCAAGTAGCTCTAAAATGTTACATTTTTATCCCTTATTTTCGGTAGTGAAATCACTATCCAATTTTCTTCTTCATTCCAATTATTTGGGATCGGCCACTCTCGTCTTAAATTTCCATTTGACCCATTTATCTCTCCCGCTTTCCTCCTACGTCTTTTTCTGTTACAATTCTTACTGCTTTTGATTTTCCTCTCATTATGACATGCCCAAACCATGTCAGTCTATTTTCTCTCATTTTGTTCATTATCGCAGCCACATCTAAGCTACCTTTTCTGTACTCATTTCTTATCCTATCTTCTCTGGTCACTCCACTTATCCACGTAAGCATTCTCATCAGTGCTACACTTATTTTATTTTCTAACTGTCACTCAACACCCCAAACCATATAACATACTCGAATCACTACTCATTTTTGATTTTCAAATAGCAAACTGGATAGGTATATTAAAAGTTCCATAAATTGGTTGACGTTTAAATTAAAGTAAATTTTAGTTATTTTAATTTTAAGTTTGAGTTGGGGGAAAGTAGTGGATCATGCTTTGTGTGAATGCGCAGCACGCGACATTTGGGTATTGTAGAAATGTTTGAAAATTGTATACAAGGGTCATCGAAATTTTTTTTTCTGGACAGACGATTCGTGAGATACTGTTACTTGGGCACCGGCAGGCATTCGCGTGGATCGACGATTGGATAACGATGACCATTGCAGACGTACGGAGTTACGAATGTGAAATGCAGCGCCAGACCAATACTAAAGTCAACGCTGCTTGCACATTATCAGGCCCAGAGAACTACGAGGTTTCGAGGCCGTTATCACCACTACCTGGTAACCCTGACGGAAACGGACGACAAACTCCTGAACTATCGCCTCAGAGACAGAATCAGTCGAATCCTCGCAGAGAGCTTCGTAACTCTTCGTCTGGATGGCTCTCGCGACAATGACCGCCACATTAAATAATACTATATCCACTACATTTTCTTTTTTTTTCTTCACTACTTTCACTATTTCAAACGAGCTTGATAATGATCACACAGCTTTAGATATGCCTTAGGTACCTATCTATTTTTCTCATTTTTTACTCATACTTGCGTTATAATAATAATACCTAATATATTATTTAATGACCTAACCATTTTTAAAGATTTTCGTTCCCCTCTTATTATTAATAATAAATACCTTAAACTCTAAATCAAACTTAACCTATTGAAACTATTATCATTATATAAACTTTTTATAGATAAATAATAATAGTGATTTTTGTTAGATTTATTTTCAAGTAATCCTTTTTTTTTTAAATTTTTGTTAAATTTTTTTGAACAAATAACTGCATGTCAGAAGAAATACACAACACCCATAATAACTTCTGATTAATTCAAAATGTATGATATATGTATGAAGTAATGTAATGCTTGTAGTCTCATCTCAAATTTACACCATAGAGTATTATTATGTTATACGATTCTGAAGTCTGAACTATTTTCTATTGAGCGATTAGCTGTTCGATAAGAAAGTGATTGCAACTCAGTGATAACTCAGCCACTGTGGCTGAGCCATGTTAGTGCAATATTTGATGCTATCTAATGAGTTGTAGTCCACTCTCTTATTTATCTAATCTCTTTGGTTTCCTCTTTGTGTACTTGTGTATATATATCCACATATAAAACCATATGTAACCAAAAATATTATATTATAATAAAATTACAATTAAATTGTGTGATTGTTATTTTCAAACATTCAACTTAATTTATATGAGTCCAATATATAATAATATTACCTACTTTTTCAAGTATAAAATATAGTTAATATATATGAAATCAAATCGAACAAAAAACAAAAAAAATTAAAATCACATGACTTTTTGAGTTATTTAATGGTTGAAAATTTGTTTCCAACTTATAATACTATTATTATAATTTATTGTTTGTTTTATTAATACTTTTTCATATTGTAATTTAATTTATATACGTACCATAATTATAACTATTAACTCAACTGTAGTTAATAAAATATTATGTGAAAATTAACAATCTACTAAAATCAAATAAAAAACGGAAAATTTTTGTCATTACATCATAATAGAAGAATGAATAGGTCTTTGAATCAAATTGAAGAGTTGCAATTTCTATTATATAGGACCTGTTAATTGTATTATTATTACATTACTGAAGTATTTTCACAATATTATTAATAATATAGTTTTTAATTTTGTTTTTTTATTTTAAATTTAATAATTTATAGTACCTACAGACATTATGTTTGTTGCCGTATGTGCTTAAAATTAATAAACCGAAGTATCTCTCTCATTATTTTATTAGTATGTTTAATTGTTCGTTTTCAATACTACTTTAGTTTATAATTCGATTAGAATTTAGAAACAAGTATGTTTGATTTATGTTTTAGATATAATTTTTTGTTGTTTACAACAATCTATCTATGTACTATTACTATACTAATATTTATCGTTTGAGGTTATAGTATTATTTATTTTTAAGAAAAACAAAGTTGCACTTAAATAATACATCAAAAATGAGAAATCGTTATAGTGCAGAGCGCTTTTTTGAAACATTATGATTGTGCGGTAGAATAGCTTTGTTTAAAAATTGAAATAATGCCTATCAATTATATTCTGATATTGTATTACATTATAATACTATAATATTATTATTATGTTTAGTAGGTATCCAAATTGATTTTTTTTCGTCTCAACCGAACAATAAATAATCTTTTGAAAAATACGATATTACAGTGTTTTTTTTTTTGTTTACTAGAGTAGTCGTAAATGTTTGTATACCTACCTTATCTCGTCATATAGATGTAGGTCTAGTACAGGTATAGACTGTATGTACGACTAGTGCCTGCATCACATTATTATTATAACGAGAACATCACAAGAAGACAAAAGTATTTGTTCCACCAGAACGAGGAGAACATCGACGAAATGAAAATGGCGAAAATAATTGATAAAAAAACCGAGCGAAACGAAACGCAGTGTCGTCTGGTATTTTATGGGATCTATTTTAGTTTCGCTGCCATATTTAGGATGCTTCCAATTGCGGTGGCGCTGGGCACGAAACTGTCTGAATTTTGTGCATCTCAGACGCCGCAGAACAAATGCGTAGGTGTGAACAAGACGGACGGTTATCGCGTGGCATGCAGTGGTGGTTTTCACGAGGATTACTTACCCGAAGAGTGAGTAAGTCGGATTTTGGTTATTGTTGGGACGTGCTTACATAAAATATTATGAAATGTTTTTTACCAGAAATTTTGCTCTAATAAAAATGATAAGATATCATTTTCGTTGCATTATTGATCTATTACATTTTGTTATTTTCTTGGTAGTTTTTGTAATAATTAATGTAATAAAATAAAAACTTTGCTAGTATTTCTTTATTTTAAATTTTTACGTTTTGTTCCTTTTAATATATATCCAATGACAAAGGAAGACGTTTTTTTAGCCCCTCTTATAATTTTTTCGAGCTTTATTTTATTATTAACCATTTTTAAAACTGAAGAACCTGTATTTGATTATAGTACGAGTATAATAGATACATGACTATTGACACAGTTGAACGTATAGAACTATAAGTCTATAACTATACTTCAAAGAATCACCATTTGAGATTTACCATTTCACACGTAATTAGTAAATTGTTAGATGAAAGTTGTTGACCATTTTTATTACCTCGAAAATGTTTTCTGAGAAAAAACAACCAGATAATACTATATAATAATACACTTGTTTATTATTGTATGCACTTTTAAAACAAATACACTTTCTCACTTTTCATTTAAAATGGTATAGGTGGGTGTAAAAAAAGAACAATATAAAAGCAATAAATAAGCTCTTTACTGCAAAATTTATGAAATATTCAAAAATATGCACATTCAAATTTTAGGTTTGGTATTATGGCAACGAGAAATGAATTTTTATTGTACACTGCTATATTTTCAACAAATAACAAAAGTATGCAAATGCTTTAAGTCCCAAACCCTGTAAATAAGTAACTTGATATATTTATATTTTAAAATTTATTATAAATTCATATTTAAATTTTTTTAATAATTTTGTAAAACCGAGAAATACGTGAGAAGCTTAGGGCATTAATAGTTTTATTTTTTTTCATTTGGTTTTTATGATGTAATTCGGTTAAAAAAGAAGTTAAAAAGGTTAAAAAGAATCGTAAAGACCTGATATTTTCACAGAATACTTATCTAGGCCTTTTCTAGACGTGGTATAGTGTTCAAAATATTCTAAAAATTGTCTAACTATTTTCAGGCATTTGGTATTTCCGTGTTTTTAGTTTTTATTTGATAGGTATTATGTGTATAAAATTGTTTGATTGAACAGAAATATGAGTACTTGAGAATTGAATACGAGGTTCATTAAAAGTTATACTTAGTAGTCAAAAAAAAAAAGTAGAGCGTAATGTATAGTAGTTTTATAAATAGAGTTTTAAGATCAAATTTTGACGAAAGTGCTTTAATTACGGTATTTCAAAAGATTTATAACCGAACATCGTTCAGAATTGTTTTTTGTCAGCAATGGTTTATTGTTGCGTATTAATATAAATTAAATAACTTTATGTATCCCACCTTCATAACTTCCCACCTACAACATGGGTACATTATCCTCAGTATCAGATCTTTTTTTTTATGTCTGTTGTATTTTAGCAGCTCCTTTTTCTGCATCAAATAAGCTCAAACTTGGGAATTGTTTAGTAGGTGGTTTAAAGGTGATAAGAGTTGGATTAAGTTTCAATATGAATTAAACGATCCTGAATGTGTTTTTTTTTTGTTTTGTACACTAAACGAAGCGAGGGGAATGCAATTTTTTACATGTATAACGTAGTTGTTATCAATCATCAATTAATTTCGCAATTTTTTTTTTTTTTTTGTAAGTAGTACGTATATATGTGTATTTGGTTGTTTATTGTTTTACAAAGAATATGATTACTTATTATACAAAATAGTTGAGGAAAATTATACTTTAGTCACTAAGTATAATGACTAGAGTCTAGTGACTCTAGCTCTAAGGGGCTCTACTGCTTAGGGGTGTTTTTTTTTTTATATAATATATATATTATTGCGTTATAATAATAATAATATAATTAATTAATTCTTGAATTATTGAAATACATATTACAACATCCTTCGTTTGTATCAATAGTTATCCGCAATTGCAATCACTTATGCTGTGCCACTTGCCGACAGACTATTTCGACCCGACCGAGTCGTTGCAGCCGTACTCAAAACTCGTCAAGTTGACAGTCACCAATAGCAAGATCAAAGAAATTATCGGAGAATTTCCGGAGTTTTTGCAAAACTTGAAGGTAACAAGACTTATAGTTAATTCTCGAGTTTACAATATTAAAATACATAATCATAGTGCTGCTTCTGTAGCAGTGTGTGTTTTCGAGTTTTAAAACTTTGAAATTAGTTTAGAAGTTAAGAAGCTTGATTAAGTACCGAATAACTATTTTCTATAAAATTGTATTCCTTAAATTAAAATACCTTTAAGGATTATGGATAGGTATATTAAGTGTTATACTTATCTATATGTAATGTTTATTCTGAAAAAAATATGTCTATGTCCTTAGTGACACCTGGAGGTCATAAATTAAAATACAAAATTGAAGCTGTTTCCCCAGAAGTTTAAACATCCTGAACAATTATGTAAGGTCTAAAAAAAAAACCGTTTTCGTTGTACGCGATTTCGTAAAATTAAAAAAGAATTCTATACAAATCATATTGATGTAATGGAAAGATAGTGATATGTGGTTCTTTTAAAATTATACGTAGTTGTTGATAATACACTTAATAATAAAATGTTGTAAAAACATAATAAAACTACTTTTTATTGCACTTGTCCTTCGGGTGGCCAAACTCTTTTTGGAAGCTTCTGATATCGCGTTCTCAAAAAGTCTCGCATTGTGAAATTAATAACAGCCATGTAGTTGCACCAATGAGACTTCTAGAAATAAAAAATACCTGAAAAATAAATATTATTTTTGTAAAAATTGCGTAGATAGATAATGTTTTTTTTTTTCGTGGCGTAGTTAGGTATATTACGTCCTAACTTAAATATAATTTTTAAATAATATGCTTATGTCATTTGGATGCATACATAATATAAATTAATGACAGAATTAAAAAGTGATTAAAAGATTTATTCTAATTTAAATTTTAACAACTTTGAAATCAATAATCTTGCTCTAATATCATTAACATAAGTTCTGATTTAAGGTTTAAAAAATGTTGTCTAATTGGTATATTCAAATTCTAATGTATAACTATTAATCTTTTAGATTTGGAGCGTAGCGAAGGATCTATTGATTTTACTATGATGCGTGTATTATTTTTTGGGCCTGTAAACAACTTTTCGAAAATAAATCTTGCTCCGATGTATAGAGTACAGTATATTTTCTGAAAGGAAATGTTCTCTGATTTGTGTATTAGAGTGGACATTTTTGATTTTCAATGGAGTTTTCAAAGTAATTACGAAAAATCCGGAAGAAAATTTTAGATGAAACGACAAATATTTACGGCGCGCCTCGGCGTAACCGTTTTCATTGTTTTAAATTTTTGTTCACGATGTTTTTTACTCAAACTATTGTTCCAATCGACAAATGATAAGAGATCGATTATCTTTCTTTTAAGTTGAACGTTTATTGACAATTACATTTTTTGATAGTTCAATTATTACGAGTTATTTTCAAATTTTATTTCCTAATTGCTGATCGATGAACGTTATCGTTATTTCTTATTTTCATTGATATTTATTATTTTTATTGATTGGTGAGATTGTCGCTGTATTCGATACAGGTTCGCAATACGTCGTGTATAACTATTAAAAGTACAATCATCGCACAAATCGTAAAAATTACGGGATTTCTAATTATGTCTTACCGAACTTGTATTTTATTCGTGTCAGAACATAGGTATGCACAACCATGGAAGATTTTTACCTACTATATCTCGAGTGGGAACTTACATTTTCCAAAATTTAACCATGTTGTTAAGAATGAGGTGGAAGGTGTTTTTGTTTAGTTTTATACAACCATTCAAATGTAGCTACGGGGATGCAATTTTGTACATGCATAATTTTTGTACCAGAATGTACCATTGCCATGTGATTTTAAATTTCAAACACCACCCTTAATAGTGATGGAGATTCGCTGTTCACCGGTGTTTCTTTCTTTTTTTTTTTTTTTTTTATAATATAACTATATTGAGTTTTTAAACTTTAATCGAAATAACTTCGTTTGTCCAACATTGGGGCTATGCTATCTGCGTGAAATGGCGTGCTACTGTCATCCGTCAAACGTAATATTTACAATATTATATTTGTATACGTTTTTAATAATTAAAGTCGGTCGTAAAAAGTCGTTTAAAAATTGTAATTCATTGCAAATCTGACATCATCGTCGTCGCCGTCGTCGTCGGTATAGATGCAACAACATTACTGAACAAAACGGAAAAGCATTTTTAACGTGACGAATTATTATGTAGATCGTTACGTAGACCGTAAAAAAACTTTTTTTTACCCGTCACTCTCTCAGGCATACTGCAGTCAATTTTATCGACGATTCGAATATACAGCAGATCGTCCGTTAAAAACGTCAAGCTTATTTTTTTTTGTCCTTATTATACGATTACGCTCGTTGACAACGAGATTTTTCGTACCGTTTTTGTACATAAAGAATCGAATATTTAGAGAATATTATAAAACGCCGATGAGGTTTAAACCCCCAAAGCCTTCCTCCTGCATTTGTCACTACTCTCCCCTCAACAAAATATGATGAATGCAATGTAAACAGATAATACATATATGTATATAAAATATTAATATAAAAGATATAGGGTAAATAAAAATAAAAATACTATACCAAATAACGAGAAGAGATTGTTTTAAGCAAAATGTAAAAATTAACATCAAGAGTTTAAAAATTATTTGAACTAGTATTTTTTTTTTTAATAATAGTGCTTTTAATTTTTTTTTGTGAAAAGATAATCATTCAAAAACTTATATTTTATACTATACTATTTTTTATTTATATTTATAAATACTTTTTGTTTATTTATGTCATAATGACGCACATATAAGTAGAGATTAGATATCTTTATTTTTTGGAGGGGAGGGGCTTAAATTAGACTTACTATATAAATTACCGGAAGATTTAAATGATTGTCTATATTAGAATATTGTGATATGATTACTTCGTTTTAGATTTGAAGCGAATCAAAGGATCTATTGGTTTTACTATGATGAGTGTATTTTTTTCATTTTTGTGCCTAAGAGCAAATTTTCTCCCAGAAACTTTGCTTCGATGTATCAAGTATAGTACCTATACTGAAAGAAAATTTTTCCTAGTTGACGCATTGGGGAAGGTTTTGATTATCCAAGGGGTTTTCAAAATAACTGGAGTAATACCGGAAAAAAATTATCAGAAGCAAATATTTACGGCGTACCGGAAGTTATCGACTTCGTTATTTTAATTCTTATACAAACTATGTTTTCTACCAGAAATATTTCTTTCATCAAATATGTCAAGAAATCTTTTTTGTTAAATTTTAGATCTTATTGCCAAGAAATTAAGTTATTATTTATTTTCACAGTAGTTTTCATAATAATTGGGAAAAACCGTAAAAAAAAAAAAACGAAAAATGCAAACGAACAATTTTGTTTTATATTACTGTGTACGATTTTATTATTTTAAATTTGTATGCACGATGTTTCTACTAAAAATATTGCTCCAATAAAACAAAAATAAGAGACTTTTTTTGTTAAATTTTTAATTTTGCTGTTGAATGAGAAAGTTGTGTCTTGATTTTATCTATAGTTTTATTTTTTTAATAACTGTGAAAAACCAGAGAAAAACATAGAAAGAACGGGAAAGTTTACAAAAATAATGTTTTCATTATTTTCAATTTTTCTTTTTTTGTTGTAATTTAGTGAAAAATATTCGTAGACTTGATATTTTGAGAGAAATCTTACATTTGCTTTTTATAGACGTCGTAAAATTTTTAGAAAATTTGAGCTATTTTTAAGCTATTTATAGATATTTTAATTTTGAGAGTTTTTATTAATATTTATTTGGTAGGTATTCTATAGATACAATTGTTAGACCAAACAGAAATGCTTGACAATTAAACAGCAGGTTCATGAAAAGTTGTGCTTATTGATCAACAGGAAATGTTGAGTTAAATGTAGAATTTTTTTTTTTTCACAAGAATTTTAACATCAAAATTTGACAAAAATCGTAAATATTACGGCCTTTTAAACATGTGTAACCAAACTTCGCTCAGAATCGTTTTTCGTTAGCAAATATTAATCGTTGCGTACATATAAACATTCAATTTCCTTCTATATCTTACCTTTCTAACTATGTCGGTATTTTTTTCAGTTCAATCTGAAACATTTCGTGGTAGAAAAAAAATGAAGCTCACCTGCATGCGCATATTATAATATTATAATAAATAAATCGTTTTCGAATAAAAAATATGTAAACAAAATTAAATTTCGTTACGTTTCGAAAAAAATGCAGTGTCGTCGGTTTTTGAAATATAATATTATGTAAATGTGTTTAAAAAAAAAAAAAATGTATGTAATAAGTACATAGTGATGAGATTTTCCTTCGCAAATTCTTATAGAAAATTATGCCGTATTGATGGTTCGAGGATGTTCCTTTTCCCGTATATGAAACCTTTAATGCATCAAAATCGTCAAAAATGATACAGTAATAATATTACATTTCCCAGACAGAAATTTTAAACGGAACTCAGTGTGCGTCTTATTATTATTATCTTTTCGAGCTGATTATTGTCATTAGGGAGAGAAAAAAATAATACCTACTAAATCCGTTGATATGAACGAACGCTGATGAAATTGACACCCTTCACTTGAGCTATTGACAATAATAATATTTTGCAACCAATTTTTAAAAATTTGTAACGCCAATTTTGACATTTGTAACACTACCTTTATCAGGAAAATAAAGGGATTACATTTTCTTTGCACCACGCCCTTTTTTTTCTATAGATTCGATATACTTTTATATATTACAACACATTTGTACAATTTTGCATCATCAATTTAAAAATTTACTTCTTAACATCGAATACATGAAAAATAATTTTACTTTAAGAATGCCAAATTTCCGATGCTGTTTATTTAATTGACTACAATCTACCTTAGCACTTTGTATCAATTTTTAAATGGTCTAACTGTTAGATAATATTTTTAATGAGTGAAAATAAAAATATTTATGAGCAAATTACTATCATATAAAATTCTGATCACTTAGCTCTAATATAATAAGAAAAACAATATTATTAATGAACACGATAAATGGCAATAGTCTCCATTGTACAAATAACATTATAATCATATATTTTATGGGCGGTGTTGCTAATTTCAAAATTGTCGTTGCAAATTATTGAAAATCAGTTGCAAAATAACGGTATTGGTTGGAAATCGATGACATCAAATGGGGATGCCGAGCTGGTTAGGTTTGGTAACTGTCAATTTCACAAACGTTACAAACGAATAAATGTATAGGTAACATTTAAAAAAAATGTGGCTATTATATTTATACGCTTTGCAGAAAGCGAATTATTATTTTAGAGGTATATATATGACCTGAAATTTTTAATATTGTTGAATGTTGTTATATTTTTTATTATTTTAAAAGGTAAATATAATCCTTAGACTTCCTTTCACCACCACTAGACGTCTACATTTATTAAGTATGTATATTTTGAGAGTGAATTTAAATTTTGTTGAATTTTCATTTTATTCAAAATTGTCGTTCAAATAATTGCTTGTATTCAAAACTTCTTAAATACTGGGCGTTTCCGATGCTCTCTTAATATCTTTCTCGTTAGGCCGAGTTTAAAATTCAATCGTACGTGGGAGAGACTGGCACGGAGCCAGTCTAATTTATATCATTTGAATAACGATGTTCTTCGTTATTATACAATTCAAAATTAATTTATCAATCTTGTATACAACTATTATTTATTACAAAAAAATAAATGATTTTGTTTTATATAAGTTATTAAACATAAAGTATAGCACATATTATAGAAACACGTTTTTTTTAAATTCTGATCAAAACGAGGATTAGGAATATGAATTAGTTTTAGAAAACTAAAAAAATATTTACACAATTACGGTTTCTGTTTTTTTTTTTTTTTATATATATTTTAGTGAAAAATAATAGCAGGGACAAGAATTCATGATTGCGCTACTATCATGAACTATCATTTTGCGAATAGGGCGTTAGTACCTAACTATCAAACTATTATTGTAGAAGTAACTAAATTATATACGATCATGCATCATGCATAATAATTGACAGTTACTATAGTGAGAGCGATAGTAACTATCGTTATATGTACACATACTATCGTTCTATTTTAGTGCTGTATCGCACTTTCGCACACTGGTACGTTTCTATCGAAACCCACTTTACCACATCGTGTCTTCTACTATAATGATCTGTGTGATAGTTATAATACCACTTGTGTTACACCAGCCATCACAATAGTAACTGATTTTGCGTTTATCAATTATTTATTGTGCTCGTCTTGATACTTGAATACATATTTTACTTTTTATTATTTCCATTTGAAAATCGGCGCTTTTGAATACCTAATTGTTTACAAACAGTATATTATCTGCTTGCTAAAATTTTAAATTAAAAATAATGTAAGTAGGTGGGTTCCTACTTATATACACATTGTTGGTAGGTAGTTATATCTACTCTCATCTTATCTCATTAATTCTTGAAAAATATAAAGACAATATGTTTTTACAAGTATAATTTTATCTTATACTAATAATTATACATAAAAACGTATTTTTCGTGTATATACGTATACAAAGATAAAGTATATATTATGCGGGTTTTATGGAAATGAGTTGGTTATTTTGTTTGTTTATGTTTATAATAAAAAAAAAGTGGTCGTTTTTCGAAACGACGACGACGACGACGATAATCAAAACGAAAATAATAGGGTTCCGTGTACTAAAAAAAAAAAGTAACATGGTTTTTTTTTTTTATTTTCAATATACTTACTTTGAAAACGTATTCGGAGGCAGTTTGATAATTTATGTTTTATAGATTTATTTATAAAGTTATTATAATACTTAGTGGGTACAGTCTCACAAGTATATAGGTATATTATAATTGGTCGTATCCCCGTAATGCAATGAATATTGTATTTTGATTATACTTGGGACTTATAGGTAACGATTATATTTGTTTGTGTATTAAGGAGGTTTTGAATATTATAAAAAAACCACGACGTACCTACTTATTATAAAATATAAGAGTAGATTATGCTATACTGCATACGTTTTTTCGTAAACTATCAAATATTATTTATGCCTACTGCAGTATTTGGAATCATCAATAGAAAAAAACCGTTTTATTAAATTAATATTGTATAGTCCAGGGGTGGCCAAACAGTCGATAGCAGATGATTTAAATGTCGATCTCCATTCTGTTAGAATTTATTTTTATATAATCAGTAGATAAATAACAATTTGCTGATCATTTTTATTTTAATATATTATCTTTATAGTAAATAAATGTATAAATAAAAATGTATATATTTATTTACGAGAATTAATCATTTTCATAATTTTGTTTTTATTTTATTATTTTATACATTATCTTTATTTTGTTGCACGTTTATCAAATATGTAATACAATTCAACTGAGTATAACCTGGCAATTGTGTTTACAATAATGTTATGTTAGTCTTAACAATAGTGTGATGAAAAACATTATTTAACTATACATTTTAATTTTATTATTTCGTACGTGCATGATTATTATTAGTACCTATTAGGTAATTTATAATAGTACATTTTTGTTAGGAAGTCGATCCTAAAAAAAAAAAAAAATATGTTCTTAGTAAATCTTTACCAAAAAAAGTTTGGCCACCCCTGTTGTATACAATATACTTAATACTGCAGTAGGCATAGGTGTATATTTATTGTACTGTATTATGTATACATCGACAGACTTTGAATTTATCTCATTTGAATTTGGAGCGTGTTAAGCCGAGTACGTTCAAGTACCTATCGTCCTTGGAAGTTTTGGATTTGAGTTACAATAAACTCCATTATTTGCAATTGCCTACAGCGGAATATTTACCGAAACTGAAGCAAATTTGGTTGGCTGGTGAGTAAATATTGCATCAGAATACCTTATAGAAATCTTATAGTATCTTGTAGTTAAGGTTTTTATTTTTCCATTATACATGGGCATATAAATAGTTTTATATTTTCGCAGGACACTCTTGGTTTTGTAAACATAATTTATTCTGGATGCTCCGTGTATCGAAAGGTCTAATGACTTTCAAAGTGATGGATTTTAACCGTATGACTTGTGGAGATCATAAGTATTTTGAAAACCCCGTGATCCCCATACTGCGGATGTTAAGCGTACGTTATAATATTATGATATTAATATAGGCACCTAGATATTTTAATAACTACACAAATGTAAGATAATTTGATATTATATTAAAAAAGTTAATGTGACAAAAATAGATTGGAAGTAAAATGTAATATTTTTAGGAATTCAACGTAGAGAGAAAAAATTATAAAAACTAGTATATACAATTAGAACCATAAATTAAGAATACTTATTGTAATTTTAAAATACAAATTACTACAAATTATTGAATTCGTATTATTCTTATTATTTCTTATTCTTTGTATACTTCTTATTATTTAAATTATTGAATTATCGAATGAATCCGTGTATTTTTACTCTTATGACGTATATATGGACAATAGCTAAAATATATGTATTTTAATCAGGATTTGGAAAAAGAATGTCCCAGCAGTCCGCCCAACAATTGTGTCTGTACATTGGACCATGTGGTGAATTACGGTATGAGTTCATCGTTTTCCTTGCATCCGTTAATAACGGTCGACTGCAGTTATAGGGATTTGAAAATACTACCGAAAATACTTCCGCACAATACTACAACCCTCTTAGTACAAGGAAACCAGGTGAATACTGTACAATATTATAATCTCCACAAAATAATATGTGTACATTCAGTAACTATTAAATTAATATTTTCTGTTAATATTCAACATTTAATTAACACAGATATCCACAGTGGACGACCTGATTACCAATCGTTATTACGCGCGACTTTTGGATATTTATTTAGATTATAATCGGATTAGTTCCATAAGTATACTAGAAGGATCGCAATGGTTGGCGCAGTGCAGAATATTGAGTATTAAAGGAAATAATCTGACCAAAGTTTGTGATCGATTTTAAATTTTCTCGAAAAACAATTATTTAGTAAAATATTATTATTTTTGATTTAAGATTCCGACCTACGCATTGGACAACGCTTTCCAGCGGAATCGTAATATTGGTTTAGTCTATCTAGGCGCTAATCCTTGGCGTTGCGATTGTTTATTTGCTCCTGCTTTCCAGGTAAAATAATAATATATATAATATATATTTTATAATAATATGAATTTTTTTTTTTGGGCGGCGGGGTTATTTTTAAGGACTTTTTAATTAAATATAAATCATTCATAGAGGACATAACGGATATCAAATGTTCATATCAACAAGACGACGAATATTATATGACTCCGGTAAGCGCTTTTATTTTTAGAGAAAACACTAAAATAGTATTATATAGAGTGCTGGGTGATTATTGAGATTCATCGGGTTAGGTACTGAATGGTTGTAAATAATTATTTATACATAATTTTCACGAATTGTGAGTATTCATTTTTAATATAAGCTCTATCTAAATGTTAGTTACAAGTATATTTAAGTACATTCGAGTTATCTCGTAAAGATTGAAAATCGTTTGTATGGAGCTATGTGAAATCGTATAATACATAGTACCTACTCGTCGTTTTTAATCACTTACGTGTGTAACATTGTAATTCAAATTTTAAACTATATTTCAAATGAACAAATCAAATTGTATTGTAAAGATACCTATTATACTTGTGAATCCTTCGCGACGATACTGTATATTATATCCGTCTGTGTTGTAAAATTTAATAGGATTCCGAGACGACACGGCCGATAAATGGGCGTAGTACGTAGTACCTACTGCGCATTACGTAATGTCGTGAGTTCGGATCTCCGCTGTCACTGGCGGTTTCTTTCGTTGGACAGGTGACCCGACCAAGACAAGAAAGTCCTCTACCCTGTAATTCTCTTGTTCCCACCTACTCTCCATCGTATGCTCACAGACAACCCGAGTTCCAAAACTTGTGTCTGGTCAGCGTTAAGTTGGTAGCTATATAATATGCGAACCGTAATCCGAAATCCGTCCGGACAAAAACGTCCGAAACACGACCCGTCGGAGGAAAACGTGAGAAAAAAAAAATTTAGATTTATGTTACAGCGGGGGTAATAAGGTCCTTAGACGTTTTCAATTGAATTTACGCGATGCATACAGGTTTTATGTACTTAAATTATAAAACAACAGATTACTGTATACTTATGTGGAAAGTGAAGGGAAATTTGAAAAAAAAAAAGAGTACATAAAAAATCGTATTTTTACAAAAGTAATGGTGATTATATTATACTATTACGATTCTAATCACCCTATATACAATAATAATATACTCGTATTATACAATACTTTGTAATCGAATTTCATCAGTATGGGTACCTAGGTATACTTTAATATTTACGACAAATGTATTTTAATCTTAGTCGGTTGTATACAATATGTTTTAGATTCGTGATTTACCGCGGAACACGTTGTGTAGGACTTCGACGACGGACATGGTGAATTATTGGGACAGTTTGAACGTATTGCTGGCATTTCTAATAGTCGTCTTGATTTTGAAGTTTATTTACGATTACGTGCTGTATAAAAAATACGGTACACTACCTCGAATTACTATATTGTTCCCTTAAAAGCTGCTGTTTGAATAAATGTACGGTTTTAACGAGAATGGCCGTTATAAATTAATTTTGGGCCAATTTTAGTCTATATTATACTGCTTCGATGTAAAATTTCAAACCGCGTTATACGGTGCCATTGCAATTTACATAATAACATGTAGGTTATGTAGGTTAGTTAGCTAAATGTTTTAATGAAATATGTTTTGTAATAAGTGTCTTCTTTGGGGATTTTTTTTTTTTTTAAATGATAAATGATCGTACAATTTCAAGTTGAAATGATAAAGGGCTTCAGTTCACGGGTTAAATGTGAAGGGTCTTAAGTAGTTTTTTGACTCTCCTTCTGTAAAGTAGCATGTTTTTGACTTTGATGATTTTGCCATTTCTCTTAAAAACCGTCCAATTATTATAGTGGTAGGTTAAACAATGTATTCGAGTGTATTAAATTTGAATAGCTAATATAGATTTTTGTTTCGATTCTAACGGGAATATTAATAGTAGTACCTACACATATAATTCTCATTCAAAAAATATACAACCCACGTAAGCATTTTACACGGTGTAATTAGTACGGAGAAACACGTGGCGGTCAGTATGATGGTTACACAACGGTTTAATTAATATTTTCCATTCCGATGGAGTTAGAATTTCGATGACAACGATTGTTTTTACAAAATTAATTTAACACAATTTGTTTTTCGATGTACCGATGATTGAAAAAAATAAAAATAAAACTACATACAAAATTGAAACTGAGTATTATTTTTATTTTTATTTTTTTTTTTTGGTTATATTTTTAATTTAAATTTTTATTTACTTGACTTTTTTGCCGTTCAACTCACTAGTCAGCATAACCGGCTCGGTGTATAATTTGTAAAAAATCGGAATATTATAATAAACGTCTGGTCAACAAAATAAAAAAAAAAAACATGAAAGCTTTGCTCAGTTATTGTATCAAAAAATGTAAAAGTTAAAAATAAAATTCGAACAACATATATTGTTTTTGTGTAACGTTATTTCGTTATTAATTTTTTTTTTCGTTTACTCGCTTACCTATTAACTCAATTTATATGCAAAATAAATTGTTTTTTTTCTATATGCCTATACATAATAGTTAATAGTTTAACTAATGTACGTGATTACTGCAGAAGAATCAAAGAAATTAATATATTTCAATCAAGTCTAGCTTAAATATATTTTTGACATTAGAGATATATATTAAATAGTTTAATATAAAAAAACCGAACATAGCAAGCAAAAAGCAAAGATAGCGGTAAACTAATATGTTTTTCCCTGTTTGGTTATTCATATCAATCAACAAAAATTACGTTAATGTTTCGACATTACTTTGTGTTCATGTTATTAATTTTTTAGAAAAACTTTTGATGGTATTGTAGAAAAAATGTTTCGATACATGATATTACTAACCGAAAAAGTGCAATTTTTTGAGAAAAAACATATCTTAGCAGAGGATAAAGTGGGGAAGGATAAAGGGGAACGTAGTTTTTATTTCTTTATAAGATAAAACTATCAGTCCCCTTTAGTTTAAGTCTTAGAATTCCGGGGAGATGCTTGAATTATTGTCACATCTAATGAAAAAAAACCACGTTAGAGCTTAATTTTTGTAATTATCATTAATTTCATTGATTTGTGTAACTAAATAACAGATAGATTTATAGACCTCTAATTTTGAAAAATTTGATGTTCTATTTATTTTTTTGGACCAATCGTTAGTATTTCTTTAGTTTTGGATACCAGAACAAAAATAAATAAGTAAACATACTAATCTGTGAGACAACGGTGATGATGATGTTAAAGAAAATAATTTAAAACAAAAAAGAGCTGATATTGTGAACAGGTGTGGTCACTGTTGTAGGTGGATAGCGGGGAAGGTGGGATATATTAAGTTATTTAATTTATACCTGTAATCAAAAATAAACCATTGATAACGAAAAAGGGTTTGGAGCGAAGTTCGGTTGTTCATATTTTGAAAGGCTATAATATTTACGATTTTTGCCAAAATTTGATTCGAAACCTATAAACGTAATTCATTAAACTATACTTTTTTCTTGACCTTGAAGTACGACTTATAATAAATCTTCTATAAAATGTTCAAGTATTTCTGTTATGTCTAAAAATGTATTTATAGACTACCTACAATATAAAAATTACTTAAAAACTCGCAAAATACTATGTCTATAAAAAGCTTAAAAATTGCTCAAATGCTCTGAAAGTTTTACCATGTCTAGAAAATATAAATATAAGTTTTTGTCAACATTTTAAGTCTACAAATATTTTAAACTGAAATACGTTAGAAAAACAAAATTGAAAATAATAAAAGTATTATTTTTTTTACATTTTCCCGTACTTTCTTTCTTTCATTCTTTTTCGGTTTTCTATATTACTAAAAAAAAACTACATAAAAAATCAAAAACGACTTTTCTGGTCACCAACTATACTGAAAATTAAACAAAAAGGATCTTTTGATGTTTTTTGATCAGAGCAATATTTATGGTAGAAAACTTAAGCCGTAAAAATTTAAAATAATGAAATCATTGTACTGTAATAAGAAAAATTTTTTTTTTTGGTTTTTCGCAATTATTATGAAAACTACTGTTGATATCAAAAACGATTTTACCTGTCAGTGGTTAAATATTAAAAGTAAAAAAATCAGTTTCTTGTCATTTTTGGGTTGGAGTAATAATTCTAGTAGAAAACATCGTGTTAACATAATAAAAACAATGAAAACGGTAACGTCGTGGCGCGCCGTAGATATTTTCATTTTACCTATCATTTTCTTTCGGGTTTTTCCTAATTATTTTGGAAACCCCTCGGAAAATCAAAATATGATCTCCTCAATGCACTAGCGAGAGAAACTCACCTTTCAGAAGAGGTGTCTATACTTCAGAGCAAGTTTTTTGGTAGAATAGTTGTTCACAGACACAAAAAAACTACAAAAAAATACACATACATCATATAGTAAAACCAATAGCCGCTGCGCTTCAGATCTGTAATGTAAAGTAAGCAATGTAAAATTTTATTCCTCAAAAAATTAATATTTTTTATGATAATGAGTTATATTGATCACGCTGTTCATATTGCAATTTGGTCTTGCATATGCGGTTTCCGGTTAACAACAAATATTCGTGGCGTTGATAGTACTTCGAAACTACAATATTACTGTAACTACGGTAGATTATTTTAGAAATAAAATGATTTTTTTTAAAACCCTTGAAAAATTATGGAATTATATACATAGATAACCAAGTTTATTATGTATAACAGATATTATAGTCCCCGATTGGATACCGACTGTTATTTTGGTAAACATTTTAAACTATAGGTACCTATACTTCGGAAATTAGTCCGATCGATATAACGACAAAAAAAAAAAAAAAAAATTGGTTAAACAAAAACCCGTGGATTTCAGAATTAACAAAATATCTACCGGGAAAACGTCGAAACAATAATGTCGCTCGTACCCTTTCGATTCAATGATGTGGAATAATTTATGTTTATTAAGTAGGTATTTTATCAATAATATTATATTTAATCACTGTGTTATGGAATCTTCGCCAACACATATACATACTAAGTGTACACTGTATACACATTAGGTCTTTATTTTCTTAAAAAAAACTCTTTGCCAAGTTGTCGCAAGGTATTATCGTACACTCCTGGTGACGGAAGAACTTTTCAAAATAAGTATTACTGCAACTGTACAACCCTAGACAACAAAATGACGACGAAAAAAAAGAAACTTCGTCTAATGTTTTTTTTATTTTTTGTTCGATGTTGTTGGTTCTCTTGTTAGCTTATTTTTCATTTCGTTTTATCTGCAACTACGTGTGGTGTTCATAAACTATTGTTCGTATTAAAAAATGTGCTTTTTCTCTTGTTTTGTTTTTTATTTTATATAGTAGGTAGCAAGCCAATCCTATTTGTCTTTCCGCCGTGTGCTGTATTTTGTAAAACATTTGTATCGTCACTGTTCTTATAATATGTTCCACTATAAGTACCTATATGTACGTGCCATATCATTAATATTTTTAAATTTTTTTTTGGAAAAATTGTTTGTTATATATTGTTTAAGTAGTATAATACTGTTTGTATGTATTGTATATAATCATAAAAATATACAGTGACGTAAATCTTCCGTAAAAAATCAAGATTAATATTATTATATGCCCATAGGCGATACACTGACACTACAGTGACATCATTACGCCTATTGTTGAGTGAGTCATTTCATATACTCGCAATATTTCATGTACTAGTTTTTAAAATTATATTAAAAATAAAATGTTTGCAAAAACAAAAAAAATCATATCGTTATTAGATGCAGAGTGGATATTTTAACGATGACTAGAAAATCGTTTATCATCATATCGTCACCTCACGAAGTCACCACTATGTAACAGTTTAAGCGACTACTGTCGCCGTTCTTGATCTTTGTCTCCCATTTTGTCACTTCCATAAACCTTATACCAATAGACGGATCATCCGGGTCTGGCGCAATATGGTGTTGTAGTCAAGACAAGTAGAATATTGTTGGTTAGGTATTATGTTTCCGTACAATAATTATTGTGATAAAATTGGTGCGTCAAGAACTGTTTACTGAATACTGCATATAAAATATTGTTGCATTGCGTAAATCATACATATCCCATATCAAATTAACAACACATGGTGGTACATCGATTTTATTTTTTTTAAATTCTGGATATCTTGAGGGAAAAAGCACGATCATAACCTATCCTGTAGTTTACCAAATTAAACTCATAACAGTTTTTTTTATCACGATTTATTTTTGTATTCAGTACATAAGCTAAATTATTTTGTATCCTAAAATTTCAAGTCTCTACGAATATTTTCAACTGAATTACATTAAACAAACAAAATTTAAAATAATACGAGAATTATTTTTGTAAATTTTTGCGTTTTTTCTATGTACTTTTCGGTTTTACTCAATTATTTTTCCCCAGATCACGGTAACAAAGTTTGTCAAAGGAATTTTTGTCATGACGTATAGAGTACTTTTAAATTTATAGCAACGCGTGAAAAAATAAGTTTAAATAATGTTTATGCATTTTTTGATCATGTATTTTTTTTCAATTATATTGTTCTTTATCATAACATTATTTAGTTATTTTTTAAAATTCTATTGTTTAACTTCAATATTATATGTACATTATTTAACTGATCGATTTATATATAGAGGTTTTTTTTCTCTGATAAAATAATATTATGCATCTATATTGAAAAAGGCCCAGTTACGTGAAACCCTACGCGACCATATAAAATTTACATAGCACAATTTTGCAAAACAAAACTAGCACACTCGACTCGGTCCTATTAAGCATTTTTAGACAATCATTGGAATTGGTTAGAAATAATTTAAAAAGTTATTATACGTTTCTACTTTTCTAGCGATAAGTTCATGCTAGCGCATATAAGACAGAAAATGATTAAAATGTATCCATAACAATATATCCCATACAAATTCGACAAATGTTATTGCATTCCTTCTGTTCAATATTTTTTTTTTTTATTTTGGTTCCTCTGTTTTTTATAGATTCATATTATATATATTTAAAAAAAATTAAAATTAAAAAAAAAAAATTTAAAATCCAAGATGGCCATTTTATAAATATATTTTGAAACTTGATACTATTTAGTACCTGGTAGCAAAAAAAAAACAATTTAAATTATCTTAAACATAAAAAAATCAAATCAATTTGATTCACCAACCAAAATAATGGAAGTCCAAGAATTACTACTTATGTGAAAGTCTAACGTACACTAGATTAAAAGTATACCAATTTGACCATTAATTTCATCCTCAACTAACCTAAGGCTGAGTGTCTACATTGGCTTTGTTGACTTTGAGAAAATAAATTGATTTTTTTTTTATAAAAAAACGTCTTGATATTATACATGTTAAAATATTTATAAGCTCAAAAAGACAAAAAGTTTATTTTTTGTATTTTTTTGGCAAGTTTTCCATTAAAACTTCACTATATTTTGGAAAGCTACAACCAAATTATCACTACCTTGTATAGGGAAATTAATTACAAATAAAAAAAACCAATATTTTTTATTACTGATCTATCGAATACACCCGTAAGTATTCGCGTTATTTAAAAGATAATTTATGTATGTGTGTATTCGTGTATTTATTGTTCGACAAAATTCAATACTTTTATTTCAAATGACCTTTAAATATTTAAAAACAAAACTATTTAAATTTCCACTCATGTGATTTCGAGGCAGTCGGCCACCAAGTATAGTGTGAATTATATTAAAATTGATTGCATATTAGCCATTTTGTGTTGTCGTAGAGTAAATTCGTTAGATAGTTTTAGTTATGTAACTATGGATAATCTTTTATGCGATTTGATGTCCAATGCCAAAGGAATGTCATCTTTATTGGTTTCTTCTAGAAAGTCGGTGTAGTTCTGTTTGGTTTTCAGTAATGCTTGCAGATTGTTCAATCTGAAAACGATTTACATTTAGTTACATTTAAATTTTAGTTTATTTCAGTTATTATTTAGTTAATATAAACTATTATTAGTTCCGGAAGTTCAATATTATTGCGATCACACATGATATATTTATGTTGTTTTTTTTTGATATGCGATGTTAGCAAACATTTTTTCACAATAATAAGTTATAATACAATAAAAAATAAATATATTTTCGTTATTTAATTACTTATTTTAATCGTATACTGCAGTGTTTATTTAAGCAACAAAAGTTTCCCGTCGTTATATTGCCATTAGCTACTTATCTCTAATCTATATAATATTATTATACATTTTTTTTTGGATGGCAACGTGCAAAATTGCATTATATCAACGATCAATTACTTAGACCGAAATTATTCGAAATCAGTTTATGCGGCAGGTATAGGTGTAGTGTAGATTTTCTACCGTAATAAAATAAAAGCACATATCTATGGAAAAAGTTAATAGTTAACTTAAAAAAGTACATTTTTCTCGTAGTCCTATTATCCATGGGTAGAAAAGATAGAGATAGACGTAAGGGAACATCGAGTGAGTGGGAAAGATACTATTTAGATACTATACGTTCTACTATCTTTTTCTTTCCTGTGTTAACTCCCAATACAAATGACCAAATCTGTCCATAGATCTATGATTTTTCCTCTCTGACCTATCCGACATCCGAAAACCTGGATTATTTTCGATTATGTTTTGACGTTAGCTAGTGAATCGAGCAAATACAGACGAAGCAATATTGGAATATTTGAAATTTTGTTCTATGTTTTTTTTTTTTTTTTTTATTAAGCGTACAGGGTATGTATAATCATTATTAACTGTTATAGGTATCATGAATTAAGATAGTGACTATTAACTTAATTCATTTGAGGTACGAAAGTATGTGAGGCGAAACTCTTTAATTAAATAGAGGAGCTCAATCCAACGATTTAAAAACTGCATTCCAAGTGCATAATACTAAAGTTAACACAGACCCGCGGGGGCTTCGTCCCTACACCCCCTCGTTCTACCTTACCAGCATTTTGAATACCACTATTCAGCTAAAAATATTAAAATTCCAATTATATTTTGATAGCAATACCTACATCCTACATGTTGCAGTAGAAAATAATAATTATTTGAATATTATACCCTGATGATAATTTTTTTTTTGTTATCGCTTTTCTGTGGATAATATATATAACCATCATAGAGTAATTTCTATATGGTAACTACATAGTCAAAAGTTTAGTTAAATAAATTGAAGTTCGTTTGGTTATTGTGGTATCGTGTGCTAAGATATCGATATACCTACCATATGGTAAAAAAATATAGGACCACAGAAAAGATGATAATGTTAAACTAATATCAAAGATAATTTTGAAATTGAAAATAGTAAATTTCGTTACATAATTAACAATTGAAATCCACATTTTAATAAATATTATTTCTGATATTGGTTTGTGCCGTCTCCCCGTTCCAGTAAAAAAATATAGTCGGGGTACTCAACAAAATTTAAAAAAAAGGAGAGAAGATTCGTCCCTCTGCGCACCCCCCTACAATTCGAGCACTGGCCACACGCCTATACATTAAGGCTCACAGTATGCAATGTTCAAAATATTTTCAGATATTTCCTGTAAATGGATTATATTATTATAAATTAGAGGAGGCCTACGGCGGGAAATAATGCAATAATATTATTTCTCGTCTTGTAGGTACCTACCTACCTACAAATTTACATAATACTGTCATTGTGAAATCGCGGTGTGTTTGCTTTTCAGGTTTATTAAAATATTAACGAATCGATTGTAAATTGTTATATTTATATATCCGTCGTCGTTTCTCCATTATTTAACCTGTCTATCTACAATGTTATAATATTATTATGTACGTTTAACCAAAACTAGAATTCGAAACAAATATACATTTCGTTAATTATTAAAGGACACGAAAAACATGTATGCTGTATGTATAGTTTAAATCTATTTTTTAATATTTTTAAAAAGCAAAATAATTTAATCTATTCGTATTATAGTCAGCTCTCTAATAAGATTTTGATTTTGTTGATATGAGTAAGACGTTTGAAGGTAACGTTTGATAGGTACGTAGTCACATGGACATTTATTTAAATTTATTTTTTTTTTGACGTTCAATCTTTCGATTAATTGGCTGCAGCTCTCCATATTTCTCTGTCAAAATTCTAATTCTTCAAATACCGATAATTCTCATTTCCATATCCTAAAGAATTTATGGTATCTACTCGTATACCAATATATTCCATCCTAAGATTTTCAATTTTACCGTATATGCGTAACTTTTAATAAATTATCATGACGTAGTATTATTTGTTATATGTAGTTGTCTTTTTTCCTTAATCCTTCTTAAAACTTCTCCATTTGTTACTCTGTCACACCACGAAATCTAAAGAATTTTATGCGGTGACACCATTGCATATTTCAAATGATTTTATATTTTGCCTCTCAATTGTGCAAGTATCACACCTCCATGTAGGTATATTTTCAAAAAGTTTTTAATAGTATTGAGTTCAAACTTTTCGTAGTTAATAAGTGATTTTCATTTTAGTGCAATAGGTTAATATTTATGTTTAGCTGTTTTTTTTTTTGTCTAATTTGCTACATGTAAATTTATCTTAAAAACGTGAAAATAGAAACTATTAAATAATGAAATACATTTTTATTTTTCGATCAGTGTAGTATACTGTGTATATCAGTGTGTATCAGTGTAGTATCAGGACTTGGATTTTATAGCATTTGTTAGTTTTTATAGGATACAGATAAAAATAGCAGAGTGAGCTTTACATTTTTTTTGTGTGCTAGAGACTCCAAATATGAAATTGTATACTGCTATTTTTCGCATATTTGAAATATTTTAGAATTTTAGTGCTATTTTTCAATTTTTGGTGCTATTTTTTTTACTAATATGTATAATATGATTTATTATGTATTTTGTGTAAAAAGTAGAAAACATCTTTCATTTAATGTGAATCCATAAGAAAAATACCTACATTCTCATTTCATATTATAATTTATTTTTAAGTAGCCCTGCTTATTGACTTGTCGAACAGTTTACATTTATGATTTCTTTTGGTTGTATTTATATATTTAAACAAATTTTCTCTTTAACCATTTTTCATGTTTTTGTGGTATACTATAGTCGATTTAAAAATTTTTTGGACATATTATAGAGTTTATTTTAAGATTTTTTAGGTCGTATTATAGCGCATACTTCAGTTATTTTCAGTGCCATAAAATTCGAGCCCTGATAATTACTATACACGAATAAGTTCTACAATATTATTAGGTACCGAATGAAATTAAATAAAAATGCATTATTATTCGAAACTTTCACAATATGTTTTTCTATAATTGGTAGTACTTACCTACATTCATATTTAGTATTATACTTGTATACTAGCATGGTACTTTTGTCTTTTATGTGTATTGGAAATACTCATTATTAATAGAATATTATTATACTATTATACATGGGTAGGTATGTACTTGTACTGTTTATATTGTTATGCAATGTTTCGTTGTGTATAGAACGTCAATATAGTTTGAAATAAAAATGAAAAAAACTCGTCGGGAATTTTTTTGTATATTATAATTTCCTCGGTACTTGGAAAACTTGACTCTATAATATAATACCGTTCCCTTTATTCCCGAGCGTTTTAATAATAATAACAATATAATATATTACGTCATTAAAGCATATACAAGTTTAGTTTAAATATACAATAAATTTAAACTTAAACTAATTTTTTCAAAACAAAATATAAGAAAATGACACTCACCCCCCCCCAAAAAAAAAAGTTAAATCAAGGCTTGCTTGAGGTAAGCGAGTTCAAAAGTCGACAACTGTGACTTATTAAAATATATTTAATAAATAGAATAAAGCTAACTTTATGTCAATTAAATTAAGCAAAGAACCGAAATACTACTATAAATTAAAATTATTATTTAAAACCAATGTATACAAATAGTTAACTAACTTTGATTTCGTTTTAAATACCTATATTTAAATACCCGTTTGATACCCATATTTAACTTTCTACATAAATCAATTTCTACGATAACTGTGTTGAATTTTCTAATTTTTTAATTAACTTTTATACAATTATACAATTTAAATTACTTGAAGTTTTTAAGCGTGTATTGTAAACATGATGCAGTTTAAATATCACCACATTAGTTTCAAAAAGATTTTTTTTTGTAAACGCCTTGAGGTTTTATTATTAAAACGACCCAAAAGTCTTTATACATATTCTCAAGAATGTATATACCTATTCGTATTTTATGGCACATATTAGATATTAATACATACTGTGCATATTGATGAAGTCACACTTCAAATGAAGTGGCTCCTGTCGTTTATCTAAAAATTCAATTCAATTAAGTCATATGGTTTCAGACGTTTAAATATTTTTGGACGTAATTCATATATGCTTCTTTTTGGGTTTAAGTTGTCATCTATTTCTTTGAAAACTTCCAATGAAGTGAAATGTTTTTCGAATTTTTTCACGTGTTGCTTTTATCTGTTAGCATTGCACTCTGTTAAGTTTAGACTCAACGGAGTTTAGTAAAAATATGTATTTAACAAACGGTTTGGTAGATGTATTTGATAAACGAAAATACATATACCTAGACTTATTTAAATTAAGCTCTAATATATTAATGTTTAATCAATTTTTAAAGAGGAAATAGACAATTCATGTAATCCATTCACACTGTTAGCTTTCACTAAAATTACCGCATAAACTACATATGAAAAAATGGTTCTATTTATATTAAGATCCAAAAAGTTATTAACATAAATAATAAATAGAATCGGCCCAAGAACTGTACCTTGTGAGATTCCGTGTTTATTTATTAGAGCTTCACAATCATAAATGCCGTTGATTTTTACTACCTGTGATTTATTCATTAGGCATGATGTAAATAAATCCAAACCTTTCCCTTATGTTATATCATAACATTATAATCTATCAATCATACGAATATGATTAACAAAATCGAATGCTTTTTTAAGTCTAAAAAAATGTGTAGTACATCATTTTTTATTATTATTTAAACTAGTATTGACAGAATCATATAAATATATTAAAACATTTAAAATAGATCTTCCTAATCTAAAATTAAATTGGTTATTTGAAAAATAATCGTTTTTATTAAGAGAAAAATAGTGATCCATTTTTAACATTTTTCAAATATTTTAGAGATAGATAAAGTTAAAGAAATTGGTCCGTTATTGCAAAAATTGTTTATCACTATTCTTATGTAATGGGACAATAATTTTTTTTTAAATAATTGAGGAAAAATGCCAGTATTAATAGAAGTAAATAGTACCAAGTGGAATAGATTTATAATTTATACTTTGTTGGACAAACCTTGTTCATAAAAAGTTATTGTATTTTAAAGTTATAATATACGAGTAAGCACTTACTCTTGTTCACTGAACGGTTTGAATTGATTCGACAGAGTATTCGCATTTTGTTCGTTTAATATTAGACGTATCATTTCTGTAGCTGCATCTTCTTTTGCTTTTTCTTTTTTTGAACCTTTTCCTTCAACTATAAGTACAAAAAAAATTGTATACAAATCCTTTAAATCTATTAAATATTGATACATTAATATTATTACCAAATCAAATTATTTTATTCCATTAAAATATATATATTTTTACTATTATAAACTTAAAATAATGATTTTATCGAAAGTTATATTGTAGATTTTATTTGGCTTTGAGAAATGTTTGAAAGGAAAATATATTATAGAAATTGTTTTAAGAGCATTCTCTCTATTATAGAATAGATAACATCTAATTGGTCTGAAAGTCCAATTTTATTCATTTGTTTTTAATGGCTATATTCTACAGTATATATAGTAACACAAATGATTATTTTTTTTTTAGTTTTCACAGAGAATTAATTAAGAAACGGATGACGTAGCGAAAACAAAATTGAAGAGGGGAGGATGTGGAAATAAAAATAAGACAAATTTTATTTAATTAATGAATATAAATCTCTCAGTTAGGAAAAAAACGGGTTTTTTTCTTTACCAACAAAACACTTATTTTAAATTGAAAAATTAGATACGAAAAAAAAACTAATACGATACTATACCATATAATCCGTACAGTGTGCACGAGTAGTTATATATGGTTTTGTAGCTCGTGACGTCCGTCCCGATGATTCGGTACGTGGGTTTAATCTCCGGGTCGATAATTCTGCCGTTCAATATGTCCAGAGGTGACCCGAGTATGGAACTAACGTCTTTGTTTCCGTGGCTTTCATTCTGATAAGAAAAAAAAAAATGAAAATACACAATGTATTACTCTACCCATTCTGTTTGTAGCAATGAAGCTGATAGCTTTATCAATAGTGTTATATTTCTCGAAAAACACTGTTCCAGTTAGTTAAAATGCTCAAAATTATTCACAACATTCATTAAAAGATGCAGATTTTGGGCCGGTGGTACTTTATTTGAAACATTTTCCCTATCTGATTCTTAGTAGTATTTCTTAAAAGTTAAAAACCTGTTAAAGCACAAGGAAAAATAACAGGACTATAATAGTATATATTTGAATGTTTAAGAATGTCTACATAATACCTATAATGTATTATTATATTCGTTGTTGTACTGTTACTTTTATGTAAAAGGGGTTACCCGTATATTTATAACAATAAACTCCAAAAATAAAAGTGCTCTTAGAAAGTTAATATTCTAAGTATAAAACTAAAATGTAATACTATTCGTAGTTGGAAAACTACGTCAGATATAAATTAAATTCCGGGTGAAAAGCAAAAGTCACGTTACGCGTCGAGTACTGGGTAGGCCACATTTTATTTATTTATTCATTTTACCAGCTTATACCCAATTAAAATGTAATACAGTATTTGATATTTAAATATTGCAAATTTATATATGAATATATGTTACATAAAATAATAAAAGAAAAAAAAATGTATATCATTCGGTCGAAGTAATATAATCAACTAAATTAGGAGAAGGAAGTATCAAGATTGTTTTGCCTCATACGGCGAGTGAGAGGCTCATTATTTTGATAATCTGTAGAACAAAACGGTACAGTGTACAGAGTGATGACACGGGTATTGCTCGTAGGAACTCTAAAGTTAACGTGTTGAAGGGGAGAACGAAAAACAGTTTTACCACTGATAAAATTTTGAAAGTAGGTGAAGTCATGAGCACGACAGCGGTCGGCTAGGAGATTTAAGTTAAGGAGTACTGGTTCAAGTCATGAGACGGTTGGATGAAATTTGATTTAAAACTAACGAACTGAGAAATTTATGTTGAATTTATTCGATTTGTTGGCAGTACTCGTATATCAATGAGTGAGGATTCCACACTATGCAACCACATTCAAGCAGGATGGGTATAATTAAAGCACAGTATAACGCCTTTAAAGACTTTGACAATTGAAATTCCCCAGAAATTCTCTTTATAAAACCTAGTATTTTATTTGCTTTGCACATAATTTGATTGATGTAAGCTCTAGGGTACAGCAAAGGTACAAGAATATAACCAAGAGAGCAAGCATCAATATTAACGGAGATGAGGACGGTACCATTAATCGAATAAAAAATAAATGAGAGAAACAGCGTCCAGTGAAGGCCATAGATTTACATTTATCAATGTTTAGAGAAAGCCAAATATTTTTTGATTCTGTCTAATTCCTCCTATATGTTTATGCAACCATATTGGGAAAAATGTTTATATTATCAATAAAACAGAGGAATTTGCAGAATCGAGGAACGCTTGAAACACTGGTTATGAATAGTGAGAATAAGATTGAAGATAGATGTCGACTTCGAGGAACTCCAGACGTAGCTATAAATATATGCGAATTGAAGCTGAAAAGCTTAACACATTGAGGCTAATTTAGAAAATAGGAACGTATCCAGTCTAACAGAGGGTGACAGAACCGAAGCGCCGCCAGTACAAATGTTGAAGAAGTTGCAGATTTTGGTGAAAAAAATTCGATTCTGATCTTATCGTATTCCAGAATCGTCAATTTCTTGTCATTAAATTCGTACCGGTATTAAATTCAAATTTTAACTGTTGATTTTTGGTTTTGAGGTTATGTTTCTAAGAACCTGAGAATAAGTGGTATTTGGCAATCTAATAATATTATCGTAATAGTCGCGTTGTCGGTCCACTGCACATTTCAATTTCTTATCATTGTATGTGCTATTGAGAAAAAAGTTACATTTATTTACTGTGACCAGCAACACCGTTAAGGTTAACATCGTTATATAAGTGCAGGGTTGTCGTGAACAGATCGAGAGAATATTATTTGACTCGAGGATAAAAATAAGGTGACGAGAATAAAAGCTTTTACCGGAAACAACGGCGGGGTGCAGTGTTGAGCACGGATGAGAATTATTTTTATTTTCGAGATTTCTTTTGTTATTTTTCGTCTGAAAAAAGACGATGTGACTGAAATTAATTTAGATAAACTTTTCATAATATCGAAATGGAAATCTCGTTAAAAATTCACTCAACACTTTAAAAAAAAAAAAAAAAATGCTAAATTCATAGACTAGCGACAACATACCTACAGTAATATTATTATTAAGTTAGGTATTATAGTAACAATATTATAACTTACATTTTGACGTTTGAATTCGATAGTGCAGCAGTTTACCGAACACAAGATTATAACTATTGTTATTATATGCGTTGTTGATCGAAACGAATCGTTTTTTAAGGTTTATTATTTGAATTTATTTTTATAATACGAGGGTTGTTCCAAAAGTAATGCACAATTTGCTCTGAATAAATAAGTTTTTATTTTAAACTAAATACAATATTATAGACCTTCGATATAATCTCCCTGCTTGTCTATACACGATTGCCATCGTTTCGGGAGCGCTTGAATGCCGCATAGGACGCCATCTTTGTTGAGTTCACGGATCCTTCGGCTCACTTCTTCATTTAGTATATCTAAGTCGGGAAAACGGATCCCTCTAAGTGGTTCCTTCAGTTTTGGAAATAAATCAAAGTCTGGGGGACTTAAATCCGGCGAATACGGTGGGTGTTTGAGGCGTTCCCATATTTCTCCAAAAGAGCGACGACTGGTGCTCCGATATGCGGCCGCGCATTATCGTGCAATATGGACACACCATTTTGTAACATTCCTGGTCGCAATTTTTTGGCAAGGAATGTTTTGTAGTAATCCCCGGTTACACTACTGCCAATTGGAACTCGATCAATGACAATTATCCCAAGTTTATCGTAAGCAAAAATCATCATTTGTTTCACCTTTGTTTGCTGGCGACGAACTTTTTTTGCTCTTGGTGATGTTATTCCCTTCCAAATATTGCTTTGAGATTTTAATTCCGGCTCAAAATCACGGATCCAAGTCTCATTTATTGCAATTATACGATCAAGAAACGTTTCTTTTTCATTTTCGTAGCGAGAAAGGAGTTCACGGCAGATGTCTTTGCGTGTATCCTTCTGTTCCGGTGACAGAAAATGAGGCACCCAACGTGCTGCAATCTTTCGTTTCTGTAGAATTCCCGTTAAGATGCGGTGAACACTTGATTTTGAAATACCTGTTTCATTCTCTATCTCTCTCACCGTTATCCGTCGGTCTTCATCGAGTAGAGTTGCGAAGATAGCCGCGTTAGTGTTGTCTTGAGTAACCGTAGAGGGTCGGCCAGAGCGAGGGTTGTTATCAATACTTATACGACCATCACGGAATCGCTGATGCCATCTTTGCACCGTACTACGATCCACAGTATCCGTTCCACACACTTCATTTAACGCGGCATGAATTTCAGGCACTGTTTTACCACGAATCGTTTCGATTTTAATGTATGCGCGTTGCTCAAAAACAGAAATGTGAGCCGACGAATTGTTCTCACTTTCGTTATCGCTCTCACACATCATCATACTTTACTAAAACAACTAAAACTAAAAACGCACGTGTTCGTTAGACTTCAAGCTACAAACTGATACTAAAATCAGCTGATAATATCACATTGCAAGACAGCTAGAGCGCGCTGTGCATTACTTTTGGGACAACCCTTGTATTAACTATATTTTATAACATTAAAAGGCAAACTTACGCTCTCTTCAAATAGTCCAGTAACCCATTATGCTCAGTTCTTCGAGCCCAATATATGTCTAAAAAGTGTCTTAAAGACTATATTATCTATAAAAAGACTGGACCAGCTTCTTTTGGAAATTCTTTCGTAATCTAAGGTCTGGAAATAGTATTCCTAATATTGTCAACTTAGACGAATTTTTTAGTTCTGGCTTACAAGACATTTATTATCTGTTTTCTGAGATTTTTAATTCATTTTACACAGCTTCCACCTCCAAAAGTAACTCTTATCTTTCCCACCTATATTACGATATACTCAATAATTGCTTCATCAGTATTACCGATATAGAGCCCGGTCTTGATAAGGTTTAATGGGCTTTCGGGAACCTTTCTTTTCAGCCTTAGGTCTTTTATTTCCATTTCCCTCTAATCTTTAGAGGGAATTTTTAATCTTTAGACAAATTTTTAGGTATTCATTAGATTAAGAGATACTTCCGTCCATCTGGAAGGTAAACTCCATTACCCCATTTTAAAATCTGGCTATAAATACTGTGTCAGGAATTCCAAATCAATTTCTATCCTAGGCCATTGTGCTAAGCTTTTCGAGAAGCTCGGACTCAAAGATATCTTTAGTTAACCCGTCTCTTGTTTATAAGCCGTACGGTTTCAGGTTAGGACGTTTAGATATAATAGCTGTATGTAATCATATTTTTAATTAAATCATAACAAAAAAAACAAAACTGAAAAAAATTAATTTCGTAAATTTTCTCGTTTTTTCTAAGTTTTTTCCGATTTTTATGAAAATCTCTTAAGAAATCAAAATAACTTGTTTAAAGTATCATACAAGGAAAATTACTTTTCAGAAAATATGCCACACATGTTAATCGGAGCAAGATTTTTAAAATTTGTGTACACAGTATATATATGTTACATAAAAACATCATTGTAAAACCAATACATTCCTCGCTTTGCTCAGAATCTAAAAATGTAAAACAACGAAATCGTTAACATATTGCAGTTTGTTTTTACTTTAAATTTTTTCTCAGTATTTCCAATCATTAACTAAATTGCTTAGAGAATTTTAAAAGAACCTATTTTATGCACAAACTTGAACCAAAATGTAGTAATATAATTTTCAAAAAAAAAAAACACTCATCATAGATAAACTAATTCATTCTACATTACGTTCAGAATCTAAAACTAAAACAATGCATTTAATTTTGATCTACGATTTTTGGTTCTATGGGGGAAAAACACAATACCTATTTCGATTCTCTCTAAAATAATATACCTAATAATTTCGGGTTGTCGGTGTTATTATAATTATGTTAAACAGACGTGAGTACGTGACTGGTACCTACAAAAACGAACCAATATTTGATTGATGGTTGTAGTACATTTTGGAACGTATTTTCTTTGTGCCAAAACCTTTCTCATATCTACCTACGAATATAATAATAAATAAAAACGTAAATATTAAAAATAATTTATATTCCCGGTTCGATTTGAGTTTGAACCATCCGGCATCAGAACTATTTTTTTCTCTATGTCCTTTTTTCATTATCAAAACTTTAAAATTTGTTCAACCACCTAAAACTTCGACATCTTTTTACTAATTTCTTCTAGCTTTCCAAATAAAATGTTGCACGGGCTCCGTTTTATTCTCCGCTTAGTGGTGATGGGTTTTGGCTTCATATCCAGCCTATTGCAGTCTTCCGTTTTTGAGAATTCTTTTTTACAATAATTTCTGTGTAACTCTCTTTCAATCCAGCGTCTCTTATCTCTGCGGTTATATTTTATCCATGTCGTCACTTATTATGAAAACTATTATTATGAGAAATATTATGGATCTCATGCTATTTCAAAAAATGTGAATTTAGTTTTTTAATATTAGTAAATTCGTATTTTTAAGCCACTCGTGACCATATTTTCAGTTTCGAGATTTACCCAACTGGTTATCTTTGAAAAATTAAAAAAAACATAGCTTTTATAAAATTGTTTTATTATCAATGATACCATCAGTTCTTTGGTTTCTTTAAAAATTCGGAAATTTGAGATCGACTATGATGGTTCTAATGCAATACGTTAACATATTTTTACTGGTCCAATGATATTTCGAAATGAGCAGATTTGTTATCAAATTAAATTCTCGTCTTCCCATAAGAATGTTGTTAGGTTGATTGTTGTTGGTTAACGATTTTACGATTTTTCGGCAGTAGTATAAATATATAGTTAATATAATAAATACAAGAATAGTCGTTTGGATTTTTTTTTTTTTTAGACTGTTGGCTATTTAGAAACAACGGTAAAGTTTTTATTTGAAATAAAAAGTATATACATATATAAACAATAAAACTTTGTTAATGACACGTAATTAATAAAAAGCAATCAAGCATATATCAAAATAGTATAGCACAATATCTCCGATTATTTTTCATACGGAATGTCGATAAAGTCTGTTTAACATAATTATATAACAATCAATTTTTATGTCTGCAGTTTGATACGGATTTGTTCTTTTTTTTTTTTCAAGTCTATACCACAGTTTATACAAAGTTTTTTTTGTTTTGTTTATTTTAATGTCTACCGTTTATACTGCTTCTGAATAATTCGAAATAATATTATGGACGTTTATCGAAGTCTGTGGACTAAATTACTATAATATATGGGCAAATTTAACTGTTTTTTTTTTGTTTGTTTTGTTTTAATTACATTTTTTAGTGAACGAAAAAAAACAAAATAAAAAGAAGCGTTATTAATATTCCATTTGAGTGCTCCACGCCATCGTTTTGAATATATAAAGTAGGTATATTATATACGATCTACGGTTTTTGAAAATACTGTAATTTGTTCTTTTAACCCGTTAGAAAGTTTTCGAGACAGTATAGCTGCTGCTAGCAGAGTAAAATACTGCAGCAGTAAACATCACGTAGACCGTAGCATCTGTTGCTGGGATTTAAGTCAAATCTGAATGGATTTAAATTAAAAACTTTGGCCTCGGCGATTAATATTCTTTCGAATGATAATAATTATTTTTCATATAATAAACACACACATATACACACACAAACACGTAAACATAATATAATTTAGGTATACTAATACTTGCCGTGGGGATGTGAACCAAAACTAATCCAGATACGTCCTATAATCTGCCCAGTATCCATCCACCAATATTTCCCAATATATCTTATTTGATCAGATCAGATCAAATTATGTTAGCTTTTTAAAATTCTGATCACAATATAATTCTTAACCAAAATTAGTATTTAATAAGTTTATACATCTTTCAGAACATAATATTTGGGCTGATCCTAAATATTTTTGGAAATGGGTATCTTACAATAAGCGTTCTCATATTATTTCTCAGTCTCTACATTTAGATTGGGAAATAGGAAGCTATTAATGGTGAGGTCAAATCTAACTTTTTCTTAAAATATTTTTCATCAGTGTATAATTTTAACTTTTATCAAAAATCTCTTTCTAATTCAACCCTTGTACAATACACGAGCGCTGTATCCCCTCTCGTTATAAAATTTCTCTTAATGAAGTTACTATTGGTGAACTAAGTTCCCCAAAAACTTCTAAATCACCTGGTCTCGATGGAATTTTTGATTATTTCTTAGTTCAATTTGTCGACTATATTCTACCCAATATTTATTATTTTCTAAATTTCTAGAAGAAAGTGTATTCCCATCAGTTTGAAAAATAAGTTATGTTATATTAGTTTTCAAAAAAGGTGATAAAACAGATATTAAAAATCATAGACCATTTTTAGCTTGATTCAGATTGGGAAACTACCCGAAAAAATAATTATAAATACAATTATAAAATTGGTTGATAATATCCTTGACCATAGAGACGCCATGGATTTAGAACAGGTAGTTCTAAAATAACATGTAATTTATCGTTTTAAAATTTATTTGTTGGAATCTTTTAGGCAAAATTGTTAAGTTGATGTAATTTTCACGGATTTCGAAAAAGCCTTCGATCGTGGTGACCACGAACTTTTTGATGCACTTAATTACGTAGGCTTTGGTTATCTATTGCTACCATGTTTTAAATATTATTTACTTAACTGATTTAAATTCACTAGAGTACAAAGTTTCTCTTCTTTCATTACAACAGCCTCATCTGGTACTCCACAGGGAGGACATTTATCTTCCCTTTTATTTCTTATATTTATTAATGATACCTCCTCAGCCTTCAAAAATTGCCAATGTCTGTTATTTGCAGATGATATAAAAATGTATACTCGATCACCTCTATTTATGACTGTTTTATTTTACAAAATTAATTGAATATCTTATTTGAATGGTGCCAAAAATGAGGCATGAGTTTTGATATCTGTGAATGTTACTCTATGTGTTTTTATAGGGTTCGATCGCCTTTACAAATTGTTTTTTTCTACAAGCAAAATTTGATAACTAAGTTACATATTGTATATTTATTCTATTACTTAATCGAATCAGTTTCTTATATCAAAGATCTTGGTATAACTTATTCATTAAATTTAAATTTCCATCAACATATTATAGAAAATGTAAATATTAAAGCTCTACAAATATTAGGTTTAGAAAAACGGTATTCTTTTAATTTTAGAAATCCACACAATCATTCCTATGACCATACAATGCCTTAGTTCGATTAATTTTAAAATATGGTTCAATTATATAGAGTCTATAGTTTCATACACTAAATTAGATACCGATAGTATTGAGTGTATTATTGTACTTTTAAACGTTTGTTAAGTTGACACTTTCGTTGAACTTTATGTTATTTTAGTTTACTGTATTCTTGTTTATAATATTATGTTTACTCAGGCCCGTCGTAAGATTTTTTTCTCCCCAAAACGAATATTTTGATGCCGGTCTTTTTTGACGATTATTAATTTCATTTTGCCGGTTCAATTTGATTAAAATTGTATGCCGTCCTAAAGAAACGTATGGCTTGCTTGTATCCCAGCGACGGGCCTGCGTTTACTGTATATTAATCATAGCAAAGTCATAATCATTATGTGCCATTGGGAAATAGGCCTTGGCCCGTTTTTATTCATTTATTTAGTATTTGAATAAATATTATTATTATTAAACAAAATCTATAAGTAACCACGTCTCAAAAACCGAGTTCGTTTTGCCGAGCTCATTCGTTACTGTGTATTTAACACACACGTATACATAATATCGTTTTATTTATTAAAAAACAAAAAAAATAATAATAGAAAATATTTTTTTTTGAAACTCGATTCATCGTTCTTACACCCGCTATAGTATACATATTATATACACATACGATACTAATGAGTAGTGACGTTTCAGACTTTCCGAATAGTTTTTGGCCCGTTAAATAAGAACGGGAGGAAATTGGGGGTGAAATGGTATGAGAGGGTCGTATACAATGCTTACTAAGTACGCAATAAGTTTTATATACGTAATACATTGGCAACACATTAAACTGACTTCGATATAATTTGCGAGATTTTGCATATGGTTTTTTTTCTGCTAGAATTCTTATTCTATTTTATTTTTTTCTCAAACAAGTTTATACCGTTTTTTACAATTTTATAAATATAAGTACTTGTAGTAATTTATACATACTATTCGAAAGTTTGTCCCCTACACGAATTGAGAAACGCGTATTAATTTTTGAATATGTTTAAATATACGATAAGTATTTCTTATTCCTATATTCATGTACTTATTTATTTTGAAACTAATTATTTAGAAAAACGTTGAAGTATTATTTTCACAGTTGTCACACACAGTTTTTGAAAGACTTGAAGCCATCATTGTACTAAAGGAGTCACCGTTTTTAAATTCTTTTACCATTTCAAAATTCTGGGGATTTATTATTTTGCATTTTCTTTTAGGATATTTACATTAATTTAAGAACAAGAATATTCTACAACATTTCGTACGAAATCCTCGTATGGTTAAATGTTAATTTAAAATTAACAAAATAATTAATAAACTTCGTTGATGAATTATAATCTAACCATGCCGTTATAAAACAATAACAACAAAGATGTATATCGCCCGTGATATTTTATAAATAATTCTCTTACAAATGTACGTAACACGTTGCCTTGATTATTCATTATAGTGACATTAAATGTTTAAGCGTTAAAGTCGAGTGAAAATGTGCAAAAGTAATGTGACACGTCCAGAGCTGGACTGGGAAGTGTCCCACTATCCCAGATACGGAAGTAGAAAATTAGTCCAAAAGTGCCGTTATTGAATCACCCCTTCATCCGTCCCCGATTATGGTAATGCTAGTATAGACGGCACACTATTTAGAAACAACGGAGACCAGCTAATAATACAATTTTTGTAACGATAACATATCTCTAAATAAACATCGGGGAAAATTACCTCGAGCACACCAGTATTATTTTACATATTTTACTATCCACATGAACATAATACTATCATTGCATGTTTGCAATATTGTTTTTATTAATTGAACTTTTAAATTGTAAGACCGATATATAAAATCATATTTCTTGAAAAAATATTATGTAGATATAAGCGTATGCTTTTGTGAAACCACGATAAAAATGTAATATTAAAAATAAATATTTAAGTAATATTTACAAAAAAACGATTTGAATATTTTGAACATAGCCGTCGATAATATTAAAATTTAGTTGGAATACCTAACCCATTAAACAAAATTAAATATTTTACTCGCTATTATTGGTTATAGTTTATTGATAGGGTAGATATGTATATGCTCTAAAATTCTTTAAATTTGTATGCAGAAATAGGCACTGAAATTCCAAAAATATTCTCTATGCATCTGCGAAAAAAATCTTAAAACTGCACGAAAATCTTAAATTGAATATGCTCTGAAAATGTACCGAAATATGTTAAATAAAGTTTTGTACTCGTATATAGAATTGCTAGGTCACGAAATGCATTTTGGTGTAAACTATCTATTTTTTTTCACGAATAAATGTATTCTACATGCGAAAGCGTATAAACATTTGCCCTAATTATTAAGTAAGTATATGTTATTTAATTTTGAACTCACAGTCTTGAATCTTGACATTACTATTTCAAGACTATGCGGCTGACTACATGGCTGGCTGCCATGTCGGTCCAATATAATTGAACTAATATAATGTATAGTAAGTTGACAAAAGTACTTTATAATTCGGATACCTGCAGTTACTTATTTCGAAGTCAGGACACACATCATGAGATGATGTTTGACTTTTCATATAAAGTTATATAATACCTACCTACCTAATTTTAACTTAAAAATCCTACTGCCGAGTTTTTATAGAGTTGTTGTAAAAATTGTTAAGTCCGTAAAGGTTTTTCTGATAAATCTGATTAAAAGTTTTGCAGACTTTTCTCGAACGATTCATTGTCAAATCTTACCTTTGTATCTTTTTTCTTTTTCACCATGTTCTTTTTCAATTCCATAGGTATTTCAGTGTTCGTTTTAAACTCTAAAAAAACAAAAATAATATAATAATAACAACAACATTATAATATCAAACGTTTTAATATAATACTAGTTATTAATTTTAATACCGTCAAAAAACTTGTATTCACTCGGAGCGTTTATCGTTTCGACTACGAAATTATATCTATTGATGATCGAACCAATCGTTTCGTCGAACAATTTTACTTTTCTCCTTTTCTCCACCAACGCTTTTTGACGGTTGTTTTCTTTTTCTTCGTTTTGCGTTTCTGTAAAATGTACATAATATATATCTACATCAACATTCTTCATATATATGTTAGAAAACAATCGTAATATTTAAATCGTATATAATCGGTTTACGGAAGTCGGCATCCATTTTGAAAAATCTCGTCCTATTTAACGAACGGTCCATTACCGCGTCGGTTTTCTCCATCGTAAGCAATTGTCTCAGCCGGGTGATCAAATTGTGGGCTATTTCCACTTGATCCGTTAAGTATTCTTCGAGTTCCTCGAGCTTTTCCCCGGTCGCGCCGGCTAACGAGACACATATATAATAACAATTTAATAACGTAGTTTTATCAAAAAAAAAAAAATTTGCGATAAAAATTATAATTATCTAAACGAAATTTGCACGATCTGCATGAAATTTAATCAATTTTTTACTTAACAACAAATAAGTAATAATGCCATATATTTTATAATTCGTTTTATACTCCAATATTGGTAAATTAATACTGTTGATTATTATACACCTATTTCAACATTTGTAAACGCGATTAGCAACCTTTAAAAAATGTTTAGATCGTTAATCATAAGTCATATTAAATATTAATTTTTCTGTACAGTTTTAGATTCAGAGTGTAGCGAAAAACATATTACTTTTACCAAGGTTGCATTAGCTACACGGGAAAATGCATGTCTAATACTACTTTGCTCAGTATCTTTTTTTTTGTTGTTATAATTTATTGTTGCTTTCAGTATATATAAATTGAACTATTCTATATCTTATATCTATTAAACTTGCCACTTACTACAGAGGCTAACTCATGGTCCCTAAGTACATTTGACCTTTATAAAATGCATACTATTAAATAAATATTTTTTCTAAATGTAGATATTATACACAGGTGTTTTTAACATAGGTACATCATATTTAATGTTTGAAATATTTGAAAATAAGAAGAAAATAAAATGGAAAAATCGATGTAGTAAAACTTGGGCAAGTATAATGACTGATTTAGTTTCTACGTACAATTAGAATTACTCTCTAGAATATTTTCAATTAATATTTTCCTGTTATTTTAAACGGATACTCGGGAAGTTCCGAGTTTAGGTTAATAAACAAACCGTTGTCTCTGAACCGTTGACTTTCCACGTACAACTTGGTCATGAAGTTATTGATGGAAATGATTGCTTGGCGTTTTTCCATTTCATATGCTTCCGCGTTTTTCGGATCACCATGGACATTGTGGCCTTCCCACACTCGTAACTGATGCGTCTGGTGGTGTTTCGAAGTCGTATCGTACGCGTCTTCTGGCTGCAAACCCCGGAATATATAAATATATATTTTTTTAAAGAAAAACAACTGTATAGAGCATATTATAGAGACCAATGGGATATGATGGGATATTGGGATAAATTACAATAATGAGAATTTGGTTTGCTAAGTTAAGAAGAAGAAGAAAATTAATAATTATTATGTACCGATATAAAGAAACAAAAAAAAAAAAAAAAAAAAAAAAAAAAAAATATATATATATATATAGTGAAAATCTTTACTTTGTGTATATTATTTATAAGCTAACCATCAGATAGTTATCAATATTTTCATGTATTCTAGAGAAAAAGAGAAAAAAGAAAAAAAAATACACACACATACACATATATTTAAAATCATAATAATTATCGACATTGAATTTATAATTGTTTACTTTTTTAAAAATAATAACCTTAAAAAACAGCGACATAATTAATATATAATATTGAAATGTATGTATAATGTATAATATTGAAAAAAAAAAAAAATTGTATAAATAAATTATTACTTCATCAAACACTTCGATCTCGTCGGTTTTTAGTGATATTTTTCGGTTTTCCATAGCTTAAGTATTTTGAAAACCGTCGTTGGAAATCTTTATGAGCGAAATCACTGTGTACGTTTTCGCCCTCGACAAACTTTTACTATACGACTGCTCAAACGTGCGTCGACAAATATTATTCTTTGTTATTTTATTTATTTTTATTTTATTTTTTTTTTATTCTTTTCTTTTTATGTCTGTGTATGCCGTACGGCCGTGTCACTATGGCGATAGTTATTTTGCTTCAAGTGTCGTGCATACATAGTGCGATTAATACCTTCAAGAAACGATATATTCTACGGAGGCCACATAATTGACTGATATAATTCGAATGAAAAAACAACGAGAATGACGAATAATTTCAAATGTCTTACCATACGTATTTGTCAAACGGGACGGAAAACAAATGTCCGACCGGGACATTTATACGTGCTGAAACTTTTTTGAGAGGAAAACATCTTACGGTTGTTAATGACTCCCCAAACACCAAAAACAATGTTTCTGTACAGGCTTACTTGCTATATATACACACAACTTTCCCACTAGTTTTAACGTCCTTTTCCCTCAACTCCTCCCCCCCCCTTCTTTCAATAAATTATTATTCCGGTTATCTCCTGGTTGTATCGAATAATCTTCGATTACACCCAAAGACTTAAAAGTTTTTTTTGACATTCTATACATTTGTTTTGTTCTCAGTCTTTACACGCACGACACTAATGCGATCGTACAAAGAAATATACATATTTTAGATTTTGAGCGAAGCGAGGTTTGTATTTGTTTTACAATGATATTTATTTTATTAATATTTTTTTTATCTGTGAACAACTTTTCTACAGAAAATCATATTTTGATTTTTAAATGTAGTATATTTTCAGTAAGAAAATGTTATTAAGATGCCACTTTAAGGAGGACATTTTTTGAAGCAGTTTTCATGATGATTGGGAAAAATCAGGAAAAAACGTAGGAAAAACAGGGAAATTTACGAAATGTATTATTTTAAACTTTGTTTTGATGTTATGATTCAGTTTAAAATATTGTAAAAGACTTGAAATTTGAACAAAAACCTTATATTTGCCTTTTCTAGACATGGTTTTCGAAAATTTTAAGCCATTTTTGAGATATTTAAGGACATTTTTATTTTGTGGATACAATTTTTAGACTAACCGTCAGTTAAGCTAGCGTACTGTTTAAAGTAATAGACTTTAGAAGCAAGTTTTAAACAAATAATTATTACAATGCATCGTTATACTAACCTTCAGTTAAATAATACACATAATCAATATAAATAATCGTTAATAATAATAATAGCTCATAGTGAAATCAGTTGTTTTAAATTAACTAGAAATTAACCAAATTTACCATACATATAACTTTACATTATCTATCCTATATGGTCTATAAGTAGAAAAATATAATCTTAACAATTTTAAATAATGTAATCGTTGTGCCGTAATTTGAAAAAAAATCGTATTTTTCGTCTATTTTTAGTTAATTATTATGAAAACTACATTAGATAACAAAAAAATGACTTTCTTTCTCAGTGATTATATATTAAATGAAATAAAATCGATCCTTTGTCATTATTCGAATGAAGCAAGATTTTTGGTATAAAACATCGTTTGCAAAAATTAAAATAACTAAACCGGGACGCCGCAGATAGCCGTAAATATTTGCCGTTTTATCTATAATTTTCTTTTGGTTTTTTTCTAATTATTTTAAAAATTTCTTGGAAAGTTTAAAAAATGACCTGTTATACTCACCAACTAGAGAATATTTACTTTTAGAAAAGGTGCTAGATTTGATACTTCGGAGCAATATTTCTTTTCGAAAAGTTATTTACAGACAGGAAAAAATAAATCACACACACATTATAGTAAAATCAATAAGAAACTATCTAGGTTCCAAATCTAATACCGTTTTGATGTAAATAATTATTTATTTTTATTCACATAAAACTAGATTTATAATACAAAATCAAGTTTCCTCGGACTTATTGGCAGTTCGTTAATGATTTCATCCACATCTTCTGTGTATGTTTCTATGAACGATCATCATTGTTGGTTTATTTTCCTCGTCTAGACAATTATAAAATTGATACTACAGTTATAAGTTGTATAATATATATTTTATGTATCCGAAATAATTGAAGGATTACCTCATTCATTGTCGATCTTGGATTCAATCTTTTTAAGGTTCAAAAAGATATTTTTGGTGTTGTTGTTGACAGTATCAGTGCCAGATATTGCGAGGCCCTTTTACGCTTGCGAGGTCTAAATTCATAGATGGGATGATGGTGGTAAATGACGAGAGGAAGGAAGGGTTATAAATTGAACGTTTATTTTTAAATGATTAATTAAAAACGCTTCTCTATTCCTTCGTAAAAGCTTTAAACGGTTATAATTGATAAACGATAAATCTAATATTAGTGTTATGCACATCAAAGTGTCTAGAAAAATATTTATTTTTTTTTTTTTAAATCTGTGTTCAAATCGGGCGATTTTTGTTTGAAAAAAAAAATGTATAGACTTATTATTTAAGGTATATGAAGTAGAGGTAAAATTAAAAAAAACGGTTTTAAAATAAAGCTTAAACGATTTCACAATAATTGAAAATAAAAAAACAGAAATCAATTTCACTTAAAATCCTTCGAGATAATTGCTTGTTCGTGATAAAAAATCAGTCTTTTGAGCGACAACGTTTACGCCATTTACAGAAAATTTTATTACTGGTAATCTGATAAACGAAAATTATAACGGCTATCCTTTCGATTTCAATTTCGAAATTTAAATTTTATTCATCACTGTGCAGCCGGACATATTTTATTAAAATGAATGTATGCAATTTTGTAACCGGAAAATACGACTGCGCGCACCGACTAATTATCACATTAAATGACTACAACCCTTCCGGTTGTTAGTGAAAATCATGATTTGAAAATAATTATTTATAACAAATATAATAACCGACGACGACGGTTCAAGATATTATAATAATATCCGGGTATTATTTCAAACAAAATTATTGTTTTAATTAAAACTTTCTATTATAATAATATGCGTAGCCGCTATATTACTATACGAATGATATTATGAACAGTATTCTAATTAATTTCGTAAAAATAATATTTCGACTGTTCAATTAATAATATTAAATTAGTTGAATGTCTGTTTTTGTTGGAATATACATTATTATCGTTCAACTGTATACTTGAGATTTACATTATTTTTTTTTTTTTATCGTGTAGGTTTGTCATTGTATCGCTTGTCGTTGAAGGGATATTTGGGAATTAGAAGGATATTTGGTGTTGCTGTTGCGTTTCGTGTTTCCCTTATGTAATTGCAAGTGTAATCGTTTTTGAAAAACTCACAAAAAAAAAAATATTACTCACAGGGGATACCTCGAGAAGGTACAACGAGAGAGTGCCCGGTTCAGATCTCCTATGGATTATGTGGACGACCCAAAGAGCCAGAATTGAGCAAGGCAGATGCTAAAACCTTCTATACAAATGAAAACGTCTGCTCACGTGGTAACGAACTGGCATATTTTAAATAGCTAAATGTTGGTTTTTAAATTAGCGCCGGGCACGTTGTATCAATATGAATTATTTCTACGGATATTAATGTTATATTATGATATCTACTTAAAAATTGTATTTTTAACCTCTTTGACACATAAATTATTGTTATTGAATCGAGTTTAAGTTTACGATTATATCTCGTATACTTGTCAATGTTGGTTTTCGGTACGATACGAACATATGTTATTGGCCGAAATGTATGGGGGAGGGGAGGAAACCCTCGGTTACACTGATTGTAAAAATACTATATAGGAGTGATATAAAACAGGTAAATATTGCCTCTCGGTACCGATGAATAATTCATACCCACCTACGGAGGACGGGTTTTGTTTATAGTCCGGGAATTGAAAATCTATTCAGTAATTACATTGGACCCGTATAGACCTTTAAACTTGGACGAAGGGAAAATAGTATTATTCTTCAGTTTCCAAATGGTTTTCTCGTGTGTCAACGTAGGTATAATATATTATATATTATATTATAGTAATATAGTATTGCTTTTGTGATTTTATTATATTTTTGACGCGAAACAAAATAATAATGATAGAATGTATATTTTTTATCATATATTTTCTGAGGGGAGGACTCTATAATACCCGTATAGTTTATAAAAAAAAATTTGACATCAAGAATTCGTTGGATTTATACAGGGTGTTCCAAATGTTACAGTATAATTTTTTATGAAATACTTATATATTTTTCAAAAAAATGACTTACGTTAAACATGTTTGTAATCATATATTCTAGAATAATACATTTCCCTCATTTACAGGGGTGAAACCACTACTGACTTTTGATTTTAAAATAGCAACCTATATTAAAAATTCTATAAATAGATGAATTTTCAGTTTAAATACATTTTGATTTTTTTGGCGTTTTAATTTCCGTTAATTATTCCATTTTAAGTTTAGTTAAGTCGACTCATTAGTTTAATACAAAATATAAATATTTAAAACCCGAATTAACAAATAAATCCCTAGCTATTTATCGCGTGTAAATAATTTAGTTTTACACTAAACACGGCACCGCAGTATCATGATAATCACGTGTCGATAATTAGAAAAATCTCACCAAGTTGTCCATTCTCTTATTAGCCTCTAATGTGTATCTGTTTGACATACATTTGTCCAGTCCCCTCCCAAACTAAAAAATGATAATTGTTCCTATGGATGTACCTACATAGAGCATTGAGTTGCCTTAATCAAAAAATATATGCTGTTTCGCAAACTAGTTAGCCCTGGTTGATGACTGTACTTCGAAACAGTTAGAATTTTCCCTGTGTCTTTGGTGGCTAAATATGCATGCCCGATATAAGACAGATCAGTACATTATTGGTTTATTATGACAGGTTGCTTAGAGTCAACACGACAACACCAATAGAGAAGTTATACCTCCTAGCAGGTGCAGTGCTACTAAATATCCGCATTGAAATTTACCGTAGATT